TGAAGAATGGAGAATTTTCCCTCAACAGGTATATATCTATAGGGAGATCACTTTAAACAGTTATGTTTATTTGATTTCTATTTATGTTGTGATTTCTATCTTTCCTCTCAACAGGAACTCACAGGGGTGTTCAAGTTTAAGAAAGACTGCATCGTGTATACACTAACGCACGCATTCAGACTCCCACTTCTATGGTTCTCTAGCTGATAGCGCTCCGCCCCTCTTAGCCAGTCTACTCGTAATGGTAGACCAGGTTCACAAAATCTCCCCGTCCGAGACCAGATATACAGAAAGCGATTTTACATTGCCTTTTCAACACCATATAATTAGAATGAATCCTTCACTTCATCAGAACATGTGATGCTAGGCTTAATTTCATTCACAGTACACGTTGTCGTACCTCCATTCAATTTGTAACATAAATATGTATGTGCACAGTAATTTAAAAAAGACCTGCTAACCGCGTACAAGCTTGATTGCGGCGGTCTTCTAAACATTGGGGTTTCACTTTAATTTGATATAATCATATAAACATATAAACACATTATTATTATCATTATGGAATGATTAAAATAGAGTAACAGAGAACTTTGGCTCTATAGCCAAATCTTACCCACTACTATTCAGAAGGAAAACAAAAGAAATAGAAAAATAATAAATGCCAAGAAATCTGTTATTTCTATATACGCTACATAAAATTACACATAAAGAAACTAGAGAGGAGTTTTCTTTCCCCATAAATTTATTGGCAAGGGGAGCAAAGAGACGAGCCAGAGTTCATATTCCAACTAGTCTAGCACAATTACAAAGTCAACTAAAATCATTGTCAATTGTTCTCCATAACAGAGAATTAGCAGAAACGCTACAAGACCATTATATTTGATAAGGAGTAGAGAAAACCTGAAAGCCCATAAACCAGAATCTTTCATTAAATAAGAAACAAAAACACAAACACTATAAAAGGGAAGACATGCATTTTGTATAAATAGAAACGAAAATACATAGTTAATAAAAAAAATCCAATAAATCTCCTTTTATTGCAGAGATGAGAAGGAATTTCCACGATAATATCGTAGATTATATCTTTATCGTTCTGAGAATACGAAGTTGACATGCCCGTAACAGAGGAGACTTGCCGGAGAGAGCGCAAACGACAGAGGGCGGAATAGAGGAAATGGACCCATTTTGGAAAAAAGCAACGCTGAGGTCCGTTTCAGTAACTTTCCGGACTCCAAATCACACACCGTACAACGACGTCCTCTGTCGCATTTATACCCCGGTGCTGAAAGAAACACTGCCACTGATTTGATTGCTTTTGAAGCACGGAAGCGAAGCGAGCGAGACAAAACGTAGAGAATGACCCTTGAAGATAGAGAAAATGGGGAATGAGTAGAGACGGAGAAGGAAGAGTTTGGCTTCTGCAGAGAGAGAAAGACGAGAAGAGAGGAGGGAAGTTCTATGTTCGTTAGGAGACGATATAACAACTGAAAATTTGGACTAAAAAATGCTGATGTGGCCATGTTGTTTGTCGCTATTAAAGTGAAAACTCCTACTTTTTGGAGACCACTGCCTTCAGCCTCCTAGCCGTGTTAAACAGGTGTGTACAAAATTAATAATCTTTCGTGTTTATGCTACCAAAATTACGATAACGTAATAGTATGTATTACCTGAGTTTATGACGGGTTGAAAATTAAGTCTGTGATACCATATGATGTATACTTCGAGACAACATTTTTGTTTGTAATGACATTAGACTTGCCCTATATAATATCCTGTAATCTTCCCAGGAAAATATATATATACATACACTAATTTAACCATCCATTATTTTTTGCTGTTTTAAATCAAAAAATTGAATGTGAAAGATTAAACAATAACATATATATTAAATGTAAAACGACCAAATAGTCAAACCTTATTTGAGTATTTAATGATAACATTCATATGTAATAGTTTTTAATAACTCCCAAAAAACTACAAACAATTCAGTTGTTTAGTCAAAAATATTAGAATTAATTAATTAAATTAGGCTGAAAATATCAATAACTAGTAGTATGATTTTTGTTAGGTAAGATTTGTTTGCATTTTATTGAAAAACCGGAAGAGGAATGTTTGGTAAACGTCAATATCATTTAATATTCATACGTTTCATTTAAATTAATATTTTAAAAAAGCAAAGCCAACTATTGATCACAAAAAATAATTTTAAAAAAGGAAATTTGCTAGTAATTTATTTTTGAAGTTAATAAGGTCCACGTAGAATATATATTATATATAGGCAACTGAAATCGTGTGAGCAACTTATACGAAAATACTTCAAAACATATAATGAAGGTCAATAATAGATTGAGATTTTAATGGCTGTTAGCTGTGCTGCATACCAAATACTTACAATCTTGCTTGGGTACTAAATACCTACAATCTAGTATTTGGGTACGAATCAATTATTATCTATACGAATCATCAAACACTTTACAATCAATCATACAACGCCGATCAACAACGTATAGGGGGGGCGGGGCTTTTATGAGGTGAAAAAAAATTATCCGTCTGCAAAGAATTTAATTAGTGAAACGGACTTTTTCAAAATGCTTTATTTACGGGTAAATCAATAACAAAAATAAAGATAATTTTAATTTTAGTTTCCCAATTGATTGGGTAATAACTATTATTGTTAATTAAATTGGTTCTTTGTTTTTATATAAAAGAGTCCTATTGCGATCATGGATATCCTGAAAAAATGTATTCACTAGAAGGTGGGTGATGGACACTTTCTATTATTTTTATTGACCGTTGGCTACCTAGGGGATGATAATTTTTTGTGTTTTATGGCAACTAACCAGTGTCCTATAGTGTTATAAAAGTTTTTTTTGGTTTTATGATGATGCTCATTACTTTGGATGTTTTGCTAAACCTCTAACCTTTCTTCCAATCTAGTGAATTGTGTTTTGTCTATCCTTTGAGTTCATTGGAGCATTAATGATTTCCCCTTACTTGCACTATTCCAGATCCGGTTTATATACAATGAAATCGGCCTATTATTATTTGGCTCTCTCCTATTCTTCTATGCTATTTGCTTCCCTAACTCTTTTTAGGTGATCGGAAATTGTTATGGAAGCTCCTTATTCCCTCCTAAGAATTAAAAATCTTTTATGGCGAGCTAATTCGTAATTTTAATTTCCTTAACTACGCTTAAACTTAAAGAACACGGGGTTATTGATTTGGAGTGCACTTGCTTGTTATGTGGCGACGGCGAAGATTTAATGCATGTTATTTTTAATGCCTGAAACCCTTCTCACGTTGGAGGCATCGTCCTTATTTTTATTTAAAAATTTAAAAATTTTCAAAAAAAAATAGAAAAAAAAAAAAAAGAGTCAAGGGACTGTTCATTGCCTTTGGAATGAGCGACAAACAAGTTTATCGCCTCACGGGGTAAAGATTGCTTACTTTATGGACTTTTGATAAAATTAAATTGATTTGCATCAGGGATCTCTTAATTCTGTTTCTTACTTTGTGAATTCTTAATTAAAAATATAGAAAAAAAAAAAAAAAAAAAAAAAAAAAAGAGTCAAGGGACTGTTCATTGCCTTTGAATGAGCGACAAACAAGTTATCGCCTTCACGGGTAAAGATTGCTTACTATTATGACTTTGATAAAATTAAATTAGATTTGCATCCGTGACTCTTAATTCTTGTTTCTTACTTGTGATTTAATCTAATATTTCTTAATTAAATATAGAAAACACAATATTGATTTTTGTCCTCGTTTATATATATGTAATATAATTATAATCACAACTGTCAACTAAAACGGTGACGTATCATGCAATGAAATGTAGCTTAGACACAAGGGCCTCTCGGTAATATGTATAAAAAAAAATATGAAATTCATTTGTCATAGTTGACTTAGGTGTAGAACAATAATTTTACATTAATTAAGTGTCGCCAACATGATAAACAAATATTTAATTTTGTTTATGAATTTTTGATTTATTTATAGTAAATTCAAAAAAAAAAAATAAATAAAACTTATGATCCAAAAAGGTAAAATTTTTAAATATATAATTAAATAAGAAAAATTTTGTTCTTTTATTTTCATCTTGCGGTAATTTAGACTTTTATAAATAAAGAAATATAGATTGCTTAAAATAAGGGGTTGCGTCTGAGCATTGTATGTTTGACATTGGAGGATTATTTTAAGTTGAAAATTAAGGGTGTTGTCTTTGTAACTTGAGCGCAAAGGTTTAAGAGTTGTTGCATGTTAACGATCAATAACCAGCTGTCACATGCATGGAATTTTTTTTATATATTGGAATGAATGAAGGAAGGAAGGAAGGAAAAGGTCAAAGAAGACAGTGTCAGCGTACAGTATTAATTAAGATTACACTCCAACTACTCTGGAAATGCTTGCAAGTCATTGACGTATATAGTTTTTGCGTATATAATTAAGTAGACCCTGCAAAGCAATCACCTCATTAAAGGAGGAAATGTGGCGGCTAAAGATCGCAGAGGGAAGCGGTAGCCCATACTTATTCAGTACAAACAACTTCACAGGAAGGCAAACATGGGAATATGAGAGTGAGAGTGGCAGTCCTGAAGAGCGAGCCCAGGTTGAGGAAGCTCGCCTTCACTTCTATCAGAACCGCTTTCAAGTCAAGTGCTGTTCCAATCTCCTTTGGCAATTTCAGGTCCACCCACCATTCATTCATTCATTAATATATGTAGTTAGGGTTTTCGTATGCATGTCAAGTTGTTACTTGATTAATTAGTATCAAATGTGAAAAAATGCAGGCTCTAAGACAGAATAATTTCAGACAAACGATACCAAGAGTTACGATAGAAAATGGTGAGCAAATGACGTATGAGAAGACGACAACAGCGATAAGGAGGTCTGCCCACTTCTTATCAGCTCTGCAAGCTAGCGACGGTCATTGGCCTGCTGAAAATGCGGGCGTACTTTATTTTACCCCGCCCTTTGTAAGCACATCTTATTTCTTTTCATACATATTAGCTAACTAATTATTGCACGTATGCTCATTTCCATAAGTAATTGCAGGTGTTCTGTCTGTACATTACTGGCCATCTGAACACTTATTTCCATGCCGAGTATCGCAGAGAAATCCTACGCTACTTGTACAATCATCAGGTATATATATTATCTATGTACATTTAATACATATATATAAAGCTAAAGGTGGTAACCAATGACGGATGTGGCATGCAGAATGAAGATGGCGGGTGGGGAATAGACATAGAGAGTCACAGTTGCATGTTCTGCACAGTGCTGAGTTACATTTGTATGCGAATGTTAGGGGAAGGACCTAATGGTGGTCTCGACAATGCCTGTGCCAGAGCTCGAAACTGGATCCTCGACCATGGTGGTGCCACCTATATTTCCTCCTGGGGAAAGACTTGGCTTGCGGTCTGTAGTTACTCCACTGCGCTCCACTATACATTTATAATTTTCAATTAACATTTTTTTTTTTTTTTGGTAGATTCTTGGTCTATATGACTGGTCAGGATGCAACCCTATGCCTCCGGAGTTCTGGATTTTCCCTTCTTTTTTTCCTATACATCCAGGTTGGCTGCTGAATGTGTTTTATAATATTAACCAGAAGTAGAATTATAAATTAAAGAAACCAATATATGTATATGCAGCAAAAATGTGGTGCTACTGTCGGATGGTTTACATGCCCATGTCATATTTATACGGGAAAAGATTTGTTGGGGCAATCACTCCTCTGATTCTGCAACTGAGAGAGGAAATCTTCCGTCAGCCTTATGATAAGATAGAGTGGAGGAGTGTGCGTGATCTGTGTGCCAAAGAGGATCTGTATTATCCCCATTCCAGGATTCAAAATTTTATGTGGGATAGTCTGTACATAATGTCAGAGCCGCTTCTAACACGCTGGCCTTTCAGCAAGTTAATCAGAGAAAAGGCTCTTCAGGCAACCATGAATCACATCCACTATGAAGATGAAAACAGTAGGTACATTACCATCGGATGTGTAGAGAAGGTATACACTTTCTTTTTTTTTTAATTGATACAGTTGCATTGGTATATACTAAATACATATATATGCATCATGTATCTGTATATATAGGCCTTATGCATGCTTGCCTGCTGGGTGGAAGATCCAGATGGTATTTGTTTCAAAAAGCATATTGCCAGGGTTCCTGATTACTTGTGGCTTGCTGAGGATGGGTTGAAAGTTTCGGTCAGTAATCAAATTTATCCACTTATGACTTCAACATCGATCTTCCAAAAGTATATATAACAATTTTTTTATCTACTTATAACAGGGCTTCGGCAGTCAGTCCTGGGATGCTAATTTTACCTTCCAAGCCTTGTTTCTCAGTGACCTTGCCGATGAGCTCTCGCCTGCATTAGCCAAAGCATATGATTTCATTAAGAAAACCCAGGTACCTAGCTAAGTTATTGATTTTTCTTGCACTATTGATTAATTAATTAATTAACCGATAGTCTAAATTTTGGAAAAAGATCCAGGACAATCCAGCAGGGGACTTCAAGGGGATGTTTCGTCACATTTCTAAAGGAGCATGGCCATTCTCGGATCAAGATCATGGCTGGCAAGTCTCTGATTGCACTGCGGAAGGCTTGAAGGTGATTGAGTTTTCATCTCAACAACATTAATTAATATTAACATTCTAAATTAAATTGCACATGCAGTGTCTTCTGTATGCGTCGGAATTGCCTACTGAAATCATTGGTGAGAAAGCAGAGCCTGAACGCTTATACGATGCCGTCAACGTTATACTTTCCCTGCAGGTCTCTGTCACAGTACTCTCAATTGTTTTAATTAATTATATTTATATGGTAGATGACTGAATTTATATAATTGCAGAGTAAAAACGGTGGTTTACCACCCTGGGAGCCGGTAAGAGGTGCAATGTGGTTAGAGGTAATTCAGTTTTTTGTCTTCTTCTTCTTCTTCTTCTTCTCCCTCTAAAGGTAATTCAGTTCCAATGCTAATTCTCTATCTTTATCTGCCATTAGAAACTCAATCCTGTGGAATTTCTGGAGAACATTGTGATAGAGCACGAGTAAGACTAATTAAATTATACATGAACAGTTGAGAATTAAATAATAGCAAGTTAATAAATGGTGAACTGTGATAATTGCAGGTACGTAGAATGCACATCATCTGCAATCGACGCATTAGCAATGTTTAAGAAGATGCACCCATGTCATAGGACTAAAGAAATTGAAAAGTCCATTGCTAATGCTGTTGGATATCTCCAAGATATTCAAACGGCTGACGGTTCTTGGTATGGAAATTGGGGGATTTGCTTCATTTATGGCACTTGGTTTGCACTTGTAGGGCTATCTGCAGCTGGAAAAACTTACCATCAATGCCCAGCTATGCGTAGAGGAGTTGAATTTCTACTCAAAAATCAGAGCCCTGACGGTGGGTGGGGAGAAAGCTATCTTTCTTGCCCTAATAAGGTTAAAAAAACAAGCCACATTTCCGATTTGCTTTCTTTGCTTGGATGTAGTATAAGCTTAATTATATGATGATGATGATGATTCAGATATACACAGCCCTGGAAGGACGGAGGTCGAATTTGGTGCAGACAGCCTGGGCTATGCTGGGTTTAATGAGTGGAGGGCAGGTCAGCTGAGAATTGAGATGCTTCAAGCAATTAATTACTTAATCCATGTTGTTGAGTTGATGTTAAAATTGTATTTTGGATAGATGGAGAGAGACCCAACTCCTCTTCACAGTGGTGCAAAGCTGTTGATCAATTCACAATTGGAGGATGGTAGCTTCCCACAGCAGGTATTCAGTTTTCTTTTTATTTATTTTTATTTTTATTTTTGTATATTAATAATAGTTGGTTTGTTTTGTTTTGTTTTGTTTTGAAGGAAATATTGGGAGCTTTCAAGAATAACAACATGTTACACTATCCCATATACAAGGACTGTTTCCCGTTGTGGGCTCTGGCAGAGTACCGCAAAAGGCTGCTCATTCCCCTCCAACGACAACGACAACGACAACGACATTAGCATTTAAAATGTCATTTGGAATTTTTACTTTTATCAACAACATTTCCGATCCCTAATAAATAATAAATGCTTATATTGTCGTTTAATTTAAATGGAATGATTTTCCAGCAAAAGTGAGTTGCGATGGCCTGTACTAGTTACTTAGTTTGTGGTAACAGACATAGCACTTGGGCAGTTAATTAACAAACAAACAAACAAGCAAGCAATTAAATTAAGTAAAGACATCTGTCAATGATAAATTACTATAAGGATGATTAAAATTGGCATTCTTTTTTATTTGCAATATAGTCCTTCATTTAACCTAATTCACAACTAACAATTACATTAAATTCGACGGCCTGCCTTGTCCCTCTCCCGCACTATAGCTCCACCTCTAAAATACAAACCCTTTCTGGAAATCTCGAACTCTTTCCCTTTCCATTTTCAATTTTCACTCTTTCTCCTTTCAATTCTTTTGTTTCTTCTTCTTCTTCTTCTTCTTCTTCTTTTTTAATTTTTTCTTTTAATAATCTTCAAATATTTTTGTTATCCCTTCGCAGTCTGCTCTCCACATTCTGGCCCTTTCTGACTGGATTTTTCGTTTGCAAAGAAAAAACAGAATTAATAAAATTTGGTTTTGTTCCTCAATCAAGCTTTTACATATATATATATAAAAAAAAATAACAAAACAAATAATCATTAATGGGCGCGCTCGCAGCAACGCTTGCGCGCAAAAATACTCAAACATTGGCATTGGCGATTGTTGTGGTATCATCCTTGATGGTATTGGCATCTGGTGACGGCATGGATTCGGCCGCCCTTTTAAAGTTCAAGCAATCGCTAGAGAACAAGGCGCCTCTTTCCAATTGGAACTCGTCGGTGAACCCTTGCGACGGCCATCTTTCTAATTGGAGAGGGGTTCTTTGTTGGAACGGAACCATCTGGGGATTAAAACTAGAACATATGAGATTAACGGGCAACATCGACGTCGATCCTCTTGTTCAATTGCCTTACTTTCGAACACTCAGCCTCATGAACAATGAATTGAGTGGCCCATTACCTGATATTAAGAAACTAGGCAGATTGAAAGCCTTGTACTTGTCTAATAATGGCTTCTCAGGACAAATTCCTGCCGATGCGTTTCAAGGCATGGGTTCTTTGAAGAGACTGTTCATGGCCAATAATGAGTTTACGGGTCACATTCCTTCCTCGTTGGCTACTTTGCCCAGGCTCACGCAGTTGAGACTGGAAGGCAATCAATTCAGTGGCCCAATTCCTGATTTTCAACAGCATCGTCTAAGGTCAATTAATCTGGCAAGCAATTTATTGGAGGGCACTATCCCCGAATCACTCAGCAAGATGAATCCCGACGCCTTTTCTGGTAATATATTCTCTGTTTGTTGTCTGTCTTTTCGGCATAAATGCAGTTCAATGACTCATACTAATATGGGATTTTCAGGCAACAAAGACCTATGTGGGCTGCCTCTAGATGCATGCGACTCCACCATACATGCCGTGAAGAAAAACGCTGGAACAATCATAATGATTGTAATACTGGTGGTGATAATGGTGGCAGCTATTTTGCAGTGTTTGGCCATGTTCCGCAGAAAAAATGATGAAGCGGAGGAGAAATCTACCTTATCCGCGAATTCAAACAAAATCGCACCCTTGCACGGACGGAATCAAGAACGCGACATGAGCGGGGAGAGCAGCGTGCACTCGAGGAGGGCGGACAGGGCGGATAAGCTGACATTTGTGACGGAGGATATTGAAAAGTTTGATTTGAACGATTTGCTGAGAGCATCAGCAGAAGTTTTGGGAAGCGGGACATTTGGGGCATCGTATAAGGCTTCGGTGTCGAATGGGAAACCAATTGTTGTAAAGAGGTATAGGCATATGAACAATGTGGGCAGAGAGGAGTTTCATGAGCACATGAGAAGGCTGGGCAGATTGAAGCATCCTAACTTGTTGCCGCTCGCAGCCTTCTATTATCGCAGGGAAGAGAAGCTATTGGTTTATGAGTATTGTCCGTATGGCAGCTTGGCTAGTAGTCTTCATGGTAATTCCTTAATTAACACCAAACACTTTAATTGTTTCTTCTGCATTATGTTATATATATGTTATTTATTATAATTGGTCTGTCGGTTTCAGGCAACCTTTCCCTGGAAGGGCAAGGGCTGGAATGGCAAACCCGGTTGAGAATTGTCAAAGGCGTAGCCAAGGGCCTAGCTTATCTGTACAGCGAGCTTCCTATACTAGTTCCCCATGGTCATCTCAAATCTTCCAATGTGCTCTTAGATCCCTCCTTAGAACCTCTTTTGGCAGATTATGCTCTGAGGCCAGTGATCAACCCGCACCAGGCACACAATCTCATGATTGCTTATAAGTCGCCGGAATACGCACAAAGTGGCCGCACTTCCAACAAGACTGATATATGGAGCTTCGGTATACTGATACTAGAGATATTGACTGGAAGGTTTCCGGAAAACTATCTAAAATCAGGATATGATGCTAACTCCGATTTAGCAACTTGGGTTAATAAAATGGTCACGGAAAAGAAAATCGGAGAGGTGTTCGACAAAGACATGCCTGGAGCCAAAAATAGCAAAGGGGAGATGATAAATCTGTTGAAGATTGGATTGAGATGTTGCGAAGAGGACGTGGAGAGAAGATTGGACATCAAGGAAGTTGCGGAACAGATAGAGCAATTGAAAGGAGACAGCGAAGAAGAGAATAACAATTTTGGCGGTAGAGGAAATGGGGATGAAATTTCCTTCTCTGTTGATCGATAATGAGTGCCAGCAAATGAGAATGACAATCAGAATTAATATTATTTATACATCATAAGGATGCTGCCGTGACACTGAAAATTAAACTATATACAAATCGGAGAATGATTGGTTACGGATTAAAGCCCATTGAAAGAAGGAAGGAAAGAAGCAAGCAAGCGGATAGAGTTTGGCATTTCAGCAATTTTGGTATCAGACAAGGGAAATGACAAAAGAAACAGAGAGTGTATATATTATTTTTCTTTCCACTTGTGGATTGTTACTTGTTAGAACACGATTAGTTTGTTTCTTTCTGATATTCTTTCATTTTGGATTTCAAAACTTGGCACTCTGCCATTAATTCTTTGTTAAATGGAAAGTGTTGATATCTTTCAGGTGAAATACTAATTAGTAATTATGCTTGACGAGCTTAAACCTTGCTTACGATCTAGTCTAGCTAATTAGGTCTGTGGTCAGCAATTACTTTTTTTTTTTTTTTTCCAACATTTAAAGAAAATAATAATAATAATAATAATAATATTGTTTTTTCATAAAAACAATTTCAACCTCATCGTAAAAATGAATCTGCATATCATTTTTCTATAGAAATGCAGAATTATATCTTAGCCACAAGGATTAAATTTTTATTTTATTTTTGGTATTAGGGGTCAATGGTATGTACTGCCCTGAGCCTATCAATCAAAAGCCACATTTAATTAAAAATTTTACAGACAAAGAAAATTATCTACCTTATAACTCATATATTGTTGGTTGATGATAATGAAAGGGGGAATTTCTATAGTATTAACTTTAATCCAAGCTAATGTTTTTATTCATAACTGTCGATATCCCGGATTAACATTTTGTTTCTTTAATTCATTCATTAGACCATGACTTGATATACTGTCTATCAAAACCGGGTCAAAAAGTTCAAAATAAAGAGAGATTACAAGAAGTCAAAAATCTTTGAGGTGAGTTACTTCAACATATCAAGCCATAAAGGACATAAAAGAAACTCAAAAGTTTGAAAAGTAAAAAGGTATAATAAATCCGACAGATAGAATGAACGGCCAAAAATAAAATTCAGAACCAAGATTGACTAAATATAGGGCAATTTGCTAAATAGAGGGAGTGAGCGTGTTGCGGACTCTCGTCCTCTAAATATAAACACAAAGCCCTTCTATTTCAACTTCTAAAATGGGAAAAATCAAATTAGTTTTATCCCATCTCATAATATCAATTTTGTTTTCCTTCAGGTAACATAGAAAGTGAGAGGTCTTTGGCCTCTATCGCTTCTTTCTAACTTAACTACATTTCACACCAGAAGCACGCTTTCTTTTTTTTTTTTTTTTTTTTTTTTTTATTTCGCTTCTTTTCTTAACTTTAACTACATTTTCACACCAGATGCATGCTTTCTTTTTTTATTTCTTGCTCTCCTCTTTTCCTTTATTCCTATTCCTATTCCTCTCCCTTTCTCCCTTCTTTCTGTTTCTAAATTAAACAATTTAATGTGGCTTCCAATAGTCAAATGTACTCAAAAGATAGGGGGGTAAATGGTATTGTGTTTTTTTGCAATAATTAGTTTATATATCAAAGGAAGCCAATATAATGCTTTTTGAAATGGCACTTTGAGAATTTGGTGTCAATAGAGGCCTAATACTGTCATTTTTAATGCCGATTGTTTCTTCACATGGTATTCCTCGCATAATAACTCTTTGTGTAAACACCCTATTCCCTTTTCCCTCTCACTAAACTTATCATCTTTGTTCTTAAAAATGTTATTAATAAGTTTTCCAAATTCTTTGTTATTTTTTCCTTTCTCCTTCTCTTATTTTGTGCATTTAAATAGTCTGTCTTGGGGCCTTAACCTTTTTTCCGCTTTCAAAACTATTCCAGCCCCAAGCTTCCGCCTAATTCCGATTCATATTAGATTTGAGGTGATTTATTTTTTTTTTTTTTTTTTTTTTTTTTATTTCTTGTCTACCCTCTTCCTATTCCTATTCCTATTCCTCTCCCTCTCCCTCTTTCTTGGCTAAATAAACAAAAATGTGGCTTCCAAAGTCAAATGGATCAAAGAAGGGGGGAAATGGGATTGTGGCAGTTGCAATAGATAAGGACAAAGGAAGCCAAAATGCTTTGAAATGGGCACTTGAGAATTTGCTGTCAAGAGGCCAAACTGTCATTTTAATCCATGTTCTTCACAGGGTATCCTCGCATAACTCTGGTAAACATCCCTATTCCCTTCCCCTCACTAACTTATCATCTTGTTTCTTAAAAAGATAATATTGTCATAATAAGTCCTCCAAATTCTTTGATTTTTTTCCTTCTCCTTCTCATTTTGTGCATCAAAATAGTTGTCGGGCTTAACAATTTTCCGCATCAAACTATTCAGCCCCAAGCTTCCGCCTAATCCGATCATATTCAGATTTGGTGATTAACAATTTTCCATGAAATAAATAACATCATTTATTTCTCTCATTGTAATAAAACATCAAAAATAAAAATCTCTAGTGACCCTTTTTTTTTAAAAAGAGAAGCCAACGTGATGAAAAATGTAAATTTTCAGCATGCATTATAGGGAGAGCTAGAAAGATCTCACATTGAAAGCAGAGTTGCTCAGCTTCTTTACCCTCCTTTCCTTGTTTTCTTTTCTTGATGTGCAGCCCATGGACATCCTTATGATTTCAGTAATGGAAAGCAGCAACTTGACAAGACAACCAATGATCTTTTCATTTCATTTCATTGCTACTGTACACGCAAGGATGTAGGTTTTGGAGCCCTATATCTATCCTCTTCTCTCTTCCCAGTAATGCAGTAATTTTACACGAGATTTTTGTTTCAGGTACAATGCCTTGATATTGTACTTGAGGACCATGACGTAGTAAGAGGACTAACTGAATATGTTTCCTATGCCGCCATTGAGAATTTGGTCGTGGGTGCCTCGCGACATGGCTTTATTAGGTACTTGTTGCCTCTTCTCACATTTTCAACTCAACAAATTTAACCAATGATGATAAACATCAATCATGACAGAGATGACATTTTATTTGCAAATAAATCGTGTCTAACAGGAAATTCAAGGCAGATATACCAAGCAGTGTATCAAAAGGAGCACCAGATTTCTGCAATGTATTTGTCATCTCCAAAGGAAAGGTATCTTCAGTGCGACATGCTTCTCGTGCAGCCCCTTTTACATCCCCATTACAAGATCAAATACAAGCTCTAAACAAGCCTATTGATACCATGTCTGAAACACAATCCATGCATAGTGGGAGTATGAGAGGTATGTCTCTTAATTATGAGGTCCTTCTCCATTTTATATATTATATGTTTATGTATATATAAAGCATTAGCCCAGCATCCAACCTTTGGTCTTTTCCACAGAAAGGACATTAGTCAAGCCTCGCATGTCAGTTGATGAATCATGTAGGTAAGTCTTGAATTTATAAATACAGGGGGGAAGCAACAGTGATTCAGCCTTTCAGGTTAAAACTTAAACTTGGACCATGTATTATTATTAAAGGGCTTACCTCAAATAGGTTTTTGGAAAACAGATCGCCACTTGAAAGAGGAGGACGAGCTTTCAATGTCAAATCATTCGCAGAATTCATGGACACAGAAACTGAATTATCATTTGTCAGTTCTGGGAGGCCAAGCACTGATCGAACATCTTCTGTTGCCTTGGATTTCACTGATTCATGCCTACCATCACGCCTTTCAACTAGTTCTGACGTGAGCTTTGGATCAATACGTTCTGCACCAAAGTTCAATGACCTATCTTCACTGCACGAATTCTCAACTTTTTCTCATGATAGTGAAAGAACATCATTTTCAGGTTCATCACAGACCATGGTAAGCAGAGAGGACTCGATGACTTTGACAATATATATGGCACACCTAATTAATAAACATCAATAAACACGAATGTACAAGAAATATAGAAGTGGTGTTTAATGACAATTAACATTATGAATCAGCATCATCAGAGTGAGGATTGCGGGTCAAACAAATTTGGCAATTGCAAAATTTTTAAGCAATTAAATGACCATGAATGAACTATCTGAACTTTCTAGTTAGTCTCTCATACCATAAGTTTACATCTTTCCATGACCACAATTTCCAATTTAAACTTTGATTTATAGCTCTCTCTCTTACATACTGCAAAAAGAAAAAATTCCTTGCCTCACATGGCACTTGATAAAGTCTTGGCATCATATTCTTACTGTAATAGTGGCAATTGCGGAAAATGTCTTTTGCTTATATATATGTTAAACAAACAGGATGATATGGAAGCTGAGATGAGGAGGCTAAAACTAGAGCTGAAGCAAACAATGGATATGTACAGTACTGCATGTAAAGAAGCCCTCACAGCAAAGCAAAAGGTACTGGAAATCAATGTTTTGTTATGTGCATTTGTAAAGTGGAAGCAGCAGGTTATAAGTTGTAATGTGACAATCATATAGGCAACGGAATTGCACCGCTGGAGAGTAGAAGAAGAACGGAAAATGGAAGAGGCTAAAATTGCTGAGGAAGCTGCACTCTCGGCTGCAGAGAAAGAGAAAATCAGGTGTAGGGCAGCTGTGGAGGCAGCTGAAGCAGCTAAGAAGCTAGCAGAATTGGAAGCGCAAAAGAGACTAAACGTAGAATTGAAAGCCCTCAGAGAAGCAGAGGAAATGAAGAAAGTAATGGAAGCTCTAGCAAAAAAAGATGTCAGATACAGGAGATACAGTATTGAGGAAATTGAAGAGGCAACAGAATGCTTTTCTGAATCAAGGAAGATTGGAGAAGGAGGTTATGGTCCAGTTTACAAGTGTTATCTTGATCATACATCAGTCGCAGTTAAGGTATTACGTCCAGATGCAGCCCAAGGAAGGTCGCAATTTCAGCGAGAGGTAAGTGACGAGAATTGGTCAGTAACTATTGAAAGTTCAGTTGCAGGAAACAACTAAAATAAAGATAGTAATCAGCATTTTTCATCTGAATTTCGAACAAGCAATGAAGCTAAAGGTTTAAGACAAAAAGCAACTGACCTGTGCTTGTGATGCAGGTGGAAGTACTTAGCTTAATACGGCATCCCAACATGGTACTCCTCCTAGGAGCCTGTCCAGAGTACGGCGTTCTAGTGTACGAATACATGGCTAATGGAAGCTTGGAGGACTGTCTCCTCCGGAGAGGGAATTCACCAGTGCTTCCTTGGCAATTAAGGTTCCGAATTGCAGCAGAAATTGCAACAGGTCTACTGTTTCTCCATCAGACCAAGCCAGAACCACTAGTGCACCGTGACTTGAAGCCAGCCAACATTTTGCTAGACCACAACTATGTATGTAAGATCAGTGATGTTGGATTGGCAAGGCTAGTCCCAGCAGTAGCAGAGAATGTAACACAGTACCACATGACATCAACAGCAGGAACATTCTGCTACATTGATCCAGAGTACCAACAAACTGGAATGCTAGGCGTAAAGTCAGATGTATATTCCTTAGGCATCATGCTTCTGCAAATATTAACAGCAAAACCACCAATGGGTTTGACTCACATTGTTGAACAAGCCATTGAGAAGGGGTCATTGAAAGAGGTTCTAGACCCAGCAGTGACTGATTGGCCAATGGAGGAGACATTAACCTTTGCGAAGCTATCACTCCGATGTGCAGAACTGAGACGGAAAGACAGACCAGATCTTGGTAAGGAAGTGTTGGTTGAGCTACAGAAATTGAGAGAATTTGCCCAAGAGAATATGAACCAAATGTGTTTGACCACGATTGCAGGCCCTTCGCCACACCACAGTTATATTTCCTCAGGACAGGTTAGTTTTGATGAGAAAAAGAAAGTGTTGGCGTCTTTTACTTTCTGTTGTTAGGTTAACAAACACTAACACATATTGTGCATGAACTTTGTGCAGGAAGTGTTGAGTGATCCTTTAGGTGGACGTTCAGAAAGTATAAGGAGCCAATCAAGTACATCATCACAAGCAGAAGGAAGTTAAGAGATCCAAAGTCTAAAAAGATAAAGATCCATTATCAAATCAAAAGGGAAAAAAAAAAAAAAAAAAAAAAAAAAGTACTATTTTTAACCTTTGCCGAAGCTTTATTTTCACTCCGAGTTTCAGAACTGTCGGAAATAGACAGACCAGATCTTGGTTATATAATTGGAAGTTTTGGTGATGCTACAGAAATTGATTTGAGAATTTTTTGCCCAAGAGAATATGATTCCAAAATGTTGTTTTGACCACTGATTTGGCAGGCCCCTTCGCCCATCACCACAGTTTTATATTCTTCAGGACAGTGTTAGTTTTGATGTAGGAAAAAGAAAGTTGTTGGCGTCTTTTTTACTTTCTGTGTAGGTTAAATTCAAAACTACTAAAACACATATTGTGCTATGATATTCTTGTGCAAGGATAGTGTTTTGAGGTGATCCTTTAAGGTGGACGTTCAGAAAGTATTAATGGAGCCAATCCAAGTTTTACTTATCATCAAAGCAGAAGGAAGTTAAGTGAGATCCAAATGGTCTATTATAAGGATAAAGATTTCCATTATCAAATTCATAAAGGGAAAAAAAAAAATATAGAAAAAAAAAAAAAAAGAAACCTGTTTTGTTATTAATAGCTTTAATCGTTCGGCTTAGTACAAAGTAAAAAAAAAAAAAAAAAAAAAAAAAAAAGAAACCTGTTTTGTATAATAGCTTTAATTCGTTCGGCAGTACAAAGTTTTGGCTTCGCTGTACATATATTATCGTCAATTATATTGGCTTTAGTTAGTAAACTCACATTTATATATACTATTTGCTAAATTGGGTTATCTGACTTGAATTTTACCAGTTCCATTCACCAAATAAGCATCATCATCGTCTTTGAAATTAGAATTAGATATACAAATAAAACTATACAAGTCAGTTCAGATTCAAAGAAATAGAATCAACTAAATTATAAACATTGCGGAGAGATCAGATACCTTCATGCCAAAAAAGAAGGATTAGGTACTTGACCAAAAGTGAAATCCAGTTGTTTGAGTTTGAGTGAGTTCTAGCACTTAAAAAAGTATTAGACAAATTTCCTGCCGGTCAGGATAGAAGGTACACGTTTTTGGCTTCCTCGTGTGTAAATACCACAGGCAGGCTTTTGCAATCGCTTCAAAGCAGATACAAGGAAAAATGAAGGCAAGTCAACTACCTGTAAGAGTACCGATTGGATTGAAGATGAGGCGCAATCTGATAGTGAAAGGTATGTCGGGCACCTGCCGCAGTTTTTTGTGGACGAGAGAATATGGATCACTGAAAATGTTTTCAGTTGATCGCGTAAGAAAGAAAAACGACAAGAGAACGGAAGGACTTTTTTCTTTTTAATTTAAACAAGTAAACGACCTCGTTTACTTGTTAAGTCTCATTCTAAAAATATAATGGGCCTCCAGCTGTCTGAAGATTAATGGGTTTAACAACTAATACTAGTGGTAATATAAATATAAGCCCATTATGTCCACTTAGTTGCAGACAGAAATAGTACGTGGCATTCTTTGCTGATTGCTACAGGAAAATTACTTATCTACACCGGTACATGGGACGCAAGGCAACACTTGAGAGGATGTCTTGACGTGTCTTGTTCAGAGCAAACGTGTCGGGTCTTGAAGTTTCCGGTCGTATGACGTGTCCAAATTATTTCCTATTTAAACATAAGTTGACGTTCTTTCTTCGGTGTCTAAGATCACAAACAAACGAGATAGGTAATGGGACCAGGTGAAGAAGTAAAGACTCGCAGCGAACCTCAGATTGAGATTCAGGTGCGTGTCTGCTTGTTCTTGTTAGGACAAGTAGCAGTTGATTTTTGTATATATAGGAGCAGTAATAAATTGACTAATAAAATTGCAGGAGAGAGGGGAAATATTCTTCTTCTATCGGCCAAAAGTTGGGAAAGAGGCAGCACACGGTCCCAACGATGTTCAACGGCTGTACCTTGTTCTGAGGCCGGAGTCTGGAGAGAGAGCGGTGGAGGAGAAGCAGGACCCTCACTCTGGCAAGGAAGCTGCCAAAAGCAGTTCTGCAACTGATTCTGCCACGGAAGGTGGCCATGGTAGCCAGGTATGTACGTAGTAGGTATAACTAAATTAATCGGTGTGTTAATCAATCAATTGCGTTTTGTAGGAGGTGAACATCGGGAAGGAGCCCTTACTGCGGTTGATTGTGATGGGACGGAAAAGGCTCCCAGACCCAAGTAAGAAAAGCCAACCTTATTGGGGTTTTGTAGACTTGGTCACTACTAACATTGATCATGTCAAGAATGCGCTTGGACAAGGTATATATATGTTTATATTTTTTTCTATATTTTGTGTTAATCGAATCAATTGGTTTTAGGAGGTGAACATCTGGTATAGGATCCCTTACTTTGTTGGTTTGTTTGTGATGTTGGACGGGAAAAGGCCTCCCAGACTTCCAAGTAAGGAAAAATTGCCTAACCCTTATTGGTGGTTTTGTAGGACTTTGGTTCATTTACTTTATACATTGATTCATTTGTCTAAGAATTTGCGCTTGGGAACAAGGTATTATTATATGTTTTTTATATATATTTTTATTATATATATATATATATATATATTATATTTTATATTTTATATATATATCCCACCTTTATAATAATTTACTGATTAACTATTATGTCTTCACTTTCAGTTGTTAGAAATTATGATACTCCTCGGTCATAGAGGACATAGGCATCATATATATCCGTTTCGAGTTATATGCTGCTGGGAGACGTTTGTCATTTCTTTATTTCTGGCATCTGAGGCCACAATCCAAGCAAGAGAATGCACCACTCATGGTGTACAAGCTTTTGAATTTCCCGACTGATTAGATATAGCAAAATGAGCTCCCAAATGAATTCTTCTGAATGTTTATTGTAGCGCCAAGCCTCATTTTTTTTACTATAAAGTATTCCTCTTTTAGCAACCTGTGAAGTTCCTCAATTTCCAGAGTGACTCCAAAAAAATAAGCGGAAGCCAGTTTCCTCTTGCTCATTTTGCAAGGTGCAATTTGCTGTGCACTAATGATCGCTTTCATTTCCAGCTGATATATCACCTTATAATAATTACTGATTAACTATTAGTCTTCACTTTCAGAGGAAGAATATGATACCTCGACAAGAGGACATAGGCACAAGTATCCGGCGAGAGCGCTGGGAGACGGCATCTATCGCATTCTGAGGCACAATCCAAGCAAGAGAATGCACACTCATTTGGTGTACAAGCTTGAATTCCCGACTGAAGATAAGCAAAATGAGCCCCAAGAATCTCTGAATGTAGAGCGCCAAGCCTCATTTCTGATACAGATAAAGAACCCGGAGCAACCTGGAAGTTCCCAATTCAGAGGACTCCAAAATAAGCGGAAAGCCATGTTTCCTGCTCACTTGCAAGGTCAATTTGGGCACAGACGCTTCATTCCAGCTGATCCGCCCGACTTTTTGAACTATGAAGGATGTGAAATGTTGCTGATATCAGCTTCTGATGATATAGAGGAGGAGCTGGGATTGGAGCTCAACACGGATACAAAAGCAGATCCCTCTTGTTCTGATTTACTCAGGACTTTTGGAGACGCAACCGTCGGTACCAGCGCCCTCTTTGAAGGCACATGGGCTTGAATTAACTTTTAAGTTGGTTCATGGATGCAATATCAACTACTTGTACACAGCAAACAAACATACAACGTTTTGGGACAGGACTTAGTGTCTATCTGCATTGTGTATATACTTAACTAACTGTTTCTATCAAAGTAGTAGGAGAAGGTTGTGTTTTTTTTTGGTAGGGTTTGTAGATTGCACGGGTCAAAAAAGGGTGAAAGAAAAAAGTCTGTAGCTTTAAGAGATCTACGAATGGATTTTTTTGGTTGTTTTAAGACCGACTTTTGTGGGAATAAACTTGCGTAGGTAAGGTGTCAAATCAATGAACATGAGTATTGTTTTTTTCTAAACCGGGATATTTCTTTTTACTATATTAAAAAAACAGATAAAATACGGTTTTTAAGAGAATTTTGTGATTGTATATTATTGAGCTTGTGACATCGTCTCTACAGAATTTTCTGGTCTCTCTTGGTATCACCACCGATGACCTTATATACTTCTTTCTAAGCTCAGATGAACTTTCTCCATCTCATCAAACGCTAGAGTAAGAACAGGCTGAAGCTCACGATCAACAAGGTAATCTTCAAGAACAAATAATTAATTTTCAAGAATCTGAAGCTTTTACTTCAAATTTGACTGGAAAACAAGATACCGGACTTCGAGCTGTTGATTTTAATTTGTACGAACTCATATAAAAAAGGATGTAAAATTTCTCAAGAATCTGAGATTGTCGGCTTGAATTGCCAAATGAAGAAACCGGAAATCAATATATGCTCGTAAAAGATGGTAAATCTTGGCCAGATTAAGATGAGTTCGGTGAAATTATATTGTTGAATGTTAGAGAGTGCAGAATTTTGGAGAAGAGTGACGAGAGAATAAACAGGAAGAAATGGGAGACAATGGACATTTTATTTATTTATTTATTTTTAAATTTAACAGCAACATATGGAAATATTTGCAGAAAGACAAAATAGATATAAAGAGATAAAATATATCTTAAAAAAATAATTTATTTAAAAAAATAGAGAAAAAGAGTAACTAATTTTGCATAAGCCGACAAGTTTATAATTTTCCCTTAATTTTATTTTGTTTTGCCCCAAAAGTAATTGAACTCCCTTCTAAGGGTTTAAGCAGGTAGCAGGAGAAGCTAGGGTTTTAGCCGAATGCATGTCACTTTACTTCTCCACGATGACCACCAAATTCCTCTCAGTTCCGACTAATTTACTATTCTCATCCGCCAACACTCGCTACCTTCCTCAATTCCACTCTCTGCTCTTTTTCCCCCACAAATTTCCCTCCTTTCTACTCCATCAAAGAACTCAATTCCTCATTAACCGATTCCCCAAATGCCAAAACCCCGCCAACCAATCACCATCCACAGCTCGAGATCTACTGTCAGACGATACCCGAGAAGCTATTTCCCAGTTCCTTCAAGAATTTGGAATCTCCACCGAGGATTCCAGTTCCATTGCTTCAAACTGTCCCAAATATGCTAAGATGCTTTTTGACAGCGTCAAAGATTTGGAGGAGTTGAATGCTTGGAAAAGTACTATTGCTGATGGAAGGGAATTTGGTGTTTTGGGGTTTCAGGAGAAATTGGTTTACATGGCCAAGGAGAAAGGTGATAACGGTAAGGTTGCTTTTCTGGAGAGTCTTGGGTTGAGTTTGTCTTCGGCAATGAACGTTGCTCGATACGTCTCTAGCGAGTCACTACTGGGTCTCATTCACAAGGTTCGCCTTCAGACTTTCTACGGACATTTTTGAGTTTGTTGAAAATAACTTTCAGAATTTGTGTATTATGAGTCACATTTTTAACAAATTTTTTATTTTTTAGCTTTAATTGATTAGTGATTGAACCACTGCGTTACGTGAGAAGAAGAAAATCGCTAGTAGTAGAGAGCAAATTACGAATTCTAATAAAAATGAGATGCTTGCTTTTGTAGTTATTCTTGGTATCTCAGTGAAGGGGGAAAATTATTGCTCTATCGTGTATGTGATTTGCTTGCTGTGAGATTAGATTTCCAATTGTTTCTATTCAAATATGATTATACTTTGACATCTTTGTGTTTAATGGTTTATAAGATTTCACTGAAATTTATGAAGTAGAACGATCATTTGGTTCTGTTGAATCATATTTATAATCTTTAAGCTCTTGAGAAATATAAATTATTTATGGCATGATCGAGGAGTAAGCAAATGCTACTTAGTCTCGATGGCAAATTTAGTCTTTATATTTATTGTCTGGAGTAGTTTCTTATTTTACATTTGGCTTTTAGGTTAAGTATATGAAGGGAGTATTTTTTTCTGGCAGTGATTATAAAGGCCTCATTGGAAAAAATGCTCGACGAATGATGATGCACTTATCTATTCCTGTTGATGAGGATTTGCAACAGACCTTGTCCCTATTTGAAAAGGTTTTGTGCCTTTGACTTCATTGGATTTTGCATCTTTTTTTGGAAAATCTTCTTCACATTGTAAAATGAGCTCCTGGTTATGTGGTGTAGATTGAGGCAAGGCGTGGAGGTTTAAATATGCTTGGTTCCTTTGATGCTTCTTTTCATTATTTAGTTGAATCATTTCCACATATTCTTGTCTTACCATTAGACTCACACTTGAAGCCTTTAGTGGAATTTCTCGAAAGTGTTGGAGTCCCCAAAGAACATATAGGTAGCATATTCCTATTGTTTCCACCTATCATCTTATGTGACATCAAGAGCATTAAAAGAAAAGTTCTGGTTCTTGAGAAGGTAAGTTCTCCAATAAGAAAAAACTCCTTTTATGTTTATGTGTTTTGTTTTTTAAATTTTTCGGTGTATGATGGGGAAAGAATTTTATTAGGTGGATTCTATTCTCCTTTGATGATTTCTTCCCTGCCTGTGATATAAGCATTTATTATGCATTGTCTTTCAGCTTGGTGCAGTTGGTGAAGATTTTGGTAAAATATTACAAAAATATCCATGGATTCTCTCAACAGGTATTCAAGATAATTACAAGGAGATCATTTCTTTCTGTAACATGGAGAAGGTAAATTACTCCACTATGCTATCGTTAAATCCTCACTAACAACATTGCTTGGGTATATTCATTACCAGGGGTTTATCTCTTATCTTATGTAAAACTACAGTTTGCTTTCTAAAGATAAATGAAGATAACATGTCTATGAGTAATGTGGTATTACCTCCTTCTGAGGTAAATGAAATGAAAGAAAAAGTAATACTAAACTGATTTGGCATGTGTTTTTCTTCACTACAATTTTAAGAGTATGATTATAGTTACTTTACAAGTTTTAACAGGCTAACAAGCATCTTTCACTCTGCATGCATGCACCTGACCTTGTGCAGATTTTAAATCTGATGTAAATGTTCTTACTCTGTTAATAGAGGGGAGCTTCACGTTTCTTTTTTTTTATTATTTTTTTAATATATATCAGGTGGCAAAAAAGAGCTTTGACAAAGCTATAAGAAGCTGGCCTCATCTGTTGGGTTGTTCAACTAGTAAGCTGAAGGTGATGCTGGAACAGTTTGAAGCATTAGGCGTTAAAGACAAGAAGTTGGGACAGGTTATTGCTAAAAGTCCTCAGTTACTGCTAAGGAAACCTGAAGCGTTCATCCGGGTACATGGTTGCTAGTTTTTGACAATGTATATATTTGTAAATTTGTGCAGGTGTTGTTGACTTGTGTGCATCTTTTATTGAATTGATAGCTATTCTAGAGGATCTGGTTCTTGATTTGTTGTTGGATATCTAGGATGGATGGCTCATTTTTACCTTCCATAACTTTTTAATATGCACTACAAGATCCTGTTGAATCTTTCTAATCCCTACTGGAATTAAAACATTGATTGGCATAATCTTTCTCAAGTATGATATAAGATGGCTATTACTGTAATGTGCAGGTGGTTTCATTTTTAAAAGATCTAGGATTTGATGAGGAAAGTGTGGGAAAGATACTTGTTCGCTGTCCTGAGATTTTTGGTCTGAGCATAGAGAAAACAGTACGGAGAAAAGTTGAATTCCTCATTTCTATTGGTGTTTCTGAAGAACATCTGCCTCGCATTATTAAAAAGTACCCAGAGGTTCTTGTGTCTGATGTCAACAGAACGTTACTTCCTAGGTAATGTATTCTGTTTTGGTCCAATATATTGCTTTATCGGTTCTCTTTATTTTAAAATGTTGATATTTGTAACAAATATGGTTGAAATGTGGTCAGAGGCTCATATTCTGAAGGAGTGAAATGTTTGATTCTTTCTTTGTGAAGTAGTTTTTACCTTAGTCTAGTTCTTGTAAGTTAGATAATACTAGACCTCACGTCGAGAACAAGATCCGCTTATACTCAATTTACTGCAAGAACTAGCATTAGACTTCATGTGAACGTATCCAATGGGATTTCTGGTTCTCAGATGAGGGATTTGTTTCCCTGCAAGCCTTATGTTAAGAGAATTTAACTTTCTACTACAATCACATTCACATTCACATTCGGTGATAAAATTGGATTGAGCAATGGAGAGCATTGTTGAATTATAGTGACTTCCTTCCATTAACATGGTTTAATACTTGAACTTTGGTGTGAAAAACTAGATGTCTCTCTCATCTACAAGGTAGAGAGGCGGAGGTTGGTTTATAGGTTCATCATTTTATTATCTAAATTTGTTATCGTCTCTGTAGCTCAAGTTTCAGTATGCAGGTCAGAATTTCCATCAAATGCATGCTGATTTTATTTACATTTGTTATCGTCTCTGAACCTAGATTTCCATCAAATGCTTTCGTCCTGATTTTATTTCTGATATTTAAAATGTCAGGATGAAATACTTGATGGAGGTGGGACTGTCAAGGAAGGACATTGCGTTCATGGTCCGCAGATTCTCCCCTTTACTAGGTTACAGCATCAATAAGGTCTTGAGACCGAAGTATGAATTCCTGGTGAATACAATGGAGAAAACAGTGGAAGACATAGTGGATTATCCAAGGTACTTTAGTTATTCATTGGAAAAGAAGATAAGGCCCAGATTCTGGGTGCTCAAGGGAAGGAATATTGAATGCAGCTTACAGGATATGCTTGATAAAAACGATGAGGAATTCGCTGCCAAGTTTATGGATGATGGGAGAATGCATGCTATCCAATCTCCTTCGCATCAATGAACTGTACAGTAGTTGTACCATACTAGCAGCGCCTCCCTGTAAATAGAAACACCACAATAGGTAATAGTTCAACCGATGAATGTCAGATTTGTTTTTAGTCTACTAAAATTATAGAACTTTGCTTAAGGAGTTTTTGAGTAATTGATTTGTTGATAAATAACTATTTTGATGTGGGTTATTGTTCTTCCGAAGAAGTGAGTGAATGAATCTATAATTCTTTTCCCTTTCTCCCAGCTCTAGATTATGTTCTCTTCTTGGATTTTATTCTCCATCAATGAAAAATGGATTTCCACAGGATCCGTCAATATCAACTCTAATTTTTTTATATTTCTCCGACTGCCCCCTTAAAAACTTTACGTTTTGAATCGAGATGGAAACGCTTCATGCTTTAACAAGAAAGGAAGAAAGAAAGGTCGGGATTCCATTTGATACGACAAAATTGACGCAGAAAATTGCCGGTGAAAATTGGGAAGAAGACAAAGTAAAAGAAACAGAGTGGCTTTCATTAGAGTTAATTAATTGCCTGAAAAATTAATTATGGGCTCACCTATATACCAGACTAACTATGAGAAAAGTATTTATGATCAAAAAAAAAAAAAAAAAAAAAATAGAAAGTATTTATGATCAAAAAAAAAAAAAAAAAAAAAAGAAAGTTTTTATTTGGATTTTGTGTACAAAATTTTATTTTAAGGTATACAATAAATACAAGTGAAAATTCAAGGTTAGTTTGGTGGCTGGATAGGGGCCACGCCTCTCCAATCAAGCGCAGAAGAACTTTTTTTTTTCTTTTTTTTACAGTTTTTAAATCCCCCTGACCGTTAAGAAAAAAAAAAAAAAAAAAAAAGAAAGTTTTTATTGATTTTGTGTACAAAATTTTATTTTAGGTATACAATAAATACAAGTGAAAATTCAAGGTTAGTTGGGTGGGCTGAATATGGGCCACGCCTCTCAATCAAGCGCAGAAGAAACTTTTTTTTTCTTTTTTTTTACAGTTTTTAAATCCCTTGACCGTTAATGAAATGCCCTTTCTGCCTCTACTCTCTCTCCTCTGTATCATTTCTCCAACTGTGGATTCCCTTCCTTGCTTTTATCCCTTTTCAGGTTATCAAGCAATTGATCTAATTAGTCATTTCGCTTTTTTATACTTCTTCTCGGAAAATTTTGAAGATAAGCACTGTCCGGTTTGCTCTGTACATACCTATCTATGTGCGGTTATTGCAACTGGCTGTGATTTGTATGCAATTTGGACGTAAACCTAAATTCAAAAGCAAGTCACTTCCACGAACACGTTGATTTAGAGTTCGAAATTTTTTTTTTAAATATGGAGGTTCATATAATTATGCTGGCAATTTCCCACTAAATTTGTCATTATTAACATACCTATTTAACATTGTTCTCTTTCAAACTTATTATGATTTCTTGTGGAGCATAAGAGGGACTGAATGTGGTTTTTCCTTTTTTAAGGAAAAAAAAATTGAAAGGAGCGTGGTTAGGAATGGGAACTGTGATTAGTAAAGCTGCAAATGAGATTGGAGGTGTCCTTGGCAATGCGTTTGCTTCTCCTTTCAAAACTATTCTTGAAGCATCATGCGAGTAAATATGCTCTCTTCTGATAAATTAATTAATATATTGTCCTCAACTGAACTATACTAGTATAATATATATTTCTGGTTGTGGTGTATCTGCAGGGAAATTTGTGCAGGGCCGTGGGATGTAATCTGTTTTATCGAGCATTTGTGCGTCTCCAATCTACTGAAGTTGTTGATGATCTTGGGCCTCTGCTACATAAGTAATATGATTGTTTTATTCCATATTTCCCCTTTCCGTCGCATCAGATTCTGATATCCTTTTTTTTCATCTCTATGGCACAGCTTTAATGTTCTTGTACCTGTTGTTCCAACTGGGGATTTGCCAATGCATAGGAAGAAGCCTTTGTAACATGTGTTGGGCTGCATGTGAGACCTACTGCCTTTCGTTACAATACATATGCTGTTTTCTGTGGCACAAATTAAAGAACACAAAGCGTGTGCGTCGGAGGCGTTTTCGAGACATTGAAAGAGGAGGCTACACTTCAACCTCTGAAAACGGCTATTCTCATAATTACGATCACCACCACCACCATCATCTAAGTGTTGGTACGAAGCGCAAGTCAACACGGGAAGGAAGAAAGTTTCCGATGCAGAGGTCTCGCCGCCGCCATCATGTCAGGTTGACGACTAGGGAAGTCTCTCTTCATGTTAAGGGTGGATCGCGAAGGCCAAGGAATTCCAGGCGGCTGGAATTAGTTAGACTGAAAAATCATCCAAGAAATGTTGCAACTTTCAAGAGGAGACGCATCAGGTGATCACGCAAGTAAAAGTTTTGGTTTTGGCAGAATTTAAACCAGAAAAAAGGGAGAATTTTTTTAGGCAGAATTTTCTATGCTTGTAAATATGCTGCATCAATGGAAACTCGGAGCAGTAGCTCTTTAATTCCCTTCCATTTTCATAAAGGATTTGCCCTTGGCATCGAGAGAGGATCCTGTATCCTAGACATTTACTTTTTCATATCTGTATTGCATATGAGATATGATTGGTTTTCTAGAATTTGGATTTCATTAATTTCTTGTCAATGTATTAAATAGCAATATATTCATTGTTCAAATTAAATCTTCCAACAATTTTTTTTTTTTTAAAGTCAAAATTTTGATGCGGCTGATTCCAAATAATCAACTTACTATTCAGTAATATTCATTAATGCGCAAATCATTTACTTGAAAACGGTCGTGATAGCAAGAGCTAAGAGTAAATGGAGCATTTATTTCCTATTAGACATTACCTCGATTCTTCCATTTTCAAAGAAAATTCCCTATTTAGCTGATTCTTCTCTTTCAAACACTGAGAAGGGCCAGAACACAAGGCTTCTATCTGTATCTGCAGTTGAGAGGTAAGCAAGCTCTGTTTGTCTTGGTTGGTTTGTTCTTTGGTACTTCAGTATTACCTTTACATTGAAACCAAAGACGTATGCTTAAACTCAAAATCTTTGATACTTTATTTTCTCATTTTTTTTCCTTTCAGATTTCGCATACTCAAAGTTCTCAGCCTTCAAACACTTCAAAGGTTTGTACTTCTTTTATATATCTATGTTAGTTCTTCGCAGCTAGATGGTGGTTTATAGTTGTATGGGCATCTGAGTCTAGTCGTTTTTGTTCAATTGTTGCAGTTTTGAGCAATATGCCGCCAAAGGAGAAACCAAAAGCAGACTTCTCCCTCAAGGAGACAACACCTGATATTGGCAGAGCAGGCAATGATAAGCTGACACTTGTAGAACAACGACAGTTTTTGTACATCAGAATTGTGAGAGCAAAGGATCTGCTTCCTGGAAATAACCCTTTTGTTGAGCTGAGGATTGGAAAGCATAAAGGAACAACATCACATGTTGACAACACTGCCAATCCCGAATGGAACCAAGTTTTTGCTTTCACAAAGGATGGGCTTCAAAGCAGGGTTGTTGAAATCTTGGTCAGAGATAAAGAATTTGTGAATGATGAGCTTATAGGTTGCATTTCATTTGATATAGCAGACATTCCCACACGCCTTCCCCCGGATAGTCCATTAGCACCACAGTGGTACAGATTAGAGGATGGCAATGGGGTGAAGATTGTGGGAGAATTGATGTTGGCTGTTTGGATAGGGAATCAAGCGGATGATGCATTTTCTACTGCTTGGCATTCTGATGCTGCAACTGTTGGTTGTGAAAGTGTATCCAACACGCGTTCTAAGATATATCTTTCCCCACGACTCTGGTATCTTAGAATCAATGTGATTGGAGCACAAGATTTGGTGCCTTCTGATAAGAATAGGAAACCTGAAGTTTACGTGAAGGCTATTCTTGGGAACGTAGCTTTGAGGAGTAGAGTTTCATCAGATAAGAGTGTCAATCCTAGTTGGAATGAGGAGTTGATATTTGTTGCAGCAGAGCCATTTGATGATCCTTTGATTTTGAGCGTGCAATGTAAGATAGGAGGTAATAATAAAGAGGAATGCCTAGGAAGGTGTGTGATTAATCTGCAGAACGTGGATAAGAGGCTAATGCCTCCACCTATTGCTGATAAGTGGATCAATCTTGAAAGGCATAGTAATGTCCGTGATAGAGATGATGAAGATGATAAGAAGGATGTGAAATATGCAAGCAGAATTCACTTAAGGGTGTTTTTGGATGGTTTGTATCATGTTTTTGATGAACCTACATACTACTGCAGTGATCTAAGGGCAACATCACCAAAACTATGGCCAGATAAAATAGGGATATTGGAGCTGGGGATCTTGAAAGCTGAAGGGTTGCTTCCTATGAAATCCAAGGATGGGCGTGGAACCACAGATGCTTATTGTGTAGCCAAATACGGCCACAAGTGGGTCCGGACGACAACTATTGTTGACAGTTTGGCTCCAAAATGGAATGAGCAATACTATTGGGATGTTTATGATCCCTGTACAGTTATTACAATTGGAGTTTTTGATAACTGTCATTTAACAGCAGGGGACAAGAAGACAAAAGATCCAAGAATTGGCAAAGTAAGGATTCGGCTATCTACTATTGAAACTGATAGGATTTACACACATTCGTACCCGCTTATAATCCTGCAGCCTAATGGGTTGAAGAAGATGGGGGAACTTCATTTGGCAGTGAAATTTAGGTGTATGTCTTTGGCTAATCTGTTGCATACATACACACAGCCTTTGCTTCCAAGAATGCATTACATGAACCCGCTATCTGTCTACCAGCTCGATAGTTTAAGGCACCAAGCTACTTATCTAGTCTGTCTAAGGCTTGGACGTGCGGATCCACCTCTAAGGAATGAGGTTGTGGAGTATATGCTGGATACAGGAGCTAACACGTGGAGCCTTAGAAGAGGAAAAGCAAACTGTGAGAGAGTTATGGCATGCTTGAGTGGCATTTTTGGAGTTTTGAAATGGTTTGATAGCATATGCCAATGGAAGAATCCAATGGCAACAATTACGACTTATGTTATTTTTCTTGTTATGGTTCTGTCTCCGCGACTAATACTGCCTGCATTATTTTTTAGTGTTTTTATGATTGGAGTTTGGAGCTACCCAAAGAGATCTAGACATCCTCCACACATGGATACAAAACTCTCTCATGCTGAAACTGCAGATCCTGATGAATTAGACGAAGAGATGGATACATTTCCAACGTCGAAGCAAGGTCAGGTTCTAAAGGCAAGGTATGATAGACTGAGAAGTATAGCAGGGAGGTTGATGATAATGATAGGCGACTTGGCAACTCAGATGGAGAGGGTGCATTCACTGGTGAGCTGGAGGGATCCCAGAGCTACTTTTATGTTTATGGTATTGTGTGTGATAAGTGGGTGTGCGGTTTATTTGTGTCCTTTCAGGTATTTGGTTATTGGTATGGCATTTTATGTGATGAGGCATCCAAAGATGCGTGCGCCTCTTCCTTCCCTGCCTCAAAACTTCCTTAGGAGGCTTCCTGCCAAAACGGACACCATCTTGTAATTGTGTTCTTCATCTTATTCTGACTGAAATAAAGCCCATCATTTTTGTTTTATTTTCTTATGGACTTGCAATAACATTGACAATTTGGCGACCTTCTTAGACTAAAAGTATTTGTTACTACTATTATTGAACCATGAAAGCTAAAACATAAAAGAATCTTCAATTAACTGCTCATTCATTAATTTTAATCGAGTCAGTCACGTTTATGGTCATCGTCAAAATTCGGGTTGTTGATGGGCCAAAAATCCATAAAAAATTCATGTGCTTCATGCGTTTATCTTTTGACCTTACAGGTAAAGTCCGTCTAAAATGCAGGACACTCTGCTGATCCAACACTAAAATATGTGCGTTATAACTAGCCAGCCTAATCAACTTACCATGTATTTGTGTAAAAACAAATAACTTACCATGTTCAACTCTTAAGCTTAAAACAGGTCAAAACACAGCTGTATTACTATACTCGTTTCAATTTGTAAATGGTAACGATAAATATTTTAGCATAAGATAAATATAAATAAGCTTCTTTTGCTGCCGCTCAGTTACAAAATTAATCTTCGAGAACATAACTAATGTGCTGGTAGGTTCAGGGTGTCCGCTAGCTAGTAGTGCAAATGAGAATGGTTTCGGACAGTAGACATGGCAGCCTCCCTTTTTTTCTTTTTATTGCATTCTTATGTTGGGATCTTGTTCAAAGTCAGAAACTGATTACTGTGAGAGACACTTCCAAGGTTACGGAATTCATCCATGAAAAAGGAAAACGATGGGCAGTTTTGGTTGCTGGGTCCAGAGGTTACGATAATTATAGGCATCAGGTAATTAACTATCTGATTAACTATTTATTGGAGAACTCAAATGACAGTATTTGTGTATAATTAATATTAATTGCTCAGGCCGATGTATGCCATGCATATCAAATTCTGAGGAAAGGAGGATTGAAAGATGAGAACATCATAGTTTTCATGTACGATGACATTGCTTTTAACATTAATAATCCCAGGCCCGGCATCATCATCAACAGACCCGATGGCCATGATGTTTACCATGGAGTTCCCAAGGTTCATTTTCTCTCTTTTTTTTTTAGGAAAAAAAAAGAAAAAAAGAAAATTAATCCCAGCCACACTTATGTATGTGGATCTTCTTAATCAGGATTACACTGGAGACAACTGCACCGTTGAGAATTTTTTTGCTGTACTTCTGGGCAACAAAACTGCTCTCAATGGAGGTAGTGGCAAAGTCGTGGACAGTGCTCCTCAGGACCATATTTTCATATATTACGCTGACCATGGTAGTCCAGGTGTAATCGGTGAGTCTCTAAATATATATATATATATATATATAATTAATTTTTTGGATTACTAATTAAAATTAGAAAAATGTATGCAAGTAAGATCTGCACTGTAGGTATGCCTTCTGGTGAGGACCTATATGCCAGAGACCTCATAGAGGTGTTGAAAAAGAAGCATAACTCGAGAACATATAGAAGCATGGTGTTCTACCTTGAAGCTTGTGAGTCTGGGAGCATGTTTGAAGGACTGCTTGAAAGCAATTTAAACATATATGCGGTTACTGCTGCTAATGCAGTAGAGGATAGTTGGGGAATATATTGTCCTGGTCGGTATCCTTATCCTCCCTCTGAATATGATACCTGCTTGGGAGACTTGTTTAGTATTTCTTGGATGGAGGACAGGTTCTTTAGTTTAGTTTTCTATATATGGTCCTATTCGTTTTCCTTTTTAGTTTCCTGTTAAAAATTCAGAATTACTAAAACTCTTCTTCATTCACTTGTATATATACAGTGACCTGCATGATTTGCGCAAGGAAACCCTTCAGAAGCAATATCAAGTGGTACCCATCTCATATAATAGGAAAAATAAAACTTTATTAATTTGTATTCTTTTGTACTCAATCTCATATGATTACTGAATTCTTAGGTTCGAAGAAGGACAGCAGTTGATAACTTTGATAGCTCTCATGTTACTCAATATGGAGATATGAAACTGAGTGAAGATCCAGTGTTTGTTTACATGGGCACAAACCCTGCCAATGAAAATTATACTCTCACTAAGAATACTTCTTCTTCATCATCATCATCTTCATCTTCAACCTCACAAGTTGTTAATCAACGTGATGCAAGTCTTCTTTATTTTTGGCATAAGGTTTTGCTTTGCATTCTCCTTTTATACATTGCCATCAATGGATTACTTGGGAAGAAAATAAAAATGTATCGTTTTACCTCAACAGTATCAGAAAGCCCCTCCGGGATCTAACGACAAGGCGGAAGCACGAAAGAAGCTTGACAGTATAATTTCACATAGAAGGCGTGTGGACATTACTATGAACAAGATTGCAGAAATTTTATTCGGTCAGGAAAAGGCATCACAGCTGTTTAAGCAGTTCAGACGTTCAGGACAGCCTCTTGTGGATGATTGGAATTGCCTAAAATTGCTTGTAAGTAATTATTTAATATGAATGTGAAATTGAAATGGTCATAAAGAGTTCTATTAATCTTTTTTCTGCAGGTGAAGGCTTATGAGAAACAGTGTGGACGTTTATCTTGGTATGGGAGGAAGTACACAAGAGCCATTGCCAACATGTGCAACGCTGGAGTCGAGGTGGAGGAAATGACAGAGGCATCAACCCATGCTTGCTTTCTGGATAACACTTCTGCTTTCCATGATGAATTAGACAAATAATTTTACTATATTAAACATATATATTATGAATGTGGGGGAAAATTGAAAAATGGTCATAAAGAGTTCTATTAATCTTTTTCTGCAGGTTGAAGGCTTATGAGAAACAGTGTGGACGTTTATCTTGGTATGGGAGGAAGTACACAAGAGCCATTGCCAAACAATGTTGCAACGCTGGAGTCGAGGTGGAGAAAATGACAGAGGCATTCAAACCCATGGCTTTGCTTTCTGGATAACCACTTCTGCTTTTCCATGATGAATTAGACAATAAATTTACTATATTTAAACATATATATATATATATAGTATATATTAATATATATATATTATATAGAAAATGTATAGAAAATGATGAGGAATTATTATTTTCCTTTACATAGTTATTTTCTACCATTGTCTTTGGGAAACAAAATAAATTTATTTTCCTTTTAAGGACAAGATTTTACAGGGAAAAAAATATTATAATTGAAATTAACAATTATATATCATTTATTTTAGAAGGATGAAATGTGATTCTAATCATTTTATGATATTTAAGTAATTTAATAAAATAAGTGAAATATTTATTTTTCTCTCCAATTGAAGAGATTCAAAAACATGCAGATATTTATTTTTTTTTTCTCCAAATGAAGAGATTCAAAAACATGCAGACTAGGGAGAAAATACATGAATATTGTCCCTCCGTTAAAAAATAATAATAATAATAAAACTCTCATTGAAACAAAGAATAAAATAGAAAATAATTATTCTATTATTTGGATTGTAAAATCAAAGTAATAATGATAATTTCGTAGTTTGAACTCTTAACTTAGTAAGTAAATTTTGTATGGATTAATTTTTTTCAAAAATAATAATAAAAAAGGTTAAATTTTTTGTACTTGCTTTCATTTTTTTAATATGTCAAATTTTTTGGTGGGGTTTGGTTATCAAAATTCAATTTTTCGATAGAAAATACTTTATTAAGAAAATAAAATTCCAAAAAAGTGTTATTAGAAAATTGAATTAATTATTTGGATGACAATAAGAGTTTTCCGTATCAATCTAATTTTTCCACCACTTAGAAAATTTACTGCAATATAATAATTTTAATTTTTGTTGTAAAAAAATAATTATTTGTTTTTACATATATGAGGACGAAAAAAAAAGTATTTCAATTGAAAAAAAATAATTAATAATAATTTATTGCTATGGACTGGCACTAAAGGATTTTCATGAATTAATATCTCTTTTCGCGACAACATGTAAAGCTTATTTCCTATTTTGCTGCTATGGAAAAAGAAAAGAGAAAAGAAAATTGATGGATTACATGGCAAAATATAATTGGTAAGGCTAACGTGCTGAATAACACGTGGATCTTTGGAATGGAATCAATCAGCATATCCATAACTTTCTAACTCTCCCTGTAAAATTAACCAAAAAGGAAAATTGGAAATTCTCACTATTTTGTTTTCTCTCTTAAAAAAAAAAAAAAATCAATTATTTTGTTTTTTCTTTTCTCTCTCTGTGAATTCTGCAAATTTGCAGAGAACAAAGAGAGGGAAACTAGAGCAAGAGAGCCATCAAACGCAACGCGTAGCAGCCTTCTGTTAATGGCAGCTTCAGCACTCTTCGTCATTCCTTGAAAGGTACTCTGTTTCTATGCATTTACATTTTTTCTGCGTCCTGTTTATACATAGATCTTCTTTCTCCTCTCGTTCTATCTGATTGAGATCGAAGTTTGCATTTGTGAATTTGTAGGTTTTGTTTAAGATTTTTATCTATTAGAATGCCTATTCGCTTTTGAATCTCATTTCTGTTTGTTTAGATCTTAGGGTTTTACGGTCCACTAGTGTGTTTCTTTTTATTTATTTATTTATTATTCTTTTGACAATTACGTTCTGTTTCGTTGCTGAGCAAGTGTGTTGATGGAGAGGAAAATGCTACTAATAGGATGAAATTTAATGTTTACAATTGCAAACGGTTTCTGTTTCAATTGAATCTACTGATTTATATCGTTGAACATCAACTGTTCTCTATTCAGTGCTACGTGCTATATTGATTCGTGTCTTTTGGATCGTAAATGCATATTTCAAAAGTGGCTGCTCTTCAAGCCGAACATAATTCCTAAGTTGTTTCTATGAACTAAAATGGCGGTTTTTACTGAACAAATATTTCGAATTATCCCTTTCAATCATATGTGCGACAGTGGCAACTGCTGTATACAGTTTGTATTTATTGGAGTTCATCTATTGATATTTTAGGACGCCAAATTGCTGTTGAAGCCAGAACGTCTATATTTGCTCCACATTTGGTCTGCAGCTCATCAGAAGAATTTGGTGATTTCTTATATCTTCTGAACTGAAACACTAATCTTTCACCGGACAACTCAGATCATTCAAAATTCAACAACCCAGTTCAGGGGGCGATCCGCCCCAAGGCAACGACTACAGCCCTTTTCTTGTAGCCCGAAGGGTGAATTCCTCCCATACAATGATGATAGATGATGATGTTGAGGGTGGTAGTTTGGGGCCTTACCAAGAGAGACCGAGGATTTTCCCCAATATGCGGAGTAAACCTTATACTCCAGCTGTGAGTAACTAATGTTTTCCCTCTCTTTTTTATTATTTCAAGATATGTATTTATTTACTTGTGAAACAAATTATGTTAAATATGGGGCCACGACTGTGTATGCACTAGGATGGTAATATTTATTTTAGTTTTCAGCTTCTTTTTTTTTTTTGACAACTTTAGACAATGGTGGCATTGCATGGACATCTTACATCCATCTGTGTACTTATAGCATCTTTGGAGCTGCCAATATATCATTGGCAGCGATAAAGTAAGCAAGCCTGAACATGAGAAGATAATCCTGTTCATGTCAATTAAGCAGAAACTTTTAAACTCTTGCGTAACATTTCTCTTTCTGTTATGAAACCACCTCTTGCATGGACTAACTTGATTTTTCTTTGTCCAGATTGTTCGAGTTTTGATGGGAATAAATGTTCGTTTCCTTTTTATACTTTTGCTATTGGGTTTAGGAGCAATCTTTTACATTGGAGCCAGCACTTCTCCAATAATTGTTTTTGTCTTTACTATCTGTATCATCAGCTTCCTTTTCTCACTCTATCTTACTAAGTGGGTACTATCAAAGGATGAGGGACCTCCAGAAATGGCTCAGGTAAATCATCTTTAATGTATTTTTCCCTACCACATCAATCCTTGTATTCTTTGTAGAAGTTATTTATTCTAGATTGAATGAATACTACTTTGTTGCATTTTTATTCGTCATAGCTTGGAAGCATATCTAGGCACACTTTGAAATGTGGATGAGTAGTACTTCAGTGTTTATCTGTATGTACCATCCAGTCCAGTTTAGGTGGCAAGTTAATTAGTTTTAGGTTATTTTATGTATGATTTAATTCTGATATCATATTTGAGCCATATGCTTCTTGTTAATGGTTTTATTATTTTTAAAAAATTGAATAATCTTGGGGGACAAGTTTAACAATTTTTAGACTTGCTGGATTCTTGTCCTGAGCTTATTATCTTACTTTCTAGATATCAGATGCAATCCGTGATGGAGCTGAAGGTTTCTTCAGAACACAGTATGGAACTATCTCAAAGATGGCAATGTTGCTAGCCATGGTGATCCTGTGCATATATTTGTTCCGCAGTTCAACTCCTCAACAAGAATCTTCTGGCCTTGGGAGGTTATTTCATGTCTGAATTAGCAATAGTATAAAGCACATGCTTTAGTCTCTAAATTTTTTATTTTGTTCATGCAGGTCAACATCTGCATATATCACTGTCGCTTCATTCCTTTTGGGAGCTTTATGTTCAGGTATAGCAGGTTATGTTGGGATGTGGGTGTCAGTTCGTGCTAATGTTAGAGTTTCTAGTGCTGCAAGAAGGTCGGCTAGAGAGGCATTGCAGGTTGTCCCTTATATGGTCCACTTTCTTCTTACCAATTTGAGAATCATGTTGTAACCAGAAAAAAATAATGTGCAGATAGCTGTACGTGCTGGTGGCTTCTCTGCCATTGTGGTTGTTGGTATGGCTGTAATTGGTATAGCCATCCTTTATGCTGCATTTTATGTTTGGTTGGAAGTTGATTCTCCTGGTTCAATGAAGGTTACTGACTGTATGTAACAGCTTCCCTTCTTCCTCACTGCATATGTTTTTTAATTTAGCCATTTTGGATGGTGTTTGGCAGCATTCTTAACCTTTTCTTTCTTTTAGTTGCATCTTTTAATTTTGTTGATTTTCGTGTTTTTCTTTTCTAGTGCCTCTTCTCCTTGTGGGATATGGCTTTGGAGCTTCTTTTGTTGCTCTGTTTGCTCAGTTGGGTGGTGGAATATATACAAAAGCAGCTGATGTTGGGGCTGACCTTGTTGGGAAAGTAGAGCAGGGAATACCTGAAGATGATCCTAGAAATCCTGCAGTGATTGCTGATTTGGTGTGTACCCCTCTTTTTTTGTATTATGGCTTGTAGAAATGGTGCATTTAATAACCAATTTTTTGCTTTGAAAAGGTTGGAGACAATGTGGGTGATTGTGCTGCTCGAGGTGCTGATCTTTTTGAAAGTATTGCTGCTGAAATAATCAGTGCTATGATACTTGGGGGAACAATGGCTCAGCGCTGCAAAATTGAGGGCAAGTATCTATACTAGTATTTGTACCATTTTCCCATAAGTCTATGGCAATTTGGAAGATTATGACACACCTTACATGGTGCTGCTATGAGTAATCCTGAGGATTGTCATATGATAGTCTAATAATGTTTACGTCACTGTTGTACTGAACTAGGAGTAGCATGGCATAAAAGAATGTTTTTGTAATTGACATTCTCAATTATCTGTTCTTTATGATGAATTTACCTACTGTAAATCAGTTTACATTTTTTTAACAGTAAGGTCATCTGTATTCTTTAGTGGACTCACTGATGTCCCTTTTCTTGCAGATCCTTCTGGCTTCATCTTGTTTCCTCTTGTTATACATTCTTTTGACCTAGTTATATCTTCAGTTGGAATACTTTCAATTAGGAGTACTCGTGATTCTAGTGTGAAGTCTCCTATAGAGGATCCAATGGCAATCCTTCAGAAAGGATACTCCATTACTATAGTTTTGGCAGTTCTTACATTTGGTGCGGTAATGTCTTCTAGAATCGAAACATTTACTGATTATTGCTACTGCAGTTTTATTGCTTTATTCCTTAATATTCTTCTTTTAATGTACTATCTCTGAGGCTTCTGTCGGAAATTAATCAAGTGTTAACAGCCAGCAGTTTTCTGTTTGATGTGTTTTGCTACTAACATACGGTTTTGCTTGTATTATGCATATGGTTTTTGCAGTCTACCCGTTGGATGCTTCACACAGAACAAGCTCCTTCAGCATGGTTTAACTTTGCCTTGTGTGGATTGGTTGGCATCATTACAGCATATGCTTTTGTATGGATCACAAAATACTACACCGACTACAAGCATGAGCCCGTCCGCACATTAGCTCTTGCTAGCTCCACTGGTCATGGGACTAATATAATTGCTGGTGTGAGTTTGGGCCTGGAAGCAACAGCTCTTCCTGTTCTTGTCATTAGTATATCCATTGTTTCAGCTTTTTGGCTGGGCCACACATCTGGTCTGGTGGATGAATCTGGAAAGCCAACTGGTGGGTTGTTTGGTACAGCTGTGGCGACAATGGGAATGCTGAGTACTGCTGCCTATGTTCTTACAATGGATATGTTTGGACCTATTGCTGACAATGCTGGTGGAATTGTGGAGATGAGTCAGCAGGTAACAGTTCATCATCATTTTCTTTGTTAAATATGTTGATCTAGCTAGGGATGACAGATTGTTCTTTCTTTCTTCCTTACTTTGTCCAATATGTCTTATAACTGTATTTTATACAGCCAGAAAGTGTTCGTGAGATAACCGATGTTCTTGATGCGGTTGGAAACACCACAAAAGCTACAACCAAAGGTTTTGCCATTGGATCTGCAGCACTTGCATCATTCCTTCTATTTAGTGCTTATATGGATGAGGTTGCTGCATTTGCTCGTGAACCTTTCAAGCAGGTAAACTTTATGCATTTTAATCTAATTATTTCTTATCTTCAATACTTCAGCAACTTTATCTTACTTCCATACTTTCAATTCACTTCCAGGTTGATATTGCCATCCCTGAGGTTTTTGTTGGTGGATTGTTGGGTTCAATGCTTATTTTCTTATTCAGTGCATGGGCCTGCTCAGCAGTTGGCCGAACTGCTCAGGAGGTTGTTAATGAAGTAAGAAGGCAATTTATTGAGAGGCCAGGCATCATGGTGAGCATCTGTTGCAGGAGGAATTATTGAATGCATCCAATGCACATGAAAAGGAGAGTACTTTCCTTACACAATCATGGAGGATCTACAAATTAAAATTTATTTGTTGATCCCATATGATTGTGAGAGGAGAAACCAGATGATAAAACCAAGTGCATTGCAGAATATCACCTGTTCTCTTACTGTTTTCTTTCTACACTGATGCCATGCAATTTTTGAATGTACTGTTAGGACTACAAGGAGAAACCTGATTACGGTCGCTGTGTTGCAATTGTGGCATCTGCATCATTGAGGGAGATGATAAAACCTGGTGCTTTGGCTATCATATCACCTATAGTTATTGGTGGGTTAATCATATGAATTTTATTTTATTTTCTTGTTTTTTTTTAATACTTAAATATATCTTATAAGAGCTTATGTTAGTTGTTGGTTTGAAGGTGATAGAGGATTATGTTATTGTATATTGGTTATTTACTTATGATTATTATTTTTGGAAAATAATTGGTAAAAGCTGCTGAAGTTGAAGCAGCTTGTATGTTTAACACAGGGAATATTGCTTTCATCAATATATATGATTTATGAATCCATCGAGTTTAATGCGATCATTTGTAGAAAAATTCTCTTTTTTTTTTAAATCATTAGAAGATACAATTAAATATAGGATTATAATGCATTACTATTAAGTCCATCATCACCAGTTTATGATTGATATTGGAAGCCAATCAGAAGTCCATCCAACTTGATGGACATATTACTTTGATTTTTCTTCCTTTCATTTCTTGAGTATGTTATACCTCAGTCATGCTTTTTACTAGGTCAAGAATCTTTTAGTGAATTTGCTGTCTTTTGCTTGCAGGTTTCTTGTTCAGGATTTTGGGGTACTATACGGGACATCCTCTGCTTGGGGCTAAAGTTGTGGCTGCCATGCTGATGTTTGGAACTGTTTCAGGCATTCTAATGGCTCTTTTCCTTAATACTGCGGGTGGGGCATGGGATAATGCAAAGAAGTATATTGAGACAGGGGCTCTTGGAGGCAAGGGGAGCGAGTGCCATAAAGCAGCAGTTACAGGAGATACGTAAGTATTGCCATTGCCTGGTGTTGTGTGAACATTTGGCAGTACTTCTTTTGGTCCTTGAAGAGCACACAGGAAGTAATTTTACTGGCAAGAGTAGAATCTGAAATAGAGTTATAATATGAGAGAAAGGAGTTAGAACTGGAACAACCTTTTTAGGAGAGACGAATGATTCTTTAGTCTGATCTTAACAAAGGTCAAGGGTTATTTGGGACCTTAAACCATTCATTCCTGCACTCTATGCATGAGTTTAATCAGTTCATGGAGATTAAGATACTAAACCCTTGTGCATTTTAGATGAATCCTTAGGGGAATCTATGTGAAGCAAGCAAACACTATGAAAGTAGCTATGATTTATCTTGTATGGCTATTTTCACTAATTTTTGAAAATGATGAGCTGTTAATAGTTTCTCTAATTGTTTATTACTACTTTCTGAATCCTTTGAGATTATTGCAGTGTAGGAGACCCGTTCAAAGATACAGCTGGACCTTCGCTTCATGTCCTCATAAAAATGTTAGCAACGATCACGCTAGTCATGGCTCCTGTGTTTCTGTGAAGAGTTGTTCATATCTACTGCGGTTGAATGAGAGTATACAGCACCCAAAAGTCGTCGGATTTTTAGATTTTTTTTTTTTTTTTTTTTTTTTTTTTTTTTTTTTTTTTTTTTTTTTTGCAAATGTATACTACAGATAGGTAATTTGAGTACAATCAGGGTTGCCTTCAACTGGCCAGTTCGTACTTGAAACTTTGCCTGTTTCTGGAACCAATATAAGAGACGCTAGTGAGACTGCTTTAGTTTAAATGGCTTTTTTTTTTTTTTTTTTTTTTTTTTGCAAATATACTACAGATAGGTATTTGATGTACATCAGGGGTGCCTCACTGGCAGTGTTACTGAACTTGCCTGTTTCTGGAACCAAATAAGAGACGCTAGTGAGACTGCTTAAGTTTAAATGCTTAATTGTTGATACAATTTATATTTTTTGACTAGCGTACTCGCGCCTACTGAGCATTATTGAGACAGCTGATGGAATTTGGAAAAGGTCCTGGTCCTTTTTTTTATATTTTTAGTTTTTTGCTGTTGGTGGATGACGTGCTTTGTTTTGTTTTGGCTAAATACGCAAATGTATACCTATGCTTTAAAAAAAATCTTATGGCACCACTTGTATTTGATTCCATAGAAATTTCAACCTATAAACTTGCACGCACTTAATACTTCAAATTATAAAATTTTTCTATTAAAAATTTCTAACTAACAAAATGTGATCAAATAAAATTTTTCTATTAAAAATTTCTAACTCACAAAATGTGATCAATTAGACAATTAGTAAACTTTAGATGCACCACAGTTTCTTTGGAAAGTTTGAGAAACTACAATTTTTCTTTTTTTTGTATAATACATGGGTATAAAAAAATATACATATTGCCGGTTTGTTCTTATTCTAGCTTCTATACCTTGTAAAAATGAAAACAGTCTATCGTCCGCTGATATGCTCTAAGCAGTGTAAACAATATGATGTTTCTGGTGGGAAGAGGGAGTGGCAGAGCAGAATAAGCTTGTACGGTTCTGTGTTAAAGGGAAAGAAGTTTCAATTTGACAAGCCCAAAGTTACGCGAAGGCCCAAGGGCCCAAACCAAACTCTCTCATCTCTCTCTCTCTAATAAAGCTAAAATAGCAACCGAAAATGAGACAACATATGATGTGCGGCTATGCGCTCTTGCCTCGCCAACATATTTGGAATTAGGTTTTCTTCAAAATCCCAAACCCTACAAAAACCCATTTTTTTGCTTGATTTTGATTGAACATCAAATGGAACAACCGTCAATCCCAATTGGTACCCCATCGAAGGACAAACCCTCCAGGAAGAAGCCCCCAACCCCTCAAGAACTCATATCCCATTACCAATCTCAAGGCCTCGACTCTCAAGAAGCATCCGTCAAGGTCATTGAAGATCTCCAGAATGTCCTCTTCAAGGTTATCTCTGCTAATAATAAGAACAAGAAGGACAAATTCATGGCTGAGGCATCAAGAAAAGTCGATGTGGTTAACAACAGAGTCGCTCTTCTCGACATGAAGCTGGACTCGAAGCCTGGGTATGTTGAGACTTTCGCTATTGGTATTGCTTCTGGAGCTGCTTTCAGAGGAATTGAATGTGTCTGGCCTCATGTTGTTGGCGGTATTTCCCAGATTTGGGCTGCTGCTAGGAGTGTCACTAAGCCTCCTCATTCTTCTTGATTAAATGAATGTATTTTTCTTTTCTAAAACGAATGGAATTGGGTGCTCCTGAATTGTTTAAGGACTTTTTTCTGATAATGATGTGTTGTTCAGATGCTAATCTTTCAAGATTTTTTGGTGTTTAAAATAATAGTTTCTGATGGTAAGAATACTTTTCCGGCATAAAAACTCTTATCTGGGGAATAATCAAATTCAGTTGTAGTTTGAAGTTTGGCGACCAATGGCTAGAATTTTAAGGAAATGGATAACAAATTTTGATATTTGAAAGTTGGATTAAAGGCTATCACTTCACGTGGTTTGGATCATGTATTACAAACAAATATCTGAAATTCACCAGAAAGTCAGTCTTTTATCCGCTGATAGAGAAAATCGAAAAAGCATAGACATTTTGGAGAACCAGGACAGAAGGGCATTGGAGTTGGCTTTATTATCATCAAGTTGATCTTGGAAGAGTAGCACTTCGACTTGCAGGATTCCATGGATGGGAGATCATCTCTATATCAATTCAACACTTTTGTGATATTTGATTATCCAAAATTTCTAGTGAATTTGACTATTTGAGGTCGTACTCATACAGACGAATTTTGTATTTCAAAGTAAATAAATAAAATATAAAATTTGGCCATTCCCTCGCTTATATATACAAACCCGCGCACCCTGGACCCATGACCCGACCCATCTAGCACTGACGTCAGACGAAAAGGAAACATAAATGATAAACCCCCGAGAACGAACCTTATCCAGATAAATCGATGATTTATAGAATAAAATTAAAAATCATAACTTTGAGGGGAAAAATAGATGTCGATAACAACTATAGCCAGTAATAGCAGCACTAGCTTTCCCCGATTCCGGGTTCAATGCGCTGATTCTAAGCCCAGGCGTGGTTTTGGCGCCAAAAATGACCCCAACAACAACAAGGTACCCCTCTGCTTCTTTACATTATTTGATTCGTCATTTTTTCCAAGTTCAATGCTTGATTTTCAATTATTCAGACGAAGAAAGTTACTGCCTCGAGGGAGGAGAAGGGCATGGCATTGCAACAAAGGTATGCCTTCCCTGAGATTTTGGTATTATTCCCCAAGAATTTGCTGTTGTTCTCGTTTTTAGAGCAGTTTAGGGCTTTCTAACAACTCTTTCGCTGTCGTTTCGTGGTGCAGGAAATCGACTTCTAGACAATCTGGCCCTTCACCTACTCGTAAGTAGATAATTAGGACGACTTTTCTGCTTCTAAATTCTCTGGACCATGTAGTAGGAGCCCTTTAAGTATGTAGAGGTGTTGGTGCATTTATATAGCGTCAATTTTCCTTGTAGAGGCACCTGGTTTAAGTTTTCGTATTGATGGAAAGCCTAAATCCATGGACCTTGAGTTTGAGGAACGTTTGGAAGCAGTTAGAAGGTACATTTCACACCATTACACAATAGTGAAAGGCATGCTTACTCAAACCGTGCCCATCGACTGACATTTTTATTGCCTCGTACTTGTTAAAATAACTGTTATTTTTTAGTATTGCATGTCAACCTATAAAAGGAAGCGACTCCTTAATGAGTTTTCCTCACTAGTAACAGTTCAATTCGTTGGTATCATTCAGCTTTTTCAGCATTATCCCACTATCATATAAATAATTATCTCAATGCATTTAATCTCTATCCTAGCACACAGCATCACAGGGATGTCTTGGTCACTGAGCAATGTTCTTACTGTTTGTTTTCATGTTTTATTTTAATACAATTTTACTTACCTATTTCGATGCATATAGAATGCCTAAATGCTTTCAGATTCTGCAACGCCAAAGTTCTTGTTTAATGCAGTTGCCAGTTGTGTGTTTGAAATTTCATAAATAGTTAGGTACCTATATTGTGTTTGCAGTTCTAGTAAATAAACACATTGAATTGGGGTATTACTATTTGCTGAGGCCAAAGTCCTGAGGTTCTTACTATACTAAATAAAACGCTTATAAACATATTATGTTGCTTCATGTAATTATTCTGGTTCAGTACTTTTGTTGTTGCCTATTTTATATTGTCTAAAGCTACAATTCTATTTTGATATTGAGTACTTTTCATATGAAATTTGGTCACTTGATAATAATTTCAGGTTAGTTTTTTCATTAAGCGACAACAGTTGATTGGTGAGTTTTGCTTCCTTTTCGTCATTTTTGCAGTTCTTTTCGCTGAGGATCATTCCTTCTGTAACTACTCAGGTCAGCACTTGAACAAAAAAAGGCAGATGAAATTAAAGAATTTGGACCAATTGACTATGACGCACCAGTTGAATCTGATAAGAAGACAATTGGACTTGGCACTAAGGTAAATGTCATTCTTTGTGCATTTCCAAAGAAATACATGCACACTGTCTTCTTCATCTATACTGCATGACTAATTCGATTTCTGATATAGAATAGATTGGGGTAGGAGTAGCTGTTCTGGTCTTTGGTCTAGTTTTTGCTCTTGGGGACTTTCTTCCTTCTGGAAGGTATGTTAAAGTGCTTAAGAAGTTTTCATTATTCTTTCATTCTTCATAAGACTTCACTCATTTTGTGCATTTCCTGCCAAGATTGCTTGATCTATGAGTTATCTCTCATAATATTTTGTGTGCATATTAATATGTTGTTCCTTTCTGTAAAACATCTTTTCATCATTGCACTGTCATTTGCTTTCCAGTGATAGTCCCCCTGAAGAAGCTGCTACAGTTGACAAAAAGTTATCAAAAGAGGAGAAAGCTATTCTTCTGGTACTGTGGAACTACTAATCTCACCTAGTTAAGCTAGAATTTATTTGGTGGATTTTAGTACTTGGATTATTATTTGGCATATGCCTTTTTACCAAGTACATCCTTTTCTGTTGTACTTTTGCTTCTTTCTTATATGCAGCATTTTGTTTTAATCAAAGAAAGGAGGATTAAATTGCATGCACATATCATCTTCTAAAGGAAGAAGGTTTTCTACAATTTCTAGATAATCTACACCAATCTAATGGTGGCCATCTGCTAGACATAGAAATATTTATTTGTTGTCAACCAGTTATTTATTGTCATTGCTTTGTGTTTCTATGGGATTTAAGAAATATCGTAACACCTTTACTTTCTTTCATGTGGCAGACTCAGTTGAAACAGTACGAGACAACACTAGCTGTCTCTCCTAAAGATCCTGTTGCACTTGAAGTGAGGCTTTTGTGCTTTTTCCTCGTAATAGGGAACAGATGATTTTCTATTTTATGTACAAATAACCAAGATGAAGAAATAATTCTCTCGTTTTCTTTCTGTTCCTTTGTGCCCATATTTTTTGAAATTCATTCAAGAGGTCTTGCAGGGAGCTGCAGTAACCTTATCAGAATTGGGAAAGTATACTCAGGCTGCCTCTTTGCTTCAGGACTTGGCAAAGGTTTACAGTCTCCAATATGCGTTGCACAAGCCTCATTTTCTCAACTTTTATTCTTTTGAAAATTAACTGATTCACTCAACTGAAATTTCCAGGAGAAACCTAATGACCCTGATGTTTTTCGTTTGCTTGGAGAAGTTAAATATGAACTCAAAGATTATGAGGGAAGCGCTAATGCATACAGGAGTTCTGCAATGGTCAGTGGTTATATATGCATGTGCCAGACATGATACTCTGGCTAGCATAAATTACTTTACTTGTGTGATAGTACAAATAATGTCAATAAATTTTTAATTTAACTTTGGTTGGATGGGCTACCCAATGGGTGCAAGCTTCAGCGCTTGAGGAAAGCCTGCTTTATTTCATAGTTAGTTCTGAAACAAGATCACAAAAAAAAAAAAAAAAAAAAAAAAAAAAAAAAAAAAAAAAAAAAAAAAAATGTCAAATTAAAATTTTTAATTTAACTTTGGTTGGATGGGCTACCCATGGGTGCACAGCTTCAGCGCTTGAGGAAAGGCCTGCGTTTATTTCCAGTAGTTAGGTTCTGAAACAAGATCACAAAAAAATAAAAAAAAAAAAAAAAAAAAAAAAAAAAAAAAAAAAAAAAAAAAAAAAATCTGTGGACAGTACCGCATCATCTTTGTAGTCACTTGAAGCAGCGAAACTGCTTTAAAAAAAAAAAAAAAAAAAAAAAAAAAAAAAAAAAAAAAAAAAAAAAAAAAAATCTGGTGACAGTACGCATTCATGCTTGTAGTCACTGAAGAGCGAACTGCTTATCCTTCAAGTTTACTTGAATGGACTCTTCCTCAAACACAGTGCTGCATTCATCCTGCATCACTCTTTTTCTCGACTACATAGAGTATCAACAATCTCCTATGGCACGTGGTATCTACATGATGTGCTATTCTTGTTCTATGACCAAGTGGTACCATACTACATTGTAGCAACTTAATGTAGGAAACTAGGATTATTATCATTCACTTTCTACAGTTGATATTTACCTGCCTTTGTTGTATGTTCACTAAATAATTAGATTTTATGACATATTAGGTCTCCAAAGAAGCCAATTTTGAAGTTCTGCGTGGTCTTACCAATGCATTGCTTGCCGCTAAGAAACCCGATGAGGTATGGGGTCAAGCTCATAGATGGGATTCTGAATGGGTTTCTGCTGTCTTTGGTTTTTCTGCAGATACTCTGCTACTAATGCACTCCAAAAGGAGAAAGGAAGACTGATGCCTAATCTAAATTCGAGCATGAAAAATCTCAATTATGTAGTTGAATATAGTGTTTTATATATTTGGTACATAATTGGTTTTTTACCTGCATTCTTTTTGCTCCAACATGAACTTGCCCCAAATGTTGGACCTATGGGGCTAACTTCGACTACTTTACCATTGGCCACTTTCAGTTTCTTGATGATGTACAATTTCTTGGCAATTTTTCATCAGTGTGCACACATAAGTCCTCTTGCACAAGGCTTGCTTGCAGTTTCTCTCATCTTACATAGTTATAGAACCTTACTAGGGTGGTGGACACTTATTACATTTAATAGATGTGCTGCTTTTAAGAGGGTTTCATGGGAGCTCCACCCCTGCAGTTGTATATTACCTGAATCCATGATTGAAGGCAGCTATATAGATATTCAGAAACCAAATGGTGTTTGGTTTATCTCCTTTGTGGATTTTAAAAGAAAATTATTGATGGATCCAAATAGTCTGCTTACATGATGTATTTCTGTAGTTATTTGAACTGCAATTATATGCTTGGCACAAATAACGAAAGCAACAATATAGTATTTAGTTTGTTTGTGTATTGTCTTACTGGATTGCAAAGATAAATATCCTGGACCTTCAGAATTACTAACTCCTTTTCTTTTCCTTTCATGAAGGCTGTTCAGGTCCTACTTACTTCTCGCGAACGCCTTAATTCCAAAAAACCAAGTAATATGGATGTTAAAGGTGATATAGAGGTGGTGGACCCTGTTCAAGTGAGTTGCCCTCTTGGTAAGATTTTTCTTTCAAAATATCTTCTTGTTTACATGATTTTAAAATGAAATTAATTTTCAGGTGGACTTGCTTCTGGGAAAGGCATATTCAGATTGGGGACATGTGAGTGATGCTGTATCTGTTTATGATCAGCTCATCTCTAGCCACCCTACTGACTTTCGGGGTTACCTAGCTAAGGTTAGAGTTGATTTTGTTTTTAACGCGTTGAGTTAACCAATTGGATAATTGGCATGGGCCGGAAAAAGGTGTATTCTGGAGAAGAAAGCTTCAGATGATTACATTTCTGCATTAAGCAAATACTTGAAGATGATTGGAAAGTAGAGGGATCCAAATCTCCCACATAATACCAAAAACCACATTTGGTACACTTGTAGGAGACCATTAACAGTGGTGTAATGACTAGAAGTTTTATTTCTGATACTTTTATATAAATTTATTTTTCTGATGCTTCTGCAGGGGATAATATTGAAAGAAAATGGTAATGTTGGGGATGCAGAAAGGATGTTTATACAAGTGAGTATATACCTGCTGCATATTTTGTATTGCAGTACGAACTGTTTGCTTATTTTATGATTTGAAATAAGGTTAGCTAAGGCCATTGCTGGTTATATCCAGGCTCGGTTTTTTGCACCAGAGAAGGCAAAGGCTCTTGTAGATCGTTATGCGAGAAGATGATGAAAATTATTTACTTTATTCTCCCATCTAAAAGCATCATTTGTAGATTAAAGTCTGGCCACTGTTCAATTCTGAAAAAGCTAGCAAGAATGAGAAATTAGTGCGACCATGGCCTCTTATCCAAGCTGTTTTCATCTTACAATACAAGGTCACTGGAGGAGGTTCTTTAGAAATTGTCAAAATTAAGATTATAACCTTACCTTTTTCGATAATTTTTTTTTTGACACCATTTAGGAAAGTTGCAGTGTCTTTCAAAATAAATTTCTTTCAGGAATATATAAATCATTCCGTGTAAAGTTTTAAATCACTTTGCAATTAGATCTAAATTTCATATTAAGCAACTATGTATGTATGAATTACTATCTTAGTTTGATTATTATTTTTTTTTTTTTAATCCATATTGAGAGTTTTGACCTTAATCATATTATATAGACAGAGACAAGTTCGTACATCCAATGATTGATTAAGAATCCAATTAACTTATAAGCTCCCTTTTTTTTCTCTCTTTAAAAAAAAAAAACATGGAATAATACAAAAACACAAAATACTTATTAATTAACACTTTACATAACAAAAGCAATTAACATTTTGGATTGGACTATATAATTGAAGCGAGTGTCTCTATTTATTCATTTATATACATACATAATATATGCAAGTGTCAAATGAAATTAAATTAAAAAATAAATAAATATATTGCAGTCAGTGTTGAAATATAACCTTGATAGATACAAGCAAAACACACAATTGGATCATACTAGCAAAAGATAACATTTCTCACCAGTAGGAGACCCAAAAAAAAAAAAACAAACAAACAAAAACAAAAATAGAGGAAGACATCTAACTGAGCTTATTCAGGTGTATTTTAGAGAAGAAATTCCTCATCTAAACTCTAAAAACCTGTCAAACATTGAACATGCCATGCACCAACCTCCCCTGGTGCTGAGGAGGTAAAAACTGGTGATAAATGTATAATCAAGAAAAGGGTTTGGTTCACCTACACATTTGAGGATGATGATTAGAAGGTGTTACAGTCAGGTCACTATCAGGAGATGACCAACATCCCATCATCTCTTTCTCTACATTATTACTATTATTATTGTTAGACCCTACCTCATGCAAAAAGTAGACTTCTCTCTTCTCTTCGACCACTTTCAAGATCTTTTCAAATACCGAGACTTGGCATGGAATCTTCAACACTCCTTCTTGTTGAAACCCGAACTCTTCTTCTGCTTCTCTCAAAAGCATCCCAAAAGCCTGGTGCCCCAAATACTCCGTCGGAATCACGTATCTCTTCAGCTCCTTGCCAACGCAGACGGCGAGAAATCCCTTCGGAACGACGTCGTTGGATGCTGCAGAGACATCGGAGAAGGAGAGCGTTCTCTTGATGAACTTGATGGTGCTGGTGCTGGTCTTACTGGTGCCAGTACTAGTAGAAGAAGCAGTGGCTGCCTTTTTCCACTTCTTGAGGATCTGTTGAAGCCTAACGATGTCAGTTATCTTTTTAGACTTGTTTGAATCCATAGCTACTGTGAGTAGAGACGTAGATCACTATGCAGCTAGGATTTAAACAAAGGAGTGCTGATTTAATTATTGTACGGTATTTTATTTAATTAATTAATCCCCATGTGATATAATATATTTTTTTAATTATATATATATATGATTGATAGGTAAATCATTGAAGTTAGAGTACGTCGGTTGCTGGTGCAACTGCCTCCCTCCAGACACAGATTATATATATTATTACTAGTTTCTAGAATTTTCAATTCGATCGAGCTATATTTGTACAATTTTAATGTTTTCTTACTATTATGAAATGATGCGAGTTGGGTGTTGCTTATTATATAGTACTGTAATAATAAATTGCAAATTGTTGTCTGAAAAAGAAAAACCCAGGAGGCATCTCATCTAATCCCATTGGTTTTGAAGGAATTGCATGTGGAATGCTCATTATTTTTATTTTATAGATGCATGCTGGATTCTGTTACCAAGCAAGAAGTTGACATTTCTTGATGTTTTGGTTAGTTCACATTCAAGTGGACAGGAAGATGTAACAATTAAGGAAATAGAATGTGGAAAGTGGATATCTTTAATTAATTTGAAACAGTTTAGTCAATGGTAAAACAGTTTGATCCAAATTAATTAATTAGTGTTTACCAATTAATATAGTAACCCATGCATGTGAAAAACAAAGAAAGCCATTTACAGGTGAAAATCTCAATATACAGCTCCCTCTCTCTCTGGAAAACGTAGCTCGCAGAAAATTAAAAGAAGGGACTGTGCCTGTGAGTCTGTGACTACTGACTGGTGCCTCAATAATTTTATTATTCTTTTTTTTTTTTTTTAAGAAAATATTTTATGTTGTTTGTTTGTAACTTTGAGGTCCCAACAAAAGCATAGTCACTCTTGATAAAATCTATCAGCAACAAATATTTTTTATAGTAATACAATTTGATAAAAACAATATTAAAACTTTCTCGGTGCTTTTTTCTTTTTCTTCTTTATAAATCTTGGAATCAGTCTCCCTCGATTCATATTTTAGTTATTATAATAAATAATCTGACAAGATCAAGTTAATTATTAATTAACTACCGATACTATAATTTGCATGCATGGCGCCATGTGATCAGTTGCTGCGGTTGGTGAAGCTTATGATTGTAATCATAAAGATTTTAGATGTAAGATCTGATTCTTTTCAGTCTCATATTTAATTTTTTTTTTTATTGTTGTTTGTTTCCTTCTTCTGCTTAGTTTAGCTGAGCTATGCTCTGTAACTTGATTTCCTTTTTCTTTTCTGCGATTTCATTTCGAAAAATAACAAATGTTATCGCAGAAATAATGCCAATATAATTACTAAATCCATTTCTTATAGTTTATGCTTTTGCTAAGACTGTTGTACACACGGAGAGCTAGAATTAGAACCCATTCTAGACAGATAATAGCTTTCTTCTAGAGACAACACACACACATATATTTCTTTTCTGCGATTTCCATTCGAAAATAAACAAATTGTCTATCGCAGAATTTAATGCCAATAAATTACTAAAATCCATTTCTTTATAGTTTATTTGCTTTGGCTAAGGACTGTTGTACACACGGAGAGCTTAGAATTAGAACCCATTCTAGACAGATAATAGCTTCTTCTAGCAGGACAACACAACCACACATATATATTATATATTTATATATTATATTATATAGTGAGTATAATCGGGAGATTCCATTTGTTCCCCATTTTTTTTTTTTTACTGCTCAAAAAAAAAAAAAATCTAGCATTTACAGAACTAACGTATACCGAGGTCTCAAAGCACACAACAGGAGGATAGGAACAAAAAATTCGTTGAAGACCCATACTCTGCAAAATCACCCATTTGTTTTTCAAAAAGAATATGCAGCCGAGAAAAGTAAAAACATCTCATCTGCCACCTTGAAAAAAAAAAAAAAAATCTAGCATTTACAGAACTAACGTATACGAGGTTCTCAAAGCACACAACAGGAGGATAGGAACAAAATTTCGGGTGAAGACCCATATCTGCAAATCACAATTTGTTTTTTCAAAAGAATATGCAGCCGAGAAAAGTAAACGAATCTCATCTGCCACCTTGGTTAAGACAGTAGATGCAACTGTCAACTGACAAAAATGAAGCTAAGTTTATCCATAATTCTCCAGGCTTTCTGATAATCCAAGACCATTCAGGGTTGCAGGTGATTACCAATTACCTCCTGAATCAAAGCGGCTCTCAATCTCCTTTCAGCTTTCATCAAGGCATTAGATAATCAGAAACTTCACTTGAATCTCCAGACCAGATTGTAACTTCATAGTCCACGGATCTCAAATATTCTCTTTTAGTAACATTGAAGAACTCTAGTCCTGCAAAGCTTTTTTTGAGGATATGGATGGACCTGTTAAAATTGAATAAGAACGTTAAAGAAAGTGAACTGGCACTCCATTGCATTGCATGCAGTCAAGTGTATTACTGGGGGGCAAAAAAGGGTCCAAGCAAGCTCAGAACATCTTCACAATTACAAAGAAATCCAACGATTCCCACCTTAATAGTGCATTTTCACAAGTGCTAGTAAGGATAGTTGAGTAACAACCACGGCGCATAATAGAAAATAAGGTGAAGTTCAAACATATGTAGGCTAGCAATAAAACAAGTATCTTTTTTATTTTTACTTGTAAAAAATGCTGTATGCTCGTGCATAGTCACTCATAATGACAAACAGTGACTGGACACTGGGGCTCAAAGGAGAAACTAAAAGAGATGCTATGCTAGGGCCATCAAACTGGCACTCCTTTTTGGATCCAACGTAGCGTTGACCCAATCTTCTTTATTTTAATCTTCTCCATTTTACTCAGTTTAGGCATTACATTTTTACAGAAAGCTATAGACCAATATAATGTTTGAAAATTGACAATGTAGAGCAAATGGTTCAACAAGTTTTCTGATACTCACATATTTTATAAAGCAGGGAAGTTTACCTTTCCTTTTCTTGGGTGGTCTAATACCATTAGTTGCAATTGAAGTGGGAGAAAGAGACTTTTTGGTAGGCACAGGTCTCGTTGATGATTCTGGCTTCTTGGAAGAAATGAGAGATGAGCAAAGAATAGCATCCACAGCCTCACGTTGTCGTTTCCTTTTTGTGATTATATCTTCAGAAGCACCTAATTCATTAGAGATCCTACCATCATTGATCTCCCCCCCTTTATTATTGCCTCCAGCTGATGAAGTTGAAATTTCCAAATTCCTGTCGCTCTTTGAATTCATGCATGTATCTTTCTTCTTACCTTTATGAGGATCCTTAAAATCTTGTTTCTTCTCACTTCTGTAATTGCACTTACTTTCACTGTTCCTTACATATTCTCTTGAAACTGCGCATTTTACATTCTTTGACGTTCTGTTCTCATCACTGGCATGTACAGGTGGAAGATCATGATCAGCTCTAGCTTTTCTTTTGCTACCCTGGATGTCGTCTTTTTTGGCTAAGAAGTTAGTATCATCTCCTGCAACTGTCCTGTTACATTGAGCCACATAACTAATATGTTCCCTATTCCTGTGAGAGGATTTCAGCATCTTGTGCTCAACATTTTTGCTAAGCTTGCCAGGATCATTAGCATTTTTAACATGCTTCATCTGTCCTCGATGATTACCAGATTTTTCAGGAGTAACCTTGTCCCTCAAAGCTGCTTTGAAGGAATCATATGGCCTTTTAACCGAGATAACCAAGTTTCTCTCTTTAGCATCTTCTACTAGAGCAGCCCAAGTACGGTTTGTCTGCAAAGTCCTTGCATTACCAAAAACCCAGAGGGAGAGTTTGGCTCTTGTCAAAGCAACATTCATCCGCCTTACATCAGCAACAAACCCGATACTGCTGGAGTTGACACCATTTGCATGAGAATCTGACTCGGCTGCTCTAACGGTGGAAAATATCAATATGTCAACTTCCCGGCCTTGAAAACCATCAACAGTATTGAACTCCATATCAGCCATAACAGCAGACCCAAATGTGCCAGAAAAACGAGAACGCAGAAGTGAAAGTTGACTCTTGTATGGAGTTATGATGCCAATTCTTCTACCATCAAAATCAGAGGGATACCTACATAAATTATCCATAGAACAAAAATATTATTATTATTAACTAAAGGATAGTAATAAAACACGCTTGTTTTCCCTAAAATGAAAAATGAAAAATACCTCTTTTTGAAAAATCTCAGTAGTTCAACAGAAGCTTCAGCCTCATGCTCATTATAAAGAGAAAATGCACCAGAATTCTTACCACGAAGTTCCTGGCCATCAGTAACATCATAGAATACATAAGGGCCAAGACCCTTACTCTCATGAAATGATGCTGATTTGCTTGACATTTGCTCTCCATTCAGCAGATTACCATCATAAAAATGCAGCGACGGAAACCGGCAAATCTCTGGGTGCATCCTATACTGTAACAGTAAATAGTTTGTAAATGTACTATGTTTTAAATGAATATACTGGTACTTTTGTTCTATCTTTTATGGCTGCATCCATTTACATTTTGTAAACCATCATTTACATGAACTGAGATCTTTTAATACATAGCACTCGAACCTACCAATCAAAAGTCACTGTTTGCATTAGGTAATTGTTTTAAACCCAAGGATGATCCAAGTAGATCAAAACAGGTGGAAGGAAAGTTACTCACCTGTTTAGTAAGCAAGGTAACTGGATAACCAGCCCTTTGTAAACGCTCAAACATGCTGCACTCATAGAGAAATTTGCTAGCAACATTAGAGAGGACTGTCGCAGGAAGCTGCTTTGGATCACCAACCTTTGACGACAAAATTCAAACTTCACTATCAACAAAATCTTCAAAAGATGCTTTAAACATAATGGTAATGTAGTCCTTACCATGACACACTTCGTCCCATATGATTTTAAAAGTTGAAGAGGAATCAAAGTAGCAGGTTCCAGAGCCTGCAAAGTCAAAAATGCAAAGCTCAGAATGAAAAAATGGAAAAAAGCCAGTTGATGGATGACACTGAGAAACCAAACAACTAGGGTTTCAAGAAAGTTTACTTGAGCTGCTTCATCAATAACAACTGCATCAAAAAGGTTATGCTCAGATGGGTTCCCAAATTTATAACTTGACATAGATTCAGAGCATACTCCATAGAGATCTCCACCACACCCACTTAATGTAGTTACCACTATTTCAGCTTCCTTTAGTATTGACTTTCGCAGCTTATGTTTCAGAGTCTTAACTTCATCATTATATTTCTTCTCCCGTGCCTGAGCAGCACTAAGATCTTTAAAAATTTGTTTCTTTTGTTCATATAACTTCTGTAGCTTCACGTTTAATTCAGCATCTGACATTGCTTTTACATCATCCCCTTTCAGTGTTTCATCATCGAAAGAATTTTTGAGGTCTGAATTTCCATCCTGTAAATTTGCACGCTTAGCCTCATAGTACCTAATTTGGTCGACTAACTTTTCCAGATTAGAACGCAATGCTGCAGATGAGTCTATGCTTGAGTCATTCTTGGTATCACTCAGCCGCATCCTCTCTTCAGCTAGACGATGATCAACAAGTGTATCAATAAAGAAGGGCAGTGAATTTGGATGAACTGTTTTAGCATTACCAACCCTTACTATGTAAGGCTTGTACATTTTACCATCCCTGCCATACAGGCCTCCACTGGAAATTCTTGATACCAACTCATCAACTGCGGCATTCGATTGAGCACAAACTAGCACCCTTCTCCTCACAGCATTTTCCACTGACTTTTCATTTCTTTCCACATCCTCATTTAATTGTCTAGCCAAGGCAGCAGCCTGCCATGCCCTTGCAATTGCAACAGACTGGCTAACTTTTGGCCTTGTATTCATGCATGAACTACTAACTTGTTTTGAATGTAAATGCTTTGGATCATTTGTTCCTCGTAGTGAAGCAAGCAAGCCACTGACAATGGCCAGTATAGTTCGGGTCTTCCCAGTCCCTATTAAAATAAAAGAAACATCACAATACTGTAAATTTCAGATCCACTCTGGATTGACCATGTTTAGAAGTCTTACCTGGAGGACCCTGAATAAGAGACAATTCAAAATCTTTCTTTGAATTAGGCAATCCAATTGCAACACTGATAGCCTGTAACTGGCTGTCATTAAAAGATGACTTCAGTACTTGTTGTAATGGCTGGGAAAGCTTATCCAAAGCCAGCTCTCTTGATTCATTATAACCCAGAAAAGCATCAGCAGGTTTTAGAATAACTGACAGAATGGGGATATCCTTTATTGATGATAGCACCTGAAATTCTCGAAGTTGAGGTGTAATGCTCATGATGCGGCTTGCATGCCATTTACTACGCTCCAGAAGTTGCTTCCTAGCTTGATTTAAACGTGAAGATCCATTTAAAAAATAGAACCTGATTAGTAGCATACTCGCCCTTCTTTTATTGTCTCTCTCGCGTCTCTCCACCTGAGAAACAGGCAGGTTACTTGAGCTCAGCGTAAAGTAAATATATTTAGGGAACACAACAGCAAATAATATCACAGAAGTTAGAGTGTGGTTACTTACAGAAAACTGTTAGTGTGTTTACTTACATAAAACTGCTTTCTGTTTTCTAAGAAAATGGAAAACGCGTTTTAATTGGTGACAACAAAAAATCATATTTAATTCAAAAACATTATTCATAACTTTCATAATTAAAAAATAACTAGTATAAAATAAATTTATGATTTTTTTATTCAAAAATTTTTTAAATTTTTATTATTGATTGTTTATGATAATAAATTTTTTAAAAATAAATGATATAATTATAAATATATATTTGTAATAATAACTACATATTAAAGCATAATATAAAATCAAAAAATTAAAATATTTAATTAAGTTATTTAAATATTTTTTGTTATATTTCAACAAAAATATTCTTTCAGAAAAAAATTATAGATAATATAATAATTATGAAAATGTCATTTTTTCTAATGGAAAACAGTTGGAATACACGACTTTGCTATAAAGAAAATCTGTGGAAAACAATTTAAAATTATTTTCCAAATCTTATTTAAATTTTGAAAAGCTGAAGACATGTTTTCCAATTCTCCAAATGGAAAACTAACTGATTCCAACACAAAACTCTACTTTACAGTTTTCTTGAAAAACTTTTCTACAAAACTACTCAAGTTTTCCACAAGTAAAAAAGCCCCTAGTATTTCGTGAAGAAATGGAAATCTAACTGATTTCAACGCAACCTTGTTTTCCAGATTTCTTGGAAAACTTTTCTAGAAAACTACTCCGGTTTTCTACAAGTAAACAGCCCCTGGTATTTCGTGAAGAAGATGATTCTAATCTTAATTTTTGTCATCTGTCACTCAAATGAATCTGAAATTAGGATTTGAAAAGTGAGATTAACAAACCAAAACTAATAGCATCTCCAATTAGGATTTAACCATCTGCCACTAGAGCCTAATAGCATCTTTAAACAATGCACGACAATCAAGAACTTGGAGAAAATAACAAATATGCCACAAAAGCTTTGTGTATAAAAGAAAAAAAAAGGGATTAGATCACGGAAATTCCTAACTATAAATGCATAATAAGGCACCAGATACCTTTCCAACCATATGAACATCATGGGAAGTCCTTTGTGGAGCCTCTTTTGTTAGCAAAACAAGGTCATTTTCTGAAAAGCTTTTGGATGATGTAGAATCATTGTCATCATGGACGAAGCGAACAAGGTGGAAGTCATCAACCCTCTCAACTGACAGCACAGACAGACTGCCATAATACATCTCATCCCATGAAGACATCTCCAGAAAGGAACTGTGCAACTGTGCTTTAAACTCCTCCAAAACTAATGGCCGAAAAATTTCAACATACTGTTCTGGTGATTGAAAGCACACCGGAACCTCCTTTAATTTGCTAACATTCTGATTCTCATCTTTATCTGCAGACATTAAACCTACTGTTTCAAAGTAATTTATCTCCAAAATGGGCCTAAACCAGGCATCAAGCCTTGGAGGCTTGAACCTTTTAACTCCAGCATCCAATCTGTGTAAACTTCCAATTCTATTTTCAACAGGCGTTTTGAGTTGGATAACTTGCCTTTTTGGACCAGAAGCACTTAGCTTTGCCAGAAAGGAGGACGGTTGTCTCACAGATTTGAATGCAGACTCAGAAAGATCTTTATTAGCATCATGTACAATCTCTTTTAATATTGAATCTCTTGTTTCAGAAACCTTGCCATGGCTAAATTGATTCACAGTTTTAGAATTCACAGACACATCACAGGAGTTCTTCAAATTAATTTTACATTGAGATGCGAAGACATCTTTTACACGGACTATTGACTTGACTTCTTTGCTCTTATCATCAGCAGGTGATTGGCCTCTTAATTTATCAAAATCCTGCTTCTGTATAATGAGACCAGATCTGTCTAAAGAATCTGTTTGTTCAAAGGCATCTGATAAATCTCTCAAAGTATCAATGACAGAAGCCTTCTTTGAGGTGTCAGCTAGTGAAGCACTTCTGTCAGCTGTAGGATGGCTATCTAATCGACCAGGACCTGAATCCTTATCAGGTAGAATGACCTTAGCAGGTGAAATATGTCTTTCTGATTCATCATCTGAAAGCAAAATCACATTACTTTTGTCCGTTCTATTATCTGTCGATGAGCCCAGGGCTTGAAGAATGGTATCCTTTGCAGGGGAAGCATGCATTTCAGAAGCAGTATGCCTTTTCGTAAAAGACAAATCTTCAGAAAATAAAGCTCTTGGTCTTAATGTTTCAATCCCACCATCACAAGAAACTTTCTTAGCTAATGAAACACGAAGGTGAGAAACTTGTTCCGACAATTGATCAACACTAACATTCTCTAAATCAAGAAATAATACACATGTTACGAAATTGTAGCCAATTAACAAAATAACAGATGACCAACAAGAACGTTCTAATCATAAAGGTTTCAAGAATAAACAAAAATACTCACCACATGTAATAAGATTCTCTATAGCCTTAACAGTTGATGCAGAAATATCATTGCAAGACACTTTGAGCACATTCAATATTGAAGTTACGGTTCGTTTCCAATAGACAAAAACAACTTTAAGCGATGATTTTCCCCAATCAATCAGATCATGTAGCCATATGAAGTCCAACACATTTTGCACCCTTTTTCCAGAATCTCTAGAATGTTTATGATAAAGTCTCTCGAAGACATCGGGAAGGATTTCAAGTACACGTACACAAGTCATCTGAAACAAGGAGAATGACATGAAAATGCTCGGTCAAAAAATAAATTTTAATTCCACCAGTTCGACATCAGCAAATTACGTTAAATATTTAAGAAAGCAAATATATAATCAAGCTCGGGATGGGGGTCGGGAAAGAGGTGAGCAGAATAATTTATTAACTACAGCTGCTACAATACCTGACAAAGACTGTAATCAATAAATGCTTTCCCTTCTACCAGGCATTTGCGAATTGATGGCCAAGCAGTTTCTGATAATAACTGATGGAAATTATCCAGTGATTTTGAGTCAACATTAGATGAATGCCCATCGAAGTTTACCAGCAAAGGTTTGAAGATTGGCTGTGTCAAAAATCCACCTTGGGAAGAGTACTCTTTTACATTTGAATTTTCAGAAACATCTTGATTGGGTAAATCCCCTTCTTTAATTAGTTTCCGGAGAATAAAGAAAAAGTGCTGCAAAGCCTGAAACTTTGATATAATAGAGTCCAACTGAACCTGTAAAAGGGAAAAGAAAATATAAGAATGGCAAAACAATAAAAAACATTAAAGGGAATTTTTCTTCAATCACTACCATTATTAAAGAGATAAGCATTTAAAATATCGCAAGATAACATCAGCAGCCTTTTCAAGCCAATTACTTAAAGGAAACACCATAAACCGGACCACAACTTATGAGAAAGAAAGAAGAGGATTAAATTAAGGCAGAGGAGACAATATACACCATTTAGAAGCTTAAAAGGCATGTATTGGTTCATCTGACAGTATAAATTTATCCTGAAAGTAGAATAATCTCTTTCATAATATATAAGAAAATCAAGAGTAAAGTAGAAAAAGAAAATAAATTTCAACTGTGCGTCAATACTATAAGTCCAAAGGAAAGAAGCATCCACTTACCACTTTCAATGCATGTCTCAACCCTAAAAACATGGCCGACAAAGAAGAACCACCAGAACAAAGGAATTTCAGTCCACATGCAAGACCCTTTGTGTTGGAAACTTGCTCCAAGAGAGACTTACCAACTTGCCTTACACTCTGCATAAAGCAAAACTTCAGTGGATCAATCAGATGTGTGTGTGTATATACTTTTGTGTGTGTGAGAAAGAGAGAATTCATCATTTCCAAACAGTAAAATGTCCCTTGCTATATAATTGACTTTGACATTCTTACATCATTAGGATCCAGAAGTGAAAGGATTAACGCCTCTGCCATCCTTGGTTCCCACGTCCACTGCTTACGAAGTTCGCCCTGCCCCACCTGAACTACAAAATGCGCAGTTAACCTGTAGAGACATTTAGAGAATTTACTTAGGAGATCAGTAAGGAGGATTGAGCATATGAACTTAATCTAGAGCATGCATAATAAAAGCCAATGTATCATGATATAGAAATCAACTTGAAAACCTGTAACATTAATTGCTATAAAATGAAGATTCAACCTTGGGAAACAAAATGCTTAAAACCTGTTAAATGTTCTTATCAAAGGAAGATGCATCATTGACACTCTGATCGAGTTTTTTGACTCCTTCCCACCTCCACCATCATCAAAACCAGTAGGGACCTTCCACCCAAATGAGGCGGAGATTTCTGGGGCTGAAGACAAAAGCCAAGTTCTGACAGCAAGTACCATTTCCGGACTGGTTTCAGGTTCTACCATTGTTAAACGAGATCGGGCCCAAAAAACAGCCTTTGAAAATGACACCGGAAGGACTGATGGATCAATATCAACTAGAACATCCATCCATAACATGGGAACGCACATCCACCCTCTGTACTCCTGAGAAATAATCTTACTCTGAGCACTGAATTCACTCCAACAACTATTATCCTTTTCTTCAAAATCTGAAGAAAATGCAAGTCCATTATCGTCGTCGTCGTCGTCGTCCAACTCAACTGAAATGTTTCTATTGTCATCCCCAGGTATACGATTATTCAACAACGCAGTTACTAAGGCAGCAGCATCAGACGCTACAATAGTTTGCACAAGATCAAAAGCAGGTTGCCGAAGAGAACTATGAAGGGAAGAATCCTTCAAAGATGACACAAGCGAAGGACCCCTGTCAAATAAAATTGCTTATCAGTGGAAAATTCTTGCCCAACAAAATAGTTGAAATCAATCATACATATAAAAAGGATGTAATGACACTAACTCACCATTACTATATTTCAATAAAATTTCAGATGGATTTGAATAAGATAGTTAAGAAATGTCATTTTAATCTGATCTAAATTTAAACATAAGCCAAAAGGTTTCTTACGTAGTTAACACCTAAAAGTCTGGCCAAATTTCTACGTAAACCTAGCAAAAATGACATTATTGAAACATAAATTGAGTGATTTAGAATGATGGATGATAACTTGAAATTGAGTGTTAAAATTCAATGATAAGTTTCCGACCACTAGTTAAATTAATGAAAACGTTATTCCATGAAATTATCAATAATATGTATGAGCTTCCAAGAATATTAATGATAAATAAATGAGGATCTAGTACTACATACCACATATGCACACATTCAACTGGGGGGCATGGCGGGTTCATCTTGTAGCCTCGATTAACGATGAGAAGAGCTATCTGAAATTACAATCTTGCAATAAATTGAATAATGAGCCAAAACAACAGCGCTATCTTCATAAGAACTTATTGCACATAAAATGCTGTATTTGTCTAACAGTCTAGAAGAAGTGGATACCTTGCATGCTAATTTTCTAGTTAGAACATTGAAGTTGCTGCTCGCAGGAACTTGATGCAGAAGAAAATAGAGGAAATGTCTTCGCTGCTTTTCGTGTTCCCCGTCTTGCAAAGCCTCAAGTGACTAGACAAGTCAAACTTGTGCGCATCAGTAATGTCAAGAAAGTACCTTAAAGATGTGGATAACACAGATAAATGGCAAGTAGGATTAAAGAAGTATTAATAAAGGCTCAGCAATGGTTCACAGACATGCCTGAAGAAAAGGCGGAAAAAGATCAAAGATATCTTTATGGATTTTCTCATTTCGAGTATGGAAACACTGCCCCAACAACGTATTTCGCATCACACTTGGAGACAAAGTGGATCTCAGCCAAAGCTTGCAACCTTAAACAAGTTCACATGATGAACACTTCATCGTTACAAATGTAGCCAGATATTAAAATGGGGTACAAAAAATAGCACTTACCGAGCATTTTGAAGAGTTCTTTCAAGCAGCTTACTGCATGAGAAAATTCAGCTGAATCACCACTGATATGATTGAGCACAATATCAAAAAAAATGGGATACCGCTCCAGTATGCCTTCTTCAAACACAGGAGGTTCTAAAAACTCGAGCCTTCATGGAACATGTAAGGGGAAGCATGAGAGACAGAGAGGGAAATAGAGAAATTGCTAAAGATTGAGATTTTAGTGGTTGATTCCTACAAGGATGTGAATCCAAGCCATATAGATAGGCGCTCCATCTGCGCCCTTGGCCTTGAAGTCTTAGAAACTGATGGAAGTGCTTCTGTCTCCAAAAACCCAATAAATTTATTCAGCAAAGGCTGTAAAGGTTCCATATCTGCTGCTCTCCTATGCACAAACAGGACATTATTATTGAGGTAAAACACAATCCTGGATACCTAATTGATGTTACAATAACCTAAAGATTAAATTTCCACAGAGAAGACGCCAATGATCTGTAAAGATGAAGAGTGAGTTTCATTTGTGATTACCTATTAACATAATATGATGAACTAATGAAAATAATCCTTCTGCACTAGCCGAGGTTAAGTAAGCTCCCAAGTGGCACTTTTAACCAAAATCACCATAAAGGTTTTTAACAATAGATGTATGTAGTAATTGCTCTGACTAATATAAATGAGATCTCACCATAAATATGGAAGACTAATTTCCACAACCAGAAAAACATAAACCAAAATATGCAAACCCTCATAACCAGAAACCCAATCATTGCCCATAGAAAGAGAGCATCAGCAATATTGTCCATACTTTAAACCCAAGCTATTTTGACAAATATCTAGAATTAGTAACTAAAAGAGAAAAGAACCTTAGTTTTTCCATAGATCGAGCTAAATGTCGACCAACAGTACGCACCCTCCTATTGAAAAAAAGCAATGCATAAACACCCTGACAAATCAAGTGCAATGTATAAGGTAGTGACAAAAAAATTAAGAGAAATAGTCATGAACGGCAAGAAATGCTGAAGAAAATTTATGTGTGCATGTGTTTTTTATTGTACACAACTTGGCCAACAAAATACCGGAAATTGTTGATGTCCAGCTAAAGCCAGCTCATGCATATTATCAACTGCTTCAATAAATGATTCAAATTCAGTGATCAAGGACTGATCATCGAGCAGGATAGGAAACATCAAGACCTGTGAATTAGTTTGCACCAAGCACACACCAGGGTGCAGCAACCAAGTACCATAAACGAACAAAACAGAGAGAAAGAAAAGTCAGCTAGGCACTAGAAATGAGATCAAGCAGGTCATCTCAAGACAAATATTAAAAGTACAATCATACATCAAGGTGCAATAATTGTTATGAGCTACAAACTAAGAGGAAATACAGCACCAAAAAAATATAATGCATCACTAAAACTTCTTCATATGCTGAAACACTAAAAAGCAACATTTGATCATAGTACAGATTCAAGCTAATCAAAATTTGATTGTATGCCAGTGCACAATAAACATAGTAAAACATTAAGAAACTGCAATAATAATAAAGTAATATTCATACTCTATAATCACCTTATATTTTATAGGCACGCCAACAAAGTCGATCAACTAAACTCCCATAGTAGAAAGCAACTACCAATATGTCTACTCTGCAGAGTAAGCAATTACCAATATGTCTACTCTGCAGAGTCTGCACCATATGAATTTGCAAACAATACTAAACTCACTATTCAGTATCCAACTACACGAGAGTATGCTCGCTTATTACTATGCAAACAGTAATCATCTGCCATACACTTGTTATTTATGAGTTAAAACAACAATCACAGTATCACATTTTACCTCATACATGAGACTAACGACTTCTGAATTATCGCGCAGAGGATCGTACTCTTCCCTCTTCAGTCTAGCATTCATCTCTCGTAAGTGTTGAGTCACCCTTTCTTCATCCAGACTTCGCAACACATCGAGAAGGGGGCCTATTGAACTGAACTCATACTCCGTACTGTACATTTCTTGGGCCTGGTGGTGCTGAGATATGCACTGCACGCACTGGCGTATTTCCTCAGAAATCCTCTTCCACAAAAGCCGGAGAGGGGAATCAGAGCGCTCGTCTTTAAAATAATTGTAGAATGTCTCCAGAAGAGGCCCCATTAAATCCCAAGAGCCACACCATATATGGGTTTCCTTAGGCAAAGTAATCAAAAAATTAAACGTATCTGCAAACCTGCCATGGATATGGAAAACAAAACTACTTTTACTGCATATTTAAAGTACACAATGACTTCCTTAAAAAGGAAAAATGAGAGTGACAAAAAAAGACCATTCTTCTTTGAGTTTGTGAAGGCGACGTCTTTGCAATGGATCGCCGTCATCGTTTTGCTCTTCCTCTGTTTCTTCAATCCCTCTCCATCTATCTAATAGCTCTCTCCGGGACGCAATCTTCGCCATGTCTCTTTTAATAGAAGAAGGGGGACAAGATGAGAACGAAAAAAATCAACGATCGTCTGAATTTCAGGGTTTTCGATTCAATGGTAATTTTAGTTTGGGTTTTTCGGAGAGATGGAAAAGAGAGAGAATGGGATTCTTTCAGGCAGGAAGTCGGAGAAATGGAATTACTGCTGTATTTATACGGAAAGAGAAACCAAACCAAAGCGCCAAGACCAGGACGAGAACCGTTGAAACGCGACCGTATTAACTGGACTTGTTGAGGAACTTGTTAGCAGTAGAGTACGAAAACTGCAGTCTACCGTTTACCCTCGACTAACCCAACGTATGCTTTGGAAACGACAGCATATTGTGGAAACGGGCGAGGAACCAAAACTAGGGAACGCCATCGGTTCCGAAATTGCTCCCATCTCGACCGCTTGTTTAACTCCGTCCAAACTCCAATATTTTATTTTTTTTTTTAAGTATTCGGTATCCGAAATCACCGGCTCAACTTTCGAATTCACCTAAACTTTACTGATCATTGGAGGTGAATAGACTAATAAAGTATAAATTTATAGAGAATTTTATTTTGATTTGCATAATCAATTTTGCTTCAAGAGAGTAGGTCGCTCAATTTTTCTTGTGCAATAAAAATAATTTATTTGAAAATAACTAAAGAATGCAACTTCCTCAGTTAATTAAAATGAAATTATCAATTTAATCTTTTTATCTAAACATGCTTTTAAATTTAATGAAATTAATTGATTTACATAATCACAACGCAATAATTTTATATCTACAAATAAAATGAATACAATGCTTTTTCTCTTATTTGCATCCGCAGTTACGATATTGAATTTATTTGTTACGGATCAATTTTAAATTAAAAAAAATACTCGATCCAGTCATAATTAGTATGAAGAATGTTAGCAATTAGCAAAAATCAAAATAAAATTATCAAAATTAATATGAAAAACATTAGTTTTAACGAAAATTCGATTATAATATATATTTAGAGAGTTAATTGTCATGAAATTAAATAAAATGGTTGAGTGGATTAATTGTTTTATTTTCCAAGATAGATAACATAACATTAGTCATGTGATTTTCATTTTTGCCCTGCGCAAAATATTAAAAATTCACTTGAGCTTATTTGAAATTGAAATGGTCCCTTCCCTTCACTTTGCCTCGAACCAAAAATAAAGATGCACCACACCACATGGCTGTGTGACTGAGACATAGTCAAGTCAATCAACTTTTTCTTTCCCCATTTTATAGCCAAAAATTTAATTTGATGAATAAATATAAAAAAGCTCATTATTAAAATCTTATTTTCATAAGAGAGAGAGAGAGCCCAATTGGCCCACAAAGAAAAGGTGAAAGCCCCGTCGGTGCACTTTACCCTTTTTCAACTTTTATTAATTCAAAATCGAAGACGAAGGAAAACTCGCTTTCTCTCACGGGCACCAGCTGAGTGCGGTCGGCCCCAGACGCTGATGCAGGCTAGGGAGGCGACGCTGACTCCCAAAAACAAAACAAGCGCCCAAATTGAGCCCTTCAAAAAATACAAAGGAGCATACCTAAACGTAAAAAACCCTAAAAACGTTTCTCAGAGATAGAATAAGGAGAAGGACCATACTGAAACAAAAACAAAAACAGAAATATCTGCTCATGTCCCCAAAATCCCCTCCTCCTCAGGCACGTCGTTTATCTTATTTAAATACAATGTTCACTCTCTGATAAAAGCTTTCTTCAGTTCTTAAAACTCTTTTAAAAGCTTTATTATTGTTCTTCTTATTATTTATGCACTTAATAACATACTGATCAAAAGTACAAAACATGGATTTCGAAACGGAATCGCAGAAGAAGAAGTACGGAGCTGGGGTTTTTGGAGATGTCTACGCTATAACTATGATGCTTCCCAAGGACCTCGACAAGATGGATCCTCCTCCTTCTCCTCCTCCCTTTCAGCTCCGATTTCAACTTCCTGATCTCAGGCTTGCTATCAAAGTTAGTGCTTTATTTTTATTTTTTTATTTTTTGTCACTTCAAATATGGTTTTATTCATCCTTGGCATTGCTGTACTTTTGGTTTGCTACAGCTGTGTGTACTTGTGTTTAGTTGCTGCGGAAATCAAGGGAAGGGACGGACACTATGCCAATGAAGTGGGAATATCCTGAATTTTTAATTAATAATCAATTAACAAAAACCTCACTTGTTTAAGTGTTAGGAATCTTGATTTAAAAAAGAGTCCTAATAGTTTTCTACCATCAAACTCTTTTTTTTTTTTTTTTTTTTTTTTTTTTTATTTTTTTTCTGTCACTTCAATTATGGTTTATTCATTCCTTGGCATTGCTGTACTTTTTTGGTTTGCTTACAGCTGTGTTGTTACTGTGTTTAGTTGCTCGGAAATTCAAGGAAGAGGACGGACACTATGCCAATGAAGTGGGAATATTCCTGAATTTTTAAATTAAAAATCAATTAACAAAAAAAAACCTTCACTTGTTTAAGTGTTAGGAATCTTGATTTAAAAAAGAGTCCTAATAGTTTTTCTACCATCAAACTCTTTTTTTTTTTTTTTTTTTTTGGGAATAACATAGATGGTTTCTTATGTGTTGATTCTTTATAAAAAATATTAAAATTAAAAAGAAAAAAAGAATTTTTTTTTTTTTTTTTTTTTTTTTTTGGTGATAACATAGATGGTTTCTATGGTTGATTCTTTATAAAATATTAAAATTAAAAAGAAAAAAAGAAAATTTAAAATCATATTTTTGAGAGGAAAAAAGCGGATTTTGCCATCAATTTTACTTGTTGAAGAGCAAAGGAGTTGAATCCATGAGCTATGTTTTGTTCTTTTCATGTTTTAATCATCTGTTTGTTTTTTGTGGCTATAGAGAATTGAATCTTTGATTGAGAATTTTTTTTTATTGAGCTGTCAGAATGAAATGCATGAATTAAGTATAACCTCTCTAAGTTTTGGATTGTTTGCAACTCCTCTATTTATGTTGCTACTAACTGGTTGCAACTTTTGGTCATTGTTGCTTGATATTTTGTTGGTCATATGCAACTTATTTTAACCATATGTTTTCTTGGTTTTTAGCAAATACCCTTCCATTGTTTATATTGTGTACTAACACAAACTCCATGTTCATGTAACTCAGGATGTCGTTAGGACTAGAGAAGTTGGTGAGTTTCTGAGCGGGGCTTTGGCTGGAGCTATGACCAAGGCCGTACTTGCTCCTTTAGAGACTATCAGGTTAGTGTTGCTTGTTTTCTAGTTCTTTTTCATTTCTAAGTACTAATTTTCTCCATTTCATTTGTACATTATTATCTTTCCTTGCAATAGTGCAGGCAAAACTTTCTCTGGATCAGAGCAAATATTAATTATAGTTTTCAATGATCTCATTTATTTAACCAAATTCACAAATAAATTTTCTACAAAATCTCCTGATTAAGCATTTGAATAACTAAATTGCCAGGCACATATTTGGTTTTTGTCAATTAAAATTTTCTTTGCTGCAAAATGTTGTCAATTTGATGGGCTGAAGGACAAATAATCTTTAATAAAAATTTTAAATCTGAAATGAACTAAATTGAAGAAATTGAAATTTTCATTGGATGAGAATTATATGGCGGTAGATATCCTACAGTGGCAGAGTCGTTGTGCGGACTGTGCTAATGTAAATCAAATTAGTGAAGTTTAGAAGATCTTCCAAAAGTATATTAACGTATTTTTTTCTTGAACTGTAACCATATTGCTATGATCTACACTTGCTATTATTTCTGTTGGGAGTTTACATTTTTGGCTTGTTGAGGCACTTTCTCATTGATTTTGTGGGGGTATAGCTCTGCAGTTGGCTTTTTCAGCAGTATCTTGTGGATCCTATGAATTTTCTTCTTCCTCACTTTTATTTATTCTTTTAATTTTTTTGTGTTATAGATCTGTGGCATAGGTTCATTCCATTGTATACATCTTGCTAGATTGTGAATGCCAATAAAAGCTTGGAGTTTTAAATAATTATACCATATTAAAAACCCTATGGATTGACTAGGAAATGAAATGAGGTTCAAATTATTACAGAAGTCTATCTTAGATGGAAGGAATTTTAAAATGTCAGAAATTGACATTGTATTGAGGGTGTATTTCAATGTGGAACTCTCCTGGTCGACAAACTTGATTGCATTCCTGCCAGGTTTGAGCTTTTAAAAGAATTATACATCCTGCCATCTTTGCTCTTGTTGGTCAGTACTAGGAATCCAGCAGAGTCGAGCATGGAATTTGGGAAGTTCAAAGGCTTAATTTGAAGATTTTGTTTGATAGTAGAGCCAGTTGAATTGTTGTTAACTGTTACTTACCTAATCATTTATGAACCAAGTTCTGCCCTATCAAAACATTTGCCTGATATCTTACATGTCAAATATGCAGAACAAGGATGGTGGTTGGTGTTGGATCCAAAAACATATCTGGTAGTTTCTTTGAGATAATTGAACAGCAGGGTTGGCAAGGACTTTGGGCTGGCAATGCAATTAATATGATTCGTATAATCCCTACACAGGCAATTGAGCTTGGAACATTTGAGTGTGTCAAGCGAGCAATGACATCAGCCCAAGAGAAATGGAATCAGACTGAATGTCCAAAACTGCAAATTGGTCCTGTGAGCTTGAACTTGTCGCTTTCCTGGATTTCCCCAGTTGCTGTAGGTGGTGCTGCTGCTGGAATTGTGAGCACACTTGCATGCCATCCTCTTGAAGTTCTGAAGGTACTTTCGTGATGGATTATTCATTTAAGTTGAATGATTTTTTTTTTATATATTTTTTGAACCTCAATTCATAAATTATCTGCTGCTTCACTTTATGCTCCTCGTGATGATGTCATGAATCTTGCTTCATACCCCTTTTAGTATATCGCTTTGACCTGAGCACTTTATATAATGGTCAACCAATATGGTTCTTTTAGCTATATGAAATGCCCTAGAACTTTATTTTGTTTTATAATTTCAGCAGATTTTAAGACCTAAAAGAACATGAATTTACTATGTATTAGTCTGTTCTCATTAGTGTTTCCATTATATTCACTACAGGATCGACTGACTGTAAGTCCTGACATATACCCTAGTCTAAACATTGCAATTAGTAAAATTTACAAGGATGGAGGAATTGGCGCCTTCTATGCTGGTCTCTCTCCTACACTGATTGGCATGCTTCCATACAGTACATGCTACTATTTTATGTATGAGACGATGAAGAAATCGTACTGTCAAGCAAAGAAGAAGAAGTCATTAAACCGTCCAGAGATGCTCTTGCTTGGAGCTCTTGCAGGTGCGGCAGTAGGAATTAATTGTGCTTGCATATATAACATTTGCTTTTGATTTTCCAGAGTAATATTAGAATACATGTTTTGCATAAAAACATGGTGATGACCTTAGCTAATTGTATATATAAATAAAAGATTATCGCATAGATAACAGCAAGGAATGGTGCTAGAAGTTGGACCTTTTGTTGGCATATTGATCATGTTTGAAGTAGAATTAGATTTGCAATCCATGACTTTGCCATTCACTGCTTCATTTGAACATATCTGGTGTAGGAAATACGAAGTTATCTTTAATAGCTGGTGGAGCCAAATTAATTAGACCTATATTTTTACTGATGGTATGTGGTATCTGGTGTCTCATCTATTGTTGACATATTCCATTTTGTATGGGCAGGTTTTACAGCTAGCACCATCAGCTTTCCACTTGAAGTTGCCAGAAAACGACTGATGGTTGGAGCTTTGCAGGGCAAGTGTCCACCCCACATGGCAGCAGCACTTTCAGAAGTTATTCGAGAGGAGGGCTTGGTGGGGCTTTACAGGGGATGGGGTGCAAGTTGTTTAAAAGTCATGCCTTCCTCTGGTATCACTTGGATGTTTTATGAAGCTTGGAAAGACATACTACTCGTTGACAAACGTCTTTTATAACAGCTTTGATGAAATTCAGGCAGAAATCCCTTTTGGGGCTAACACTGGAATCTTTACTCATAATATAAGGTAGAAAGTGCCAGCCATTTGGCTGGATGTTGACGCTTGGGATCCAGGGTCTGGTATCCCTCCATTTATATTTTACAATGACAAGGCTCATGCATATGGTGTCGGTGTTGGGCTGTTTTATGTATGCCCATCGCCTCACTTCTGACTAGAAAAATCTCAGCTGAGTTTGAAATTTTTGTAGCCCCGATCACCTTTGGTATGTACTAAACAATTTATGTCAGCAAAATTTTGTTTCTTATGATTTTTTTAAGGGGCCTTTCTGTCTTGCATATTTGCTGTTTTTCTCATAGTAGCAGTAGCAACTAGCAAGCACGTTTTGACGTCTTTCAACTAGCTTTATCGTCGTACAATATAATTTTCCACTTTGAATCCTAAATGACTGGTTTTCAATTTTGATTCTTTTGCTTCTGTTGGAAAATGAATATTCCAAACCCAGTTTGGTTTGGTTTTTGATTTTCTATGATAACTCTACAATGAGAAGCGTGTCAAATTTTAGAAATAGAGGCAAGCACTTGCTCATATCATTCTGTGAAGTTGCCAATCATTTCCTCATCTACTACTTCAAAATTTTAAATAATTCCTTGCAGAAGGGTAAAAATACAATGATTCTATTTACAACAATTCTAAGTAGTTGCAGACTTGCACCTATTTGTGCTGAAATTAAGGAACACAAGAAATGTCTTGCAACACTTGTGACTTACAAACTACATGCTATCTAACTCTAAAGAAGTGCTGTTACCCCGTCTTAGAAACCTTGAGATAGAGGTGCTGCTTGATTGTGAGTTTTCAGTAACCATGTAAAGACAGAACAAGCATAATGCTGTCAAGAGGGGAAAAAAAAAGAATCAAAGTATAGCAGGAGATGCAATTATAAAATATCAGGACAAATTCAGAACATACACAAAACCGACCAAAACAATGGCATACTAAAGATTCGAGTTTTCATATTGAGAAGGATAACTCTTCAATTTATAAGAAAGCCTAAATTTGTGCAGTTTAAAAAAAACAAAAAAATCTTTCTACCGATGGATTCACTTATAAAATGGATAAAGCCAGTCTCTTTCTTTTATGGGATGGGATTTGAGAGAGAGCGAGAGGCATTCTGGGGGATTTGCAGTTCTAGCTCAACAAAATTTTAAGGTTTTTGCTGAAAAGGAAACTTAAAGTGACAATCAAAGAAAGCAAATTCTGAACTCCCAGTAAGACTGAAACAGAGAATGAATGCTAGTTGCCAATAAACATGTCAGAGCATACATACCAGCATAAGCAACTGTAAAACCCGAGACCAATCGTCCCAAAACTGACAGAACGTAAAGACAAATGACAACCTGAAGAAAAACAGCAAGTATTAACATTCGACTGGATATGACTACTACCTCTTTAAAGATAACAATGAAAGCAAGCATAAAGCAAACTCGGAAGGAAAAAGAATCCTTTCCTAAGAAGCCTTCAATTAGGCTTTCTAGAATAACGAGTTTTCGTAAACAAATCCTTTCTTTTAGTGAAGCTACAGCATAAATAAACCCATTCTCATAATCAGAGCACAGCATCTTATAAAAGAATGATTAGGGTTCATGACCAGTAAGTCACGGAGGTTAAAGTGGAACTCCCTACTCAAGATTATAAGAACGTAAATCGAGGAAGGCAAATGGCTTTCTTTACCTTGAAGAATAGCCTCTTGTCATGCCCAGTTGCTGCCACCCTCAGAACAGACTCAGCTGCTCCTATTGTATTAGCAAACCATGCTACGATGCTATTAGCAGTGTCCTGAGAGATCTGCCACTCGAGTGGATCCACAGGTACCCTACAAAAACCATATTTTCTTCAGTACAGACGTTATTGTTTGACTTGGATCATGAAAGATGATAATCCTAATTAACCAAAAAATTAAAAAATGAAATTTTTAAGTGTGAAGTCGATCTAAATATGAACTATTTAGTAAGAAAGCTTGATTCTTCTGGAAATCCCAAATCCAAATTTCGAAAGAGAGATTAGAAATACGACAAGAATGATCGTTGAAAAAAGAAAACTCTAAAATAGAGAGAAATTAGAAGAAGCGGTACATACGAGATGTTCATCTGGCGGAAGAGAAGGCCGAGAATGGCAAGGGAGCAGAGGAGGACGATGAGTACATCGGAAACCAAAGACAGAAGGCTGGCATTCCGATAGGCACAGTGGTAATAAACCAAACTACCACAGATCAATCCAATCATCGGTTTGCCGATTTCGCTTCTTTTGTTATTTTTGCTCTCCATATCTCCGACCCAAAGATTCAATCTTTTCTCATTTTCCGGTGTGTTTTTTATAATTTTCTTTTCTGACGACCGCTCCAAGTGTGATAAGACAAAAAGGCTGAATAGAAATGGTCGACGACGGGTCAATTTTATGCAATTTTTTCAACCAGTGATTCTCGAACTTGATGGCTTCTTTCAAAAAATAAAAGATAACTGTTTGACTCCGAGATAGATCGGATGCAAGACGAGACATTGTTGCCTGTTCAAAGAATTATTATTATTATATTTTGTTAAATAATTATTTTTCTTTGTTAATTTTTAACTTTTTAAATAATTTTTATTAATTAATTCAAAAAAACATATTAATTAAAAATTAATTTTTTGTGAAAAAATTGGCTCTTGGTGTGAGTTTAGGTAAAATAGACAAATGGTATATAGCTCAACTTCATTTTTAATATATTAATGAATCAACAACAAACATCTATACATCTACCCCTCCAAAAACAGAATAAGAAGAAGAGAAGAGAACGAAAACATGAATCTATCTATAACTGTAATCAAATTTCCCAAGCAATAAGATCAAGATTTACCAATCACTATTAGTTACTTCTATACATAGATACAGACATACAGTTGAACACACATATAATACAATATGTATACACTAAAACGTCAAAAGAGGAGCTCCTTGCTGCATTTTTTTGCAAAGAATAGTTTCCCAACATTCTTTTGGCCAGCGCGTTTTCTTCCCGTTATGCTCCTACACCTGCCCGAGGTATGAATTCTCATTCTCAGGCAATTTCATGCTGCTTCTCAGTAATTTTAGGTTTCTGAGGCTTCGCTTTCTGCATCACAATAATGAAACTCAGCAATGTTGCCAAAATTACATTTATCCACTCAGGATGCATGTCAGTGGATAGAAGCATTTCTGCTTCTACATCATAGTCTTAATACAAAATCTCTTGCAATGCAATATCAATGGGTATCCCATCAAATAAAGCAACAGAAGTGTGTAGAAACCAAGGTGTCCTTTGTCAATACAATTTAAAAACATATTCTTAATGCTGGCAATGACATTGGTTACAGCTGCTTTTTTTTCACCGACCTAAACTAGTCTCCACTTCATAAAACTTGTCAAGAAACACTTAACAAAAATAGTGATAAAATAGGGAACCTCTAATGTTCCCATGGAGAATCCTAGTAAGGGAAAATCTTCAAGGAGGCAAGAATATTCAAGGAATAATATCTTCGAATTTTGTTCCCACTTCCAACTATATCTATCCCTAGGGAGGAGAAGCAAGTTCATAGCTAAGCAACCATGTGCTGAGAAATAAAAAAAAAAAAAAATGGCCCGCTTTGACCTGTTGTTCAGAAATTATTTTGAGCACATACAAGATGCAGAGAATCAAATATGCACATTTATTTAGGCATGAAATTGAATGCACCTTCACCACAAAGTTGCTCAAACCGCGCGACTATGTGCTTCCCATACGTGTATTTCTTCAAAGCATGTAGATGAATTCTTATACAATTGAGCAACAGTCCCCGCTGTCTATCATTGCTTATTTCAAGAATCTTTTGGACCACATAATTTGCAAATTGGTCCTTCATCATTGTCTAAGATACAAAAAAGAAAAAAAAGAAAAATCACAATTCAGTTAGAAGTTGATAATTCCAAAATTCAGAGAATTAGAAATATCTGAGAACAATTGAACAAATGAGATTGAATGTAATTTAGTCCAAAATATCTTTCTTTTATGACACCTAAGACAAAGTGTATTTTATGTTTTGATTTTCTGACATACTCTATAAGTGAAAAATTAATAAAAGATAATTGTTTTGAATGACATACCTTGATTTTCAGCCAATTGTGAAAGTATTAAGAAACAACAATTTCACTTACCAATAAGTGGTCATTTTCCTCAGGTTGCCCAATTATCTCCTCAATCAAGAGCTCCTGTTCTGCAGGATTGCCATGCTCTAAACATTTTTCAATAACATTTGATGCATACTTATGCTGACTCATTTTTACAATTTTCCCACTCAGCTTGTTAATAATCTGGCTCCTCTCGCAAGGTTTTCCTCTTTCTAAAACATGCTGCAAGCAAGTGGCATATAAGATGTGCATTGAAGGCAAACAAGAAACTATGTAACATGAAAATCATATGAAAAGTAGAACTATTTAGGCTCACAAGGTAGTAGTCTGAATCACCAGATGTGATATTGTCAAACAAAGAAGATATTATCTTCAATATAAATACTAGAGAAGTTAGTGCATCAAGAAGAAAAAGGGAAAAAAAAGGGTTAAAACCCACCTGCGTGACGTAATTTCCATACTGGTCTTGAGCAAGAAGGTAAGCAGATTCCAAGATTTCATCTACTATACATTGACTTTGCAGTTCATCTGAGCAATGCTCCAACACTCTCTATGACAAACCAAAAAACAAAAGCTAAACTTTAGAAGCAATTAAGAAAAAGTGATATAGGGACTTGTGCACACATCAAACTATGGATAAGTACCTGAATGACACGACAACCATAGGGATGAGTGGCAAGTGCAGCAACTTGGCCTTGAAAAGCAGAAATAATAAATTCAATGTTCTTTGTAGGCAGACATTCTATACATTTCTGTATTACATGATTTCCATTCTGGTCATGTACACATCTCATGACATGCCCATCAAGCTCTTGAACAAGCCGTGTTTTCTGATCAGGCTCAATCACTTCAAGAGCCTGGAACAAACAATTATTTCACTGTGTCAATAGACTTTGAACTATATATAGGAACTCATTCAAACAAATGTAGGCAGTTAGCCCCAAAACATAATTTTGGGATCCAAGAACAGAAAGACATCATCAAATAAAAATTAAGAACTTGTTACCAAGGCCATTCCGACCCAATAAGCACCACCTTCTAACCTCTTTCTCTAAGCACCAATACCATGGCCAAATTCCAAGAGCTTATCAAACAGAAAATGAATGCCAAATAAAAACTGCTTTTTATTTCCCTTAAAAGTCACCCATCACTGAAGACACAAGGGGAAAATGAACACACTAATGCACTTTAGTACTAAAGTACTAGTCAACACACCAACCTGAATTGCATTCATGTGCTCCTCAAGTCAAAATCACTAGTTCATGCTTTAATGGAATTATAAGATTGAAAATGTAATGTATTTTGACTTACCTTCTGTATCACACGACAACCATACATCTGCAGACTTAACTGCAACATCTGTCCAGCAAGTTTATCTGCAAGCTCCTTTCGCTGTTCAGGACTTCCATGCTCAAAAAACTGCAACAAAAACAACCAGTTTCAACAATCAGTAACATGCCATTTATAAAGCTTAGAATTGAAATCCATTTAGATAACTTTCACCCACATTTTACCTTTCCCTTTTGGAAAAAAAAAGAAAAGAAGGGGGCCAGGGAGTGGGTGGGGAGGGGATCGTGAAGGGGATGGGAAACCATTTAAAGCAGGCAAATCATGAGTATACCTTTTGAATAACATAATTTCCAAAAACATCCGTCATTAATTTGGAAGCATGAGGAAGTACTTCTTTAAATACGGACACCTTTTCCTCAACATTGCAATGTTCCAGCTTTTGCTGAATAAACCGACTCCCATGTTGATCAACACTGAAGTTAAACATGAAATAAAATCATTTTCTTTTATTTATGTTGGTAGCGGCAAGCAATCACACTAGAGATGCAAGCAAAAAATAGCTCTATCAACTATAGGCCCTGCTATATGCCAGAACAACTATATCGCTTGCTATAGTTCAGTGTTGATCAAAAATAAGATTGGAACCTGCCTGAATTCAGCTATATGTCCCGCTATATCAGAAAGTTTGAATTTCTGGCCACTACTTGATTTTAATTCTTCAAGAAAATAATGCCTTTTGGGCTCATCAAAGCTGTTAACTCTCTGTAGTTGACCTCCAGAATATAGTCCTACATTTCTATTTGAAACTTGGGGGAACCTTGTGTCATTTCGCTGACCGATAATATTGATTCCACCAACAGGAGATGATGGCATTACTGGACTGGCAAGTGGTGCAGCTGGGAATTGGGTCATGACACCCATACTTGGAGGTCCTCCATAATAACTACTACCAGTAATTCCCACTTTTCCTGGACTTGGCATGCGTAAACTTCCATTAGTTTGAGGCTGAAGTTTGTGATCAGCCCTATAAGTGACAACTGATGACTCCTGAGGAAGAAAAGAATCAGACTGACCCCCTGTGGCACCACTTAGTGCTGAATGATTCTGCTGAAATGTAGCACTATATGCATCACCAAAAGGATGCTGAAAGTATTGCATGTAAAATGGATCCAAATATGAAGGTTGAAGCATCAATCCATGTTGACCATAAAACTTGCCTGGATGTTGTAGACCACCTACATGTGAAATGTTTTCTCCAGTCAAAACACCAGTAGCTCGACCATCAAAGCCTGGGCCAGAAGCACCAAATGGCACTGGAATTGCACTATGAGAAGGATAGCCAGTCATAAAAGGGGGAAGAAATGCAGAACCTAAAGCATATCCTCCCATACTGTATTGTGGAGAATATAAACCAGATGGCTGAAAGTTAGGGTAAAATGGAGTTCCCCCAGTCATATAGGCAGCTGCTGATGTGTACGAAGATGTGTTGAGTGCAGGAGAATGCAATGATGGCTGTGCCTCAACAGAGGAGAGCCTAGGATGGTCATGGGAAAATTTTTCCATGCTACTGTGAATTTGGCTCATTCCTTGAGAAATCATTTGCGCTGGAATGACTTGTTGCATATATGGATGATTTTGAGGCATATTCCTCCCGTAAGCTTGTTGTTCTTCTTTGTTATTTCTCATTCTAGGCTCTCTAGCAATACCAGACTGAAGGACACCTCGACCAGAGGTATGACCCTCAGAACCACTATCTTTAGTGCTCAATTTATCTTTTTGCCTTATTGGTTTCTCATCAAGACGTGATGAGCTAGGAAAAGAGGCAATTGTAGGATCATTATCAGAGATTAGCCTAATAGCATCTACCTCCAGCACATGTGGATCAACGCAAACATCATCAGAGCCTGAATTTGATTCTGATGGTTTTGAAACGTTGATAGAGGAAACATTTGAAGCAATTACATGGACATCCAAATCAGTGGCTTCCTCTGCTGCATGGCTTGAGGAACGAGACTGACTATAAACAGGAGAAGGGGTGCGAGGGAAGTCCGCCTACAAAACCACCAAAAGGTTGTGGAGGAAGACATGATGATAATTAAAGCAAAGCAACATTTTTCAAATAAAGAATACCAACAATTACTTTTGAACTCAATATGTCATGGACAAGTTAGGGGAAACTAAAGCTATTAGAATATATATATACATACATACATTTTATGTATATTTTGTATATACCAATGTACTTATCAACATGTATGGGCGTCCAAATATGAGACGTACAGTGGATGGATAGACTTCTAGTTTCATGGAATTTTCAACAAGCAGGCAGTAAAAGCAGCACGATAATGGGGTAAACAAAGCTTTGATTCATAATCCATTTTCAAGCTCCCTACAAAAAAATCAAATTACCATATGGTGAAACTAGGAAGCTTTATACCTGTATTAGGTCGACCAAACTTTTATGACGACCTGCCAAAGAAGTTGAATTCTGTCCAGATGTAGTTGCATTAATATTTTCTGATGCTGCTCTGGGTGACTTATCATCCTCTGGCTCTTCCTTATGAGTTGAAAGCATATACAGTTGCAAGGATTTATTGCCACTGTCATCTGTAGAAGCAGATCTCCAATTATTACCAAAACCACCAATATGACGTACAAGTCGACGATTCTCTCGTGACATGAGAGGTGGGGGAAGCCGTGGATTCATGTTGATGTTAGAACAGTAGTATGCAAAATAGGCTGGATCAGAGCGCAATTGTTCCTCTGACTCACAATTCTCAATAGCACTGCTTATACTTTCAAAGCTAGAACTCATGCTAAAGTTTTGTTGAGCTATAAGGTTCCCAATAGCAGCAAACGATCCCTCCATACTTGGGGGTGCACTGCCACTTCGACTGGGAACCATATCTGTTTGGTCCCCTTGGAGTCTATGCCCCTCCACAAGCAATCCCGGGTTCTCTGCAGCCACAACATTTAAGGGTGAACCAAATATAGCTGCATCCTTAGAAGATGGCCACTTCCCAGCTCTACCACTCTCCACCATTCTCATAGGACTCTCAGTTGCCATCCTGATTAGGACGATGCAGAAGCTTTTTCTTTTCTCTTATTTTATCCTAAAAGAGGAAATTACATTATTTGATCCATTGCCAAGTTGACCAAATGCTGCATTCAGCAATTTAAAGTTCCAATAAGAAAAGAGAAGTAAAAATGATACAGCTAAGGAAACTAAGTCCACTACAAAGTTCCAAGAAGAGGAGAAGAAAATAGAAAATGATACACCTAAGGAAACCAAGTCCTAAGAATTAGATAGCTTTTCAAGCACAAGAATTGTGAGATTAAAAGAGGAAAGACAACCAACTGAATTATGAAGTCCAATAAAGAAGCTTCAACCTACTAAAGTACAGTTCAAATTTAAATTCATACTATCTCTGACCATGAACTCTACATCAATATTAAGAGAGACGCACTATTCCAATCCTCGTTCGCAAAAATCCATCTTTCAAGTAGCAAAAATCTAGGTCACATCATCTTGCATAACCGAAATAACCCAATATCAAAGAAGGTTACATACCACACAAATCTCTGCTTCTCTCTATTATGATTTGGAACTTTAAATACCGAAATGCAAAAAATATCATCATACTGGCAGAACAGTTTCATTACAGCAATCCATATAATATAATGATAATGTTCAAATTTGTCTGCTATATAGTCCACACACATCTGCTAACTGATAAAAAAACACCAAACCATAACGAATTAAAGGTTCAAGAACCATAAATAGAAATACACTTCAACCATAATTACCGCGAAACAGCATTAGAAAAGAGGAAAAAGGAAAACTTTTCCAGGTAAAAACTAGCAGGTAACCCATACACTTGAAAGCAAAAAGCAATGAAACCTGGCAGAAAAAAGCCAAATTTAGGAAAATCAAATAAACCCATTAACCTCAAAACACTATATCCGTTGTGCAAAGAATTGGTCAACAATCAAATTGAATGATCAGACGCATGTGCATAGTAGGTGGTGTGTGTATTTGTTGCGTCGCGAAGCAATGAAAGTCTGACCAGGTGATAGAGAAGTAAAACCACCCAACCCAAGTCGGAAGAGGTTTGTAAGGGGACGAAAGTTCAAGACTTTAGAGTTCAGAAAGAGAAAGCAAGAGCTTGTTCTGCTTTGTCAAATACAAATGTCGCTTGCAAAAAACCCTCACAGTCAGGCAGCCCCAGGGCTCAACTCTTGTATCTCTTTTTAGTAATTAAATTACTAATTTTTTATCCGATTTTGGTCATGTTAATAGACTGAAATGACGATAACACCAGTGGGCGTGTTTCCATAGAGAATGTTGGTAAGTGGGAGTAATTTTATTCGAAGGAGCAAGGGTATTTGGTCTTCTAATGAGACTAGCGACAGACAAGCACGGACACGTGTTCGTAAGAAATCTTGTAACAAATAAGTATTGACACGTGGCATCAATGCTAGTCGTTCTTGGCTAGGGTGTGTTTGGATTTGGCACATAACTACTTTCTTTTTTTACCATTTTTGGTTTGTGCATCCTCGACGAAAACGACCTCCCCAAAGCCTACCGTTTGAAAGGAATTGCAGTTTCATTTCATGTGATACACGATTGTATGATTTTTATGATTTATTGTAGTAAATCCTGCAAAACTAGAATAAAATATTACTGTTCTATGAGCAGAAGCGTTTTTTCTAATGCAGTTAATTGAAAAAAAGGACTGTGATATTATTTTAGCCAAAAACAAAATAAAACAAGTAAAATGGGAAGGAAGAGTCATTCACTTCCTTTTTCTCCCGAACAAAAACGATAATGCTTGCCATAGATTTATGCTCATCACTCTTAAAATAGGGAAATTAGTGAAGGAGAGAGGAGAGAAGCGAGGGGTAAAATAGTAATTCCAGAAATAAGAGTAGTAAGCAGTGTAAGAAAAGGAAACAAAAGCGTATAAAAAACACAAAAGCAAAAAGATAGAGCTGACGTGACGATAACAGAGGCCATCAGATAATCCGCTTACCGTCTTTTAGTCAGAGCCCACAAGAGACCCCATGCCAAATGGCAACCACATGCTGTCCTATGCACTAGAAAAGTGGCAAACAAAAAGCCCGTAGCCCTCGCCCCTTGGGATCTTGTGGGGTTCAAGTCCCAGGTCTTTTAATTCATTTTTATCTTTCATAAATTACTCCAAATGCCATTTTTCATCACAAAAATGGTTGAAGAAGTGCAAGTTCTCTTCATTTTCAACATACTAACAGTACAGAACAATTTCAGTTAAATAAACACAATACACATGGCTGCATCAATACCCTTCTACCCTTCTTCATAAGCATGCCTTTTTCGCAGATAAACAGATAGTACAATTTTCATAGCTAATTTATACCATCTATTCATCTGCTATCAGGGAAAAAGCTTTCATCACATTAATGATATACACCTTTTAAAAACGAAACAAACAGATGGGTGTCTGACTGCAGCTCATCTCGAAAAACCTTCTTCATCCATCCTTTTTCACAGCTATCAACAAGGGAACAGGATAGGTGAGGGATCTCTTCCAAATTTCCCATCTGATATATGTAGTTTTTTCATCTTTTCTTCACACCAAATTAACTGCTCCTTACTGATCCTCACCATCCTAAGAACCCTGGATAAGATTTTTATGTCTATTAGCCCAAACAACAGCTCCACGTCTTCATACACTTGGGGCCATGATTTCTTCTTCCAACCTTTACTTTTTTTACACATTTCCTTCAGCCTCATCCTTTTCTGTAGATTAAACGTAGATGATGGTTAGACAAATGATCATTAATCAAAAAAGAAATGTTAATAATACTATTAAAGAAAGGATTTTTATGGTGACTCAAGTCCCCACAGGCTTTTTCAATGAACTGCCGCCCACCATTTTCCCAAAATTGTTACTACAAGTTTAGACCAATCTTATGACAATTAGCCAAGATTTAGATTAGCATTTCAGCGCCCAAACACTACTTTGAGGTATTTGATAACCAAAATGCTTGGAAAATGTTTCACAAGAGTTAGCTAATATTCAAATGAATGTTTTGAAGAGTGGATTTTTTTTTTTTTTTTTTAAACTGAACAATTAGCCAAGAAATTATAAATAAGATCCTTGACAAAACTCTACCTTCTCAAGGGAAGATTGAATTAGTTGAAGAGGAGTAGCAATTTGGTTCTGATTTCCAAACAAGTTCAGAACACTGCTGGACTTTTTCTTGTCTGTCTTCAGGAAGAGTTGGAAAGTAAGGATTGAGCTCTCCATAATTCTAATAAGATCAGGTGCCAGGACCTGTAAATCAGACTCCATTTCCCCTGTTTCTTTTTCATCTGAACCTGAAATGGTTCATGAATTAAATTACACAAATTACTCTTATTCATTTAAACAGAGAAAATATATTGTTACTTGGAAAGCATTAATATTAGAATGTAAAAAGTCTAAACTGCAACATGGAGCAGTCAGAGACCAAAATCAAACCCTTCAATCAATAAAATCTGTCTCTCTTTCTGAACTCATCAAGCATCTATACCTTTTCCATTTGGAACCTGGAGCAGTTTGGGTAGAAGACTCCTTGAACGAGCATAAATTTCAGCTCTAAGACCTTGCTCAAAGGGCTCATTCTCAATAAATCTTTGCAATAAAACTTGAAACTGCTGAAACTGTTGAGCACTGTGGTTATAACATGTTGAACTTTCCAGTTGACACAAAATTTTCTGACTTAGTTGTGAGTATTGACAGTGAAGCGCCTCCCAAGTTAAGCAAACTTGAGCTACATATGCATTTTCAATATCTTGATATGGGTCATACTGTGGCTGCTGCAGGTGCTCATTTCCATCTTCAGGTTCTTCTATCTTCTTCAAAGAAAGGCAGCGGAAAGGGGACGATAACTTCTTTGATGCGGACTTTGGTGATGGAGTTAACGGAGTATGGCAGCCTGTCACAAAATATATCAGACCATTGCATATTTCACAGAACTCAGACTAAAAACAGGAAACGAAATTTGCAGCCTTTTTGGAAGAACAACTTCTTGAATAGTTAGAATAACATTGAACAAATGATGCTTTATCCCCAATGAAGATGTCAAATTGAGCTATTGTGCTGTGACAATGATGAAAACTCCTTCTAGTCACTGCTCTTATTCTATTCCCGTTAACTATAAGTCATAAAAGTTTTATGAAATAAAACTAAATTAACAGTGAAAAGAAAAAACTACAACCAAGAGGGAAAGATTGCAGCATGTCAGCAAGTTTCTGTTAATTCCCAAGGGACAGCAAGATATATTGATACATTTAACTATTATGATTTTCCGACAAAAGAAAATAGATTGCATGGTCAATGGAACCGCATGCCTCCCAGATTGTGTACATATTTTCCAAAATTATAGGCAAGATTTCAAAATCTCAACAAAACGAACTCTCAGTTAGACAACTTTTGTGGCTACCTACTTTGTTGCAGTATCTAAACACCTGTAAAGAATTCCCTAACAAAATGTCTTGTAATATGTATGGGTGAACCTAAATTGGAAAATTCCTATAAATGGAAACGATTGATGCAAGTCAAGTAATCCACCCAGATTTTTGTATAAGCAGATCACCGAAACTGCAAATTGATATCAGAAAAAGATCTTACATAAAAAATAAATAATATCAATAAAGCTTAAGAAGTAAGAGCAAGGATACAAAGACAGAGAAGAGTCATTGCCAAAACAGAAATGCGCCCAAAGCACCAATTGGCTAATATAAATTGTGGCAGAAAATATTTTAAAACGTAAGAAAGGAAGCAACTAAACCAACACATAATAATTACCGGTTTCTTTGAGTTGCTGCAAAATCATCCGATCAAAGAACAGCATCCTTTCACAGTACTTCTCATATACAGCATCAAACCCACTCCACCATTTCCTTCCTTCTGCTTCAACATCCCTCCATTCACTAGAGTTTGTCACTCCTTCAGCCTCCTCCTCGTCTTCCTCCTCCTCAGGACATGACTCTTCTTCAGGTATTAATACCATAAAACTGTTTCTTCTGAGTTCTTTCAACCTCCTCTTCACCTCATTTGTTATGAAATCATCGTCATCATCCTCAGCTTCAGCTACAAGATCAGCATTAGCAGACTTGTTGCTCACATTACCACCGCCGCCATTTTCATTCTTTGGTTCCTCCGGCTGCGACACAGGTTTATCCTCTAAATCCTTCTCAGGGTCTGGTTTGTAGGCTTTTTTGAACTTCTTTACTTTGAAGAAATCCATCTTTTCTAGCCAAAGTTTCTTTGAAAAAATTAAAAAACAGTAGAGTGTTCTCCGAAGAAATCACGATTCAGGATCCAAATCACATAACTTGAAGAAAATCTACTAACTGTAGAATAATAATACTCTGGATCCGGAAAAAACTTCCTTTTTTGTATCTTCTTCTTTTTCCGCTTTTCCCCAAATCTTAAAAGGACCCTAACTTAAATCTTCTTAGTCAAAATGGTCAAAGCAGAATCAGATATGAAAGGATCCTCGAAGATCTCAACAAAATGCCTGCTCCAAATGTAAAGGCCATCCACCACGAACTTAATTATCTAAAACCCGAAGAAGCCTACACCATCTCCAATAAAATGATCATCAAAATCAGTGGGCAAAAGCAGTATTTCAGTGCAAATCTAAGAACACCTAAAAATCTGAATAAACGTACCACCTTTACCACATATATACATTCACCATTTCAGCGCTAAAAATGGCATCTTTAAGAGTTCAATAATAAACCCTTGATAGCCTCTTAAAATTTCTCCAAAATGCAGAGCTCCAAGAAGAATATTGGAATGAGAGAAGCCTGAAAGAAATCAAGCGATCAGTGACCAACGTGAAACATCAGAAAACAGAAGAACTTAGAATCGGGAGGTGAAGAGAGCTTAGGGTTTCCCTAATCGGTAAAGGAAGAGGGACACTCATTGCCATTGGTGGTGTAATAAGAGAGTATTGAAATGTTGGAAAGAAGAGAACGCTATAAATGTGAGCAATAAATGGCTCCGTTTCCATTTCCATAAAAAATCATTTAGGTTTTCAAGGCTGCAATTATTAATGGATTGGTTTTGGGAAACCTCTCAGCTCTAATGTCCTTTCTCAAAAATAAAAAACAAAGGAAAAGGTAAAGCAAGAAGGACAGAAGTCATAAGGCGAAGAGCCCGAAACCCAAAGGAGAAAAAAAGAAAAGAGAGAAGAGAAGAGAAGTTAAATTTTAATTTTTGAAAAGAAAAAGGAAATAAGTTGAAGGAATAGATTTGCAGGGAACACGGGACCCGATGAGAACAGTGAAGAAGACACAGTGGAGAGAATATTGTCAGAAGAAGGCACTCATCTTCCATTGCACATCACAGAAAAGCCGCGCAAAACACAGTTTTTTGATTTGTGTGACTTTCTCTCTCTTTAACTTACTTTTTTGTCCTTGTCGAATTTTCTATTCACTGTCATATCCCATTGTCGTTTTGTCTTTTTCTCGAGCATCATTTGACCCTTTGAAATTTCTATCATGCCCTTTTATTTTTGCGTTTCTATTATTTTTCAGGAAAGAATTACTGCCATGCGGCGAATGGATTCACCAGTATTTCAAACCAATAATAAATCATAATATTTTGGTTTGAAGGAGGATATTTCTGACAAAAAAAAAATACAAACAATTTAATTGAAAAAATTTGCATTTTTGTAATTAGAAAAAAAAAAAAGAAAAGAAAAAAGGATGCAAAGTACAGTAACTGGTAAAATACCTTTTATAAAACTCTCTTTTGCTGTTTTTTCCTGTTATGCTGAAAAGTAGAGGTTCTTTTTTAATATCGTTAATTGTACTTTACTTTTTCTCAAACCAAAAATAAAATCATATTTATGATTTCCAAAATGTTTGGTTTTTTGTTTGTGATTTTTCTCTCAGTTGATCTTAGTTTAGAACCTGCTTCAAACTTTATTATAAGAATCCATTTTCATCTAATAATTTCTAAATTTTTAGCAATTAAACCAAATCATTGCTTTGCTGTTGCATTCATTGTCTAAACTGTCCCCTAAAGTGCATTTGCATCATAAATTGCATCTCATCTCAGTTTGTTTATAAACTTCAATAGCCTTTCACGAGCTTTAACTCCGCTATTTCTTTCCTTTAGCCTGGCCACCGTTACCATACAAGATGACCACACTGTTCATCCACATTATACACTGGTGAATATGAGCAGTAGGCTAACCCCCACCATCACATTAAATGAAGCAAATAGCAGTTTGAAAGAAACGTCAACAAGTGAAGGGTGAATACAAATTTAGGCATGTGTTTTATTATTTCATTCAGAAAACAGGAACAAAGAAGAAACCGAAAGTAGTAATTGCATTAATATGTACACAAACAGTGTGGTCCTGAAAATGAATTCCTGAAGTGATCTAGTAACCCAACCAAGCCGAGGGTATTGGCTGGAATTTGTTCTTTGCACAGCCCAGTATATCATAATAATCTACATGATTGAAACAGTCACGAAAATCGGTGAACAGCTTTTCAAAAATTCTCCATTGTACTTTAATAGATTTTGTGTATGGATATGGAAGAAAAACCTGCAGAATATAGAATATGGTGATCAGCCAAAAAAATCATCATGGTTATGGAATCACACTGCTGTAATTACACAAACTCAACTGAAAACAACGATATAGCGAGTCCTTTAACAATATTTTGATCATTGCAATTCATTTTTTGTAATTAGTCCTTGACAGGCCCTTCATCACTTGTTACCTGTCACTATATGGTAACACAACAAAAAGAAAATTTTGAATTGCAACTTACATCTCCCTCTTGTGCAAGGCGTTTAAGTAAGACAAACGTGTGCTCATTTTCCTCCAAATTATCGAGGACGGCAAGCCAAATCTGTGAAGCAAGCTCATGAGCAGCATCTCTTGATTTCCCACAAGCAAGAAACTGATCTGCTAAAACACAAAATCGTCCACAACCAGAAATGCATTCATTTTACTTGGCTTCTGGTCACTACACATAATTTTTATTGTTATATCATTTATACAATGACATGCGCTTACTCAAACAATACTCAATACTCGACCAATGAATAAAGATACTTAGTGGTTATTGTAGACACCACACCAGGTTCTGTGACACTCTCGCGACAACAGTTAACTTAATCTAGGAACTGCATGATGATTATGAGCACAAAGAAATGACAGCGAAAGCAAATGGCACACCTATTATGGTTCCATGAAGAATACTAGAAGGAGTTGGCATTGTGGAGAGTTCAAGTTGCTCTTTGAGAAACAAATAAGAATGGCCCACAATCTCATCAATTTCACCATCCAATGCAAATATATGTTTGCTGATGTATAAAGCTGTATATCTCCTGAGAAGATTATATCAGAGTCAGAAAATTAGCATGAACGCAGAGAAAAAAATTCTCCCTAGATCTAGTCCCAGCAAACAGGCTTCTGGGATGAGGGATCAAGAACCAATCTCAACCTTATCAATCTTTCTAAGTCAAACATGTTATAGTTTAGTGACAAACGGAAATTAAGCGACAATATCATTATATAAAGAGTCCCATATTATCAGTCTGCCACAATAGCACATGAACTGCCTGAAAGATAAAGATTTCAGCATAGTTTTAGTAAATGATGGCTTCAAAAACACAAAGACAGAGAGGGAGAGAAAAAAAATAAAAAGAAAGGAAATACAAGTGGAAGAGTGGGGGAAAAGAAGAAGAAAAAGGCAAAGAGGTCATTAATCTCACCTTCTACTCAACCCTCGAGGTATCGGTCCAGGCCATCTTTTAGCTTGGCCTGCAAAGGGATAAGTTCTGTTAAGAGCAGCCTGCATCAGCCCACTGCTTCTTGACGCATGATATTTGGCTCCATTCTGAGATGGGAACTCTAATGAAAATTTCTACCAGTAGATGATCAGGAAGCTTCCCAAATGCATTATCAACTGATACTAGAGTGCCATTTTTGGTGTTATTTGTCATTAGAAGTCTGAAAAGAATAACCCGAAGAACTTTCAGGGAAAAAAAATGAGGATAAAGAAAAGCCAACAAATAGAACAACAAAATAAAATGAGACCATGCAGTGGAAAATTCTAAGGAAAGGTGCATTTCCAAAATTTTGAGATGAGAAAGAACAACCATCCAAATGTAACCTCATACAGGATACAGTATTATGACTGTTGACCAGCCAGAATAGAGTTCCTCACGAAATGCACAAATAAATCTCCAAACAAGAAAATGACGGTAAAAGCACAATCTAAATATAAACATTCACCATAACTAACATATTTCCAGATATAAGCTTCACGAGGTGATATTTCAATCACAAGTTTGCTACCACATCAGTGCCTGATTACATTAATAACTAATCTAATTGTTATCTCTTGGGAACAATCACAAGGAAATGTGTGTCCTACAGTTTACTGGATAGAAAAAGGATAAACAGGACAGAGATTATAAATGCTATGAAGATGTTGCACTCAATCATTCAATGGAAAGAACATAATTCGCTATGGCAGGTGAAAGAATAAAAAGCAAAAAAGTTACCAACATGAACTACTGAAGCTACTGTATAGAAGTTATGGTTCAGCTTTATAGTCGCACCATGCCTCCATGTCAAGTTCTGTAAAATTAAAGGTTACAGTTGCATTTGCTGCACATATAGTTGTAATAATAAAATTAAGATGAGATTACACTGCATCTTTGTCCCATTACATTGACAGGAGGAGCAATGAGAATGGAATTGTAAAGGCACACCGAGCATCTCTATGAATGAATAAAAGGCGTATCAAATTTCAAATTTGCAGAATGAGAAGCACACAGCATTCAATCTGATATTCAAAATAAAAAAAGGAAAAGAAAAGTAAACATGTGATGACTTGAGACTAAATAACTGAGCATATATTAGTGGTTTGACTCGAGCTGAGTCTGTTTTGTTCACTAGGGCAGAAAGGATAAGGCTTGAGTGGGGAAGGAAAAGGGAAATTCAGCAACAAGTAGTTGGGATGTTTGAACACTTAGATGCCGTCTACAGTCTACATAACCTCAATTTGACGGGGATAAGAGAAAAACCTGAGAACTAATATTAACAAAAAGAAAACATGTAATAATTTGATCAAATTGTTTCAAATTTGTCAAATTCCTGGCATTTGAAAGAGAGAGAAAAGAATCCTTAGACAGGTAAAAGAAAAGCAAATGAAAACTGAATTTTCAGCTCAAGTTATTAACTGAGAAATGATTATTCAACTAAGCAACAGAAAAATTAATTCAAAGCGTAATTGAATTTACCTGAGATAGAGAGGGGAGATGCCAGTTTATTTAGTGCTACTGCTAACCGCTAAGAGATGAAAGGTAGAAGAAAGACAGACGGACGGCAGCTGAGGTTTGATGGAATCGTGTGAGGCGTTCGTTAACTCCAAAACAAATGAATAACCTTCAAGTTGGTGGACACGCATACGTAATTTGGTAATTTGGTGGACAATACACATAAAAAATAAATAATAATAAATGATTAAATTGTTTTAAACAAATTAACTTTTTATTTAAGGCTTTCACATAAAAATATTTATACACATTTTTATATTTACTTTAGATAGGTTTTTTTTTTTTTTTTTTTTCAATCAAATGAGATATAAAATTTGAGTTCTATTTTCCCAACTATCATAATTAAGTAATTTTAATTTAATTTAATTTAATATTTAGTATTTAATCTGTACGGATGAAAAAAAAAATTTATATATATAAATAAAGAGTAGGCTAAAAAGTGATATAATTGAAACATTATTTGCATATGCTTCCACTTATACTATAACATTCTTTGTTGACATTTTTTCTTTTTTATTTATTATTATATAACTATTATTCAAAGTAATTTTTGTTAAAATATATACTTTGAAAAAACGAAATAAACATTTCTACCATAATATTGATTATCATTAATAATTAGATCATTGTTATCATTTAAACTAAAAAATATTTCTTCTACAAAAAAAAAAAAAAAAAAAAAATACTCCAATTATTTTTTAAGTTACTAGTAAAATCATAAGAATTAAAGAAAAAAAAAAAAAAAAAAAAAAAAAAAAAAAAAAAAGTTAAAAAATTTAATTATACATTTGTTAAATTAAATCTTCCTATTTTTTCAACATCAGCCAAAAGAAAGTCCGAAAAAAAAACCAGAGAACTATCATATTCACAGAAAATCACAGAGGAAAATTCGAGGTTCAGGTTAGAACAAAAGAAATGGAAAAAAAAAAAAATTACAAAACCGCTTGCCGTCGGCGCCTTCTTCAGAGGGCTTCACGTCCAGGAATGATTATCTATCTCTTTCTGTTTTCTTCCTGTCGCACCATCATCGTTCAGCCCATTTACAAACATGTCCTGACTGTTGTGTCAAAATCCCACTTGTCCTTCTTATCTCCCTCTGGACTTCAGTTGCTCTCTCTCTTCTTTCTTTTCTCCTAATTTCCGCTCTCTGATAAAAATTTTGATCTTTCTTTATTCTTATCCGCTCTCGGATCTTTCAGTTTTATTAATAAACGCTGGTAGAACCAAGATGAACATCCAATCTAAAAAAAAAAAAAAAAAAAAAAATTACTCCAATTATTTTTTAAGTTACTGAGTAAATATCATAAGAATTAAAATTTAAAAATATTTAATTATACATTTGTTAAATTAAAATCTCCTATTTTTTTCAACATCAGCCAAAAGAAGCCGAAAAAAAAACCAAGAACTATCATATTCCAGAAATCACAGAGGAAATTCGAGGTTCAAGGTTAGAACAAAAGAAATGGAAAAAAAAAAAAATTACAAAAACCGCTTGCCGTCGAGCGCCTTCTTCAAGAGGGCTTCACGTCCAGGAAATGGATTATTGATCTCTTGTTCTGTTTTCTTCCTGATCGCACCATCATCGTTCAGCCCATTTACAAACATGTCCTTGCTGTTTGTCAAAATCCCCAACTTGTCCTTCTTTATCTCCTCCCTGGACTTCAGCTTGGCTCTCTCTCTTCTTTCTTTTCTCCTAATTTCCCTCTCTGATAAAATTTGATCTTTCTTTATCTTATCCGCTCTCGGATCTTTCGTTTTATTAATAACGCTGGTAGAACAAGATGACACCAATCTTGGAATTCTGCCGCCTTTACTAGTACCCAAGAGCTCATAATTGATTTTGCTCCACCCAACTTTATCTTCATTATCCCAACCAAACCTCTCGCTTATTTCCAACAATTGAGAAACTGCACTCTCATTTCTGGACAAAGAGGCATCCTTGTTTCCATTCAGAACTCCATCTGCAAATTCCCACTCCAGTCTGTCCTGGTAAACTGGGTCTTCAAGCACTTGGTCTGCTAGTTTCGCCCAACTCTCGAAATCGCCGGCACGGAGGTTCTTCGAAACCCATTTGAGGTAAGTTGATGGCAGCGCACCAAGCATCTTCCCCTTGTACTTGCCGAAGTCTACTACTCGATCTCTCGCCGGGATGCTATGTGCCCTGGCGGCGGAGAAGTGTGGTTTCTTGGGTTTCAGAGAGCATGCGAAGGTTGGAAATTTGGAGTAATGAATGAAAGCCATGGGGGAGAGCATGAAAACGTGCAGTGACGAGATTAAACGGGCATTGGGCTTGGGCAAAAGATTTAATGTATATGATTATAAATCAAATACACATAATGCTCCATTATTTTTTATGGCATGACCAAAACAATTAAATGTATAAACCCCACCATATTGTACGTTACTATTATCAAGCATTTATATCTTTTTTTTTATTTTTTTGAAAGGAATTTATATCCTTTTTCTTATATTTTGTTCTATCATAGCTTAAAATTATGTATATATTTTCACTGTAAAAAAATTTTATTACAATTCCCTCTCAAAATAAATTATTACAATTTATAAATAATTATATAATAAAATCTTATTGCAACTTATAAAAAATCTCAAAAATAAAATTATTTTTACCATATCCACTAAATCTACAACTATACTAAAGAATTTCAATTAAATATACTCGTCTAAATTTAGTTGAATATGCTTACTTAAATTCAATCTGTATAGGGTATAATAAATCAATTAAAATAAAAATTTCAAAAACATTGATATGCATGAAATGCTATTTTTCTAACTTTGTTACTCCCAAGTATATAAAACTTAAAATGTAAAAATATTAATTTGTGCAATGAAATATCTTTTGGTCAAAAAAAGCAAGAGACAATGCAATTGGATTGGGAAAAGAAAGGCAATCCAATTTCATAGGCAGCCTGCTCGGCTCGCCTTATATTAATTTTTTGCCTTATATTTCATCATATCAGTTCCGTTTTTTCTTTTTTCATCCAACAAAATTGAAACCATGTCGAAGTTTGCATTGTATGTTGTATTGGTGGCACTGCACTTGCCAATTTGGTTCTGTGATGGAGAACCGCAGGTTCCATGTTACTTCATTTTTGGAGCTTCCTATTACGATAATGGCAATAATAACCGTCTTTTATCAGCAGCTAAAGCCAATTTTTTGCCCTATGGAATTGATTATCCTCGAGGACCCACAGGAAGATTTACAAATGGTCGCACTACTGCTGATTTCTTAGGTCTCTCCTTTTTACTCTTACTTCTTTTTTGAAAAGAAAACTTAAAACATTATTAAAGAAAACTCCATTTTTGCAGCTGAATATCTTGGATTTGAAAATGACATTCCATCCTTTGCAAGTATTGGCATTAGGAACTCAAATGACATCCTCAAAGGTGTTAATTATGCCTCTGGTTCATCTGGGATTCTTGAAGAAACTGGAAAGCACGTTGTATGTATATAAATTATATAGCCATTGTTAGCTTGCTATTTTCTCCATTTAAAATGGTGCCACTTACAGGGAGATCGAACAGGCATGGATGGGCAGCTGAACAATCACCGGAGTATAATCTCACGTATTGCTGAAACATTAGGAGACAAGACGGCAGCCGAAAACCACCTTCACAAGTGCTTATATTCTGTTGCAATGGGCGATAATGACTATATCAACAACTACTTCAAGAAGTTATTATACGACACAAGCTCCAAATATTCTCCTGAGAAATATGCCCATCTTCTTCTTGAAAAATATAATCAGCAATTAGTGGTTCGTCCACCATACCTGCATGCTACTAATTATTATACAGATTAATTATATAAACTTAATTGCTTTTTGCTTTTTTCTTTCTGGGTTAATTAGTCTCTTTATAATGATGGGGCAAGAAAGATAGTAGTGTTCGGAATACCTCCGCTTGATTGTTCTCCGGCAGCTCTTTCGGAAGAATCAGGCAAAAGCAAATCTGGATGCGTGGGGGAAAGGACACATGCAATCAATCTATTCAACAGCGGCCTTAGAGAAATGGTTGAAGATATTAACAAAAACCTAACAGATTCGAAATTTGTGTTGGTGGACGTGTACGGGATATCTAGATCATCATTATCCAGTATATATACTCTCAAACACTAATAATCCACTTTTTTATTATTAATTTAATTTGACAACATTAAATTAATCTAATGTTGTTTAAAAAATTATATCCATGATCAGGTTTAAAGGTGACAGATGCACCGTGTTGTAAGGTGGAGACGAGTATCGGAATAAAGTTTCCGATGTGTATTCCCGGCAGTATTCCTTGTGCGAATAGGAATGATTACATGTGGTGGGATCAACTCCATCAGACAGAGGCTGCATATAAAATATTTGCCGATAGATCATACAAGAGCCAAGCTCCGACTGACGCTTTTCCTATGGACATCAGTCGACTTGTTCAAAATCCTTAATATCATTACCAATTTGCTTATTTTGTTAAAACTGTAGAGTTCTCTCAAGCATAAACTCACTTACTTGCAGGTGAAGGTGAAGATGAAGGCTATTTTTTTGTAACAGTAGCAGTGTTTTTCTTTCTTTCTTTCTTATTAACAATTAGGCTCTGGGAAAGAACATTTGTGTTCTTTTTCCATTTTTCCTTGTCGCAATTCATAGGGAATGAATATTGCTTTTTTGTAGGAAATTTCGTGGATGCTTCTGAATGTAAATTGTTCTTTCTATATATTGACACTGATGGATGTTCATGGCTTGGCTCAATTTCAATTTGCATATTAGTAGTAAACAAGTCTGAATATGGGTTAACACGTGACTCAGTGGCAAGTAAATTATTCGGTTTGTTGAAAAAAAAAAAAAAAAAAAGGCATCTCACTGTTGTATTATTATAGTAAACAATAAATGACAATAATGTGGAAACGACCAAAATGGGTACACTAAGACGTGCCACGTTATACTTGGACTTGCCTAGGGAAAAGCTAATAATAAATAAACAAATGCATAAATGAATCTTATAAATTGAAATTACAATTTCACTATATAACAACTCCAGTCAATTCATGTGTATTTTCATAATAAAACTTTTGCATAATTACTGCTTGAAACTGACATGGACAAATTAATTTTTATATAATTTTTGTAATTCATATTTTATATTTCTATTAAAAGCTCTTAAACATGCAAACGGGTGGATGTAATATAGTATTCACTCTTCAAATTAAAACAACTATATATTAAATTAAATATATTCAATAAGAGTCGAGAATGATTTTTATTGATGAAGTCAATTATAATTTTAGATGTCATTTAAATGTTGATTGATACTTAAATCATGTAAAATATTTCAATATATTTCAATAAATTGATCAAGCTTTAATCAATTTATTTAAATATAAGTAGCAAAATAATTACCTTGTCAATAAAAAAAAAACTAATTTTCCAAAACATATTTCCAAAGATGCACACAAAAGCCTATAAACCTGATGGACAACGTTGCAAAGTAGGGCAAGTGGCAGCATTTTGACGCGAGAGAGCTCAGCGTCACAGTACAACCGCCTGCACCAGATCACTCACTACCCAAACACTACAAATCCGTGTGTGTTCGTCCACTGGTACATAATTGTATCTTCAATCCTTCCCCATTAACAATCATAAATCATAATCTCTTTTCTCTTCTACCTCCTCTTATCTTTCTTTCTGGTCGTTAGCATCTGCGAATTGCTTGTTTTTACTGAAACCCTAGGTTTTTAATCGATCCCACTTATCGGATCATTCTCAGTTTCATAATCTCTCACATCTTCTGAGAAAATGCCGTCAGTGTACGGTGCACGATTGACAACATTTGAAGATTCTGAGAAAGAGAGCGAGTATGGTTACGTTCGTAAGGTGCTTCTTTTTCTTACAGTTTAATTCGAATCAATTAAGATCCATTCACTTCCTTCATTGTTTCATTTTCATTTTTCCTCATTTCCTACTCGAATTTTTGTACTAATTGGATCTAATTTCCGATTAATGATTGAATCTGATGTAATTCGATCGATTGAATTGTATATCGCTTTGCTCGAGGACAGCTGGATCGAATTTATCCGTTTTCAACAATGATTTCAAAGTTGAATTTGGAGTAACTGGATCTGCTCTGCGATCTCTTCTTTTAATTTTTGATCTGCTGTGTAATTAGTTATCAATAGTTTCTGTTAACGAATACTTCGTCAAAAATAACTGTGTAGATGTGACAAAAAATGAAATGATACATCGTCTTCTGAGCTGCTTATAGGTATTCAAGAGTAATTAATTATGATCATATATTACCGAGACTCGATCTGACAAAGTTTCATATTACTGCGGGTTAACTTTTACGCGATAAAATGACAATAACACATGAAAAATATTGGAGATCAGAATTGCTGTATGATTGCGTAACTGTTTTTGCTAATTCGATCAAGCTACCATCGGTCGTTCCAGCTGATCACTGGTTCTTGTTTTTGTACAATGTAAATCGCTCATAGTACTTTTCCCTTCCAACTTTACATCTTGATCATGTTTAATCTGGATCCCTCTCTGATAGTTTATTGCACTAAGACTACCAGGTTTCATGTATCTGTCTTATTTTTCTTATGTGTTCTTGCTAAAGCGATGTGGTTTGACAGGTATCTGGACCAGTTGTGGTCGCAGATGGCATGGCTGGTGCTGCTATGTATGAACTGGTCCGTGTTGGCCATGACAACCTAATAGGTGAAATCATTCGTCTGGAAGGAGATTCTGCCACAATTCAAGGTTCTTTACGACTTGATTCTTGGCAACTTTTTAACTTGAACTCCCTACTCCTTGCGCTATAATAATTGTTCTTAATGTTGGAATTTATGTTGGCTTAAGAATAACCTGATGAAGCATTGCAAGCCTGCCATCTCCATAGGTTCTTGTTGTCTTGTGCAATTGCATTGTTGGACTCTTGTCTGACAGTATAAATGAGTTGAGCTACCTGTGAGCTGCTCAGACTTGGCTTGATAAATATTCAAATTCAACTTGGTTTTGATTGAGTTGAACTCGAGGATGGCTCATGAGCGGAGCTGAGTTTGAGTGTTATAATAGTCAACTCAAGTGTTTAAATCTTATATATATATAATTTTAGATATATTTTATATTATATATATGAATTAAATGATAAGCTAGAACGAGTTTATTCTGAGTTCACTCAAGCTTCATATTAACTTAGATAAGTATTTATTTTTTTATTATAATTGAGCCTAATCAAGTTGACTTTAAACATTTCAAGCATTTCTTCGAGCCAAGCTTGAGCTTGAAAATTAAAACTTGATCGAGCTCGAGTCCAGTTTCGAGCCTCAAGTATCCTAGTCGAGTCAAGCCCGAGCTCAACATTGTATGGGCTTGACTCAACTCAATTAAACCCCCCTACTCTTGTCTAACAGACACTGATGCCTATCCTACCATCTTGAGACTTATTTTTGAGAAAAGAAGTAGGAGCTAGGAAATGAATATATTCTTTTCTTTTTGGTCTTCGATACAGAGATAAAAAGCAAGTTTTAACAGATATAAATTTTGCTTTTGATGTCAGTATATGAGGAAACAGCTGGTTTGACGGTGAATGACCCTGTTCTTCGGACACGCAAGGTAATTTAATTACCATGTCTTTCTCTCCACAGCATGGTCTATAAACTGTTTTTACTTATAAACTGCATGTTGACCTTCAGCCTCTGTCTGTGGAGTTGGGACCTGGGATATTGGGGAATATTTTTGATGGAATTCAGGTTTGTTAACACTTCTTGTGTCTTTGCTATTGATTTCTGGTTTAGTAACTAACCTTTTTTTGCTTCTGATTGATGGCTTTCTTATGTATCTTTTTATGTGTGAACATTGGATACTCAACTGCAATGCTAGGTTAAACATTCTCTGAACTTATTTTTCTGCTTTTATATAAATAGAGGCCTTTGAAAACCATTGCAAAAAGATCTGGTGATGTCTATATCCCTCGCGGTGTGTCTGTCCCAGCCCTTGACAAAGATACTCTCTGGGAATTTCAGCCCAAAAAAATAGGTAATACCTGGAATTACCGACATATGATGACACTTGTGCCTTGAATTTCTAATTTCTTATTCCCCTAATTCGATGTTTGATGGAAACAGGTGAGGGAGATCTTGTGACTGGTGGAGACTTGTATGCAGTAAGTTTATTACTGTTGATTCTTTAGTTTGCTGAAATTCCTTCTAAAAATAGTATGGTTGTAGTGTACATTGATTGAGTTTGATCTAATATTTTCTGTGGGTATTTTCCTGCAGACTGTCTTTGAAAACAGTCTAATGCAGCACCATGTTGCACTTCCCCCTGATGCTATGGGAAAAATCACTTACATTGCTCCTCCTGGTCAATATTCATTGAAGGTTTGCCTCTCTAGCTTCTTTTCCATGTTACGTTGATGATTTCTTCTAATTTTTCCTTGCAGTCCAGTTTATACTTGTAAAACATTTGGATTGCTCTTTCGTAGATGAGATTAAGTAAAGAGTTACAATCTTAGCTGCAAGGATTATTGGACATGCTGATGCCATACATTTGGCTAGTAAAATGCTGTAGAATGCCTGCTTATTTTTTATTGGACATTTTATTTAGTTTATCCATTAGACTTTTGAATGTTGTAGGCTTTGTGGCATGATTTTTCATTATTCATATACGGTTTTCATTTACGTTGATCAACTCCTGTACTTATTTGAGTGTGTGTATATGAGAAACTCGCATGTTGTGCTGTTTCATTGACCTTTCTAGTGGGTATCTTAGTGATTTCTTCTTCCTTTCAGGACACTGTTCTAGAGCTTGAGTTTCAGGGTGTGAAAAAGCAGTTCACTATGCTTCAGGTTTGTGATTTGTGTTTGTTTTTGTTGCCTTACTTTCAGACTTGACCATAAACTTACCTCTGAACTTTCAAATTTTACATTTTGGTGCATGCTTGTTCCATTTGCAGAGTTGGCCAGTACGTACACCAAGACCTGTTGCATCAAAGCTGGCTGCCGATACTCCTCTGCTCACTGGGCAGGTACTTACTATACATACTGAATGTAGTGGCTCTTTTTTGTTGCATTTTCAAAAAATTTTTAGAATGTGACCAGCTGACGACTTTGTTTCAAATCAGCGAGTTCTTGATGCACTTTTCCCCTCTGTTCTCGGTGGAACTTGTGCTATTCCTGGAGCATTTGGCTGTGGGAAAACTGTCATTAGTCAAGCTCTTTCAAAGGTGAAAATTTTCATTTCATGTTGTTGGCATGGTTTGATATTTATGGTGATGAATATGTTAAGAGATTGATTGATTTGATATGATTTTTTCTTTTTGCACAGTACTCCAATTCAGATACTGTTGTTTATGTTGGCTGTGGAGAAAGAGGAAATGAAATGGCTGAGGTTTGTGTTCTCAGTTTAGTCGATAGTACCACTTTATGATTTTGGAGATTCTTAATCTGATCATTTATTTAGGTGCTTATGGATTTTCCACAATTGACAATGACGTTACCTGATGGACGCGAAGAATCTGTCATGAAGCGTACAACTCTTGTGGCCAACACTTCGAATATGCCTGTGGCTGCTCGTGAGGCTTCAATTTATACTGGTAATCCTAATATTTTACTTTAAAGTTTGGCATGCATAACTACGTCTTTTGCTTGTTGTTTGTAGTTAGAGTATTTTCATATATCTTTTCTTTCTAACTTGAGAATGATTAGTTCAAGCATTGGATGCCAATAGTTTGATATAGCTTTATCCCTCTTGTTTCATACACAAATTTTTTTATCTTAGTCTAAAATCTAACTTGAATGCTACATCCTTTGTGATTATGCGAATTTTGGATGAACGCAATTGCCAGATCAGTGCAAGCTAATTTAAGAGTGCAGTGCTTAACTGGAGAAAGAACTTGATCTGAAATTACGATTATTTTTTTGTTGAGCTATAAGTTTCAAAGCAGTACTTAATGAATGTATGTGCATGTGCTTTTATTCACTTTCTGTATGTATATATTGCATTTAATTCATTTTGTGTGGCCATTTTTGCTTCTTGTGGATAGCTTTTTTTTTATTATTATTATTATTATTCAACTTATGGCTAAATGTATTACCCTCAGGAATCACAATTGCTGAGTACTTCAGAGACATGGGCTACAATGTCAGCATGATGGCGGATTCAACATCTCGTTGGGCAGAAGCATTGCGTGAAATTTCTGGGCGTCTGGTAAGATAATGACATATTGTTGTCATACACTGAAATATTTCTTGAACCTTTTTATTTATTCGTATAGATAAGATGCGTTATAATATGTGACATTGTTAGGTCTAGCTGGTACTTTCTATGGATTATTATACCTGAAACTGTCCAGTCAACTGCAAGTTCTGTAGACTTTTAAGCTGAATATAGTTAATAATAAATATGCCTCTACATCTTAGTTGCCAGAGATTGGATGATATCTGCATCCATTTATCTAATTATAATGATGAACTGGTACAGAACCAGTTGTAAATGAATTGTTGGTCCTGACCATGAAGGGTGGCATTGCTTCCATATTATTAATTTATTGTTTGCAAGTTGTGTTTAGGATTATATCTTCATATGTCAGATAATTATCATATAATTCGGGTATGCAAATTTTATATTTTGGTATTATCCTTATTATATGGATGAATTTAGCCAAGATATAAAATATGACCAATTCTAATTGCTTGTGACTAATTTTCTCTTGCAGGCAGAAATGCCTGCAGATAGTGGATATCCTGCTTATTTGGCAGCACGTTTAGCTTCATTTTATGAACGTGCTGGCAAAGTGAAATGTCTTGGATCACCAGAACGTAATGGTAGCGTCACGATTGTTGGTGCTGTTTCCCCTCCTGGTGGAGATTTTTCAGATCCTGTTACATCTGCTACACTCAGCATTGTCCAGGTGAACATACAATCTATATCATGTAATCAAGGTGCCAATGGTTATGTGCAAAGTGCCATTGCAAATTATGGTGCATTGCTCCTTTCCTCAAAGTACCTGGATGCAATTAATGTATTATCCTTCATGTGCAGAACCGCTTGAGCACTTCTTTATCTGTTGAAGATAATGAAATTGCCTATCTGTATCTTTTGCAGGTCTTCTGGGGTTTGGACAAGAAACTTGCCCAGAGGAAACATTTTCCTTCTGTAAACTGGCTTATTTCCTACTCAAAGTACTCAACGGTATGCTTGAAATTTCTTTACCAATCTTGTGTTTGAAGCTCTGTGGCTTCTTATTCTGACAATTTATGGTTCCAGGAATTTCCTTTGTTGCACTCTATATTGTATGCTTCCATAATTATTTATTGGTTCTCTTCTGTTGCCAGGCATTGGAGTCTTTCTATGATCAATTTGATCCAGATTTTATCAACATCAGGACAAAGGCCCGGGAAGTGCTACAAAGAGAGGATGACTTGAATGAAATTGTCCAAGTAGGTTGCCTATTGCAAAATTTCTTTTACTCTGGATTCTCGAAGCCCCAAAATGAGTTAAATATATGATTGGGCAAATGTTGAGGACATGGTACAAATTGAGATTTTATAAGCAATGTGGCATGATTTGCTATTAGTATGATCAGTTTTTGTCAGAACTAAAGATGTATTAGGTTGCTGCTTGTCCTCCTGCCTTTCTAAATTAGAGGATGGGAAGAATTTACTTCTGGACCACAGCATTTGGTAGAATTTTTAGGGCTTGTCCGATATTTGGGCTCTTTGATACCCCATTTCTCACACTTTGCACCTCTGTTTTTTGTTCTTTATCTTACACACGTCGTACAGTTAATTTGCATGTGAAGCATAATTAGTTTCTTAAATCTGCTTATCATTGATTGCCCATGACTATTTGGGTGATGCAGCTTGTGGGAAAGGATGCTTTAGCCGAAGGAGATAAGATTACACTAGAGACCGCAAAGCTTTTGAGGGAAGACTATCTTGCTCAGAATGCCTTTACTCCGTAAGTTTCAGCTTTCACCGTTTATCTTTCCACAAAATTTATCTGAATGATTTCTTTCACTTTAGTTTATGACTTAGTAATGCTCATCTCTGTAATATATATTTTCAATGGCTGCAACAGATATGATAAGTTCTGTCCTTTCTACAAGTCTGTTTGGATGATGCGCAACATAATTCATTTTTACAATTTGGCTAATCAGGTATATCATCTTCTCCCATCCTCCCCGTGTCTCTGCAAGGAACAAGAAAAACTGTATGATATTTGCTGGTCTGATATTTTTCCACTGTAGGCAAAAAACATAATTCTTATCCTGATATGTTACTCTTCTTTCTTTATTCTTCTTCCTTTTCCCTTTCTGTTCTTTCTTTAAGCCACTGCGGGATAAATGAGGTTAAGCAAGCAAAAGTGCCTTGAACTTCTCAAATAGTGCTTTCTGTATTTACGTCACCATTTCTCTTGCTTTCCCAGTTTTTGATTTTACCCATATGGTGATCTCAGCTGTGGTTATCTGGTGTTTTCTTCAAAAGAGGAAGAGCTAGATCCTTGTTTTGCGTTATTTTTTGCACATAGAAAGCTTTTAAATCTTTATAGGGTTAAAGAAAGAAGCATAAATTTACCTGAACAACAATCTAATGGTGATAAGCACTGTACTGAACTGTTTTGATACTTGTAGGCTGTGGAGAGAGCAGCAGGTATGGATGGCCAGAAGATAACATACAGTCTCATAAAGCATCGGTTGGGAGATCTCTTCTACCGTTTAGTGTAAGTAGAATGATGTTGCTAGGAAGCATATCCTTCATAAAGATGGAGGAAATTGCAAAACTAATTCAACAATGTTTGAGAGTTATATTTAGAGATATTTGTCTATCATTATCACAGGTCTCAGAAATTTGAGGATCCAGCAGAGGGAGAAGCAGCCCTGGTGGCAAAATTCAGCAAGTTGCATGATGATCTAACTGCAGGTTTCCGTGCTCTGGAGGATGAGACTCGATGAATTCCCAGAGTTTCAAATTTTGGTTTTTCACAAATCGTACGGTTTCTCTATTTGTTTCATTCTATGGAGACTCAGTGTTGGTAGGGTCCATGTTGGTGGTGCTTTGTTTGGCCATAATTTTAGTTGGGTTGTGATAGTTACAATGTACTATTGGCAGTCATTTCATTTTCAGTTCTATCGAGCAGCAGGGGGACCAAAACTGTTCCATTTGTATTTATGCAATAAGTTGTGTATTCCGCTGGTGGCAGTATGTATGATTTAATTTATTATTATTATTATTTAAATATTTGGAATTTCTTCCGCTGAAGGCTAAGCGCTTGCGCAATTTATAGTATGGATGGTGTTCTTCATGCTTCAACTTTTCTTTTGAATTAAGCGAGTTGGCTTTAAAATAGCCTGCCTTTTCAATTGAAGTCACCAATCAATGGACGACAAGTAGCTGTTTATCCTGTTTAGTTGCAATGTTTTCATTCGTCTCTGACTTAATGTTTGTACTATTATTCACTCTTTTAAGTCCAATGGCTTTACTATAGAAATCTATTCAACACAGTATGAGATCAATCTTGAGCGCATTACAGCATTCTTATAGTAACCTTGTGATTAATTCGTTTCTCAGTGCTGTTTATCATTCTCACCTCTTCTAAGCTTCGCTTAAACCATTTTTCAGGCCCATGTATACAATGTACTCGTTCAGAGTATAGCCTTCGGTCTATGGACCACTTATCTAAGAGGATGCGGTGCATTAGTTTTCCTGCTTTCCACTGAATTAAAGAGATTTCAAGAATATCACAACTGGGATTCTCCAAATATAAGGAGCTAATGTAAATCATAATTTTAAGCACAAGTAAATTCAAGAGTAACTGTTATGGTCCCAAAGTTATGGGTATCTTAGGAGTTTTCTTCCTTCTATCAATGGTGACAGACTTAGAGATAATCTGCAATCTCCTAGAACTCATTAAAGAGAGAACTCTACAATCTCTGAGTTTTAGGGACTCAAAACCTTTTTCTAAATTCTGCTTTCATTTTACTGTTATCACAGCCTTTTAAACAACTAATTGCAAAGCTAAAACTACTCACCACCCATTACAATGAATAACCTGCTTAACCACCTCACTAATACCCACTGACAAAAACTGATAATAAAACAGAATAACTAAATAAAACTATCTTAAATACAGCAGTAAAAATACCCTAAATATAGTAGCTCCATAACAGTAACTAAAGCATACCATGTGCAATTCAACAGACAAAAAAAAAAAAAAAAAAAAAAAAAAAACTATTTCTGCAAGTTAACAGAAAATGAAAACAAAAGAAAAAAAAAAATAATAATCATAAGTCAGAGGATCAGATCAACATGAGTGGGCAAGAAATATGTGCAAACATATTATTAAGGAATTTTCAGATCAGTGCGACGGAAAATGTACTTACAACTGTTCCTTGCTCTTTCTTGAGGCTGTTAGAGGATATGATAGTTAGCACAGATAGGAGTGGAATAACCTTTCAGGCCAGGGCAACTTTAGGAAATGCATAATGTTCATCATTCGCAAGTATGATTGAATATCTTGTAATCTATCACGATGCGTTATTTATTAGCTTTTTTGGATTCCGAAGGACATAATTTTGCCTCTCTCGTGTCCATGTATCAGCTCGTCTGCAGGTGGGAGTATGATCTGTCATAAAAAAAAAAAAAAAAAAAAAAAAAAAACATAAAGATCAGAGGATCAGTATCAACATGAGGCAAGAAATATGCTGCATAACATAATTAAGAATTTTCAGATTCAGCTGACGAAAATGTAAACAACTGTCCTTGCTCTTTCTTGAGCTGTTAGAGGATATATGTAGTAGCAAAGATAGGCAGTGGACCTTTCAGCCAGGGCCAACTTTAGGAATGTCATAATGTTCACTCATGTTCGCCAAGTATTGATTGAAATCTTGAATCCTATCACGATGCGATTTATTAGCTTCTTTGGCCATCCTATGGACATCAATTTGCCCTCTCTGCTCCATGTATCGTCTCTCTGCAGGTGTGAGATGATCCTCATAATGAACAGCCTTCCCTTCCTTGCTCAATTTGCCACTGTCATCCATAACATCGTCGCTCGCGATAGATAATTCTTCTGTGTTTTTGTCTGCATCATATAATAAAATGGATGATGATTCTGAAGTTAACAACTTTATATGACACTAAATGCAATATGGGAAGTTGATGTAAAGATAGCAGCAACATATATGGTTCAAAGTTGAAAAAATAATATAACTCATCTATTAACACAGAAGCATTGAAAATAACAAAGAGAGACAATAACCATCCACGCTAGATGAATTTCATATCACACATTCACTAAATCATCTTTCCCATATTCTTTTTTCACGTCAAGCTCAAAAGGAAGGCATCTTATGTCAGTGGTTTGTTTCCCTGATATTTGAACACTAACTAGCATGATACAAGAAAATATTTCATAAGCAGAACCTTTGCCCCAATAATCATAGTGGTTAAAGCGAAGAGAAAATGATTAAGACATTGAATAAAAAAGAAAAATAATAAGAACCAAACCAGATTAAAGTCAAGAAAAAAAGAATGGCATCATTAAACCTGCTGAAAGCTCATTATCCGTGAGCTGAGAAACTTGATCATGATCATGTTGTTTTTTATGTTTCTTTTTCTTCTTCATCCCACCAGCCTTCACATTCAAGGCTTTACCCTTGAGTTTCAGCTTCCCACCAACAACATTCTCATAACCTGACATCTTGTCCAATCAACAAGGACACTACCACGAAGGAAAAAGAATTGTCAAATAAAGGAAATTTCTCCTGAGAAACTTCTTCATGTCATACTATAATTCCTTAGCAATCCAATCAATATTTCTAATTTCATAACTTCCTTCTTGAATATTCGATCTTTACCCTAAAATCACAACGAACTGCTACCGAAAACTACAAATGCAACAAGAGCCATAGTATCAATTAATTACCGTGGGAAGAGCAAGAAAGAGATTTATTTTAGAGCAAAGAAAGATACATGCATTAAAACCGTCAGAAGTCGCGCCATACCTGGAACAGCAAATCAAAGAAGGAAATTCCGGAGGCTAATTGATCTTCTGGTTCTGCTAATGAGCAAAGAAAATCAAATTCAGCGAGATCGTGACCTAATATGGATATTAGGTACCCACCACCCGATATGTTGCGAACCCGTGTGCAGGGCCCAACCAAAAATAATTAAATAAATATATATATAAGATTTGTATTATTCCCATTTATTCATTTATTTTTTTAAAAAAAAAAAATCTCCAATTCTTAATATTATTATTTTCATTAAAATAAATAAATAATCTTAACAAATTACCGATAGGATAGGAACACGACCTGTCGTTCGATGACAACGACGGAAACATCGAAAACACAGTTCATTTTGTTCCAAGCATCCGCCACAAGGACAGAGTTGAAATTTTTACGTCTTTACGTTGGATTTGCAATCCAAATAATTTTCAATATCAATTGGGAATTTGATTGTAGTTGTTTGGTTACCTGATCCTCATATTCAGTTGATTCTACTGTAACCAAACGAACTTGATACCAATTTTAAACACATCATCTGTTGTCCGTTGATGCTCCTCAACCCACTTCCACATTATATTTCTGAAATTCAGTTTCAGTTGGCATTTACATACAACAATTAATTTCAAAAAAGAAAATGTAAGAGACCACCAAACCCATTATAACACATTCATTGTACATTATACAGCTAAAATCTTTAAATGTCAAAACTTCGCTAAAATTACAAATGGGAACGGCATTATTACACAGCATCCTTTCCTTGGTCAGCCATCAGGTATACTGCCAGACAGATAGATTCTCAGTAGATTCCAGGAATGATTCGATACGGTACCTTCTCGCAATACAACTTCCAGTACTTCCCATACCTGCCAGTACAATACTCTCATCAATTTCACTTTATTTTCTTTACAAACAAACCTCAATACACAATCCAATTATGACTCATTAGTTAGGTTTCAGATACAAGACGCAAAATTCTTCAAAACTTGTATTGAAAAAGAAGCTGCATTCTAGATTACAGATGAAGTTAATGCTTACTTGGCCCGACATCTATCGTCATCCCTCTTAGCTCGGTCAAAAAGAAGGATGGTAAGAAATATCACATAGAAGTAGGGTAGAAACTGCAAAACAAAAGCTCAAGGAATTGGAGATTCGAACAACATTTCACTCCCAAGTTATAACTATAGGAAATTGTTCCTAAAATACAAATTCTTACATGATTAAAAAGAGCTGGAACGGTCCAGAAAAAAGCTGCTAATATTTCAGGTACATAATGGAAATGACGAGATAACCCCCACCTGCAAGTATACATAATAAAAGGTAAAATTAATTGCTATCAGACTGTCAAACCCAGCTTAAATATTATACGTAGTATTAGAATGGATCAAATCATGTCAACCAAAGACGCCAACAATGTTCAGGTATCTTGATGGGTACAGCACACTCAAACGTTTTTGAACTTCATAAGATTTAAGAGTCCACACAATTGAGAAAGCCAAAACTTGCCTAGCTTCGCCGTCCACCAACTGATCCAATCAACCACTCCACTCCTACCTTCCCCCTCCCGAAAGAAATAGATAAATAAGTAAATAAAAGAACATATTATTCCACTAACCATCCTGAGGTTAGAAGAAGGCTGTTCTTTGTTTCCCCAGACGATGTAGTGTATGAAGCAACAATCTGTAAAGGGTATCAGATCAGGTAAGCTTTCATTTCATGGGAAAAATAATGATCAATGCCTAAAAAGAATAATGCTACACAAGGGTATGAGACCAATCACCTTTGATGGAGCCTTTCCCCAAACCAAGCATTTGCCATTTGTTCTGCGAAATTCTTGCCTTTGCCTGTCGCAATCATAGTTGATATATATGCAGAGAATGCCTGCCACTAATATATAAAGTGCCAGCTGGAAAAAATATGATGAAGGTCAGAAACAAGTATGTTCAATGAATTACAGAGCTTAAGAATACATCTTCAAGAATGCAAAAACCAAGTGCCTCGCTCATACAACTGGATCTGAATCTTGCCCATGGATGGATAGCATTTTGATAGGTGGTTTTCTTTTGTGTTTGAAGCCAAAAACCCAAACTTGCAGCGCTAGCATTTTTTCACCAAGAAATGATACTCACCAGAACTTTGACAACAAAAATTATCAATATTCCGATTCAGCCAAAATTCATCCATTTACCATATTCAACCTATGGCAATATTAAAATATTCGATTTTGCATTAAGTTTTTATCCTAGTTAGTACCTTAAAATGTATCAGGAGAGGATGCTGATAAAACACCTCATAAATGGAAGCCCAATAAATGAAAAGAGAACACCTCTACCTGAGTTCCAAGGTTCACAGGATGGTTGACTAAGTACATGCCAGGAGAAGTATACAAAGATGGAACCCATACCAAGCATCCCCAGCAAATATAAAATCCGGCTGCCAATCCAAAACATGAATAAATTAAAATAAAACATAGAGCAATTAAGCAGGAGTGACAATAAAATTGAGAAAAGACACTGCAACAAATGGAATGCCTTGCAAGAAAAATGAAGCAAGATGTTGTGGTAACTATGGTAAGCAGTGAGGATAGATTAATTGAAGTTAAACAACTTTATTGGCAATTGACATATCCATGGGAAACTTTGGAAGTTTACAAGAAACTGAAACTTCAATGTAGTTTGGGAAGGTATTTTAGAAATTAGAACCAAATCAAGTGTGTTAATTATTTAAACAAATGCACAATAGAGGTGACCATGATGCAATGTCGCACACCAAATTCCATTTCCATTTCCTACAGAAGAAAATCCTTAAACATTCAGCTACGTAATATCTGCTTGTCATTTAGATTGTACTGATGCTTCCCAATTGACACTCCAACAGACAAATAGAAACATAAAAAATGAGGTAAGCAAATAGTAGGCGAAAATGGGTGAACCTCGATCATGTGCAATGTCCATTGTGTTCCAGTATCCAGCTTCCCACCAAAAAAACTTTGTAACATACACTAACATCAATATTGTATTTACAAGCATGGAATCAGCTACTTTTCCATTCTGCTCATACTGAAATATACAGAAAACTAAATGTTAAAAACAATTTACATTAATATATTATGTGTCTTACTAAGTCAAGTAACCAAAACAATATCCCCATGCACACTGGGGAGCATTATTCCATAAACGAATTTCATCTCATAGCAGCATGTCTTCAAGCGGAAACTTTAAGAAAAAATGACATAGAAGAAGAAATTCACCCTCCCACTACTATATTCAGTATGAAACGAGGGCAAGTAGTTTTCGATGAATTAAATTCTTCATGGATTAACAACTGCAACTGCGAACTTCAACTTGTAATTGAGGAATGAACAGGTAACTAAGAGATTGTATCTTGCTTGTTTGCTTGGCCAATCAGGCATTTGAAGTTGTTGGAGGTTTATAAGGAATTTCAATAGAAAAGGATATCAGATCCAATGCATAAAAGAAATGTAATGTTAATCCAAGATTATCTTTATCATTGACTTGGATACATGAAGAGGAATGTTTAAATACCAAAACATCCCTCCAGCACCTTGTTACTGAAGGATGTGATGGACTGTCACTCACAATATATAACAAACATCAAACTTAAAGGACAAGTAATTCACAACAATAAACATATAAAAAATTAACCTGTTTAATGCAGTAGGTCAATGCTAGTACTGCCCAACCCATCATCCCGAATCTGCAGTTTGTGAAAACTTTGATGTCAAAGTTCTTTCCTATTCGAGGATACAGCTCCATGCCCTGCAACAACACAGAGATGTTACACAAAAGAGCGGCCTAGAGACCCTAGACATCAATTACTGGCAAAAATGGCATTGGACAGAACATTTTATAAAATGTTGACTTGACTACATCTAAAAATAAACAGATAATGCAATGAACATATCATGGAGACCTGAACTCACCCAATAGAAGTCCATTATTATGTTACCGCATGAACCAGAATCATTAGAGGATGGCGCCAAATGACCCTTAAGACACAAAACATTTGCATAAGAGATTAAAGTAATATTATGAAAACTGTGAATGAGTTGTCTACTCGGAGTTTCCTACTTTTATGTACAAGAAAACACAGAAGAAGAAGCTTCCAAAGATGAGAGCTGAAAATATTTCTCCCAGATGATCATAAATGATCGAGGGGTTGAATATCCCAAACCTGCAGAATAACACACACACAAAAAAAAGTATTAATTTCACTTAAAAAGCACAAGTGGAATAATGATAATATTCTGTCGAAATAGTCGCTCAAATTAATCATATGTCAATAGGGCGTTGCTAGGTGATGTTCAGAATATAGATGATGGCTTAATAGTTATTAAGACACTTCATTCAAAAACATCATGAAGGCAGAAGCATATTGCATATTAGTCTTTCTCAAGCCCTTAATACCTCTAGTGAACCAATTAAATAAAATCTGGCAACCCACAGATGATATGCAATACCAAAAATTAGCAGCAAACGCTTAACTTTTACTTTGCAAAAGTCAAAAGTACTATAAAAGCTAATGACTATAATTTGTTACAATCCTTCTTAACATTTACAGTGTTTAAACACAATGACCATAATTAAATTTGGCAGCGTAAATACAAAGAAAAAGTTCTCACCACCAAAGGCTCAGATAGGTAACTAAAGTTACTATATATGCTGCCACACCATTTGCCTGCAACAATCATAAAGCATATGCTTAGGGCTTGAAACACATGTTAAGTGTGGACAACATGAATAAATTGATTAAATTTTCCTTCCAACCTTTGCCAGTTACAATCAAATGACAGAACAAAACTATGCATTTTTATGTAAAGTTAACCTTGTAAATTGGTCGATTCCCTTGAGGAGAAATTGGACCCTCAACCCTTTTTCCAGGTAAAAGAAGCTGAAGTGCAGCCTCAAATGCTGCATAACAAGCAATTATTTTCCATGCTGTCGCGGTGGGTCTTGGCCATATGTTTATGAATCCCTGAAACCCATTTTGCTTCAGAAAACTCCAAGTTTGGCAAACTGAGCCATCAGCATGCACCATTGTGTACCATCTGCAACAGCAAAATAAATAAATTTTTAAGTTTGATGTCCACTTCAAATAATTGCACAAATTGCACATGAATAAACATAAATTTCATCACCAAGCTACAAATAGTTTAAGTCTCCTGCAAATACACAAGCACGTAAGTCAACCATTCGGGTGCCTACAGCACTGCCAATAGCAGGTGGTGTTCGTACTCCTTCAATGCTAGCTTAGACGCAGACAGAGCAATGTTTCCAATAATATTGACCTCAACTCTTTTCCAAATCAGCAACTTCACTCATGTGTCTCCGGGATTAACCAGCAAAGAATCCGTCCAGTATCAAATTTGCTTCAAGATTTCTTACAAAGATAATATATTTCAGGGGAAAGAAAAGCAATTTCAGTAGATGCTACTACGAGATAATGTATTTTCCATGAATATTATTTTACTACGGCTTCATCTACTTCACTACAAAAGCATCCTAAATATATTGATGCGCATAGACAGAGGAACAAAGGGAGTTCCAATTCCTGAGTAATAAAGAAAAAGCGAGAACTCTGAAACACGTGTTAGCCTCAAGATTTATTAAGATCTAAAGGACAAAACAAATAACAAATGATCTTAGCGTACGATAATCACACTAATAGGCGCTAATCTCGGGGGTTCTTTAAGATCTGAACACCCATATAAAATTTGACATAAACGATAATTTCATTCAGCAACTGTTAATCCATGTTTGCGAAGGCCAAGCAAGCACTTCGCCTACAAAAGGAGAAAATCTTGAAATAGATATTGAAATGAGATTTAAGCGAGCGAGAATGAGAGCTCTTACAGCAAAATAACAAAGGGAGGGCAGAGAGTCAGAAGTGAAAGCATTGAAACATAAGTGACCAACGGTGAATGCACAGTCTTCGTTTCTGCCATTATCTCTTCCTCTTGCTTTACCGGAGCTCTGATTATGCAGCAGTCTCTGAACTTAGCTCTTACTTCTCCTTGGAAGGAGACTTTGCTGATTTTGCTTTCTATATTTGCTTGACTTGATTAAAACAAATAGTAAAAGTCTAAAATATGTTTTCTTTTCTTTTATTTTGCCAATAAAAATCTTGGTCCCTTTTATTAGGCGTGCCAATTTTTTTTTTAATTATACTTATTCCATTTCTTTTTTTTTTTTTTTGCTTGCTATTATTTGCTTGACTTGAAATTACAACAAATAGTAAATAGTTAAAATATGTTTCTCTTTTCTTTTATTTTTGGGCCAATAAAAAATTTTCCTTTTTATTAGGCGTGGCCGAATGTTTTTTTTTTAATTATCTTATGTCCATTTCTTTTTTTTTTTTTGTTCTGGTTTTGCAAACTATTATCATTAAGCTCTAACTTAAAAATATATAAATTTCTACGAAAGTATTTATAGACTAATTCATTTCTTTTTTTTTTTTTTTCTGTTTTGCAACTATTATCATTTACCCTCTACTTAAAATATATAAATTCTACGAAAGTATTTATAATCTAAAGGTAAGAAAAAAAAAATTTATAAAATTTACATATATAAATTTGAATAAAAACAAACTAAATTCTATTTATCTTCTTAATTTTCTAAAATTATTATGTCCATAATATTTTTAAAAATAAAAATAATAAATTTTAAATTTATTCATTTATACTAAACCGAATGTTAATCAAATGTTCAATTTAAAGAAAATGTGACATGACAAATTTAATAATAATTGGCTTATAAAAATAACACAAAATTCAAATATAAAAAAGTAATTTAATTTTCAAAACACAATTAACTTTTTTGTTTTCTTTTGAAAATAAAACACGATTAACTATTGGTAGGTGATTAGTGTGGAAATCACCGTTTTTTCCGGGTCGGGTTGAGATTGTTGAAATCCCAATTGGTTGACCCGTTAGAATTTGGAACCCAAATGCCAATGGGCCATGGATGGGTTCAAACTTGAATGTTTCTGGGCTTAACACTTTCAACAATGAACAGTGATCTCACAGACTGACTAGTGTGTGTTTTTTTTGAAGCGTTGGAGTGAACGTCCATTCTATTATTTCTCCCTGTGCCAAAGCGCATCAAAAGAAAGAAACAGAAGAATCGCTTGGATGGAGGGAATGATACAAGACCAATCTCAGCTGCAAAATCAACAGCAGCAACAGCAGCCACCGCAGATGGCGGTTGCGGAGAGGCTGAACCAGGCTGTCCAGCAACAGCTCAATTTGGAGTCCGTAAAGACTCGAGCTATCAGCCTTTTCAAAGCTATCTCCCGTATCCTTGAAGAATTCGATGCACACGCTCGGTCCAACGCCAATCCCAAATGGTCGCCTCCTTCTCTTTTCTGGCATTTTTTTTGTTAACCTTCTCTATCCATGACCTTTATACCTTTTCTTTCGTTAATTTATATCTCTAAGGTAGGAATGCTGTTAGGTTGAGCGGGTTAAAATCTAGAAAGTCTATGCTTCGTTTGGACGATGGAAAAGTTAAAGGAAAGTGAATTGAAAGGGAGTTGTATGACGGCTCATTGCCTGAAGTATCACGACACGGAGTATAATCTTAAGGGAATTTGTCAAAGTTTAGAAGAGATATATTTCATTGTATTATTAACAGTATACTTCGTTATTCTGCTTCAGGCAAGATATCTTGGGGCAATATTCTATGGTCAACCTTGAGCTCTTCAACATTGTGGACGAGATTAAGAAGGTTTCCAAGGCTTTTGTGGTGCATCCCAAAAACGTTAATGCAGAAAATGCTACAAGTACGGTTATCTTGCTAACATCTGTAGTCGGATACAGAGGTTTAGGCTGTCTAAATTGATAATCTACCTAAATTATCTGCATTCCGATACTATGCCAGTCGAGTTTGTCTATAGTCCTTCAATCCTGAAGCATCAAAATGTCATGCCTTTGAATTTTCTTGATGCATCTATCGAGTCACTTATGCATCTGCATGACTGCATGGTCATGGTATTTGGAAGACTGAATATTCTCCAGCTGGCTTGAGTTTTCCCTTACACCCTTCCCATTTCTAATTACTGCTGAAATGTAATGATTGATCAAAATTTTAATGTGGAAATCACTTGTTTTGGTATCATGTGTGCAGTTCTACCGGTTATGCTATCCACAAAATTATTGCCCGAGATGGAAATTGATGACAACTCCAAGAGAGAGCAATTGCTTCTGGGGTTGCAAAATTTGCCAATATCGTCTCAAATTGAGAAATTAAAGGTAAATTGAAGTCAATTGAGCATTCAGCACATTATCCATGCGTTCTTACATTCAGGGATTTGACTTTCTAGTTTTACAGAGTAGAATAGATATGATTGGGGCAGCCTGTGAAAGTGCTGAAAAAGTATTAGCTGATACCCGCAAAGCCTATCAATTTGGTACGCGACAAGGGCCAACTAGTCTTCCAACTTTAGACAAGACCCAGGCTGCAAAAATTCAAGAACAAGAGAACTTACTCCGAGCTGCTGTAAATTTTGGTGAAGGTTATGCTCTTAAACTTAAATATATACATATATAATTTTCTTCTTTACAATTCTTTTTTTCCTTTAGCACTGTTGAGTAGAGGAGGCATGGTAAGGGAATCAAAACTCAAATATTTTGAAGCATCTATCTCTGTAATGATTGTAATTGTAGATTGGCTTTCCATATAAATGGTTGAGACTGTTGGCTCCTAAGTATACAATAACTTGCATATATTAATTGCCTCATTAGAAGAAATTTTTGAGCAGTTTAAGAAGTTGGACAATAGAGTGGTAGCAGCAATATTTTTGTGGGTGCCTTCATTTTTCTATCTTGTTCAGATAAAAAACAAATAGAAGCATCTGAGCGGCAGTACTTGACTGTACCATTTCTGGATGTGTGTTGCATTGATTCCTTGGTTTGTGGGGGAACATTTAAGTTGTGCAGATTATTCTTGCGGAATATGCCTATCATTATCATTTAAAAAAAATTATGTGGATGCAGGACTTCGAGTAACCGTAGACCAGAGGCAGATTACGTCTGCACTTCCAATGCATCTGGCAGATGTGCTGACTGTGGGTGATGGAGTGCATAATGTTTCTGATTCTTCTGGTAATAATTAATCATGTTTTGTACAACCATGGGCAAACCTTGTTGTTTTTTGTTTGAAATTAACACAACACTATTGAGGAATTGCTCTGAACTCTTTCTGATAGGGATGTACATGAAAAATACTCCACCTCTGTCATCAAATAGCATCAATAATCAGGGGTCTCTTTTACAGGTTAGGTCATTGACTTTTTCTTGAAGAACTTCATTCTGAATTCTCTACATATATTTTTTGGTGAAGCATACAATATTTTAATTTTCTACTTAATTCCTTTTTTTTTTTTTTTTTTTTTTTTTAACTTTTTTGTTTTTTTTTTGTTTTTTTTGTGAAGTTTTTTTTTTTTTTTTTTTTTTGTGAAGCAGATAGACTATGATACCTTCGGCTTACTATATGAGAATTTTCTTATTTCTACATTTATCGGATGAGAAGTTCATTTTTCGCTTGTGCCATTGTTTGTCTTCTTACCTTAAAAATTTTCTGTACCAGGCCTCCGGAACAGCACTTATGGGAAGATCCGCTGCATCCCCTTCTGCTGCTACAAGCGCTACCTCCTTTGACAATACTACAACTTCCCCATTACCATATGCCAACTCACCAAGGTCGGGCAACATGATGAACATGCCTTCTCCTCAACAACAAACCCAACAACAACAGCAGCAACAGCAGCAGCAGCAAAGGCAAAAGATGATGCAATTACCTCAGCATCAGCAGCAACTCTTTGCTCAGCAACAATTCAGACAATCTACAATGCAAGGATTGGGACAGGTGCCTTTTTTTGCACAGTTTTTGAACTTTGATTTTAAAAATGTTTATGAAGCCAAGGCATTCCATCGTTTTGACAGACTCGAGGTCTTTTTTACATCTATACTTCCTTTTAGAACACGTAAAATGGCATTTGGCTTATGCAACTTATTATATGACTAAACATTTCAATTGATGTGTCGTTTTTTTTCCTTGAATTTTTTATAAAGATCAGTAATGATAAATGAAATTAAAATCATCCATTTTTTTCCGATTAATATCCAATTGACAAATTGAACTTTGCTTTTTTGCAGACCCAGCTGCCACAGCTGCATGATTTGCAGGGACAGGGTCAGCAGAAGTTTCAGCCGGTAATACTTTAGTCTGCTGCTTTTAGTTTTCATTGAGTTGGTTGACATTGTTTCTACATCTTTATATTTCTTTTTTTTCCCCTTACTAGAGCTTATGACATTGTAGTGGCTTTTTTTACAAAAAACAGTGATATTTTTTAGCGTCTCTATCTACAAAGTCTTGGAGATTTCGTGAGAGGCTACATCTTTTTCTTTCTGGTTTATCAAGTGTGGAAATTTTCCTCTTCTTAAGTCTAGCATCCCGAAGATTAAGTTGAAATATAAAATATACATTTTCCTTGAAGAGAAAATATTTATGGAAGAAATTATAGGGCTCATTGAATTCGTGAATCTACCTTTACATTATTTTAACCTAAAAAACTAAATAACATGAGAAGCCTGACCTACAGGATAAAAACTAATAGAAATATGTAAACAAAGTTGAACTACAATGTGTTGTCAGCAGAACATCTCTTAATATCTCCCCAGTTGCATTTCACTTATGATGCCCTGTGGAAGGTGTTTGGTCAACAGTTTCTCATGCATAGGCATAAAAACCTTCTATGGCATAGCTTCTGTGCAAATTTTTTTTTTTTTAATTTTTGTGATGCTTGCTTATATCATGCGGAAGATGATAGAACTGATTTATCATATTCCTTGAAACCTTATGAGGAATGTCTTCTACATGTCCCTATTTTTTATTTTATATTTACTTATGTAATAATTCTTTCCTCAAATTCATTTCTTAGCAGTTACATGGACAACATCAGATGCAATTTTCTCAAGCACTGGGGCACCAGCAATTTCAGGGTAGGCAACTGCCCTCCGGACATGTTCAACATGGCATGGGTCAAAATCCACTCAACCAAGGAAATCAGTTAAATCGCCATTTAACTCAGTTTTCTGGTACTGCAAATAATGCACTGTTTAATGCTGCTCAGGGGGCACCAAATACCCAGATGGTCAGTTATGTTCGTTTCACTCTTCTAGTCTTTTGTGATCCATCTTGTGTTCTTGTGTTTTTTCAGTTTGTCAGTTTCGGTTCGTATCCTGATGGTTCAATTATGACTAGGTTATTTCTGTAAATTGCATATTTCCTGCATTTACAGAGTCTCTTTTTCTATTATTTACTACTACACTGATTTAATTCCTTTACTGGAGTCATTGGATTTTCTCTTTCTTGTGTGATTCACATTTTTTATCTAATGTCTTTCTACTTATCTGTTGGATGGTCATTGCTCCTTGGAATAATTGACAGGGATTACCCCTCCCCTACATAGTAAAGCCTCTTACTCCAATCTCGGCAGAACCTGAATTACACATTGAAATTTGAATTGCTAACCATTGGTATCTGCTTCACTTGTTTAAATTCCAATTTGGTGTAAACCGCAATTTCTTTTGTGGATGCGTTAGTCTGGCTGCTGTATGTATTTTGTTTTGCTAGCTTTGGAACATTTCAGTCTAGACCTCCATTAGGCAGCTTAGTTTTTCAGTCTGCACTAGGCAATTTTTCATAAAAGTAAAAATTTGATTTATTTCCATCAAAGCATTTGCATGTACCATAGGGCTAACTATATAGTTTGAGGTTATGTCTTCTCCTTTTATATCAAAACCTGGGGTCTAAACATGTTGCTGGCAAGAAACAAGTACAGTTGTCTTTCTTTCACCATAATCTGGAAATATTGAGATCCTCTTGCTGCTGGTACATATTCAATTCAAATCCTATTTAATGATACACGCATTTCTTTTACTACACATTTTTCCTTTTTTGGCTAAAATATTTTTTATATATCATTCTGATCTTTATAACTATAACTCATATTTCCTTTCTGATGCATCTTGGACTTATCACTATTTTTTGATTGCCTTTTGTAGATTCCAAACATGTCAGCTACAATGTCATCTCAACCACTTGTGCCAAGAACGCAGGTAATATTATTTGCAAATTTATCTTCTTCTTTTATTGTTGGCTGGAAAACAGGAGAAGGGGAGTTGGAACTTATTGAGATCCGTATGCATATTGTATTCTCAATCAGCAACATATGATGATCTTGGTCCACTGGAATTTTACTATTGCAAATTAATCTGAGGCCAGATGGGAGTCATTTCAGTAACTCTGGAATGCAGCATAAAGGATGGAGGGGGGTTGGGTGGGGTGTAGTTAGGCATGATTTTTCTGAGTTTGACTCCAATGGGTGCCCTCAGATTCTTGTAGGAGAGTTTTCACACTTCTTATGGGCTTGTTGCAGCTATTAGTCATATCAAGGGGACTTCGTGTTGGTGGTTGTACTAGTTCTCTCGATGGGCTGGAAATCATAGGTTTTGGTTAGCATTTTTTACTAGGAAACATCTAGCAATTGTTCTGTGATCATCCTGTCATTTGAGGAAGAAATGCCAATTGATAATCCCGTAATCTGTTTTGACATATATGGAATAATACTACTACTGTCTGAAATTGGAAAGCAGCAGGAAATATCAACTAAGACAGATGGACATTACATCAGCATTTTTGGCATTAATGGTTGCATCTGTGCATCATGTAGTAGGATCTTGAATTATATTTTCTGTATATAATTTGTTTTTCGACTGTGATCAAATATGTTAATTTTTTTCGTATACATCAGAGGGTTCTGATAACTTAATTATTGTCTCGTGTTCAATATACCATGCAGTTTGGATTAACCGGTGGCAATCCTCAAAGGAGTCATACGTCCCAAATTCTGAATGATCAAAGTATGAATCTACACCCTTGATTTTTTTCTCTCTCTAAGTTGCTATCTTACTGGATGTGTGGCTCTGCATTTCTTTTGTCTTCCTCCTTCTTCTCTCTCTCTCTCTCTCTCTCTCTCTCTTTGTGTTGCTACTTTATCTTTTCTTTTTTTCATTTTCTCCATTCCCCTTTGCGGAAAGGTTAAGGACATGGAGCAATGATTTTATTTTTGTTTTAACTCTTGAAGCCTCCTTCCTACTTACTGGCCTGTATGTATGGCTGTTACTGCTTCCGTTGTAAATGTTGTGTGGAGTTGCCATCTGGCTTAGAGGCATCTGTCCCAAGCAATTGCTTCAGGTATTTTAAGTGCCAGTACATTTGGCTGAAATATCAGTTGGTATTTTTGCTTGCAGTGTTTAATATGGGAGTATCAAATCCTGCTGGTATGATGCCTATACAGCCACAGCAGCAGCAGCAACAGCAGCTTGGTTCTCAAGGTGCATTTGGTAATATGCAGCCAAATGCTCAGAATCTACAATCGAGTATGGTTGCACTTCAGAATGCATCACAAAATCACCCCAATTTTGTACAACAGAGGCAACAAAATCCACAGTAATTTTTGCCACAATTTACCCCCGAGTACTCTGTTTTTCCTTTTCTGGCCGAGTAGGAATCTTGTAGAGTGCTAATGATTATGATACTACCGATATTGGATTGGAATTACGTTTTAGTGTAGATAGAAATGCTACAATTACTCTTGATGTAGGAGAGAATATGTATAATAAATCAACACAAAATAACCACTCTGCTCATGTTTTCTTGCAAAGCTGTAAACATTTTACTCAAGTTTAGTTGCCTTACCATTTATTAGTTCCTTTGGCTAGAACGTGTTTTTTGTAATAATATAATATGTGATCTCTTGAGTGCTTGTGGCTCCGGCTTTTAGTTATATGTACAGGGACAATTATGTGTATGTTCAATCATATTTAGTATATATTAGTAATGGTAGGGCTATACTATGGCTACAAAATAACTCAGAAAAAAAAAAAAAAACATTGAAAATGATATTATGAACTCTCAAAGTTACAGTGGAAGAATAAACAAAATGCATACATCACTTTTTTTTCTTCCCATCGTTTGTATTCAGTAAATCTGGCGGAAAAACCGATACAGTTGGTGCAAGGGATGAAAACCGCAAAAAATGCTGTGCTAGAAAATACTTTACAATGGTTTGTGCTGCATTGTGATTTATTGTGAAATGGCATTTCAAGAGTGAAAAGGAGTAAGCAAATTTGTTAGTAGAAATGAGTGCCTGAATTTTAGGAACAGTAAAAGACAGGAAAGGAAAGCACGTCCTTCAAGCCCTCAGGGAGAATTGCAACAGCAATTGCAGCATTTTTGTATAAACCATTCCACCCTGCACTTAATGGAGAGAGAGAGAGAGAGAGAAAAGGGTAAGTTGGTCATTAGATTAGATTTGCAAATGACTTTGACTGGTTGGTCTGTGTGTGTTAACTAAATAAAAGACAACTACCAGTCAAAAATGAATTTCATCAGTTCTTCACATTCTAAAGTAAAACACAAGCTTAGAGGACAAGAAATAAACGAATCAAGAAAAAAGAAAGCCAAATGCCAATTCAAGAAGCAAAATAAACCAACATATGGGAAAGGTATTTGGAAGACCAATTGCTTACAAGTCTTGAAGGCATGAACTCTTAGAATCCAATTCAATAGGACGTGGGCGGTCCAATGAAAATGCTGAAGGAACTTTTGCAGTAGGACTACCTAACTTTTCAGACAAAAGTGGAAGGTTTTCAGCCGACGCGTGGCTGGAAGGAGGTGGCGAAAAAGGCGGAGATGGAGATGGAGAGGGAGAGAAGGAGTACTTTTGGTTTCCAGGACCTACACTGATGGGGAGGGGTGATGGTGGTGTTGGTGGAGATGAAGGTGGAGAAGCATAAGCATTCCTCATCTCTTCCATTAAAAATCTGAATTGACACTCTAACATACATTTATTTTGTTGGATTGAAACTTGTCAGGTTTAGTTTCCCCCGGAGTTTATGTTTGAATTGCAGGTATAAACCTAACTGTCTATGTCTAGTTTGCCATTCCTTGGCGTTTACATAGAGAGGAGCCAAAATTAATAACAAATAAAAAATCTAACTTCTGATCTGAATGTGGAGAGTGGGATTTGAACCCACGCCCTTTCGGACCAGAACCTTAATCTGGCGCCTTAGACCAACTCGGCCATCTCCACACGGACAGATGTGTGGTTTAGTAATAGTCCTATTAATTCTCTCAAGACCCTCAACCATCTATCAAACATATCTAGACTTAACCACTATTTGCTTTCAAAATATAATTTATTTAGAAATATTTTTCAATTTTCTGAGATCTGGAATACTTAGAAAAATCAATCAACATAAATATTCCGTGATTAAAAAAAAATTAAATCATTTTTAAAGAAATTGAATTTTTTTTAAAAAAATAAAGAAAAAGCATTTATCAAATTTATTGAACCTAAAAAATACACGTTATTAATTCAAAAAAAATACACGTTACACCGCTATGGGTGATCATTTATTATAAAATTATATCAAATTTCGGTAACTAAATAGTGATTGACCCTAAATAAAATAAGGGGAAGGCAACACCTTGGACGGTGCAGTCGTCAGGTCTAAAATCTCAATTTGGGTTCTATCTAACTTTTTTCTTTTCAAAAGAGGTTCTATCTTAACTTTCTCCCGAAAATATTAAGCAAAAAACAAAAGACTAAGTCTGTCGCGCAGATTTATTATAGGACAGGTCAACCACAATTCAACACGCAAACATACACAACCTCCTCCGCTTACGTGACCAATAACTTAAGCCTGTTTTGAAGCTTATATGAAACGACTGTGACTTTATCATCAACTCTTAACTAAATCAGATAAACAATAGCTATGCATCAACATCAGCTAAATTATTTTATGAATTAAATTTGGTATGTTCAAAGTTTGATATGTGTAATTGTCTCCTCTCCTCTGTTTCTCTCTCTCACATTGCCATTGACGTGAAACGACAAGCCCTAGAATTTGATTTGGTTTAAATCTCGCCTGATTTATTTCCATATAACATAGAAAGGCCTCAATATCATGATTCATGGAGATCCTCAATTTTGGTAAATATCAGGTTAGCCTTTCACATTTTCATGTTTCGTTTCTATACTCTGTTACTTGCAATTCCATTATTTTAACCTTTGGATTGATCAGTTAATGTGATTCCGTCTGTTATTGCAAAATGTGTTGATTCTCTTCTGTTTAATGCCGCCAAAATGCATTAATTATCCGATTGGGTGTTTTTTTATGGAAATGCGTGTTCTGTTAGACCAATCGTTGACCTTCTAAAAAGGGGAGAAAAGAACGCTGTGTACATATAATACACGTCTAATTGGTTATGGTTAATTTATATAGAACCAAAAAGAATGCCTCTTTAGTGATATCTAAGCACTGAATTGCTTGAAATTTGTATTCTTACGATAGAGAAATGAGTAGAAGAGCTCCTTAACCTTGCGTTTTTTCTATCCTTCGAACTGTTCTTGAATACGTGCACGTCTCGTGCAAATCAGTTACTTTTGACATTCAGAAGCCCTAAGTGAGGGCATTGCTCAACTCACTCGAGATAATGCAAGCTAGTGATTGTTGGCATTTGTTGCATTTCCTGTTTACTGATTAGCATGGCATGTCCTGTCTTCGCCTATTTTGCAGAGTGCCTAGTTTCCATTGAAATGTGCAGCATCAGTTACAGGTCTTGTGATGGAGTTGACAGTTTAATGCTGATTCAATATTTTCCGCAATGCAATTAGTATCAAATGATAGTCACAGGGAAGATATATTGGAAAGTGAACCCATCTTATCCCACTCTACCGTTTCACATCAGATTGAAGAATCATCGTCAGCTTCAAGTGAAATTACATCTTTAGAACGGGATTGTGATGGTGATGACTTGGAAAGTGTGCACATTGACGAAACTTGCCATCTAGTGAATCCAGACCAACCACAATGTCGCATTTGCCTTGATAATGGAGGTCTTTATACCTATTCTGCTTGGTACCTTTTTGTATCTTAAATTTTCTTGTCACCTTTTGACATGGTAGATTTTCATGAGACAAAGTAAAATGATACTCTTTGGACTACCTGTAACTTGTAGCCCACAAGTTGTGGGTGAAGTGTAACTATTGATTGGCCTTTTTGAACCTACTAAGGTTGCAGCACGTACTAATTATTTCAGGAGAAGACCTAATTGCACCATGTCATTGCAAAGGCACTCAGAAGTATGTTCATAGGTCGTGCCTTGATAATTGGAGGTCAACTAAGGTGATTGTTTGATTTTCACTAGCATCCCTTTTACTTGAACAGCAGAATGATCATTAATGTGCTTAAGTACCACTTCTTGAAACTAAGGTTATGAAAAATTGAGACTTCTAGGCTCTGTAACGAGGGCGTACTCCTTGCTTCTGGGGACATTGATCCGAAGCTCGAGTATGGTCCGTGCGCTGTTTTTCTTCTCTACCATGATGAATCAATTGATTATTTTCATATGGTGGTTGAAACATTCATATTTTCACTTGAGAATGATGGATTTATATGTGTGACTACTTGAGGCTGTTTACCTGTTATGGATGATCAGTACTTTTTATTTACTTCCATAATTTTTCCAGGAGGGCTTTGCTTTTGCTCACTGCACAGAGTGCAGGGCATTGTTCATATTACGTGCTAATGTCCCACCTGATCGCTGGTGGTTGAGATTGAAATTTCAGTTCCTTGTTGCAAGAGACCACGCATTCATTTTTGTAGTTGTTCAGCTGGTACGGAAACTGACTAATTCATAACACTGCAACATCTGAAAATGTAACATGCATTAAACTACTGGTCAATGTTAGAACTTTTTTTTTGGTTGATCTTTTGATATATGAATGAGCTTTTCAATGTTTAGTAAATTATTGAACTCATGCCTTTTGAACAGATTGTTGCATTCTTGGGGATGCTTGTGTACAAGTTTTATGGGGATGAGCTCAGGGAAATGTTTGGCTATGAAGAGCATCCATATGGATTTTATACTATGGCTGGTATGTACAGTACAATTACTGATTTAATCTATCACAATCTTATTACTATGGGTTTACTTGTCTATCCATTTATTTAACTCCTTTTTTCAATGTGCCTTACCAGAATGGTAAGATCCACACTTGCATAGGATATGGGTTAAGTGTTTGATTGTACCAATGATTAGCATAAAAAAAAAGAATCTTGTTATCTCATCTCAGGAGCTGTATGTGATACAATTTTTTATCAGAGGCAGCCTTCAAAAGTGGTAGTACCATGGTTCATGTTTTAATATCTTTGAAAAGATTCAACTGAATCTGTGGGCTCATAATCTATTCCTTTCTCATCTAGCAGCAACTGAATCGATATGGGAAATGGTAGGTTGCTTGAAGTTCACTCAACACAGGTTAATTTACATAGTTGAATGAGAAAATTCTCTTCTTGCTTTGGGGAAAAAGGATGGTGGGATGTGAAGCATGCAAGAAGGATAGAGGCATCATAAGGGGTTTGGCTAACCTTTTCTGTACCAGCACTGTATTATACTGAATGCTGGATACTGTCTAATTTTACAAATTAAATAAGTTGTAAATGTTTCAACTTTTCTTTTGTGGGAATGACAAATGCACAGCCTTTCGTTTAAGGAACTAACAATTTGTTCCTCTCTGTTATCATCAGTGAGTCTTGTAGCCAATGTGAGGATTCATTCCGATTCACCATACTCTTAAATTTTTAAACTCGCAATATAGTCCATATTTGTTCATTTCTCTTGGAAATACATGCTACTTGAAAATAAGTGGCTGTATTTTAAAATGTATGCATGTTTTGGATTTTTTTTGTCATTAGTCCCATTGGTAGTTATTCTTTTTTATACTGATTGATACCCAACTTCCCTTCCAATTATTCACCGGACTTTTCAAATTTTAAACTTGCAATATAGTTCATATTTCTTCATTTCGCTTGAAAATAAATGCTACTTGAAGATAAGTGGTTGTATTTGAAAGGTAAGCGTTGTTTTGGATCTTTCTCCAGTTAGCCCCATTAATACTTTGTGTTGGTACTGATTGATACCTGAGTTTACCTGAAGGTAATGGACACATGCCATCATTTAAAACATGAACTCTCCATGAATTACTTTCCCTGTTCTATAATTCCAAAGGTTTTCTAAAAGCTGAACTAGTGAGTGTTCCCTTTTTCTGATGTGCTCTAATTTATGCATATAAAATTTATATCTTGCATTCATCATGTAAATTTCCATATTTTTATTTTTTGCGGCTTTTATTCTATCTCCACGATCACCTTTAATTCTATGCTATTTTTCAATTGTGCAGTTTTAGCTATTGTTTTGGTTGGTTTGCTATATGGTTTCTTCATTGCCATAATTTGTGGACAAAGGATAAATGAACGCCATTATCATGTTCTTGCCAAACAAGAACTAACAAAGGTCTGATATTTTATTCTTAAAGCATAATGGAGTTTCCAAAATCATTTCCAGTAAAGCTGATTGAAAATATAATTTAAATTGACATTTCATCACTCAAAAACATATCATTTACTTGACACTAGTGATTTGAATCTTATCTTAATTTTACTATCTGGCCACCTAACCCCAAGAATTGAAAGGTTGGGAATAGCTCTACTTTAATGAAAGTTAGCAGGTATACTTTTTGAAGTGCAAACTCCTTCTCTGTGCTCCAATTGTATATATATATGCTTTATAATTCATGTTAAGTTCACCGTATATTAGTATAGAAATTGTGGTAATGATCATTTTCAAGTTTAACTAAAGGACTCCATAAAACATTTATGTTGCTTTGATGACATAGAAGGCTTCAGACATTTTATTGCTTTGTGTTTCTGATTCATCTTCGTGCTGTAGCAGTTCTTTGATATCAGAACTTCATTACCGTTGTTCTTTCATCATGTCAGGAATATGTGGTAGAAGACCGAGATGCTAGTAAAAATGTCCCTGAACTTGATGCCAGTCATGTCACAGAGCTAAGAATGTTGGGCCTTTATTAATTTGGATTTCCCTCGGTGTTGTACTCTTGGTGAGTAATTTCAACTTCCATATACATGTTATGTTTATCATTTTTTTCATGCTTTGTCATTTCTTCCTTTTCTCTTGGAGGGAAAAAATATATGATAAAATATTTTAATCTTATAATGTTTGTGTTCTTGTATTCTATATACTATATCTCCATGACTGCCTCTACTTTCTTAAAGTGGAAAGAAAGATGCATTGGAGCAAAATTTAACTTTTTTTGCTTGTCAGTTTCCTTGTGTCTTGCTTCAGATCTTTCATACCATAGATATTCTTTTATGTGCTGTGATTGCTTTTTGCTATCCACTTATTTTTAATAGTTTTGCTTCTTAGGAAATATAGTTGAAAGGGAAATATGATCCCTTAAGCAAAAATGTTGATAAATGCTTTTGAGAAACCAGAGAGTTTCCAATGACTCATCGAAAAGTAGCTTAAACATAAAAATATTTTACCATATATTCATTTGCTTTTCAGCTAGGGTTTTTGTGCAACATATTTTGTATTCTCCGGACTAGCCTCTTTTGGTCATTAAAGGAAATTTCACCTAGGCATTTGTCATTTATAGAGAAATACAAGGGCTTGTTTGTGATAGATGCTTTCTTGATGCAGTAACAGATTTGGCACCGCACCTTAATAGAGATGAATTGTTGGCATCCTATTCCTATGCCCTTTTCGTTTCCCGTATGCAGTTTACATGCTTTTGTGCATCATAAGAGTTATTGGTTGTTAAATTCTCAAAGATTTTGAACTGTTTTTCAGGTATTTCTTTTCTGAGGATGGATCCTTTTTTGGTAGTCCATGTCAATTAATGCTTCATGGAGCAAAATAACTATAATGGTTTTGAATAATCTACTGAGATCCTCCATTCGTGGGATGGACCTGGCATTTGAATATTATTGCAAATCGTGGCTGGAAAGTATGTACTTGCCTTCATTGTATATGGATTGTGTTTGTGGGCATTTTCCTATTTCAAACTGCAGAGCCAGAGTGGTTTTTCTTAACAAATTCGTACCCCCTGTATTTCAGTACTTGTTGTGTATTCAGAAACCAGCTCGATACTTGATAGAAAAATAGTTTCTATTTAACATTTGTTGGATAAATGTCCATACTTTTTTCTTCACGAGACCATATACTTTGTTCCTGTACAAGGGTGTTGTAAAATGCAAAACGAAAGGAATAAAAAAATGAGGTTTCCGAACGGCTGTGCAGCATGCAGTTTGCTTCCCACTCCCCTTGTCAATGGTTGGAAAAATGTTCTTTCTTTTGCGATGGTACGTTTATATTAGAAATTTGATTGTACAGTCTAGAGTAAATTCAAGCCGTTATGTTGCCTACCTTGTACCCTACGGAGGGGATTCGTTTGGAGTATTTCAGGGCATAACGCGGTTAACGAATGGTGAAAGTTCGACGATCATTCATTTGTTACAGTTAATTCTTTTAAGAGTTAATAGTCTTTATTGTCACACCCAATTTTGCTTTTCCCTAACTAGTATTTGGGTAAAAAGTCTTGCATAGAGCTAAAACACCTTGCTATTATTATTGAAAGCATATATACAGGTACAAGCTAGAGATCAGGACTACAAATCAGAAAAGAAATATTCAGCAGAGACTATATAGGGTACTAATAAATATAACATGATCGCAAGCAATGTCTTCACTTCAACAAACGCCCGTTAAAAATACATTTTTGAAGGGTAGCATTCATCTTGGTAAATTACTGCTACCTCACCATGTTGCATCTGCAAAGCTCCTCCAATTGATCTGATTTTCATCCAGTTGGTAAATTCCACTTCTTTTGACTTTTCGCTTCTACTTAAAATTTACAAGTCCGGATGAGCCTGGAACATAAGAATAACTAATCAGAATACAGAAAAATGATGTGGTTTGGCTTATTCAGATTTGTCACTCACTACAACAAGTTCATCAAATAGATGAGCTTTAGCTGCAAAGTCAATAGTGCAGGAATCTGTTAATCTTTTACGACGGGATCAAAGCAAAATGGTCATGATTAACAATGCAGGTTAACGATGTTTTCAATATGTACTTTTCCCCTTGATGTCAGATGGCCTTATGGGCCAGCCTCATAACTTTTTGTTTAAGTATTTCCCCTTATCCAAAAGCACTTTGTTCAGTTATAATTATTTCAGTCGACCAAATATTTCAACTTCAAATTTCTGTTTCTGGTTATCTTATCAAATGCCTTACTGGCTGTGAAACCCAGATTTAGACTTCCTCAATTGCATGGTCTCAACATCTTAAACTATAATGCTGACAGTTTCAATTATATCATAAAAGCCATGTCTTTTCAAGTAAACTCTCTGGGTAGGAATCACCAGCCTTTCAATCTCAACCTACATAGCATCTATTCAAGTAAATTAACTTTCACCCTCACCTAAACAAGTATAAATCTAATGTATGGTAGATTTTGCTTGTTAGACAGCTACTAGCAGACAATTAGCAATGTACCAATATGTCCAAAGATGTATAAACAAGGGAAAATGTCACTCACCCAGATGCTCCTTTTTTGGGAAGAAAACTCATCCTTCCTCGTCTTCAGATTTAGACACATTGTTGGAGTTTGTCTTCTCTGCTTCTGCCTGCTTCAAATCTATTGAACTTGGAGGTGCACCTACAGCAGATAGGAGGGATAGCAAAAACCATATTCAATGCCGGATAGAACTTATTGTTTTTAAGGATATGGTTACAGAATGCATGAACTTTATTAAAATGAATACAACTAAATTACAAATTTAACCATGCAACTAACAGTAAATGGTTTTCAGTCTCCTCGACCTCCACCTGAGCTTCCCATCGAATTCTCTATACAAAAGAACAGATCAATCACCCACATAATTACTCTTCTGTCTCTCAAGTTTTCCAAAGCAAGCATTACCCACCAGATAAAGATGGGGAGGACAAAAAGAACAGACTATTTTAACTACATTTCGTTATCCTATCCTTTGAAGTCTGAAGCAGGGCTAAAATACCCCCAAACTTAAACATATTTGCGCAAACGAAAAACCTAATAACGAAGTTTGATAACATTGCATTACAATCAAACCATTCCCAGTGCAGAAAAGATCAAATTTTGGAAGAAACCATCTATAATCCAAGCATAATTTATTATTTTTAACAAAGCCAAAGAAGAGTACCTGTGGAAATCATAGAAAGAAGGAAAAAGAAACCGTACCTTTGACGAAATAATCAGAGGAAGGCCAACCTCTGACGGTTGTTGTAGAGAGCGACTCCTCATCGGTCAACGGATTGGCCAACTTCTCAACCAATTGGGCAATCCCAAGGGATCCAGCAGTGGATCTAGGAGGTGGGACCCAGTAAGAGGAACCGGGAAGAAAAGGGAGCCAATCGGGTGCAGCGCGACGGACGATAATCCGGTGGATGGCATCCTCAAGCTTCCGAAGCAAAGGGTCGGTGGAGGAAGAGGAATCATCGGATAGGTCAACGTTGTTGGGGTGAGAAGGAAGATTAGATTGGGCGCGCAAGGCCAGCAGACGAGGGAGGGACCTAGACGGAGCTTTGGTTAGGTAGGTTTTGGAGAGAGAAAGGGCCATTCTTTTTGTTATAGAAGAGAGAAGAGGAGGGGGAGAGAATATATAGAGAGCGAATTGATTTGGCTATTGGATAAAGGAGAGAGTGAGTGTGGAGGTGGAGGAGGAGATGGGTCTGGACTTTCCTTTCCTTCCACGAGGCTCGAAACGAGGGAGTATTGCTGTTTCCTCTTCTTCCTCTCTCATCACGCCACGTCATAATTAATTTTATTATGAATATCAGAATAATCATATTTTTAAAACATACCACAATACTATATTGGAAATGTCTTAGTTGTGATCAATATACATTGTATATTTTGACTAATAAATAAATTGTTAAATTTTTAATTATTTATTATTATTTATCTTGTAATGGAAGTAAATTTTATTGCTCAAAATAATAAAAATTAGTAAATTTTAAATTGATGCTTTACTTTACTTACAAATTGAACTTAAACTAATGATATTGCGATAAAAAAAATGTCTTTATTGTATATAAAACAAAAATAAATTTTATATTTAGACTTCAATTAATTTTAAAAAATAATTTATTTAGAATTTTTTTATTTTTTGATGTTGTATCCTCATGAAAATGAGTTAATGAAAAAAATATTCTACTAACATTAGCGAACTTAATTACATCCACCTTAGCACAAATTGTTAAAATTCAAATAACTTTTAATTAGGAAATAAAATATTTTTAAAATATTAACAACAGAAGAAATTATTTAAAAATAATTTAAATAATTACTACGAATAATATGAACAATTTTAGAATCTTAAATTTCAGTCCTCTCCATCAGCTGTATAACTCATAATAATCTTCTTTTTACTCATTTGTTCTCTTATGAATAAAAGAAACTGTCTGAATTTTTTTTTTAATCTAAGCTCAAACTTTAATCTATAAACATATTAAATTATTAAATTATTTTCTTGTTACATAATTTCTTATGCACTCATGTAAACAAATAAAATTAATGCTTAAAAGTGATTCTTTCTCTTATAAAAATCCAATGAGTTGAACCATTGGTATCGGTTTGGTTCGACTATAATGGTAATTAGATTTCGATATGCATAACCAAAACATTGGAATCAAAAGCATTTATTATCCTTTCCATATAAATACACACATTTACATGTGCAGGTTCAGCAACCCAACCTCACTTCACTTCATCATAATCAGAGCTCGTCGCTATCAGATTCTTCTCGCCTATTCGATAGGCTTCTTTTCACTATATTCGCCGCAGATTTTGCAGAGTCCTCTACTGTTGCTTTGGTCTTCCCCAAACTCTCTGCAACTGCCTCTTTCACTTTCTCTCCAGCTCCCCTGTCTGTCTCGCTGCCTCTGAAACTGATAACAAATCAAAGAACGTTAACAGACAACTCAACAAATATACAGGCGTAACTAATTGATTTTATATACGTACTCAAGATTTGGAGAAGGAAATAAGTGAGCTTGTGCTTGACTAATCATAGTCTTTGCTTTGTCCCAATAGGTTGCAGAGAATGAAAACGTTCTTCTCAACGTATCTGAGACTGAAAGCGAAAGATCTGGTCTTTCGTATCTCACCGTCAGCACAAAAACGGAGAAGAAGCATAGAATTAAAAGAGCACAACCTCGAAGCCTATTCATCTTTTCTATTGTGTCTTTGCAGAAAATGAAAGACAGGGAGTTATTTCTTTGAGTTTGGAATTGGATGGAGCTTGATCAAAGTATATTGACACGTCTGAGGTTGCACTTACGTGGCTCCAGCTGGGTTCAGTTTGACGACACGTTGAAGTATATGATTGGATATAATAAAAATTTCAATGTAATTAATAATACTTTCTCTCTAACAAAATAGAAATCTTCTAAAGTTTATATACAAGGATTAAGGGATTAATTTTTTTTCATAAATTAAAATAAAATAGATAATAATTTTGTCAAATTATGGATATATTATTACTCATCGCACCTTGTATTTAATATAAATAAAAATATAATTGAAAAAAAATTATCTAAGATTCTTTAAGATAGTTAGAATAACTTACATTATGGGATAAGTAATTGTAATTAGTAAAAAAAGAAAAAGAAAGAGATAGAGATGGAATATATGACATGGATAATAATGAAAATGAGAAAATATTTGAAAATTTTCGAAAATACATCTTTTTTTATTATTATTTTAAAAAGATTGCCAAAAAATTACCAAAATTCAAGAGTGGGATTAATTAAATACAAAGGGTCAAAAGATTATACATTAGCGAAGGTCGCCCAACAAATTCTCATGCTAATACCAACAAATCCAGGGGTAGTTTCGACATTTAATTACTGTATCAGCTGAACACTCCGTCTTGCCATTGATTCCTTCCAGCAAAGAATGAGATGCAGTCAGAGAGAGCGTTAAGAAAATAAAATTACAATGCAGAGAGATGGAGCGATAAGAAGAAACAGAAAATGAAAGGTTTTTTTTTTTTAATAAGAAAAATACTAAATCATAATATAAATTAATCTTTTTAGCTTTCTCTCTCAATTTGGTGGATTTATTTTTTTGCAGATAGAGACAATCCATCGGTTGTTGCGGCTCCTTCAAGAGAGAGACGGTGACTTGCGCGCGGATGCGGGTGCGGATGGGATCTACCACTGCTTCTACTTGTTGCTGCTGTTGCTGCCACTACTTCTACTTCGCCAACTGTTTTTGATTCAAATCCACATTCCGTTTCCTTTTCATTTTTCAGGTATCTATCTATCATATTCACTTTTATTTTCCTTTATTGCGTCTCTCTTCATCTCCACTATTCAACTTACTGTGTTTCTCGCCTTTCCTACTTTTGCTACATCTTTTGTCATTTTCTTTCTTTCTTCAAAATGTCGATTTGTTAATTTCTGTTTCCTTATTTTGGGCGATGCCTTTTCCTATTTGCAGGATGATATTCAATATTGATCTACTGTACTTATTTGTTTTTCTTATGCATTTCTGTATACATGCCTATTGGTGTAGAAAGATTTCGGCCTAGATGCTGGGGATTTGTGCTCATCAAATAATATCTATCTAATATGCTGCTAGAAAATGTAACAGTTTGACATTTAAATTTTGAATCTTAGATTTCTTCTTGTCTGATAACTAGCTAAAAAAAGGAAAATACTCTGAGAGAATGAACGATTTGAGTGTTTTCACTTGCTTTCTGAACAAATTTTGTCGAAAATCCAGGATTTCGTTGTCCTTATTTGGATTTAGTTTCTTTGGGACTGAAATAACTCAATGAAAGAATCAGAGATCCAAATGCATTTTTTAAATTCCTGAAATTCTAGATACTTTATGTTCTTTTTTTGAATATTTTTTAGAATGTTGCTTTTTATTTACTCCTTGCATAGTTTAAATTCTTTCCTGTTGGATGTTTTCCATTGTAAATTAGTTGTTATAATGTTATATTTCATATTCTTTCCTATTGGTTTCTTGATATCCTTGGTTGTACATACATATGTAGGCAAAAAGGAACAAGAAAACAAGCTTTCAAAACTTTAGGAAAATATAAGAAAAGATCCTGTATCCCCTAGTCTAAGAGTATTCCTATTTTTGTTTCTTGGAGGTAGGGTGTTGTGTTTGTTATGGAATAAATTCACTGATGGCTGAGAATGATACAAACTTCTGTCCTGAAAATACAACACTTAGTTATATATATCCCGAGCTCTAGCATCTATTTCTGCATCTTCTATATGCACAATGGAGATACCGAGAACGCAAGAAGGGAACATTGCCCAAGCAAGTACACCCTAGTTTCATCCTATAAACAGGCATTTCTTCACTAGGAAACTAGACCTTCCTTAGTTCTCTTTAATCCTACTACTGTTGTTTCTTGGTATATTGGAAATATTTAAAAGGATGTGAGATTGTGAAGATTTGAACGTCTGACCTCTTCTGCTATGAGGTAGGCACTCAACCATTTGACTACTTGCCTCATTCACAAGATGTGAATCCTTTTTGCATCAGTTGTTTGCCCATTTCATGTAAGATATGCATTTCTATAGACTGTCAATTGCAAATTAGGTATCTTTTTGCCGATGCTTGTTTGTGATACCTCTTTCTGCTATTTGTGATGGCTTGTTTGGTAGCTTTCAAGAACTGCATGAGAGCTTTAACAATATATGTTTTTTTTTCTTTCTAAATTTCAGCAGGACTTTGTGAATCATTTCACCAAATTGTCAGTTCATTTTGTGGTTTCTTTTGGATTTCTTTAAGAAGCTTGATGGGTTCCAGATACCCATCTCATAAACTCAGTAATGGCCTCTATGTGTCGGGCCGGCCAGAGCAGCCAAAAGAAAAAACTCCAACAATGAGTTCAACAGCTATGCCATACACTGGTGGTGACATTAAGAAATCAGGAGAACTAGGAAAAATGTTTGATATCCCTATGGATGGTTCTAAGTCTAGGAAATCTGGACCAATGTCTGGTGCTCCATCAAGAACTGGATCTTTTCCTGGGGCTCCTCAACACTCAGGTCAAATGGCACCTAATGTTGCTCCCCGTGCTGGCTATACTGTGTCAGGTCCTTTATCCTCCGGAGGCATGCCTGGTTCAGGTCCATTAAAGAAGTCTAGTTCTGGACCACTGAATAAACATGGGGAACCAGTAAAGAAGTCCTCTGGCCCTCAATCTGGTGGAGCAACACGACAAAATTCTGGGCCTATCCCTCCAGTTCTCCCTGCAACTGGTCTTATAACATCAGGGCCCTTAAATTCTTCCGGAGCTCCTCGGAAAGTATCAGGTCCTCTGGAATCTATGGGCCCAGGGAAAATTAACAGCTTCTCCATTGCTCACAATCCAGCAGTGACCACTCTCAGTCAAGATGATGATTATTCTTTCATGAGGAACTTCCCAAGGACAGTATTATGGTTAGTGATTCTGATATTTGTAATGGGCTTCCTTGCCGGTGGTTTTATTCTCGCAGCAGTTCACAATGCCATTCTTCTCGTTGTTGTTGTGGTTCTTTTTGGAGCAATTTCTGCATTATTTGTTTGGAATATATGTTGGGGAAGAAGAGCTACCATAGAATTCATCACTCATTATCCTGATGCTGATCTTAGAACTGCAAATAATGGCAAATATGTGAAAGTCTCTGGGGTATGTATTAGATGCTCTTAGAATATATTTGAATTTTTGCTACTTTACTGGATGTAGATTGGGATCTTCTTTTCCCTACTTGTGATTGTTTAGCATTGCCCTTCCACATGCTTGAAGCTTCTCTATTAGTTTAACTGGCTCAGACACTATAGAAAAATTATCCTATTGTTATCATCTTTATCTGCTTGATGCCTTTGCTGAAACCTCTTGAACACTTCCAAAATGCACACAATACTTGTATGTCTCTGTGCAATTTAAAGATTTTAGTACTTGGTAATTTTTGAAAAGCATCCAATATTTGTAAACTGTATAGCATACACCTTTATCTGCTCGATGCCTTTGCTAAAACCTCTTGAAAACTTCCAAAAACGTGCAATACTTTTATGATGTCTCTGCAATTTAAAAATCTTAGTACTTGGTAAGTTTGGAAAAGCATACATTATTTGTAAACTGCATAACATACACCAGATGCATTATCATTGTAAGGACTAAAGGTTTTCTTAGTTTAAAATACTACTGTAAGAATATGATTAGAGTCCATGGGAGAACATAATAAAGATGATAATCTTCCATTTGCTTTTCCATTGTATTATTTATATATCTATGAAATGGTTGCTTGATTAAATTACTATCCATATAGTAATTATAATTATGAAAAGTCGGAAGAGTTACTCTAATCAAGACTACTCTATGCCCCACTTCATTAGCATAGATTTTATGAGTTACGCAAGTTTTTTATATGAGGGAGTAGGGGAAAATTCTGAATGTCATCTACCAGAGTGGACAAATGTTCTCCAATTGAATGGAGGGACTAGCTATTAAGAATGTTTCTATTGTACCAAAGCATTGCTGGTCTGATGTTGAAGAGATCACATATGTAGAAAACTTCCTCTAAACCTTCAAAGGTTTGTACTTTGTTATGGTACATGTCCTGGGAAGAGCGTTAATTGAGACTGGAGAAATGATTTCAAATTCTGAGCAGCATTATGTAAAGGATACTGGTGGCATGCATTGTGATTTCGAGATTTAGAAGAGCAATGCAGACTAAGTTTTAGAACTCTTCAAGGTCTGTGTTTCAGTACACCAGAAAATTTGTTGGGAAGCATCCAGCATAGAGGAAGCTTTTTCTTTATAGAGTTGAGTAGTGGTTCTGAAACTGCTGGGTTTTCTCTCCCAATGTTGTGTGAAATTTTGAAGCACATTACTTTTTTCACTCATTTCGAGGAAATGTTTAAGGATTAATCTCAGCTAGGGAAAACTAGTAAGTTGGTTTTGGTTATGTAAATTTAAGTGGTGAGACAGAGAGCATCTTTATTACATTATCTATTGGCATCGCACATATTCTTTCTCTGTATGGAGTCTCGAGTGATAACGAGAGAGATAATTGAGTTATTTGCTGCCCTTTTTTTTTTTAATATTTGTTGAGAATGGTTAAGGTGGAAGTTGGAATATTATCCCACTGCAATTCCAATATGATGCATTTGGAGGAGACAGACAAATAAATTGAGCTAATTAGTTGTTGGCAGTTGGTTGGATGAATCATTGGTCTTCTAGTTCTTCCACTTTTTTCTCTGTCTCTGGATTTCCTGGATAGTTTACAATTTTTTTTTTTTCAAAATTTGCTCCATCTCTTCCTGTCTCCTAGCTTTGCATCTTGTTTTGTGCTTCTAATAGAAACATAGTTATAGAAACTAAATGCATTTCATGCACGCCTTATCTACATGGGATTCTTTTCAGGGTTGTGATGTAATTTCTATCTGATGAAGGCTTTCTAACATTTGTGGTTTGAGGGCCTGGCTGTGGCTGGTATTTCTCATGTGGTCAATCATAATTAATTTTTTCTTGATTACCTTTATCCTATGCGTAATAAATTGAAAGTGATCTTGTAATTGCTGAAGGTGGTTACCTGTGGTAATGTGCCTTTGGATTCATCGTTCCAAAGGGTTCCCAGATGTGTCTATACATCAACCAGATTATCTGAGTATCGAGGATGGGGTTCGAGACCAGCCAACCCTAACCATCGCCATTTTACATGGGGTGTAAGATCATCAGAGGTGAGTAGTTGAAGCCACCCCCCCCCCCCCCCCCAAGGTAGTTACCTGTGGATAATGTGGCCGTTTGGATTTATCGTTCGCCAGAAGGGTTCAACAGATTGTGTCTATACATTACACACCAAAGAATTATCTGAAGTATTCCCGAAGTATGGTGGTTATCGAGACTCCTAAGCCATATCCTAACGTCAGATCGACCATTTTTAAGCAAGTGGGGTGTAAAGAATTCATTAGAAAGGTGGATGTGAGATTTTGAAGCCACCAGTATCCTCCCCCCACCCCCTGCGTGCAATTTTATTTATTTCCTAATCATTCCCTCACTATCTTTTTAAGAATTTCAAATTCCTATAGGGGCTTAAGAACTATATGGTAATCTCTGATTTGTTTTTGTAGAGGCATGTGGCTTGACATTCTAACATCCTTGGATTATCCAATCAGTGGCTCAGGGCAATTGTGTTAAGTAATGAGGCAAATGGCTGCAAGTGGGTAAAACATCCATTCTGTTGATGATTCTTTTAATATGACCCCCCCCCCCCCCCCCCCCAATTTTTATTCCATCATTCCCTCACTTCTTAAGAATTTCAAATTCTATAGGGTCTTAGAACTAATGGTAATCTCTGATTTGTTTTGTAGAGGCATGTGGTTGACTTCTACATCTCTGATTTCCAATCAGGGCTCAGGGCATTGGTTAAGACTGGCAATGGCTCAAGGGTAACTCCATTTGTTGATGATTCTTTTAATATTGATATTGATCCAAAGAAGAAAGACTTGTCTCCAGAGTTTGCCAGGTGGTTGGGACAGAAAAATCTTTCAGGTGATGATCGTAAAATGCAATTGAAAGAAGGGTAAGACTATCTCTTTCTAAATAATTGGATATAACACCATATATATATATCGTATTACATTCCCTATGCACGCCAATTGTTTATTATAGCAGTAATTATTATTTTATCGATCCAATTTGCAACTATGTTTGTCATGCTTGATTGCTTTAGAATCCAGAGCTATTAAGCAAGTATTAGCTATTCTGAAAATGTTGCTTTAGAATTCAACTGTCGTGTTTTGTAGGTTCATCAAAGAAGGTAGCACTGTTAGTGTGATGGGAATTGTTCAAAGAAATGAAAATGTACTTATGATTGTTCCGCCACCCGAGCCATTGGCGACTGGATGGCAGTGGCCTAAATGCATCTTTCCAGTTAGCCTTGACGGTATTGTTTTGAGATGTGAAGACACATCAAATGTTGATGTCATTCCCGTGTAGCTATCGGTGGATGAAAACTTCCTTGCTTATCGGACATGAAATATATCCTATTTCCTCGACCATTATTGAGAGGTTGCAGCGGCGGATGTTGTAGTGATAAGAAGTGATGGTCCAAACTCAAAAGGTGATTTAATATCCTACAATTTTTTCTCCTTCAACTTGGTGTATAGGTTTGTGAGGTTTCTTTTCCATTTTTTTTTTTTTTTCTTGTTTTTCGAGTGACAACTTCCACAATGAGGGTGGCTTCTTAAAGTGGGGAATTTTGTGTGTTGAGCAGCAACCAGCAGGCAGTTTGTGAAGATGGAAAATTGTTGTTGTTGAGTAGCTTTAATTTTGAGTCCCCCCTAATTGTCGAATATGACATTTATCTTTCTTAATTGTGTATTTCATTGATTGATTCCTTGATGTTGCTCCCACCACTTCACGTCTTCTTCTTTTTCATTGTTGTCTTTCACCGTTGCTTTCTAATTACAATTTCTAATTAAAATATGACAAAATTTTCACAAAAGGAAAATATACTGTTAGAAAAAATGATATAATTTTGTTCAATATTAATGTGAAATAAGCATTTTTTTTTTTTTAAGGTTGGACATTATCTATTTTAGCTGATAAATCGTTGTTGAATCTAAAAATCTTACTGCAAAGAATTGGAAGAACCCGTAAGCAATCTCGAGTTCGTTGAGCTTCAAATGATATAAAAGACAACTTTTTTTTCTTTTTTTCTTTTTCTCTTTTGTGTCTTAAAATCCGGACAGCAATTGATTTCAGTAAAATGTGGGTGGAAAATACATGTATACATCTGGTGATCACTGCCACTATCACATTACCAAATCAGGCATTTAAAAATTTGGTGATGATTAGGACAAGTTTAAGAAAACGTCATTTTTAAGAAAAATACGATATCATGACAATCTCATTTTTACTGTAATCATTTTACAATGTTTATACAATGACAAAATTCAATATCATTCATGATTCATGCAATTTTGAAAATCAAAATAACAACTTAAAATTATATGTTATCCACATAAATTGTCTTCCTACAAATAATATTTTACCTGCTTCCTTTGACCTTATATATAGGTTTGATGTTCAATTCTTAAATATTTCCATATTATTAACCCATCTACCCCTAAATTGGGATCTTTCTATGACTGATTTTATTTTTTAATAGTAATTGAAAAATAAAAAACATTAATAGCAAGTTGTCTGTGACCTGTGAGCATTACCCACAAGTTTTGCCATTAGCGATGGTTCAAAGTCTAAGGAAGCTTCTTTCTCTAATCTTCATTTCCAAGATCACACATTTTCATTTGCTGAGAAACTGTACATGTTCATTAAAACAGAAACCAATTTACATTTCTTTTTTATTCAAGGAAAAGGATCCTTATCTTCTTCATCTAGTTGATTTACAGTTAATTAAATTTAGTGATCTGTTATTAAAATTTCAATTGTATAACATGGTGTAGAAAGGGGCATTATAGGCATTTCAAATGTGGTGTGAAGATCCCATCTGTCATTTCCTTGACCTAGGATTTTTCTTGGGAGGAAGAGAGAAAGTGCAGTGCAGGTTTGTTTGTTTGGGTTGGGATATTATTTATTAATAATAAATAAATGTTAATTAATTAAGGTTTTTGTAATAATTAGAAACAAAAAAATATAAATAAATAAATAAAATAGGTTTGCTTAATAATCATTTTTCCTTGAGTTTGGAGGCTTTTGCCGGACGAGACAACTCACCAGTTGTTGCGGCTCTCTCAAGTGACACTCACAAAAAAGAAAAGATTTTTAGAGGCTTTTACTTTTTAGTGAGAGAAAGATTGAGTCTTTAGAGAGAGAAAGAGAGAGATTTGCTACTAGTGCTACCACCATTGTTTTCTTCTGATTTACCCATGTTGTTGTTGTTGCTGCTGCTGCTGAAGTGGCTGTTAGTGCTGTCTCCTAATTTTCTCCAGATTTCTTCTTCTTCTCCAGGTATGACTTATGGTTATCAATTTTTTCTTCTTCTCCTCCCATTTTGCGCCCTTCTTTCTGCTCTACTCTCTTACTACATTTAAGCTCTCAAGACATACCTTTCTATCTTAGATCTCTCCCATTTTCTTGCTTTTTACCCGAAATATCATTTGGGTATGATTTGTTTTCTCTATTTTAGCTTCAAGTCGGCTCTTTTCATATTGCTTGTCCATACCCTCTTCCATTTGGCCAAATCTTTCTATAAATGTTGGATTTTGATGCCCTTTTTATAGTTTGGTGTAACAGAATCTTTTACTTTGTTTTCTTTTGATTCTAATGAATCCTAGATTTGCCATTTTGTTTTAATATATATGGTAAAATAGCTACTAGTTCCATCAGATCTTAGTTAATTTTCGGTATATTTGTTAGAAATAGTGATATTAGTGTTCCCTCTACTTTAGATTTGGCCTTGTGAAATCGGTTTCTGCTTCTGTCTTCTAAATAGTTCAAGTACTTCACTTTGGAATGCTATATTACAGTCTCTTTGGACGTTGCGAAAGTGCAGTAGAACAGGTAGTTATATCGATTGGGACTCCTTGTGCCAAAATACTGGATCTTAATTCCTGTCTTCACTCTGCTTGCTCGGTCCATCGATTTGAATGATGTGGCTTTTCTTTCTATGGATGGCAGATGTCTGAAAATTGTTTGGTTGACTTCTCTTTGAATAGAAGTCGTATTGATTTTTCATTTCTTACGGACTCAGATTATCCGGGGATTGTAGATGTAACAAATTTGAAAACATTACGTTGAGCAATTACTGGTGGTGTTCTCATGAACCTTGCTGATCTGAATCTGATGTCATCCAATGGAGGTGTTTGGTTTCCACTAATTTCTAGCAGTTTTTCTGCGTGTTGTATTTATTATTTTGGTATCTTGGCTTTACATGGGTTTAAAAGGGCATGCCCTGTCACAATCTAGTTTTCTGTTTCCCCGTTGATTAAAAATTACCTGCGCTTAAGTTTTATTTTATTTTATTTTATTTTTGTTGTTGTTGTTGTTTTGCAGCTGCAACCAAGGCCCATATGTCTCTAAAATGTCACTAAAACTAACTACTCTTACTTACCTGCTTACTTTTCTACATAGCTCATGACTGCATCACTACAAGATCATCTGCATTGTATTTTCTCAATTCTTTCTATGTTTGTGGCATGCCAGGTTCCTTTCCTCAATCAAATTCTTCTTTGAATCCTAGTAGCAGACAACCTAAATGCACGCTTTGATACCATTTAGCGATGAACAATTTGTCTTAGTGCTAAGGTGTTTTTTGTTCTTAGGAGGACTTTGACCACTGCATCTGCCTACAAAGGTTCTTTGTTGTAACATCTACGGTCTCTTAACACAGCTAGATGGGTTCTCGATTCCCATCTCATCAGCTCAGCAATGGCCTTTATGTATCAGGCAGGCCTGAGCAGCCTAAGGAAAGGACTCCAACAATGAGCTCCGTGGCCATGCCATATACTGGTGGTGACATCAAGAAGTCAGGAGAATTAGGTAAAATGTTTGATATTCCTGTAGATGGCTCAAAGTCTAGGAAATCAGGACCTATAACTGGTGCTCCTTCAAGGACTGGATCATTTGGAGGTACTGCTTCACATTCAGGACCAATCATGCCTAATGCAGCAGCTCGGGCTGCCTACACCACATCAGGTGTTGCATCTTCTGGAGGTGTGTCTGGTTCCACTTCATTAAAGAAATCGAATTCTGGACCCTTGAATAGACATGGAGATCCTGTGAAGAAGTCATCTGGCCCTCAGTCTGGTGGAGTAACTCCCTCTGGACGCCAAAACTCTGGCCCCCTTCCTCCTGTCCTTCCTGCAACTGGCCTCATTACATCTGGGCCTATTTCTTCAGGTCCACTAAACTCATCTGGGGCACCTCGGAAAGTGTCTGGTCCTTTAGAATCTATGGGATCAATGAAAGTTCCCGGCTCTGCTGTTGTTCACAATCAAGCTGTAACTGTACTTAGCCAAGAAGATGATTTTTCTTTCAGAAAGAACTTCCCAAAGCCAATATTGTGGTCACTCATTCTACTTTTCGTCATGGGTTTCATTGCTGGTGGTTTTATACTCGGAGCAGTGCACAATGCCATTCTCCTCATTGTTGTTGTGGTTCTTTTTGGTGCTGTTGCTGGTTTATTTATATGGAATACCTTCTTCGGGAGAAGGGCTATCATGGCTTTCATTGCTCGATATCCAGATGCTGAGTTACGAAATGCCAAGAATGGTCAATTTGTGAAGATATCTGGGGTATGCTAATATTTTTTCTTGATTGTTTTTGTGATATAATGTACTTGTCTCTGCTGCTTATTTTCCTCGCATCTATATTATAGATCGCACACATCGCAAGTGCTTAAGGATCTTCTACTGGCCATATTATGATTATGCATTGATAAGCTACTTAGGTTGTTCATCCTATAGAATTAAACTAAAATCTGTATTCCATATGGAGTTTTCTGATGAAAATTGATGAAAATTTTCATAAATGTTTAATTGGGATCGAAGATTTGATTTCTAAAAGATGTGTTTTTGAAGGACTTCTAATTGTGCATGATTTGGCTCTCAGTTATTGCTTGTGTATGCTTAATAAATTTATATTAGAATGTTTCATGCGCTTTTGAAGGTGGTCACCTGTGGTAATGTTCCTCTTGAGTCGTCCTTTCAAAAGGTTCCTAGATGTGTATATACATCAACAAGTTTGTACGAGTATCGAGGATGGGATTCAAAAGCAGCCAACCCAACACATCGTCGCTTTACTTGGGGACTGAGATCATTAGAAGTGAGTAATTGAAATGCTGATTTCATAAAATTAGTTGGATAGTTATTATGTATAGATATATTTTTCATAGATCCCTGGTGTTCCTGGAGTTCATGCCATTTATTTTTCTTTTTGGTACATTGGAAATTCTTAAGGGAAGGGGCCGTTATGAATGCAAACATACACATAGAGGCAAAAATTATACTCAATGCATAGGGAAGAGGTTGCAATCTGGTCATAGTTAGATGTGCCATTTCTAATAACGTCGAGGCATTGCAATCTGGTACATAGTTAGATGTGCCATTTCTAATAATGTCAATTGCCTCTTTTCTGCTATTGAGATTGGTTAGACGTCATCCTTCTATCTGCTCCTGCTTTTCATAGATGTCAACATGGTGCAAGATGCCCATATATTCCAATTACCAGGGGCCTCTTTTGCCTTTTGACTGGAATATAACTTTATTACTTGTGTTTCAAGATTTCCACACCTCTGACGGTAATATTTTATATTATAAATTTTATTTAACAGAGGCGTGCAGTTGACTTCTACATCTCTGATTTTCAATCTGGGCTGAGAGCATTGGTTAAAACTGGTTATGGAGCACGGGTGACTCCTTATGTCGATGACTCCCTCATCATTGATGTCAACCCAAGTACTGAAGAGTTGTCTCCAGAGTTCATTAGGTGGTTGGGAGAGAGGAATCTTTCAAGAGATGATCGAATAATGCGAATGAAAGAAGGGTAAATGATCTAGTCTTTCTTCGTTCAAGCACATTTCTACAATTTGCGCTAGAATATGTGGCTCATATGATAGTTGCTACTTGATGAAAGTGCCATTTGAGATTTTGCAAACGTTTAGAAATTTGAAATGCTGGTTTATGCAGGTATATCAAGGAAGGAAGCACAGTTAGTGTAATGGGAGTCGTTCAAAGGAATGAGAATGTGCTTATGATTGTCCCACCTCCAGAGCCAATTACAACAGGTTGCCAATGGGCCAAATGTATTTTTCCGGCAAGCCTGGAGGGTATTGTTTTGAGATGTGAAGACACCTCGAAGAATGATGTCATACCAGTGTAATAATGTGTTGTAGACTTACACTATACCTTTCTCTTATTCTTTCTATTCACTATTAATATTGATGGCGGTTGAGATGGTAACGGTGGTGGCGGTGGTGGTATTGACAAGTAACGGTAGTGGTGATTGCGAGGAGGGCAGAGGTGTTTTCCCTTTTCCTTTTCTTTCTTTCTTTCTTTTTTTTTGTCCGATTGTATAGTTTTGGTGTTTGGTGCCATTTCATTTTATTTTATTTTTTTACCTAGGTCTCGAAGGCTTTTGTAATGGGGTGGCTTGATATTTTAGGGTATGTTACATGTTTGAGCAGATTGCGGTTATGCTAAATAGAAAGAAAATTGTTGTGAGCTATTCAGCGTATTGCCTTTTTGGTTTTTCATTATTGGCTTGTTTACAGGACAAGTTGGGAATCATGAAAATTTTAGTTTCTTGCGAAAATAATTAACCTTGTAACACAGTTGCACATATTTAAGAGTTCAAAGCCCATGAAATCACATGAGAAGGAACTGTGAATTACAAGCGGTTACAAGTTACAGCAAGTGACAGTAAGTTGTAACACTCTGGACGAATTCAAAATGTATGTAATGCAACGTATGGTTGAATTCACGTCTGTAATTCATTTCCAAAACGTCGTACAATCAACCCAGTGATGCCCATCCTCAACACCAAGTACAACATACAGAGGTGTATTAATAGACAGAACTCAATACATATATGATATCATATTATTTCAAAGTTGCATCTTGGGATGTCCAACTCACTTGATCAGGGGAAAAAATAAGGAAAAAGGAAGCCATTCGGGCAAAAACTTAATCACTATGAAACCTGTAACTACACTTTCGATGAAACTCATAGCATTCGCTAAAATTGCTGCATCATAGCAGCAGTAATCCTAATCAAATAGAATTCCTCAATTGTGTGCTGCCACCAATGCCATGTGCTCTATCAGGTCCAGCACTCGGTTGCTGTGGGAAAGATAACCGTGCAGATCAGAAATCACCGAATGATAAACAATACATGTCATCATACATCATTATCGCAATAAAACACATACACTATACCTGTATCCCCACTCATTATCATACCAAGCCACCATCTTCATGAAAGAGTCGCTCAACCCTATACCAGCTTTGGCATCAAATATGCTTGACCTGGTGTGATACAAGTCAATTAGAATGATCAACATTATTAAATTGATAACTCAAAGAATCCATTCATGTTCACTAGTCATTATTTTCAATCTGATTTGAGCAAAGCACAGGTCTCAAAACACCGAAAGCGTAAAGGACCATTCTAGGCAAAATAGCTGTACAGAAAGGAACCAACTAGCATGGTTCCCAAATTACCCTAAAAGAAGGCAGAAACAATTTAACATATCACATTCACCACATTAAAAAGGGTAAAGAAAAAAAAAAAAACAACAAAATCAGTTTACAAACCAAGCAGTTTCAACTTCTGAAAAAGGAAGACGGCCTTAAGGCATCATATTGCTGATGATCCATTATTGCTCAAAAATGTAGAAGCATACCACACGCAAAAAAAAAAAAAAAATCAAACTTCGGAAAAAGGAGAACCGGCGTTAAGGCATCATATGCCTGATGATTCCATTATTGCTCAAAAATGTGAAGCATACCACATGTGTGGGTGTCAAAAAAAAAAAAGAGAGAGAGAAAGAGAGAAGGGAGAAGAAAACCACCCTTGAAGTCACCAACAAATCATTAGAGACAACATCATCATCAGTATTACGCAAGAAAATTCTTTCATTGCCCTCCCGAAGCATACCTGTTCAAGAACAGAATGTAACTTTGGAGTCCAGTGCTGAAAATACTTTTAACAAAACCAAGACAAGCCAAGTGCAAAGGATCCAAAACCAATCCAAAGCAGGCCCCCTCCCCTTTTTTTTTCTTCTCTTTCTCTTCTTTTCTCCCCCTAAACCAGAGAAAAAAAAAAAGGAAAAGCAGATAATGATAAAAAAAAAAAAAAAGAGAGAGAGAAAGAGAGAAGGGAAGAGAAACCTTGAGTCACCAACAAAATCATTAGAGACAACATCATCATCAGTATAACCAAGAATTCCTTTCATGTGCCCCTCCGAAGCATACCTGTATCAAGAACAGAATGTAACTTTGAGTCAGTGCTGAAAATACTTTTAAAAAAACCAAACAAGCCAAGTGCAATCCAAAACCAATCCCAGCAGGCCCCCCTCCCCCTTTTTTCTCTCTTTCTCTTCTTTTCTCCCCTAACCCAGAGAAAAAAAAAAGGGAAAACAGATAATATCCAAGACCAAGAATAGACGATATACTTAATTGCTGCTTTGACATCTTCATAAGATGCTCTCTTATCAAGTCGACAAGTTAAGTCCACGACAGAAACATTAGGAGTTGGGACACGGAAGGCCATTCCAGTAAGTTTTCCATTGAGTTCTGGAAGAACTTTTCCAACAGCCTGCAATACCAAACCATATAATTATAAAATTCTGTACCAAACAACAAATCCATGTCTCACAAGCACTCAGAAATTCAATCTGTACAGTTGTACCTTTGCAGCACCAGTGGAACTAGGGATGATATTTTGTCCTGCTCCACGACCACCACGCCAATCCTTCATTGATGGACCATCTACAGTCTTTTGTGTTGCTGAACAACAAATACCATAACCATGTTACATACTCATTGATCAAGATGTGTTCATCAAGCCCATGAACTTGTGTGGTAAATGTGTCTACCATCTATACATGCAAGGTGTGTGAGATGAGGCAAGGAGAGGTTAGAAACCTGTAGTTGCATGTACAGTTGTCATTAGACCTTCAACGATGCCAAATTCCTCATGAACCACCTAAAAAATAAGATTATATAATGTAAGATGCATTAAGAGATGAGCTGCTAACACATCAATTTCATAATGCAAAGACAAGCAAGCTGCAAGCAGAGGATGAGGAGCTAATCGATTAGATCTGCTACATTTATTATATAAAAAAAATTAGGTATATCTTCTATCCAGAGTAGCCCATACCAAATGAGTGAGAAAAATAATCACAAATCTAACAACATTGACCAATACACAATAAGTCTTCAAATCTCGGGTTGGTGATCAGACCTTAGCAAGAGGAGCAAGACAATTGGTGGTACAGCTTGCATTAGAAACAACATCCATGTTTGGCTTGTATGTCTTCTCATTTACCCCAACCACAAACATTGGTGCATCAGCAGAGGGAGCTGATATGACCACTTTCTTGGCACCACCCTGCAAAGCAAAGTCAGGGGGAAAAAAAAAAAAAAGCTCCTCTTGAGGTGTGACTATATAAAAGATAGTGACTTTATAGATGCAGGGTAACATCAGATGGATTGTTTATACCTTCTTGTGAGCTGAAGCCTTATCAATTGTGGTGAAAACCCCAGAAGATTCAACCACGTACTCAGCCCCATAATCACCCCAAGGTATCTCTGCTGGGTCCCTGGGCATATCATTTTGATTGTTAGCTTAACAGGCTCATATTGCAATCAAAACCCTGAATAGGGTTTCTATTATGAACTGATTGAGATACTAACAAACATACTCAGATATATACATAAAATTGGGATGGTACCTTTTGCTTGAAACTTTGATTTGTTTCCCATTGATTTCCAAGGTGGACTCATCCAAAACCTTGATGGATCCCTTGTAACCTCCATGAGTAGAATCATATTTGAACATGTAAGCCTGGATAAGATGCATCGAAAGACTGAGTCACAGCCATCCCTTCCCAAATTTAAGTTCGTGACCAACAAAAAAGAAAGAACCCATGATCCCATGACCCACAGAAAAAAAAATTTAGAAAAGATAAAGGAGAAGATATCATATGCTGTCACAAGAAGGTAATGAATAATCAATATTTTAATACACCAACATCCTTTTTAAGTCATTTAAAAGTATCCAATAACAATTATCAAATCACCAAAACATGGATGGAAAGTTATGCACATCTACCCGTTCCATAGAGTAGAGAAAAAAAGGAAAAATAAGTTATAGGGTAACCTCAAAAATGACATTTGACACCACATTAGTGAACTCAGCAGAAACCAACCAAAGAAAACACCACCTTAAGCCATTTCAAAGGACTATTCTCATTCCTCAAATCTCAAGTGCCCAAATATGGCACTGGTTAAACACCATACTTCAATGAAAAATAAAAACTACATTCTACACAAGGATAAAAAGATATACACAAAAACATATACAATAATATATGATTCTATGTAAGACTTTTAATCTTACCATGTACTTGGTATCAATGAAAGGATCATTGACTGCCACCACATCAATATCATCCCTGAAAGTCGCAATTCTCATAACCAGTCTTCCAATACGACCAAAACCTGGACCAGTACAGCATATAAATGTGTCACTATTTGAAGTCAATGAAAAGAAAAAATCATTTAAGAAGCCACAACAACAAAAAGTGAGAAAATATTAGGCTAAAATAATATTATTCACTTCCTGTAGATGACTAAAGCATTAATTTGCCACCCATTGTGCTGATAACTGTAAACATAATTTTTATATGCAGCCACCATCCTATTCTCAATACACTGAAGGAAAAGATTGATAAATGAAATAGAGAACAGCAACCAGTATTAATCATTCTTTTATTTATTTATTTATGATAAATATTTTTCAATAGACCCTCCTCAGATATCCCTTATTTTTCATTAGCATTTGAAGGCCAATCTCTTACGTGACTCCAGAACTAGTTAGAGAGCATTAGAGAGCATCACGAAACACTATCAAACAAAAGAATGACATCAAAAGAAGTGTTTTCCAGTCGATGTAAAATACAGTAATGTCAATCATTAGACATAACTGGAAGTCATCAGGCTCATCCCCATATCATTTTACAATAATATAAGTTATATTACCTTACAAACACAAAACTGACAACATTTCCATCCAATCATACCACAGATAGGTTAAATATACATTCTAAATTCACCAGTAGTTGGTAGACAACTTCTATAAACTTTGAGATTTCTGCAAATTATGCAAACCACCCTGAATAGGCAGAATGGAGCAAAAATTCAATTAATTGTGTGAAGCATACCATTGATTCCAATCTTTGTCTTCCCATCATTTCTTGATTCTAAACAAAGTGAAAAAACAAACAGAATCAGAATATCAGAGAATACACCTTCACAGTCCCAACCAAGTTTGATAAAAGTCAACACTGCCTCCAAATAACAATTCTTACTCAGGATGGTGGGAGGCATTTCGGTTGCTGTGGCCTTGATGGGTTGGAAACTCCTTGTACAGCATGCCCTAAAAGGTTCAAAATGATTTAGCTTACAAAAAAAAAAAAAAAAAAAAAATGATGGTTGGATAACTCCTTGTACAAGCAATTGCCCTAAAAGGTCAAAATTGATTAAAAAAAAAAAAAAAAAAAGAAAAGGTGACGTGAACCACATGCGTATGCATAGACAAACATAATAATGTGCACCTATGTCACTGAAACACTGAAGTATTGGGTAACTCAACTGTAACGAAGAAGATCCAGTTGTAAGAGAAGTGCCAAAGATGCTCTTGGAAGATTTTAGATCTCGGTTAACATTAACGCTTGAAACCTGAATAATTTGAGTGGGAATGATAAAGAATAAACTATACACATTTTTAAATCGTAATAAACGGATTACAAAAATCAGTTATGAATAAATTGTTAGATATTCATCTCTACATATTATAGAAAACTAACACATCTACCATGGTTGAGAAATTTCAAAACAAGGAACGCAAGTTTAAACAAAGACAGCGTAAAAAATATACAGCCATTTTTAAGATGAAAACTAAAAACTGCAAAATTCATATTTTCTAATATATATAATATATATATATATAATATCATTATATATAGTTAAGTATATTGGGAATTTGTATAAATATAAATTTGAATGAAAAAAATATTGTCTTCGCATTTACTATTTTTTTATTAATCAGCATAGGTAGAGCTGAACTTTCATTTCCCCTTTTCCATCGATAATGAAATAAAAATGCAAAAATAAGAAAAAACTAGTACTTCACTTTGAGTTTTTCCCGCTAAGCCTTGTTTCAATATATATATTGGGAATTGAAAATATAAATATTTTGAATGAAAAAATATTGTTTCGCATTTTACTATTTTTTTTATTAATCAGCATAGGTAAGCTGAACTTTCATTTCCTTTTCCATCGATAAGAAATAAAAGCAAAAATAAGAAAACTAGTACTTCCACTTTGAGTTTCCGCTAATGCCTTGTTCCATTTCCTTCACTAACCGAAGATAGCGAAAGTCTCATAATAAATTAAAGAAAAAACAAAAACAATACAAAACAGAGATGAAAGCTAGCTCTAGAAATCAGAGAAGAAATAAATATGCTTAAATACAAAGTTCCGAGTCACGGAAAGCGAAACCTTAAATCGATCGGACGATGAGGAAGAAAGCTCGGCAAGAGAGTCGTCGATTAGAGGAGCTGCGGTAGTAGATCTGAGGAGACTGGAGAAAGCCATTATAATCCGTGACACACCGAGCTCTTCCCGTAGAACCCTAAGAAAAAGTAAAGAGAAACTGTTTTAGGTTGCGGGCGGCTGTTGAGAGTAGGCAGAGGGTGAAATGAAATGAAATAATATTTCTGTTTTTAAAAGCAAAGAGAAGGAGAAGCTGCTTTCTAATAAAAGGCAGCGGAGTTTTTTATGATGGCGAGAAGGCTCTACGTGTTAAAAAAAACTAAATAGTAGTAAACGACAACCGAGTTTTAAGAAGTATGAAAGCGATCCTATATTAGTCCTTTGAGCTCTTATAAAACAGCCGTAGATCAATCTTAAAACCATATCATATGATTCGTGTTTTAATCAAGTGAATTACTCTGACGGTACGTGTGTGAGTGCGGTGGTATGTTAGTCTTAGTAGAAGTTTCAAAAGGGGCGACTGTGTTAATCACGTAGGTGAGTTTGTCGTGTAATGCTAAGCTGACAAATACTCGCCAGGTCGTCCTCGAAAGCCACGTAAGACCGGTATGGGCCATTTTGGGCCCTTTTTTTGGATCCTTTTCAATTTTAAAGAGTTTAAATTGGGCCCCACCTGGTCGGCTAGTCAGGTTCCCCTTCCAACTTCGACTTTTGCCTACAGTATCTATTCTGATGTTTGTTCGGTTAGCAATATAAGGATATTTTAATTTGAGATTCGTTTGATTGTATGAACATTTGTTGGTTTTAATTTTAACTTGTTTTCTTTTGATTAAGAATTAATTTAATTAACATAAAAATAAATTATATAAACTTTATAAGAAAAAATAATAATCATTGGCTAACAAGTGGTATATATATATATAAATTCACTTTTATATTTTATTCTATGCGCAAAAAAAAAAAATATAATATCACTCTAAATTTTACTCACAATATTTATTTATACGTTTGTTCATTGTATGTTTGAAGTAGACATTAAGCATAATGAATAAAATTGAATAATCAAATAATTGCGATAATGGTTGCACTTCCAAATACAACGATCTTTATTTTCTTGATATTCCTCGCTTTTAATTTTATCTCAACACAAAGAAAAATGTATTCCTCACTTTTATACTCGTTACGTTGGGAATAAGCTCAATGGAACTTTGGAGGAAGCTTGATGTTTTTAAAAAATAAAATGCACAAACCCGAACCGGAGGGTTTGGTCGGTGCTTTGAAGTGGGGACGGCCCGTTCTAGAATTGGGCAAAGAGCATAGCAGCGTAAAGCCGACGCATCACGCGGTATTTGGAAATGGAGAAGGTAGTTAGCGTACCCTGTGTGCGTAGTTGGGAACTAATCCATTTCTACACGGGTGGTCCTAACATTTTAGATCTAACCTTTGACGCTTTATTATTCATTTTCGCATATTAAAGGTATATCCTCTGCAACGACAAGCTGTGATTTAGTTAATGCATCGCCGACAAGCCGTCTAATTGGAGCTGGCAGAAGGTCGTGTTTGGACGATAGGTCGTTCTCTTAACAAGACAGCAGGCACGTGAGACGTGTACTGGAGGAGTGAGCGCAAAGGATAATTTTCTGACGTGGAGACTTCGAGAGAAAAAAGCAAACACCAAGGCATTTGCCAATTGTCGTTCTCTCAGACAAACCTCTGCAACCAACACAATTGGCTCGCCACCAGAAAAGAGAAAAACCCATACAAATGAACAAAGAGAAAGAGAGGGAGGAAATAACTCAAACGCCCGTCGACAATGGTCTACCTTGGGTCTCCTTAGACATATCTTTTCCCTTTTCACCTACCTTCATTTTCTTACTCCCGGAAGAAAACCAGATTTCCTTTCCTTTCATTCCATTGCTCCATAGCGGACAAAGCAAAGCAAAGCAAATCTCCCATCAAGCTGGTATCTTTCTGTCTATATTTGTCCTCTTCTTTTTCCTATTTTTATTTTATAGTGTTGGTGTGTTTGTTCAATCTCAAAAATTGGCGAGTGGTGGGTTAAACCAATGCTGTGGAAACAACAAATATGATAATTGCAATACTAATCCTGCGGAATTTTGAAATGATTAATTTCAATTTGTAAATTTACCTCGCCTTTTATTAGTAGATCACATATAATTTCCTTTGGATTTAATAACATATGAATCGGAAAATGGAGGACTGATTGTGTGACTATAATTTGGTGTTGATTATTCCTGATGATGGTTATACAGTGAGGATGCATTGGAATGAATATGGTTAGAACATTTTCCTTTCTTGAAACAGAGGCATTAAATTTCATAACAGCAAGAGAAGTGAAATCATTCTAACTATTAAATGGACCTTAGTTCTTCTCGTTTGCCCCTGGACCTTGACATATTGAGTTTCTGGTTTTTTCTTTACCAATTTTTTGTTGTCAACCTTCATCTTGTTGCATAGTGCGCTGCACATATCATTCCCAGGCAAATTGCACCTTTGATATTTCTGTCAAGTGGCTTCCTCAGCTTGGCTATTCCATTTCTTCAGTTACATAATTGGAATCTGGAATGAATGAGATCTTATACCATTTCTTGATGAACTAATTACACCTTGAAATTAATCCTCTTTCTGGTTAGGTATACCTAGAAGCAGTCTAGAGGATGGGAATCAGCTTCAAATATTGGGATGAGTGTGTTGAACCCCAGGACATGGAAGCAATGTGGCGGGAACCTGAAGTGCTTACTGAATGGTTAGATGCTGGAGAGACTAAAGGACAGAAAGTTCACCTTTCACGGGATCCAGATGGACAGCCTTATTTGACACAGACCGAGATGAAGGTAATCCAAACTGCCTCTCATCATTCAGTTTCTCAATAAGTTGAAGTAATGAGTTCAAATTTAACATTTTCTCCTGCATGTTATTAAATACAAGCCATTGATTTTCATCTCATTTTCTAATTTTGCCTTGCATATTGTAATCCTCCAGGCTGTAGCTGAAATTATTGTCCGCAGACATTTTGACTCGCAGATCCTTCCGGTATGTTCATTTTTGTTAGAAATCAAGCATGCATACAGTAAGTGGTAACATGATTTTGTCCTTCATGTGAGACTACTTGTGTTGAATTTCGACAATGCATCTTGAATATCCTTTTGAAAGGTTCTGCAACTCGTGGTCTTTTCCCATAATGAAAGGAAAATCCCTCATATTCCTCATCTTGTGGCACAGCGCCAGCATGGCTTTGCATGTGCAGTAACATGAAAATATGAAATATTCATGCATAAATCTGAATTTCATCTACCACTTTATGACTTTTGCTTGAACAATTATGTTCCTGGAGTGATTTTAAGACTTAATGATTTCAGCTTATTAATCGCAATGAATTATTCCATTTGCATGCTTCCCTTGTTTGTACAGGCTATGCTCTGTGCTATTGCTGAACTAGCAAGTGACAGGCAGCTGCTTGCTACAAGATACGACAAAAAAACTAAGCAGACCACCGTTGGAATCATGCAACTTTTACCAGCAACGATGGAGTGGCTTATCAGGTATGAAATACATGTTCTCATCCCCTTTGCAGCACACACATGAAACCTTCATATAGATTTTTATTGTTAAGTTATTGTGGTTGTATGAAGTTGTAACTCCAACTTTTTCACAGAGATTTGGGCTACCGGGTATATAAAGGAGAAGGAAATCCAGATATTCTTTATAGGCCTTTTGTAAGTGTATATTTTGGGGCTGCTTACCTTCAATGGTTATCAAATTTTGAGCGACAGTAAGTTATCAACTACAAAAACCACTTGTACCTTTTCGCTTGCAGTTCTTTTGTTGCTTTGTTAGTAAAAGTCATATTTTGTTCTCAACTAACTGACAAAGCTATTTCTGAGTTTTATTAACGTAGGCCTTGGAATATCAACATTTAGAGCTTTTTTTCAGAGAAAGAAGTGAAGAGTTTGTAGTTAGGGCATATAAAGGTGGTATAGAGAAGGCAAATCATAAGTCAACTTTGCAGCATTGGAAACGATACCTTTCAGTTAAAGAAAGTCTTCCATCCAGGTGTTTTTTACACTTATTAATGATAATTCCTTTTTTTAAATGCTAGACATGTTCCTTGCAAAATCTAGTGCACAATGTTTCTTTTTCTTTTTTTTTTTTTTTTAAGATCTTATGTATAATGTTTTAAGAGAATAGACACATGATATTTGAAATTGATTGTCTTTATATCACTGTTTGTACAGAAGATTTGTTGATGATGGTCCTTCAGTAGATAATTCTTGTGTTTCTGTTGCATCGGCTGTACCTATTTCTGCTTCACATAATATAGCAGCATCTTCTTCACAAAAGACAGGTTGTTCTTTTCTTACTGAAAATGTTGATGTTTCAAGTTTTGTTCTCTATTTCTAATGATATGAACTTTGCATAATTAATAACCACATCATTATGTAATTTGATACACATTTAATCATTTTGCAGTCTCTTTGGATTATTTATCTGTAACATAAAAAAATGAAATGTTTTAATAGTCTCATTTTGAGTTTTAGGAATTATATTTGCTCTTAGACTGACATTTTGGATGAGCTCCTTTTGTTACTTTTCGACTCTTTGAGGAAGCAGGTGGTGATTATGTATATTGGGACTCTAGAGCTTCTCCAGAGGACATGCAAGAAATGTGGAATAATTCTGATGTTGCTAGAGAGTGGATAAAATCTGGAGAAAAACGTGGAAAGGTGCGCTTTTCACTTGATAAGGACAAGAGGCTGTATCTTTCCCGGGTAGAAGTGAAGGTATGAAATAACAGACACGAGCATTCCTCCAAATTATTGTTGTTACTATAGATTTTATCATCTTTTCTTAACTGATCAGATAGACCTCATACAGGCAGTTGCTCAAACAATTCTTTCAAAGCACTTTAGCACAAGAGGAGTTAAACCAGTATGTATACGACTTAGCTAGTATGAATTCTTTGTTTTTCAAGCAAATATATATTCACCAGTAAAATATATATCTCTTGATGACACCCATCACATTGCTAATTTGTGCTTCATTTTCTCAATTTCTCCTTCTCTTTTATGTTTAATTCTTAAAGACATTAATACTGTTTTTTTTTTTTTGGCACAGTCAGTCCTCTGTGCTCTTGCTGAGATGGTTAGTTTTCGATTTGTGAATGGTGTTGGACCTCAAATTGGACTAATGGGAATTGACTACTCCACAGCTTTCTGGCTTTACATGTATGCAAATACTGCAACTGAATCTACTCCTACAGTTACACCAATTAAATAATCTGTTAGACATTTTTATTTGCTTTTTGGATAAATCTTATTTTTGGTATTAATGAGAGTGGTATAAGCTTATTCCATCTTCATGCATTTCCATGAGTTTTTTAATTGAAAAATCTTTTAAGCATGAGACTATAAATATTGAACTCCCTTTAGATAATTTTCATTTTTGATTTTTTATGTGGTTTTAGACTAGAAATATAGCCCAACAATATAGTACTGCTGAAATGTGCGTGAACTTTCTAATTTGTGCTTAGGGAATTGGGTTATAGGGCTTACAGAGTTGATTCTGTTGATGATCTAACAAAGCCATTTGTGTCCATGTACTTTGGTGCGGCTTATTTGGCATACCTATCCGAATATGAAGGAAGGTATGTTGCATGTAAAAATATCCTTGTTGTTCTAATCTAAGTCTAATGGAAGAATTTTAGCTGATTAAGTGCTTCTAAGACAGGGAAAGAACTCCACAATTTGTTGTTCAGGCTTATCTTGCTGGGCCAAAGAATGTGAATCTTCAGGAGACTGGTCCCTTTTGGCTTAAATTTGAGGAAGCTTTGAGCAATTACGAAGATATAAAGAAGTATTCACCAACCTATTGGTATTTCTTTCCTAACTATTTGAGAGCTATGGCCTATTTAACTGATAAATTCATCTTTTTATGCAGGGATCCAGGAAGCTGCACCATTTTGTAAGGTGTAAAATAACACCACCTCAACACCATCCGTCCATCAAGTGGTGGTGGGTGATTGATTATAGGCAGTACCCTCAGTGTTCTGGCTTCTCATGTCAACGATAGTTGTCATATACCTTTAAATAAATAATTGTAGTTGAGGATTATGAGCTTTTCATCTTAGAAGAATAAACAATTTTTTGGACAAAGCAGGGAATTCAATGTCAATCAGTATTTCTTTTGCTTGTATTTTGTTAACTTTTATTTTAAAAATTTATGTAAATCAACAACATTCAGGAACATATACTTATGTGGTATATATTTTTTTTTAAGATGCACCTTCAACCCTTGCTTGAGACAATCAATATTTTATAAATGAAATTCAAAAGATGTCCCATTAGAAGGAAGCATTATAGTATAAGACCAATGCAAATCTTTAATTTGGTATGGAAGGTAAAACAACACATGCAAACATAAACTATTATATGGTTTATCAGGTGCTTCCCTGATGCTGCTAATTTAATTTAAAATGGATAATTTACTGTCATTGAGTTTGACATAAAATGCAATTCAAAATCCTAAAAGTATTGGACAATATTAGATAAATAATGATATGCAATTCTAATCAGAAATGGTGTCTTCTGAAGAAAATTCTTTTGCTTTAAGCTGTTGAGTCTGGTTCGATTTCTCACTCTCTTCTGTGTCTCTTCTCAACATGGAAATGTTAATTAATCCACCAAGAAGAAGGTTTTGCTGAACTTTCTTTTCCCCACATGAAGGCAGCTGATCCTCAACAAATGGTAAAGTACTATCAGCTGCTTTAAGACGCTTCTTCCTATAGTCAACTGAGTTGTTGAACATGTCGGAAGGTAAGTTACCTGATCCATGAATTGGTAAGTTCCCAGGATACAAGATTTTAAGCCTTTCTTTCTCCCACCGTCGCGATAGATCTTCTATGGTTTTATGCTTGGAGAAAGAAAGTGAGGGGTCTCTGAGCATGGCCTCCCAATTTCCTTGCCCATGTCTGCGGACACCAATCCAAAGAAAATCAAGCTCCTCCTCTAACCATACATCAACCATTCCTTGATCTTTTCTCGATGCATTGGACATCTTCATCATCAAATTGACATGGCCTCCTTGAGGTACTACGGACATGTTCTGCAAATAAACAACATAGATATTTAGTATATTGCTCAGTAATTGCAAAACGAAAGTCAACATAAAAGAATAAAGATAACTTGTTCCAGGCAGTTCATATTAGACAAAAAGAAAGATACCAGCTTTTGCAATGACAAATCACCGTCACCAATCTCCTGACTGTTCAAATTAATCCCAGTGGAACATTCTGCACCTGATGCCCGATGGGATGGAAAACCAAGTAACTGTCTTCCAAATTTACTTTGCCCGTAATGCAATCTTCTAGGGTCCATTAAGCCAGAAAGCCTCTGCAAACAATTAACCTTATCTAGAGTTTTCGATGGCACTTGGTCTATTGAAGTCTGTTCCTCTTTCATTAGACTTGCCTTCTGTCTTATGTGTTCCTTTGAGTCATTGGATGAAGTATGTACTTTATCAAGGTCTTTTGTATGCTGCCAAAAAAGTGGTGTGCTTATTCTTGAACCAAGAATCGGTCCCTTGCTACTGCTCCTGAGTGCAATTTTTTGTTTTTGTCTTGCACGAAGCATGACACTGTTTAAGAAAGTATTTATTATAATATAAACACCAATAGAATGAAAACTGGATCCTCATTAAAACACAGACTTACAGTCTCTCTTTCTTAGCTTTTCCAGATTCTGTATATTTTGGTTGTAGAACATGCCGCGATTTCTTCTCTCCATTGTTCTGTTTTGACATCAATAACCAAGTGTGACTGAAACATATTTTAATAAAGCTGAAATTAGAAGAGACAACACACAAAATGAACTTACACTTGCTATTAAGCAACTGTCCTTCATTGAATCCTGCATAACATCCCTGATTTTTTTTTTCCCACGAAATCTTCCATCAGTTTAAGCATCAATCCAACTTTCTAACATGAATCTCTTCACTACTATTTTTCTAGTTGTTGTTTAATACTATCTACAACAGTCAAGTAACAACTAAAAAAGTATATTACCTTAAAATCGATAACTTGTTGCACTGATTTATTCCGGACCTTTGCATGCATATATTACTATTAATTGCTTGATGTTCTGTTGCTTTCCCTTCCTCTTCTATAGCATTTTGGTTACATTCTTGTGGACTGTGAGGCTAAACAATAGAGAGATGTTTTGTTCATAAACAACTAAAGAAACGATGCTTCTAGTCAAGATAATAACACTTGTGTGGGTGCATATGCCCATATGTGATCTTATATTAGATATTTGAATTGGCCAAAAAAAAAAAAAAAAAGTTGACTGTGAGGCTAAACAATAGAGAGATGTTTTGTTCAAACAACGTAAAGAAACGATGCTTCTAGTCAAGTAATAACACTTGTGTGGGTGCATATGCCGCATATGTATCTTATAGTTAGATATTTGAATTGGCCAAAAAAAAAAAAAAAAATAACCCAAAAAAAAAAAAAAAAAGTTGAAGGAGCATGCGTGCATATGCTTATATAAATTTCTGCATAAACATCCCAGTACTGTAACTGGGTTGAAAGGGCCATCCTAAAAATTTGAGCTTGATAAATGGTACTATAATAATGTCATAAACCTTTTATATGAGTTCCATCTTCTAAAAATCACGTCCTTTGTAGTTGAGGCTACCGTTTGTCTAGTCATGTTAAGGTGGTAAAATGCACATGCTAAAATTCTGTGTGATAAAATTCTGTCCTATACCATTGATGCATTAAGATCAATTTCGAAAACTTTAACTTCATGTTCAGTGGACTCAGATTGAATGCTTGAACAATTGAACAATCCGGAAGCTTCTTTAGTTGATTTATCTTTCTGATCTTCATTTGGTAATTCAGAAGGATAACAATTTCCCGGGTGATTCTCCTCTCCTTCTTCTGCTTCTTTTTTACTCATGCGTCTTCCATAGACTTTAATTCCATTCACAGTTTTGGAAGCCTTCGTCTGTTTTTCATCACCACTGTGGTTGACAACATTCTGAAAGAAATAAATACAAAGCATGTCAGAGTAGATTATTTTACTATATAAGACCAAATCAACCTCCTAAAAAAAATAACAACAATTAAACATCGAGCATGAAAATGGCAAACGAGGTAATACTTGTCCTTCATCATCGTGAATGTAATTCTTGGATGCTTTTTCCATTAGATCTCCAGCCTCAGCTAAATGGTGCAGTGACTGAAATGAGACAGAAGGAAAGTTCTACAGCAATGGATATTAATAGAAAAGAGTGAGAAAAAGAATAACAAACTCTATTGCAATGTGCAGTAACTAAATGACATTATAAAGGAAGAGGCAATAAAAAAAAAGGTAAGACAACAAATGCCTTTTCGTGAATGTTGAAAAGAGTCCAGCTACTTTTTGCAAATTTGCAACAAATGCTTGCAAATAATGCTGTGTGATATAAATTGCTCATGTTCCATATTATACAAGAAGGGTGTTAACACATAACTTATATTGCATCTGTTCCATATTATAGAAGAAGATGTTGATACAAAACGAAAACATGAGTGAAATAGACCTTGCAGACATGGACTTTCATCTTGGTAAAAATAATGATAAAATAAAAGAGTTCCATACACAGGTAGCTGCATACATATTTTGGTAAATACCAGCCTACTGGTCATCCGTAAGCTTGGAAAATTTCAATAAAGCCTTCTGCTAAAGCGAATTCAGTTCAAGTCAAACAATTTGAAGTCTTATATAGAAACTGACGTTTCAATCAACTTGGAGAAGTGCATAAGCTATATTTATGCTATTTGATAAGACAGTTTAGAGACCAAAAAAAAAAAAAAAGACAGTTAGAAGACCAAAAAAAAAAAAAAAAAAAAAAAAAAAAAAGTGTTTTACACCTTAAACTACTTTGATATAAAATAAAAGTGTCTGTGCACGCACAAAGTACTACTGACATTGGCACTAATGAGTATTACTCTCCTATTAACATGGTCATTCTATCAAAAAGTTGGTATGGAACACAAACCATCAGGTTCTCCATATAAATGAGTAAAATTTTCCCTTACAGAAACTCGCTATTGCTAGCTGTCTTCTCAAGACAGAATTTATTTAATCATATATAAACTTCAGCAATCAGTATCAAAGGCTTTCTCTTACATTTCCCTTTAGAGAAGGAATTTCCTTACATAAAGAAAATAATTTATAAATGAACTTTAATCTTCAAGATCCTCTCTGCTAATAAAGGCAGAATTTAATAATTTGGATGAGCATTCAAGGTTGTTCAGGTGGAAAACGCACTTATGTTGATGACGTAATTCCCATGACATTATCCATAATAACGGTATTTTCCTCTTTTGACAGAAATGGCAGGTTACATATGCTGATATATTTGAGGAAAAGGTTAAGCCCTACGTTCCAAGTAAGTTATTTTGGCATGCAAAGCTGGCTTTTTAGGGTAAGAAAATTAGTCCGTTTTAATCTTTCAAGATTCGTTATCCAAGTGACGTAAAATCCTTGAAAAACCACAAACGAAATTATATAAAAGAAACAGCAAGCCTTACTTTGTCAGACGAGGTTCAAGATTCATTATCTAAGCAAGGGAAAATACTTGAGAAGCAACAAAGGAATTATATACAAGAAACAGCATGCCTTACTTTGTCAGACGAAGCATCTCCTTTGGAACTCTTGAGATGCCTTAGTCGAAGTAATATCTTAGCATCTTGACAGCAATTATAACATTCCCATTTTCCAGGAGGAACAGACTTCAGGAAAAACAAAGGGATAATATCATGATCCAAACATTAATGAAAGGAAATGGAAAATGTGAGAAGAAGCATAAACTTTACGTACTTTAAGAGGTGGATTAAGGCACTCGAGATGATAAGTGCGGGGACAGGTGTCACAGCAAAGCAAATCGCCACCATTATCACAGATTACACACTCATAGTAGTGCTGTAAACAGAAGAAAATAAAACAAAACTGAAGGGTCAAGGTAGACCATTAAAACAGAAACTGAATATTATGCTTGAGAAATATAAAAAAAAACAAATGGCGAAATCCTTGAGCAAATTAACATGTAAGAAGCAAGTGATAGTTGGAGCAAATAACTCTCTTCTTCACATAGATGTTCTAAGATGGCTCTAAGTAATATTGTGCATTTCCTCTTCTTTGTCTTGAAATTAGTACAGAAATGAATTAATCATCTAAATTGGTAGATAGTAGCGCCTTGAAGTTTTTTCTTGTGAAGAAATGACAATTAAGAATACTTTTAAACACCAGCAATTCATACGAATGCTCTCAACCCCAATATAAGCAATAATATATCATTCTAACAAGGAGCTTGAAGCTTGCAATCAAATTATTTGTCCAAGTTATCTTGGCATCACAGATTAACTATAAATTCAAATAAGATAATTGTCATAACACACCAAAGGAAATGGAACCTCACCCCGTCATCTCCTATCTCACGTGGAGGAAAGCTGAAAAGGTCCTCTTTTGCTGCATAAGAATTGATTGAAGTCAAAGAAGCACCTTCAAAACTCTTTGATTTGCTTTGTCCACACGGATGACATTTCCTTTTGCGGTTGTAGCCATCACTGTTCTCTATCGTCTTACTGTCCTTGGCTGTTGGAAGCATCCTCAACAATTGATCTGAAGAGTCTATAACTTAAACAACTGCAGATCTCCAAGGTAAACCTGCATTTTATCCAAACAATAAAAGATTAATTAGAGTGATTCCAGTGTGATTCCAGTGAAGAAACATGCATACATCTGAACCTCCATGGTAAAAGTATTATCCTTCATAATTATGACAAAAAAGATGGCAGAACAGCAGCCAAAATGGGAGCAAAGTAAAGATTGAATCACTTCTAGGAAAGTTTCATCCTGAAGCAAAATCTGAAGGTTTAGTGCTATCTATCAAGCTTTTCTAACTTATTAACAACAAGCCTGAGCAGCACAACACAATGCACTTGTTAACCCTATCAAAATAGGTCACGCTTCATGATGTACTTTCTCAAGATCTCTAAAAATATTCCATAATTGCTTCTCTCTTTTTCCAAAAAGAAGCTACTGAGATTATTAACAGACATTAGCATTACACAACTTGAAATGCATCAATGAAATAAACATTCGACTCTTCTTATAATATTCATCCATAAACTATCAACTGCATTCAAAGATTCACAATCATATGGTCCTTTTTCTGAATTTGAAAATAACAAAACCATTATGATCCTCTAAATTTCAGAAATATGCTTTTAGCCTTTTACACATGGTTTTCAGTAAAAAAATGAAAAAACATATATCTACATTGTTATATGGAATAACAATACAACTTGCCAAAAAAAAAAAAAAAAAAAAAAATAGATCAATGCCAATAAGAAAAAAAAAAAAAAAAAAAAAAAAAAAAAAATCCTAGATGCCAATGCCAAATTCATCTAGTTTTCATCTAGATATTCCAAAGAGGCAAACAGAAGTTCTCTGCAATTTCATTTTTCCTTTTTTTGGGAGTAAATAACTTTTCTCTTGAATAAAATTCTTTAAGTAATTAAGCAGGAACCTTGATTCTAATACCTCTATCTTATTCTAGACCTAAAAAGATTCAAAATTTTTACAACAGACTATGAAATAATATTAAAGGTCAATCACGAAAAATAATAATTAATTAGGAAAACTAGAGCAGAAAAATTCAAACATACATTCAACTTTCATTTGCACACTGATCAAGCAAAAAAGAAAGGAAAATCAAACAAACAAATAAGGTCCAAAGAGGACTATCAAACATGATAGCATAGAAAAAATTCTTAGAATAAACAAAAATAAATATAATTTTAGTATTAGATAATCGAGAAACATGAATTACCAAGACAAAAACAAAGAAACTGACAATGGGGCAACAAGGATGTAAAATTCGATGAATGAGAAATTGGGAGAGAACAACAAAGATACAGATAACTTTATACTGAGAAAGAGAGAGAGAGATAGAGAGCGCGTACGTGTAGATAGTGAGAAAGTGATGAGTTGTAGAGACTGACAGAGAATAGCCTGAAATTGAATGCAGAGTGACACTTGGCATTAGGATATGGATTTGCGTTCTTCCTGAGTTCATTGCCTTTCTTCTTTCCATGAATGCTTTCTTTCTCTTCATTCTTGCTCTGAAAAAATGAGAGGGAAACTCAATTCTTTACTTATTTACCATTTTAGAATAGGTGGGGTGCGAGTGCAAAGTGCAAACCGCCTAGCGGAGCGACAGCCTCATACTTCTTTTACTTTCCTTATTCCAAAAATAAAATAAAATTTAAATTCTGAACTCACAAAATAGATCATCTATTGAAAGTCTCTACTCTAGTGTTAAAATAAACATATATAAAGATGACCTTCTTATGCTATAATAGTGATGATTGATAGTTTATAATTTAATTTAATGAAAAAATTAATTATCAGAATGATCGTTTATAAAAACAGAATTCGCGGTTAATTTAATTATTTAATTATAGTATTAGTAGAGTTAAAATATATTTGAATTTGTTTGAATCTCTTGTCAGTTTCTATGGTTTAGCATTGGCATTAATTACATTACTGCATTTGCACAGAGAAAAATCTCCTTTGTGATACTATGTTGCCAACTCACTTGTTGCTTGTTTTTCAAAGTTGGATATACTGTTAAAATATTAGATGAAGTTACTAAATTATAGAACCCTAATTAGATGAACTTACTAGAATATAAATACCAGTCATAAAACAAAAACAAAAACTCTAGAAAATTGTTTAAAAATTACAAAACAAAACATATCAAATGGGCTTTACATACATAAGGGGCTTGGGCTTGGGCTTAGGCGTTAGGCCTTTCACTATTATATAAATCTTAATACAAATACTGAGTCCAAATTAGAATCAATAAAATCACTATGTTTTGATTTACTTTATTAATAAAATATTACAAAAGTTTTAACCAATAGGTCGTTGATACGTAGATTCTGTGAAGACGAGAATACAATAAGTTCAATGCATTCCTTGAGAGTACCGAAAACTTTTATACTCTATAGCTCAAGGGAATTGCGCCTCATAGTTACCAAATTAATACGTCATTTTAATATATATTCTTTATTTAAAAAATCTGTAAATTATTTATGTCAATTAATTAAAAGATTGAACAAAATCAAATTGGAGGCAAATTAATCAAGATCTTTTCACACTGACAGGATATAACAGTAATTAAACACGTAACTAGATATGATATCTATCATTCATGACTTGTTTGATATTTTAATGCGCTTCCATATCTGGAAAGTTCATTAGATTATGAACACGTTCCACTTGACAATTTCGTATCCAATCTTTGATTAATGCGTATAATTATTAATCTCTCCCTACTGGTTAATTAAGATTTTTACTAATTCAACCAGAATACCCATTTTTGCCGCTGTTATAGACAGTACCTCCCCAAGTTGATCTTTTCGACTTTGGAGAGACTCCTAGTCCAACTGTGCATGCTATGGTTGTAAAAAGGATTCATGTTTTTTAAAAAGAAAAGAAGGAAGAAAAGAGAGAAAAGAGAAGAAACTGGCTGAAAACTGCTTCTTTGGCTCGAATTTCGAGAGAGAACGAAGAGTATAGAAAAAGAAGACAAAAAACAGTTTTATAGAAAAAAACGCGCCCAGAGGCAGCTGCCCTCGCCGGAGCTGGCGGCGACCGCCGGAGCTGGCGGCCACCGTAAATAAAAAAAATAATAAATAAATAAATTTTATTTCCAGCACCATAAATAAAAAATATATATATATTTTTCCAGTACTATAAAATTTTATGTCATGGGCCGAAATGAAGTCTCATTTTATTTCAAATTTGATAATCATGCATATATCAATAATTGCTAAATTTCATGCATATTTTAACAATTATATATATGCAGGGAGAGCCTTACAGCATGAGAATCGAGAAGATGAAGGAACAGGTGAAGATGATGATCGAGGAAGTTGCAAATCCTTTGGAGATAATTGATACGGTGCAATTACAGCATGAGAATCGAGAAGATGAAGGAACAGGTGAAGATGATGATCGAGGAAGTTGCAAATCCTTTGGAGATAATTGATACGGTGCAAAGACTCGGACTAGCTCACCATTTTGAGGATGAAATACAAAAAGCGCTAAAGTGCATATATAGTAATAACAATAAATGTACAATTATGAAACAATCAGATGATTTGTACGCCACTGCTCTTGAATTTAGACTCCTAAGACAGCAAGGTTACGACGCACCTCAAGGTGAGAGCATCATCATCCATGCATGGTTGATATTAGTCAATTTGAAAGACCAAATTAATTAATTAATTAATTATACATGTTATTATATGCATGGTTGCAGAAGTTTTCAGTAGCTTCAAGGACGAGGAAGGAAATTTCAGGGCAAGCCTTTGTGATGATCTGAAAGGACTTGTATATTTATACGAAGCTTCATACCTTTCAGTTCCGGGTGAGACTATTTTGGAAGAGGCAAGAGATTTTGCATCCAAAAATATCCTGAAATATCTCAATAATATCAGGGATAGTTATGAGCAAGAACAGATAATAAGTGGAGAGGAGCATGTACAGGTGATGTTGGCCAGACATGCGATGGAGCTCCCATTGCGTTGGAGAATGCAAAGTTTTGCATCCAAAAATATCCTGAAATATCTCAATAATATCAGGGATAGTTATGAGCAAGAACAGATAATAAGTGGAGAGGAGCATGTACAGGTGATGTTGGCCAGACATGCGATGGAGCTCCCATTGCGTTGGAGAATGCAAAGGGCAGACTGCAGGTGGTTCATTGATGTTTATGAGAGTAGCCCTTCCATGAACCCTACTCTTCTTCATTTTGCAAAATTGGATTTTAACATGGTTCAAGCTATTCACCAGCAGGATTTGAAGCATGCTTTCAGGTGAGATATATATACATATATATATAATTTTTTTCAATTAATCAAATATATAATTAATTTAATTACTGTATGTATAGTTGGTGGAAGAAGACAGGACTTGGTGAAAAGCTGGGTTTTGTCAGAGGCAGGCCAATGGAGGTTTTTTTATGGGCTGTTGGGGGGTTGTATGAGCCCCAATATGCATATTTCAGGAGAATATTAACTCGAGTTGGTGCACTTGTAACCGTAGTTGATGACATTTATGATGTCTATGGTACCTTCGATGAGTTGCAACTATTTTCAGATGCTGTCGAAAGGTAATTTATTTATTTATTTTCAAATAATGAAAAAAAAAATATATAATCTGCCCTTTTTTAATTAATTTTGATTAATTTAAATTTAGATGGGATATCGACGCGATGGATCAACTTCCCCAGTATATGAAAATATGTTTCTTAACTTTGTATAACTCCATAAATGAAATAGTTCAAGAACTTCTAGTGAATTATGGACTCTCTGTCCTTCCTTATCTAAAGAGAGAGGTAAAGTAATTAATTAATTCGATTTTGTTTTATTTTATTTTAATAATATATTAATTTTATTTGGACTTTCCAGTGGACAAATTTATGTAAATCTTATTTATTGGAGGCCAAGTGGTATCATGAATTAGTTCATGCATATTTTACTGTCACTGGTCAAATAACAGAGGAGGTTTCAAAATACTTAGAAGAATACCCAGATATAATTAGATATTCAGCTTTGATCTCCAGACTTGTAGATGATTTAGGAACATCATCGGTATGTTTATATATATGTATATGATTATTTTTTCTAATCATCTAATTTCGTTAAGAAATTATTAATTCACTTTTGATGAACTCAGCATGAACAAAAGAGAGGCGATAATTCAAAATCAATCCAATGTTATATGCATGAAACTGGAAGTTCAGAAAAAGAAGCTCGCAAGTACATACATTATTTGATTGGTGAAACATGGAAGAAAATTAATGAAGAACAAATTCGAAATAATCATTTCTCTCAAACTTTGATTAAGCTGGGGATAAACCTAGCGAGGATATCTCAATTCGTGTATCAATATGGAGATGGGTTTGGTGCTCAAAATGTGGAAACAAAAAATAATATTTCATTGTTACTTGTCCAACCAATTTGTCTTTAATTTATTACTAATGAATGTACCAATTTCTCTTTATTTTTACCTCAATACATATAAAATAATTTGAAAACATCTCAAAAATATTATTATATAAATATATTTGTTGTGCAGTAACCAATAATGGATTTTTGAATGCTAGCCTATCTATTAGTAGCATTCTTCTTTTATCCTTTTCTAATAATTTTTTCTCCTCAGCAATTCATATTGATAGAGGCCAAATGCCAAACTATGATTATTTGGAATTTTCCTTATCTATCCCATCAATTATAATGGAATGAAGGATATGTTTGCTGAATTAGGAAGCATTTTAATTGAAGAAGTCAGATCAAAACGATTTTTGATACCCTAAATCTTTTGATTTGACTTTCATTTTGAATTGCGTTAGGTCTTTCACTATTATATAAATCTTAATACAAATACTGAGTCCAAATTAGAATCAATAAAATCACTATGTTTTGATTTTTACTTTATTGATAAAATATTAACTAATAAGTGGTTGATTAACATGGCAAGCAATGTAAATTCCCGTAAAGATGAGAATACAATGAGTTCGATTCTTAGAAAAAATGCACTTACTAAAAGGGCCGAAAACTTTTATACTCTATAGCTCGAGGAGATTACACCTCATAGTTAATATATTAATACATCATTATAATATATATATTTTTTGTTTAAAGAATCTGTAAATTCGTGTATACTTTTCACATTGACAGGATATAACAGTAATTAAACACGTTAAAAATGACTATATCATCTACAAAAATTGCACAAGTTAATATAATCATGCAAATCATATCAACTAAGAAACACGTTTAACATTTTTAGACTTTACTTCATGTACGTAACTAGATATGATATCTGTCATTCATCCAAGCTTAATGACTTCTTTGATATTTTAATGCGTAAATTATTTTAGCTTTTTTTTTCTTTTTTGCCCTTCGGGCCTAATGAATTGTCTTTTAGTTATTATTGGACGACCACCAAGATGTTTTCTTTTCGTAATCTAACTGTGATTTGGCTTACTGATTTCTTTCTCTGATAAGAAAAGAAGACAAAAAAAACTGTCTTTTTCCGATGGCTTCAGCATTTCCGATGACTAATCTTTATCTGCGACGGATTGCAATAATTGGCAGTCCGCTCAGTTTATCAGGCTGCGTTAATGGTGGTGTTCGATTTTGTATTTCTGGAAAAACAGTAGCTGCAAGAAGATCTGCCAACTATCCCCCTTCAAAATGGGACCATTCTTTTAGATCTGCCAACTATCCCCCTTCAAAATGGGACCATTCTTTTGTTGAATCCTTGACAAGTGAATTTGTAGTATGTATATATGTATTTCCTTTTCTGTATCAATAATTGCTAAATTTCATGCATATTTTTAACAATTATATATATGCAGGGAGAGCCTTACAGCATGAGAATCGAGAAGATGAAGGAAGAGGTGAAGATGATGATCGAGGAAGTTGCAAATCCTTTGGAGATAATTGATACGGTGCAAAGACTCGGAGTAGCTCACCATTTTGAGGATGAAATACAAAAAGCGCTAAAGTGCATATACAGTAATAACAATAAATGTACAATTATGAAACAATCAGATGATTTGTACGCCACTGCTCTTGAATTTAGACTCCTAAGACAGCAAGGTTACAACGCACCTCAAGGTGAGAGCATCATCATCCATGCATGGTTGATATTAGTCAAATTAAACGACCAAATTAATTAATTAATTATACATGTTATTATATGCATGGTTGCAGAAGTTTTCAGTAGCTTCAAGGACGAGGAAGGAAATTTCAGGGCAAGCCTTTGTGATGATCTGAAAGGACTTGTATATTTATACGAAGCTTCATACCTTTCAGTTCCGGGTGAGACTATTTTGGAAGAGGCAAGAGATTTTGCATCCAAAAATATCCTGAAATATCTCAATAATATCAGGGATAGTTATGAGCAAGAACAGATAATAAGTGGAGAGGAGCATGTACAGGTGATGTTGGCCAGACATGCGATGGAGCTCCCATTGCGTTGGAGAATGCAAAGATGGAGCTCTCATTGCGGTTGGAGAAAATGCAAAAGTAGCAGAGTGGCAGGTTGTTATTGAGTTTATGAGAAGTAGCCCTCCATTTGACCCTACACTTCTTCATTTGCAAAATTTGGATTTATACTATGGTTCAAGCTATTCACCACAGGATTTGAGCATGCTTCCAGGGTGAGATATATATTATATATATTATATATATAATATATATATATAAATATATATATATATATATATTATAATATTATATATATTATATATATAATTTTTTCCATTAATAAAAATATATATGTAATTTAATTACTGTGATGTAATAGTTTGGTGGGAAACAGGACTTGGTGAAAAGCTGCGTTTTGTCAGGGCAGCAATGGAGGGGTTTGTTTATGGACTGCGGGGGTTGTGTATGAGCCCATATGCATATTTCCAGGGAGAATGATTATCTTGAGTTGGTGCACTTGTGAACCGTAGTGATGAATTTATGAATGTTATGGTAACCTCGATGAGTTTCAAACTATTTTCAGTATGCTGTCGAAAGGTAATTTATCTTATTTTAATTTCCAACAATGATAAAAAAAAATTATTATATATATATGTATATATATATAATCTCACCCTTTTTTTTTAATTAATTTGATTAATTTAAATTTTAGATGGGATATGGAGCGCGATGGATCAACTTCCCCGGTAAATAGTAGAAAATATGTTTCTTAGCTTTGGTATATTCCATAAATGAAATAGTTCACGAACTTTTTTTTTAATTAATTTTGATTAATTTAAATTTAGATGGGATATGGACGCGATGGATCAACTTCCCCGGTATATGAAAATATGTTTCTTAGCTTTGTATAATTCCATAAATGAAATAGTTCAAGAACTTCTGGTGAATTATGGACTCTATGTCCTTCCTTATCTAAAGAGAGAGGTAAATTAAGTAATTAATTCGATTTTATTTTATTTTATTTTAATAATATATTAATTTTATTTGGACTTTCCAGTGGACAAATTTATGTAAATCTTATTTATTGGAGGCCAAGTGGTATCATGATGGATATACACCAACTCTGGAAGAATATCTACAAAATGGATTTATATCTATTTCTGCTCCGTTACTATTAGTTCATGCATATTTTACTGTCACTGGTCAAATAACAGAGGAGGTTTCAAAATACTTAGAAGAATACCCAGATATAATTCGATATTCATCTTTGATCACGAGACTTGCAGATGATTTAGGAACATCATCGGTATGTTTATATATATGTATATGATTATTTTTTTTAATCATCTAATTTCGTTAAGAAATTATTAATTTACTTTTGATGAACTCAGTATGAACAAAAGAGAGGCGATAATTCAAAATCAATCCAATGTTACATGCATGAAACTGAAAGTTCAGAAGAAGAAGCTCGCAAATACATACATTATTTGATTGGTGAAACATGGAAGAAGATTAACGAAGAACAAATTCGAAATACTCATTTATCTCAAACTTTAATGAAGATGGGAATAAACCTAGCGAGGATGTCTCAATGCATGTATCAACATGGAGATGGGTTTGGTGTTCAAAACGTGGAAACTAAAAATTACATTTTATCATTGCTTGTCCAACCAATTTGTCTTTAATGAATGTACCGATTTCTCTTTATTTTACGTCAATACATATAGAATAATTTGAAAACATCTCAAAAATATTATTATATAAATACATTTGTTGTGTAGTAACCAATAATGGATTTTTGAATGCTAGCCTATCTATTAGTAGCATTCTTCTTTTATCCTTTTCTAATAATTTTTTCTCCTCAGCAATTCATATTGATAGAGGCCAAATGCCAAACTATGATTATTTGGAATTTTCCTTACCATATATCCCATCAATTTTAATTGAAGAAGTCAGATCAAAACGATTTTTGATACCCTAAATCTTTTGATTTGATTTTAATTTTGTTTTTGATAAGAATCGACCCATGCCCATGCTTATCGCTTTACAAGATGCATATACAGAGAAATCAATCAACGACAAGAGACAAATTTGGAACTGTAAAGAAAAAACTGCCTTGACAAAATTACATATTTGTCCCGTATTCTTAAACCACAAATTAATCTATGTAAGCTACAATACATACAGTTATAACATTACTAAGGATTAAACGCGGTCGGAATCAAGTTAAGCTCGACTTTTCTTTTAACTGCAAGACCGAAACTCTCAGACATGTCGAGAGTTTCTGGTTTAGCTTTTCCAGGAAGTTCCCAGTTAAAATGGTACAGTAGTTGTGCAAGTATAAGTTCAATGTTAGCCATAGCCATGGTTATGCCGGGACACATTCTTTTACCAGCACCAAAAGGGATGAACTCAAAGTCAGTGCCTTTGAAATCAACTGAACCGCAACGAAATCTCTCTGGATCAAATCTTTCAGGATCAGTCCACCAGTTAGGATCTCTTCCGATGGCCCATGCATTGACAAGGACTCTGGTTTTTGGATAAATATCATATTCATTAATCTGACATTTCTGATTGCATTCTCTAGGGATTAAGGTGAGCGGAGGATGCAATCTTAGAGTTTCTTTGATAACTAACTTCAAATATTGTAATTCTTGAAGGCTTGCTTCGCTGACGTCACCTGTTCCATTAAATACCTCCCTTACTTCTTCTTGAGCTTTTTTCATCGTCCATGGGTTCTTCATCATTTCAGACATTGCCCATTCAATGGTCACGGAAGATGTGTCACTCGCAGCTCCAAACATTTCCTGCAATTAATTAACAGGTGAATTGATCATAATATTTATAGAGTAGTTTGTTAATACAAAACGCATAGTATATACACAAACCAGAATGATAGCTTTGATGTTGTCAGCGGTGAGGGGGAATTCAAGGTTTCCTCGCTGTTGAATATCCAAAAGAACATCCAGAATGTTATCGGGTTCATTCTTTGATTCGTTGTTGGCTTTGTGTTCGTCCATAATTTCTTCAAGAATCGTATCTGCCTCTCGATGAATCCTGCGGATAGTAGAGCTGATGCCGGTAATAATGTGAAGAAATTTAAAGGAGGGAAAAACATCGGCGACGCTGAAACCTCCTGTTGCTTTAATGGCATCCGTTATAACTGCAATGATTTCTTCCTGTCTTTTGCATTTCTTACCTATGGAAGTTTTGGCTATGATCCCATTAGTTAAAGACAAGAGAGTCCGACTAAGATTGACAGGCGATCCAGCTTTTGAATATAAGAACTTGAAGAAACTGGAGACCTCCTCTTCTCTCACTGATTTGAATGACTGCACGCGCTTTGAACTAAGCAGCTCGAGTATGGCAATTTTCTTGATTTGTCTCCAGTAGTCTCCGTAAGGGGCAAATATAATGTCAGAACGATTATAAAGCACGATATCGGCAGCCAAGAGAGAGGGTCTGTCGATGAATTGGAACTCATGGGTTTTTAAGACTTGTTTGGCTATTTCTGCCGAGGATATTACAACAGTGGGAACCTGTCCAAGCTGAAAACCCATTACGGCTCCATACTTTCCGGCCAAATCTCGGAGGCGGTGGTGTGGCTGATCACGGCCAAACAAATTATGAAGGTTGCCTATCAGAGGCAACTTCCAAGGTCCTGGTGGAGGATTGTTGTTAGCTATTGTGGGTCTCTTCCATAATTTTATCACCACTGTCGCCACAAAAACCAACAAGGCTATAAGGGTTGGAGATGAGAGGATTTGATACTCCATTAACTATAACTATGAGATGAGAAGATTATTGTTCAAGTAGTGTCTTTATTGTTTAACAAGGAAGACAAAGATAATAATATAACATGTGCCGGTCAAAATAATACAACATAATAATATAATATGTGGTGGCCCTCAGGATAATTACCAATATGCTATAATAATTAATAAATCTTTTTGCATCTTTTACAAAACAAATTTTGGTTTTTTAATTTCTCGTCTATTTATATTTTGGATTGGTTGCTTCACCAGTTCATCCCCAGTAGACAGAGGTTCTCCAATCCACAATTCTTTTACCCAGTTTAGTTTTGCTGGTTATGGACCACCGAATTCTCTCATTCCCATTCCTAATGCTAAGCTTGCTTCTTCCTTTCGTTTTCGAGTTGTTAAAGATATGGAAGAAGAGTAATAATAATCCTCCTCCAGGACCTTGGAGATTACCTCTGATCGGTAACATTCACCAGTTGGGTGGGCGTCATCAACCCCATCTCCGCCTTACAGACTTGGCCAGAACTTATGGACCCGTTATGCGCCTGCAGCTTGGCCAAATTGAAGCAGTAGTCATTTCCTCAGCTGAAACAGCCAAACAAGTTATGAAAACCCAAGAAAGCCAATTCCTTGGAAGACCTTCTCTTTTAGCTGCCGATATCATGCTTTATAACCGTACAGACATCTCTTTCGCCCCTTATGGAGATTACTGGAGACAAATGAAAAAAATTGCTGTCGTTGAGCTCCTTAGCGCCAAGCGTGTCCAAGCCTACAAATCAGTCATGGATGAGGAAGTTTCCAATTTCATCAATTTTCTTTATTCAAAAGCGGGGTCGCCTGTGAATCTTACTAAGACATTCTATTCCTTAGGAAATGGAATCATCGCAAAAACATCCATCGGCAAAAAATTTAAGAAACAAGAAACCTTCTTAAAAGTCGTAGACAAAGCCATTAGAGTAGCAGGAGGTTTCAGTGTGGGGGATGCGTTTCCTTCCTTTAAATTGATTCACTTGATCACTGGAATCAGCTCCACACTCCATACAGCTCATCAAGAGGCAGACGAGATTCTTGAAGAAATTATAAGCGAACACAGAGCCAGTAAGACTGCTGATGGTGATGACTATGAAGCCGATAATATTCTTGGCGTTCTTTTGGATATTCAAGAACGTGGGAACCTTCAAGTCCCCTTGACCACGGACAATATCAAAGCTATCATTCTGGTTAATTACTGACTTCATTTAATTAATTAATTAATTAATTATAGCAAAATGTAAGAGATTAATCAATTATTGGGGTTTTTTTTTATAAATTTGCAGGACATGTTTGCCGGTGCAAGTGACACATCGTTAACAACTGCAGAATGGGCAATGGCAGAAATGGTAAAGCATCCAAGAATAATGAAGAAAGCACAAGACGAAGTTAGGCGGACTTTGAACCAAGAAGGAAACGTAGCTAATCTTCTTCCTGAACTGAAATATTTGAAATTAGTTATCAAAGAAACCTTGAGATTACATCCTCCAGTAGCCTTAATTCCTAGAGAATGTGATGGGCGATGTGAGCTTAATGGGTACGATGTTAATCCTAAAACTAAGATTCTTGTTAACGCATGGGCAATCGGAAGAGATCATAATTTATGGAATGATCCTGAAAGATTTGATCCGGAGAGATTTCTTGACAATTCAAGTGATTTCAGGGGAACCGACTTCAAATTCATTCCATTTGGCGCCGGAAAGAGGATTTGTCCTGGCATAACCATGGCTATAACTATTATTGAGGTCCTGCTTGCACAATTGCTCTACCATTTTGATTGGAAACTTCCTGATGGAGCTAAACCAGAAAGTCTTGACATGTCTGATACATTTGGTCTCGTAGTTAAGAGAAGGATAGATCTCAATTTGATTCCAATCCCATAGAGCCCTTCCTTTCTTTTAATATTGTTTGCTTGCAATAATAAAACACCTCAATTAAAGAAGTAATTAACTATTTGATCTTTGTTCTTTATATAAATATAAAGATTACAGTTTGTGCATGTCTTGTTAAAAAAAATACTATATATATGGGTTGCGGGTTTCACCGCAACCCATAATAGACGAAGGCAATTTGCCCACCTTGTCTATCCCTTCTTCAAACACAACTGTCATACCCATATAAAAATGGGACTCAATATGACAATGAAAAGCCCAGACGCCTGGATTATCTGCTCTAAACCTTAAAGCTGTCCATCCATAAGGATGCAGAGGCACTGTGTTCTTCATGATTGGATTAAAGAGATTGTACTTTCTCCAATCACTTGACATATTATATTTGCCTAACCCATAACCCAACACCCAAAACTCATGCCCATGAAGATGCCATGGATGTGTTTCGCTGTGGTTCAGAGTCATGGTATTAGCATTCTGCAATATAATATCTACTGTTGAATTGAACTTCAGCCTATATATGCGGTTGCTGTAAGTAGCATTAACATTTTTGGCTACACTGTATATGTCATAATTTGCAAAATCATATCTGTCAGGAGGTGGGCGTCGATCAAACGCATCAGTTAAGTTGTTTTTGAGTGCGATAAGATACGGGGTAGTTGGATAAGTAAAAGAGAGATTGTTTAAGGACCATTTGTAATAACCATCAATCTTGTTTTGTGTATTGAGAAGGACAATTACTCTATCTGAACTGAGGGGAGGAGTGTTAATGAAGCCTTGGCGAGCCTTAAAGGCAAGACTTTGAGCCAATCTAGATTTGGTGTCATTCCAAAGAGGTCCTGCAGGTGGAAGAGTTTTAGGGGGTTTTTGAGGATGATTTGGGTAGTAATTGAAAATGGCTAAACCAGTTGGTGTTGAAGGTTTCCGACTAACTACATTTGCACTGATCCAATAGTTTCTTGAAGAGTTCTGTTTAGCTTTGACTAAAACTGAGTAGGTCTCACCAGAATAGATGTAGAGGTTTCTTGTCACAAATGGTTCCACATAGCTCCCATCAGCCTCCACAACAGTCATTTCATGATCCTGCATGAGAATTAGTTAACCAAAACAAAAAGAATCATTATTAATAAAGATATCATAAAAGTAGCATTAATTACCTCAATTTCAAAGCTAAGAGCAGAGAGGGCAGTTAGGCTACCGAGCCTCAATCGGTATATTTTTCCAGGAACAACAGTTAGTACATAAGGAGAGCATTCAGGATTTGTTGCATTACAGAGTCCAGGTTCAGAGCTTGGAGTATTGAGGAGAGAGCAGTTGTATTTTCCTCTTCCATTTATAAGAAGTGACTGGTCAATAGACACATACAATTAGCAGAACAAAAATCAGTAACATTCATTTACCTACAAGGACTGGACTAGACAAACCTGCGGCTCTCCCACAAACACAAAGGGTATGGAAGATAGGCCAATGACTTGTTCATCAGTGCCCTTATGGAACCAGTCATTTAAGAGTATAGTTCGATCAGAGTCATAGGAAAAGGGTTCAGAAACTCCATTAGGAAGCGATACGATGATTGATCCATATAAGCCGGCTTCTCTTTGCATTCCATAATGCCCATGATATATATATGTTCCAGCCTGCAATGCAGCATTGCTAAAACAAGGCTGAAAATGGAAGAGGAACAAAAATGACGAAGCAATATTGTCGAAAAAAATTACCCTATCCACAACAAATTTGTAGATGAAGCTTTCTCCTGGTTGAATGGGGCATTGGGTCACTCCTCCAGCTCCATCACTCCATGGTGTTCCAATCTAATCTCAAATTAGAAGTTAAGAAAGATGGAATCAATATATAATGAAATGAACTTATAAAGCTGAAGAAGAAGAAAGGAAGTTACCTGACGGATTCCATGCCAGTGAATAGCTACATTCTCAGTGAAAAGATTATTTTTAAGCTCAACTACAATTGTATCACCTTGCTGTGCTAAGATTTTTGGTCCTGGAGTTCTTCCATTAATGGTGATAGCCAGCTTCTTGTAGCGATCAGGAGACTGGAACCCATAGTTGACCTCCCATTTGTAGTGGCGGATTCTAGCTTCAGCCCTAGAGAAACTGATAAAAGAAATGATGTGATAAAGAGCAAGCAACCTCATTAGATATCCTGTGCATTGCATGGGCTCGATCATTTTCAAGATTTTAATTCACAACTTGAAAGTGCCAACTTCCACTGTAAATATTTAGCGACACAGCATATTTTTAAACCAGGGGGAATGAATTAACTTTTCCATGATGAAGCAAGGTACAAGACAATAGTAACAAGCTGATCACGTCACATGCTCGCAAAGTCCATTAAATTTGGAGTTGCTTCCAAGAAACATTAGTCTCTAAATAATCCAAAAGATTCTCGAGTCTAAGAAATTGTCTGTAGTGTAAATGTGACATTAACGACTTACATAATCAGCCACACCACACACGACAAGCTTCTTGCATTGCAGCATATAATTCAACAATCATTTCTTTGAAGGATTTCGTTCAAATAAGTTACTGTTTTCTTATATAGATTTCACAAATTGCCAATCCTCAAAATGTTAATGGGGCTCCAAACAATCATTGCACTATAAAAAAAAAACAATCATAATGACATTAAAAGAAATAGCACAGGCAAAAAAACAGAGAGAATTCTAAAAGAGGACCGCAATAAGGGGAACATCATTGATAGCATCCAATATATTAACTGTTAAAATGTCATTATCCATTCAAATTTGATTATGATGAAATATTTCAGAGTGACGAGGTGAAAATTGCAATGTTACAAAAACCCATATATTTGGATTGTTAACAATGTCCAAGATGGAACCATCCAACCCAAAGCAATCCATAGTCGGATAAAAACATTTATTTACTCAATCTACATCCTAAGATGTGCTCTACTGTCGTTCTAGTCCGCCCTGGCTGTGTAACCAACCATACCATCACAAAACTCGAACAAAAAAGGCAAATGGGAAAAACTCAGCTCAAGCATCATCGAGAGCAAGGACTCCAGGAAGTTGTTTCCCCTCAAGAAGCTCCAAGCTGGCACCACCTCCAGTCGAGATGTGGCTCATCTTGTCAGCAAGCCCAACCTTCTCCACAGCAGCAACTGAGTCACCACCTCCAATGATAGTTGTCACGCCCTTGCCACTGAGCTCTGCAAGCTTCTTGGCAATTGCCTGCAACACAAAGAAAACTTCTTTTCAATTTCATTTGCCAAAACACCAGTACTTTGACCTCAGGTTCAACTTAGCATGTGAATACCTCAGTTCCCACTGCAAACTTTTCGAACTCAAATACACCCATTGGTCCATTCCAAATAACCGTTTTGGTAGTATCTAAAGCTTCACAGAATGTCTGGATGGAATCAGGTCCAACATCCAAACCCAACCAACCATCTGGAATACTGGATGCTGGCACCACCTGCAAGTACATGGCACTGAACTTACTGAGCAAATTTGCAATAGTTAATTTTGGACCTTCTCCTAATTTGTGTGTGCATGTGTGCCCACTCATAAAAGAGAAAATGGGACCAGGATCATGTGTGTATCCCCATCGCAAGAAGCCTAAGGGGAAGCTCTCCAAGAAACCAATAAAACAAGTTTGTCTTGCTTATATAGGCAGGAAATCAGATTACAGTGTCCAGAGAACCAATATAGTTCGAACAGCCAATGAAAAGCAAACCTTGCTGTTAGCATCAGCAGCAAACTTGTCAGCAATAACCACATCAGTGGGTAGAAGTAGGAACACTCCCTTAGCTTTGGCCTTCTCCATAAGTGTATTTGCAAGATCAAGTTTGTCCTCCTCCACAAGGGATGAGCCCACCGAGTGCCCCTGTGCCTTGTAGAAGGTAAATATCATTCCTCCACCCAAGATGAGGATATCAACCTTCTCCAAGAGGGACTCTATCACTCCAATCTTGGTTGAAACCTTTGAGCCACCAACAATTGCAGCAAATGGCTTCTTAGGATTTGCCACAGCTCCAACAAGATAATCAAGTTCCTAAAATCAGATGGTACATCAGCTTTTCTTTTTTTTTTTTTTTTCACAAAAAATAAAAATTGAAAGAATATAACCAGGAATCTAACATACCTTCTGCATCAGAAAACCAGCAACAGAAGGTTTCAAGTATTTAGCTACCCCCTCTGTGGAAGCATGGGCTCTATGAGCAGTGCCAAATGCATCATTCACATAGACATCTGCAAGAGAAGCTAGCTTCTTAGCAAATTCAGGGTCATTCTTCTCCTCCTCCTTGTGGAACCTTACATTCTCAAGGAGCAAAACACCCCCTTCTGGGATCTCAGCCACCAATTTCTCAACTTCCTCACCGATACAATCATTTGCCATCTTAACCTATTACAGAGGATTAATAAAAACTAAGCAACTCAAGTGACCTAAATGGGAACAGAAAAAAAAAAGGAGGGGGGAAGAGAGAGGTATGAAGACAAACCTCAATACCAAGAAGTTCAGATAGCCTAGGCACAAGAGGCTTCAAGCTGTACTTAGGTGTAACACCCTTTGGGCGTCCCTGCAAACAACAATCAGACAAAATAATTATGAAAGTGATCACCAGCAAAAATTGCCACAGAAAATAAATCTTAGCAATCACATATTGATATATTCATTACACAACAGGGCATTCATGACAGACATTCATTTACTTCCATGCTAAGTAGACAGACAAGTGCACAGTATCATTAGTCTAGCTCATGGTCAAACAAACTCTCAACCTTGTCCTTTTACTCGTTTTATACAACAGTACTTGTTTCTTCAGCCTGTCAAACTACAGTAATTTTATCCATCTTGATCAAAATCCCAAAGCAACTTATTCTATAAAGAAAAAAAAAATTAATGCAGGTTTGACAAAAATATAAATCATTTTCTGTGATAATTATTTTATTACAATATTGTCCATCCTATACCTATGAAAGAACTTGGAGAAAATCTTCAACCTGATAAATTAATCTAATTATTAAAAATCTTTATGGACCCATCCTAGGCTCAATTGAATTACTTAATCCTCACAAATTTACCTTTATCTTATTGTCAATTGGTCAATAACAACATTGCTGCAATCATGTAGGAGTTATTGTCTCCAAGTTACTACAATAATAAACTTCAATTGAGGTTGAGAAAAGGAAAGATAACCGTAATATAATTTATTGATGTCATGAATATTGATTGCATAAATTTGATCACCACTCACGACATTGGAAAGAAAACAGAAGTAGAAGTGGAACAAACATTATTCAATACAACAATAAAGCAAGGATCCCATAACATACAAGACAAAGAAAATTAATCATGGCAGAAAAGACAAATGATGATGAAATTACAGCAAAACAGAGAAACTGATAATTCTGAAAAGCTTTCTATGGAAATTCCATGACAGTTACGCATAACCTTATCCACAACCAGAAAGATAATATTGAAAAACGAAGCCATCAATAACAGCTAAAAAACCCCTAAAGATGTTAAGATTCAAAACTTTGTAATACCTTCTTTTTTTTTTTTTCAATCATAGAAACGTTTTGGCACAATAATGAGGCGGAGGTCCTTTTTTTTTTTCCACTTGATATTTCTACTTGATCAATTGACTAGGTGAATATTTATGCCATTTCGAATTACTACCGGAATCCCACCAAACAACTGAGACAGCTGCCCTCTCCCAGAAATGAAAAATGACAGAGTATGGCAGGAATCCATTAGCCATGTCATTTCAATATGTAACAATAGCATCAAGGAAACAAACAATTACTGAAAATATATGACCACAAAGGTAGATCCAAAGAAAGAAGCAGAAAGCTGAACAGATGGGAAATATTGAAATGCAAGCCAAGGACACTGTTGACATCTGAGCACATTAGGAAATAGCAAAAACTCACGGTGAAAATAAATGACGAGTGCATGTAATAAATCATTTCATGTCTAACCTAATAAAAACAGCGAAACAGCACGGTTTGATTGATAGAAGAAAACCACAAACACATATATCAACAAATAAATTTCGGAAACTGAGATAAAAAAAAAAAAAACCATAAAAAACAAAAGATCGCACAACCAGTAGACTACAAAATCTAAACAGAGATGTAGCTATGAATGTAGAGGCACATAACCACCAGCAGAAGCACTGAGAACAGCACAAAAATTAAGGATCGGCCAAGCAAACCCCAACAATTAATCTAAAGGGAAAGATCAATCATCCATTCAATTCAAAAACCCTTTCCAATATAGCATGTAAAAGTAGGAGAAAGCAAAAATATATACCAAGTGGGTGGCAAGAATAACTCTAGCACCGTGATCCCTCAAGTACTTGATGGTGGGGACGGCAGCGCGGATCCTGGTATCATCTGTGATGTTCAAGTTATCATCCAAAGGCACGTTGAGATCCACTCTCACAAACACCCTCTTCCCCTTCAAATCAGCTTCCTTTAGACTGCTCACGCTCTTCTTTGTAGCCATATTTCAACGCAACAAAAATCCCTGCAGGAAAAGGAAAAAAAAAATAATACAGAATAAACGATCATTAAAAACAGCAGCAGATCAGTAAAACAGAGGTGCATAAACAAAAGTAAGTGTAGAAAGTAATGGTGAGAAAAAGATTGGAGCTCACAAGAAGAATCGAAAAGAGAAATGCGGTTGAGATCAAGAAAAGACAAGTTGGATAGTGGAGAAGAATTCAGAAGGTTTGATATATAGGCAGACGAAGATTGGGAGGTGGTTTGGTTTGGTCTTGATTCAACCAATTATTCCTTGAACTGCACAATGGGCTGGAAATGGTGGTTTAATGGGTTGGGTTTGTCTCTGTGGTCCACCTCAAACCTTGGGCGGGCTATTTAGTCCGTGGTTTTTTCTTTTTGTCTTTTGAGGATATGCCAATTAGATTCGCAGCAAAAAATTACTTTAATAACCTTTTAAAGTGCTTTTGTTATACTTTAGTAAGTTGATCGATAGATCGGGAGATAGTTGTACAGCTGAAAAGTATCCTTCTTATCCCACATCGGTTAATTATGGACTTCTTTAGGGAATATAGAATCATGCAAAGCTTGAAACGCGCTAACAGCCATGGATCGGAGTGAACGGGTGATTACAGTTGCACCCAGGAAAGTCCCCGGGCCCGAATGCAGAGATGCATCCCTGGAAACAGGAGCCATTTCGAGTGGAGGTTCACCCGTCTACTGCGGGGATCTGAGACGTGTGTGGAGATCCTTTGAACCTTACGCCGAAATGATTTGGCCGTCAACTCACAGTTATTCACTCTGTCCGCATCGTGGACTAACTGAACGGGGCTTACGATCTCATGGTGTTCCTTTTTGTTTTTACATTGTTATTTTTTAATTAAAATGAGACATCACCCGAAAACTTTTTATAAGAGAATGGCTGCACGCTATTAACTAAATTATCACCCTAAAGCATGCATGCTTTGATAGATTATCATATGGTTTACTTATTCGATGAACAATAATGATTTGGAAAATACTTTTTAAGATGTTTTAAATGTGATGGCTTATTTGTAGCCACAAGAGTAAGTTAGATTTTTTTTTTTTTTTTTAAAGAGACAAAAAATAGTCCACATAAGATTAGTAGAAAAGGGTAGTTTACTTTATCCAATCAAGGAAAAAGTTGTTGAATGAAGAAAATAAATGGAGGCCTCTCATTTCTGTGGCTTAACAAATATGAAGATTCTGTGATGATGTTCTTCGCATATGTCACTTCCCACGCCTTTGGTGTTCAATTCATCACCACATCTTCCATTTTAACTCTGTTATCAACTTCTCATACATGAAATGAATAATGCATTTCAACTCTACCATTGAAAAATACTGGATGGATCCACATCCACCAATTACTTCATAGCACCATTAGAATTTGCATGACATATCAAGAAACTTGCAACTGGGTCATAGAGAGAGAGAGAGAGAGAGGAACCAACAAAAAGAAATAAAACATCCTTTTTCCGTTTTGTGTTTAACAAATTGTTGCATATTAGTTCATTGAACATAAGCCATTAAGCCTTGTATTAGATTATATAAAATAAAACAACGGGAAAAAACTGATAAAAATGAGCCATTTATTAAAAATTCGGATGTCTCTTTTTGTACTTCCTCAATTTTAGCATGAAGAAAACAAAAGGAAAGGTAGAAATGTGACCTAAATTTACAACACGAACTCGTATCTTTCTACAGCTCTTTCTCTCGTTGATAAGCCACGATTAAAACACAAACACTGGGATGAGGAAAAGAAAATTCAAATTAATCTTACACAGCAACTGGTGTGGCTTCATCAAGAGCAAGAACACCTGGAAGCTCTTTTCCTTCTAACAACTCCAAACTGGCACCACCACCAGTTGATATGTGGCTCATAACATCAGCAACTCCTACTTTTTCTACAGCTGCAACAGAATCTCCACCTCCAATAATTGTTGTCACTCCCTTGCCACTGAGCTCTGCTAGCTTCTTTGCAATAGCCTGCAAGCAAAGTGTATTTCTAGTTAACCATTTATCCACCACAAGATGCAGGTAGTATCCATTACTCGCAAGACGGGCAGATATTCTGACATGAAGTTAAATATGGAGTCAAGTTGGTATTTATCAGTGCTTCACAAGATGCAATCTTGCACCATTTTCTTTTCACTTTACAGTTTACCATTAGCAATAGAGTGGATAGGTAACACGAGAAGTTTGGAATAAGGCAGAAACTATGTTGAAACCACTGGCCCAGGTAATTTTTGAAGATGAAGCTTTTACACACTAATGTGCGCAACTATGCATGAGGCTGGAACCAAAATTTTCATTGCATCCAGACTTGGTAGAATGAAATGCTAAAATAAAATCAAGACAAGCAATTATGACATACCTCTGTCCCAACTGCAAACTTGTCAAATTCAAACACTCCCATTGGTCCATTCCAGATGACGGTCTTGGTGGTTTCCAAAGCTTCACTGAATGTCTTAACAGATTCTGGTCCAATATCCAATCCCATCCATCCATCAGGAATGGCTGATGCTGGTACAACCTGCAGTTTGAAAAAAACAGTATTTCACTCTTAACTTGACAGTGGGTGGTACTTTGGAAACAACTGGATTTCAAGCTTGAACAAATGCCAGGATTGAACAATCTTCTGATGAACTTTCACATGAAAGTTTAGACCACAAACCTTACTGTTTGCATCAGGAGCAAACTTGTCTGCAATCACAACATCAGAAGGTAATAAAAGAGAAACTCCTTTTGCCTTTGCCTTCTCAAGAAGAGATGTTGCCAAATTGAGCTTATCCTCCTCAACCAGGGATGAGCCCACTGAGAGTCCTTGTGCCTTGTAAAAAGTGAAAATCATTCCTCCTCCCAAAAGCAGGACATCGACCTTCTCGAGGAGTGATTCAATAACTCCAATCTTGGATGAGACCTTTGAACCACCCACAATGGCAGCGAATGGCCTCTTTGGGTTTGAAACTGCCCCAACAAGGTAGTCCAGCTCCTAAAATAAGATGAGGAAAAATAAATTATAACAAAACCACAGTTTACTGGAAATCGAGGCAAAGGAATTAAAGCTAATTTCACTACAATTTTTCCCAGTTGAACAAAGGATGCGCTCAGCAGAAGCAGGATCTTTTGGTTCTTTTCAAAAACTTGACAGGCCTAAGTATTTCAGTCACAGATTCTGATGTACCAGTCCATATTAATAAGTTAGGCTTGCAGAGATATGAAAAGTTGGCAGTACGAGTGTCAATATGAAAATTTTGTTTTCGAAAGATAGGATTATTATTGACTACTGCACCGTGAGTAGGATAAAAACACTGAATAAATCAGCAATTTCTGTTAACCATCCAAAATAAAGCAAAGATCGCCTGATATGCAAATCACACCAAAAAATTTAGAAAGATTTCAGGAAATGATGCTAAAAGATCACAGAAAAAGTTTTGGAAAGATTTCAGATAACGATGTGAAAAAAGTCAAAAAAACAAAAAACTCACCTTCTGTAAGAGGAAGCCAGCAACAGATGGCTTTAAGAATTTTGTGACTCCCTCAGTTGAAGCATGTGCTCTGTGTGCAGTCCCAAATGCATCATTCACATAGAGATCAGCTAAAGAAGCAAGTTTCTTAGCATGTTCAGGATCATTCTTTTCTTCTTCCTTGTAAAACCTTACGTTCTCAAGGAGCAGAACGCCACCTTCAGGTAGTGAAGCCACCAATTTCTCTACTTCTGGGCCAATGCTATCATCAGCCTTGACAACCTGCTCAATTGGCATATGTTAGTTGTATTCTCCACCTACCAGGCACAGGCATCCTTTAATTCCTTTTTCTCAACCTAAATTTCCTGAAGAAGATATACCTGAATGCCAAGCAGCTCTGATAGACGTGGCACAAGAGGCGCCAAGCTAAACTTTGGAGTGACACCTTTTGGTCGTCCCTGGACATTCATAAAATTTACATTTCAGACCATGGTAAATAGCTTACGAATTCTGATGATCACAGGCTCCTCTTATTTGTTTCATGAACAACAAATGCAGCTTTGACTACTTGCTTTTTCACACCAAATGCAGCCATTAACTGATTTGCTTATGATAACAAGTAATACAGGCCCTGATATGCAATCACCACAGGAAGCTAAAACATGTAACCTTCGCTGAATTCTCTCACCTTTCTACGAATCAATAAACCAACTAGTAATCTATCTTGTTTATCTAGTCAAAATATTCCCAAAGGGTACAGAAAAATAATACCGCAATTCCAGTCTTACTGAACCAAAACTGGAATTTTGATGAACCAGTACTCAGAAGAAAACCAGAAAAATATCAAACTTCCTAATGGACCGAAAGAACAACTTCCACCAAAAAGAATGAAGAAAAAGGACCAAACCTCGAACTTCGCAAAACCCAAAAAAGGAAAATTTGAAATTATTCAATACCCAGAAACTAAAAACATCAAAATCAACAAAGTGCACATACCAAATGAGTAGAAAGAATGACTTTAGCACCATTCTGAATCAAATGCTTAATCGTGGGGATTGCAGCTCTAATTCTAGTGTCATCAGTGATGTTCTGGTTGTCATCCAAAGGCACATTCAAATCAGCCCTCACAAAAACTCTCTTTCCTTTCAAATCCGCTCCCGTCAAATCCCCTACACTCTTCTTTGCCATGGAAACCACTGCCCTCGACGCCTTACCGAACCCAAATGATCTGATTTTTGATGCCACATGGTGAGAAAAAAGGGGGTCAGCAGGTGCAAAGCCAAGGCGGCCGATACTGGCAGCACGCAAACCGGCAGAGGAAACAGGAAGAAGAGAGACGCGGGCCCGGGTGGTGGAGGAGGAGGAGGAGGAGGAGGAGGTAGAAGCAGCGGTTTTGAGAAGGGAAAGGGTAGTGGGCGCCGTAGCAGAGGCCATTACTAGTGGAGTGTATTGAGAGGGAGATGTGTATTGGAGAATTGTATAGACTAAAGGAGAAGCAGATGGAAGGAAAAGCTATATAGAGGTGAAAATGAGTAGGATTTTAAAGAGAGAAAGAGAAAGGAAGGATGTGGACGGGAAGAACGAAGAGAGGAATGAATGGGCAATGTGAGTGGATTTCGGATTTTCTCTTATCGTTGAGGAGAGGTTCAAGATGCTCGATGCTTTTCATATACTAATAACTACAGTACTACTGTTTGTTTAGCCACTTTACTATGCCATTTTTCGTTGTTCATAAACAACCAAAACGGTGTTATTCGCTAATTTTCATTAACCTGAATAATTTGTTACTATTATACAGTAATCTATTTCTTCTATATTTTCAAAACTGTATTTTTTTTAACTTAATTTTTTTAATAATAAAGCTGATAAAATTCGGGTATTTGTTATTTTTAAAAAAATGCTATCTTTTTAAAGAATGGTCAATGGTGAAGAACTTTTACCAAAGAGGTAATTTATATTGATTTTTATAAAGAAAAAAAAATATAAACAGGAAGATTTTCATTATCTATCTTCTTATTGGTTACATTTTAAAGTTGTAAAACCTAAAATTAATTAGTTATTCTATTTTACAAAAATGTGGAGAGTTATAAATCTCGAATTTGAATTCTCTATTATTTTAAAAAATATTGTTTAATGTCATTTAAAAAAAATTTATTAACATATTTTAAACCGACGATAAAACGTGAAGGTATACAAGTGTTATAGAAGTATTTTTTTCTTTTTTTTTTTTTTATGGTTAGGGTACTAGAAAAAACTTATGTAAAATAAATCTTTTAAGGTTAAGAGATGATTTAAATCAATGACATTTAAACACTATGTGGGTATATCTAATTCTTTTGCTTTGTTGAAAATAGCCAAAATTTATGACATTAACAAATTTTTCATAATATCGATTTCGCGATTTTTAACGAGAGAAATCTCACCTTATATATATATGTGAATTTTTCTCAATTTTATTTTTTTTTAATTATATAAAATTCATAAATTTCTCAAATTCATGAAAATATATAGGTGAATTTTTCTCGATTCATCCTTTTTTATATATAAAATCTTTCACAATATCTATGAAAAAATTCATATATAGGTGAATTTATGAAATATTAAATTCATAATAGCATTGTCTAAAAAAAAAAAAAAATCATAGTGACATAATTCTATTGTTAGTTACGAGATATCTCATCTAAGAGATGATACTCTATCAATTATATTATTTTATAATATTGATATAATTTAATACATAAAATTTACCATTCAAATCCATGAATTTTATTTTTCAACCAACCAATTGAATATGAAATTTTATAGATTTCACAATTATTGGATTTTATAGATTATCAATCTTGTGAAATTCATAGACTTTATTTTATTAATCCACAAAACTACTTACTTTATTTTATTTGGTTGAAGAAAAATATAAAATTAACAAATTACGGGTTTGTTCGGTAAAATTAGCTATTTTGTTAGCTATTAATTGTTTTAATAGTGTTTAGCTATTAGCTGTTTGAGTAGCTGTTTTGATAGCTATTTGAATAGCGTTTCATGAAACGCATGGGTTTATTTTTTTATAAAACGCTATCCTAATCTTTAAAAGTTAATGCAAGCTTTATGTTATCGAACAATTTTTTAAATAACGTTTTAGAGTTTTGACCGGTCAAAACTTTAAAAACTACTCAAAAAGTTGTTGTCAAATATTATTGTCTCAATTTCACAATTTAAAAAAAAAAAAGAGAGAAATTTCACATTACTAATGAAATTTTCTTAATATAGTCATTTTCATTGATAATGAAATTTAAATTATATAATTTTATTTATAATTTGTCTTCAAATCAATAGATTATGAATTTTATAATCTATAGATTTTACATTACATAAGAATCATATATTTTATATTTTATCAGTAATCAAAAAATTTATCAATGTTATATTCTAAAAGTATAAAGTTTTCTCCTATGGCATGTGAATTTTTTAAGGAAGCTTCTCGTCCGGCGACGAATCCTTTCAAAAGTATTGTTATCGGTTTCCGATATAAACAGTATCCTCTGTATCGAGGCAACACAATTACCAATTCATAATTGCGGACGTGCGGAGCAGTTCTTTATTGTCGTCGAACAACTTTCTAAATACTGACTCAAAAATCTGGAGTTTCTGATTACTTTCTTTTTTCTTTAGTAACTGATAGAGTTTCTGATAGCTTTAGTGTCAGGCTACCATGGTTATTTCGTTCCTGGATCCAATTCCTTCTCGTTCTTCGCACCTTAATACTTTCTCGCACCTTTTATCTTCTCCTCAGCTGTTTTCCAGTCAATTTTCCTTTGTTTCCCTCCAAATATCCCGTTATAAGAAAATCAGACTCACTCCGAGAGCTCTACGAGAATGGCGTGAGTATGAGGACGCAGTCAAGCGAAAGGACCTGGCTACAGCTCTTAGGTTCTTGAAATCCGTAGAAATCAATAAGAATAAGGATAATACTGCTGAGAAGGTTAATGGGTCTGTATTGACTGGGCCGATTGAGTCTGGTATTAGTGATTTGGGGTTGTTTGACGGTTCACAGAGGGATTGGGAGGTTTTGGACACTTGTTTGAACGCTGACGATATGAGGCTTGTGGGCAGTGCGTATGGGTTCCTTAAGAACAGAGGTTTCTTGCCCAATTTCGGAAAATTCAGCAACATTGGTAAATTCACTTTCGTGTATATTTAGTATGAAAGCTTATTCGTTTTTGGTGCTAAAATCTTTTCCCCCAGTCATTTGGTTTTTTTTTTTTTTTCGCTGCCATTTGCTGATAAAACAGCTTAATGAATTTGCACAACTTATTGAACTAACTGTTTGGTTGTAACATAGATCATTTTAGGGGTTCATACCAGGTGGAAACAGGAGAGAGGATGCAATATTGTATCAGTGGGAATTAGGGTAGCAACTAAGTTTAATGATCCTTAGCTCATGTCTTAGAAGTGATCATTATATATATATACACCTAATGATTAACCTCCTCTCCCACTGTCTTTCCGGTGACTTATTTGAAATGAAACAGTACTTTAACTCTTTTTGAGTTTTTTCCCCATGTGTTTCTGATGCAGTGTTGGAGGGACCTAGAGATGTGACACCGACTGTCTTCAAGTCTTCAACTGGTTTAGAAGGTGCTCATATTTAAGATACTTTTTTCGTTGCTATTTCAGATTCATGCTTTCTTTTCTTGTGTTGCATTGAATTTATGGGTTGTTATTTGATGCCATTGTGGTTTGTTGGAAGCATATGAGTATGATATCACACCAAAGTATGTCTAATTTTTCCCATTCCGTTATCCAGTGTCTAAATTTGCTCCAAAGAAGTGGGGTCTTTCAGGAAGTTCAAGTTTTGTTTTGGTTGCTTTTCTGGGCGGAGCTTCTTTTCTTCTTTCACAAGGGATTGATATCAGACCTAACCTTGCAGCAATATTAGGACTAGCCTTTATGGACTCTATTTTCCTTGGTGGTACTTGTCTTGCTCAAATCTCAAGTTACTGGCCTCCATACAAGCGTCGAATTTTAGTTCATGAAGCAGGTCATCTTCTGGTAGGTATGTACATTGTTGCTTGATTTAGATATTCAAGGATGACAACTTCTTCCTCAGGAAATAAAAAAATAAAAACAGTATAAAGATGGCTGTGGAAACTTTAATGCAAACTATGCAAGTAGCAGAGCATATCAAGTCAAATGTGGAAATCTGTTTTTGCACATTTGGTGATGCCTTCTTTTGTCTTTTAACTTATGAGGCTCTTCAATTACTCATGACCATATCAACAGTCTAGCAAGTAGTAAATGTCTTGTCCGATACCAGCATATGTACGTAAGTATCAAATTCATTTTGCAGCATACCTCATGGGTTGCCCAATTCGTGGTGTGATTTTAGACCCAATTGTTGCAATGCAAATGGGCATTCAAGGCCAGGTACTCCTGCTTCCTTTATTTGGCACTTTAATTTCCTACATAACGACTCTTGGAAATTGCTGAAACCTTGAAGGTTAGGAAATCCAACTTTTATTTGGGTGACAGTCTAGAAGTACTGCAGGTTGCACCATTCAAAGTTCTTGTTAAATGTTTAGGTGATGGTTTGAAGAAAATAAGTTGGTAGATCTGCCATTCTCATGTTGTGTGCTTAGACTTCATTTTGTTAATTTTTTTTTTAAGTCTGACCCTTTATCTTTGTTGATACACTCTTAGAGCAGTTATATTATGATCTTATGGTAAAACTTCAGTATCATATGGCATTTTTAAATGGAAAGAGGAACTCATAATTATCACCTTCCTTTAGGCAGGAACTCAGTTTTGGGATGAAAAGATGAATAAGGAGCTTGCTGAAGGACAACTGAGTGGTGGTACCTTTGACAGGTGAGTCTGAAGTGAAATCCTGTTTGAGGCTTGTTGGTTGGCCATACATAGATAGTCAAGTGCCTAGTTTTCTTAATGGATGGTGATCAGAAGGATGATTGACAACACCTCACTTCCCCTGTGTCTATGAGTGACTGAAGGCATTACCATATACCTCAGTCAGAAAAATGTCGTATATTGACTATTATTCTCTGATGCGAGTTTTCCATGATGCTTTGCATGATATGATTGTCAGGTACTGCATGGTGCTTTTTGCTGGCATTGCAGCTGAAGCTCTTGTTTACGGTGAGGCAGAGGGTGGAGAAAATGATGAAAATCTATTTAGGAGCATCTCTGTTCTTTTGCAACCCCCATTATCCGTAGCCCAGGTACTTCCTCCTGGAATCATACTTGATTTGATGTTAATCAGGAATACATGCTAAATTTTGTGCGTTTCTTTGGTACCATGTGTAGATGTCAAATCAAGCAAGGTGGTCAGTACTACAGGCTTACAATTTACTAAAATGGCAGAAGCATGCTCATCGGGCTGCTGTTAAAGCTCTAGAAAGCGGTAGCAGTTTAAGTGTTGTAATTAGGAGAATTGAGGAAGCCATGTCTTCTGGTACTTGAAATGAAAATCTTGGGAAGTGGCAGTTTTCTATCTCCTTGTCGCATAGAAGAAGGTGAAACACTCGGGGTCGTTGGAGAGATTGACATGAAGCAGGACAAGATGCGGTTGACAATTTTGTGTCGTGGTGGTGGGAGTATACCTAGTTGCTCCTCCTCCTCCTCCTCCACCACTCCACTCCACTCCAGTCGAATATTATAACAGTGTGTTAAATTGCTGAGCTCAGTAGCGTGCTTGGGCCTCCAAGTGTTGGGACATTGAGTTAACCTGCTGGATCCGATTGGATAATCTCGGGCTCTATTGGGTTCCCAATATTGTATACTCTCGATTGTATAAATTTTTAAGAAAATTTTGTAAGTTCTTTTTTCGTCACAAGAAAATAGTATAGGAATTGTCAAAGGTTATTAATTTTTTTTATTTTAATTAAAGTTAATAACTCAAAAGATTATTAACAGCTTAAATTAACTTTTTTTTTATTACTTTCCTCTGAATGATAAAATTGATAAGCTAATAAAAATCACTTGATTCAATTAGAGCTACGGTAAATTAAATAGCTTAAAATTCAAATAAAATTAAATTAAAAAGATTAAAAATTAAATAGTATAAAATTCAAATAAAATTATGTAAGGACTATAAAGCTAATTTGTAAAATTCGATTGTTTTGAGGTGAGAATGAATCTAAAATATGTTTTTTTTTTTTTTTCCCAGGACAAAAAAGGTTTATTTATTAGTAAATGATTTCTGTTTTGAAAAAAAAAAAAAAAAAAAAAATAAAAGCTGAATTTTAGTAATAAAGATTCGAATATGTTTTGAGGTGAGAATGAATCTAAAATATGTTTTGTTTTTTTTTTCCACTCAGGAAACAATAATAATAGGTTTATTAATTAGTATAATGATTTCTGTTTTTTTGAAAATAAAAAAAAAAAAAAAAAAAAAAACCAGTTATAGTAAGTCTTGCTCAACTTATAGCATAAACCTCAAAAAACTCCCAGGAGCGAGATCGCCGGAGCTTAGGAACGCCAGGAAGCACCAGCGTCGGGAAGAGGAAGACAATTGTCCGTGGGGGCATTGAATGCTCTTGTTTTGAGGTACTTGCTCAGGCTTTGAGACAGAACAAAACACTTTACTTTGTTCTTCTTACAAGACAAAAAAAAAAAAAAAAAAAAAACAGTTATAGTAGTCTTGCTCAACTTATAGATAAACCTCAAAAACCCCAGGAGCGAGAGGCCGGGAGCAGGAGCAGAAGCACAGCGTGGAAGAGGAAGACAATGTCCGTGGGGGCATGAATGCTCTTGTTTGAGCTGCTCAGGCTTGAGACAGAACACTTTACTTGTTCTTCAAAACTTCACAAATTTGCTAATGTCGTCATAATTGCGTAAAACCCAAAGAATGAACCTGCCAATCCCACACAAACAGAATCCACTTCTCAAGCCTTCAACACTACTAGTCCAAACCACTCAAAGTTCCCTTATATTACGATTTCCCCCAAGCTGCAGACCCACAATTTCCCCGAGGAAACCCGTTTTTAGAATCCGTTCCTCTGTAAATCCAAATGAATCTGATGGATTTTCTTGGCCAAAGCTGTCTCGGGCAGTTCAGCTCGGGTCCCAGCGGTTTCTGCTGAAACTCGGCGAGTCAGTGAAGAGAGAAACTGCGTTCGACGTGGAAGGGGTTATAAGTGAATCAGTGGAGAGTGTTAAGGATCAAGTCAAGAATGGTCAAGCAGAGTTTACTAGGTTTAGGACCGAGCTTTTGCCTGAGTTTCTTGATTGGAATAGGTGGGAGCGATGGAAGGTAATTTTTTTTGTTCCTTTCTTTTGGTTTAATTTGAGACCGCTTTGCTTGATTCTACGTTTGGTTTCACAGAAACAGTAGGGAAATTATAGGACAAAAATATTATTCTTCACGTTCCGTTCTCATTTCATTGAACAACCGGAATTTGGTTCAATTTAACTGCTGTTTGTTTCATGTAATGCTTATTCTATCTGTAATGTTCCGTACCTGAGCACCTCCCAGACTGAATGGAAGCAACTCCTGACCAAAAAGTCGGTCAATGGTTTTTATGAAGTGTTTGCTTTGTACCTTTCTTCTTCCAAGCTATTGAAGCATAACGTGATGCTCATGCTCGTTGTTCTTGTGTGTTGTAGCTGTTCTGTTTATATAACTTATGATCTGGTGATTCCCATAATATTATTTCCTAGTATACTTCTGAAGAGGCAAATTTTAATACTTCACAAATGGAATTGTCACCTAATTTTGTCGTGAATATAGATACATAATATTGGACCCAAAAATTTTCGCCTTTTCCTTATGTTAGATGCATGCAGGAAGGTACATTTTGAAATGTTTTACATTTTTCCTGTCAATTCTCTTTATTCTTATCTTCCACTTCTAGTAACTAATTCGCACTAAGGGCAAAGAACTTCTAAGCAAGGATTGGAATGAAACTGGACTGTCAATAAGAAACCAAATTAGAGTAGATGTAGCCTATTTTGGTTTTTGTCTTGTTACGTTGTGTTATAAACGTTCATTGGAAAACTGAACCATGATACAGCATTTTCTGTTCTCAGGACTTCAAGAATTGGGAGCCTAAAAGAGTTGGTGTACTATTTCTCTATGCTTTTGTCATGGCGTTTTCTTGTCAAAGGATTTATGTTGCTATTCGAGCTCCTTACCTAGATCGAGAAAGAAGAGAGTTAACAGAGGCTTATATGGAGGCACTGATTCCTGAGCCATCTCCTATTAATGTCAAAAAGTAGGTAACGTCTCCCATTTTTTTGCAATATATTCTGTTGGCGCTCTTTATTGTTTATTTGGCAATATCTTGCCTTTAGTTCTTGTTGATTGCTGTCTAGAAATAAAGTTTAGAGTTGCCTCCTTAAATGGTTTCACAGTTTTAGGATGCTTTCTTTGTCAACACGTCTGTTGCTAATATTTTTTATGAAGCTATCCATATGCTCTGTACTTATTTCCTTTGATTTGACTTAAACTCAAGCAATAGTTCTGAAGTAATCATGAAAGACAAACTTGAAGGTCTGGGATCCTGGGGACTCCCTATATCCACTGCCATCAATATGTTGAGAACATCATTGACAATACATATGTGGCACTAGGAATGTCTTAAAGTGGGTGACTGATGGAGATCCGATGATATTAATTTAGTGGGGCCATGCCATCCCATATTCAACAGTAATATATTTTTTGATAGAAAGGCTTTGACTATTTTATCTTGTACATAAGTAGAAAAATTATTTTATAATGAATGAGCATTTTTTTAGACTAGATTAAGTAATAATTTTACAATAATGAGTGTAACTTATTTTCAATAGTATAACTTCCATATTCTTTGTAAATGTAGGTTTAAGAAGAGTATGTGGAGGAAGGTAATGCCCAAAGGCTTGAAAATGAAGAAGTTTGTTGAAGGACCTGATGGGACACTAATCCGTGATACTTCCTATGTCGGAGAAGATGCATGGGATGATGATCCAGTGCCTCCTCAGGAGAATGTGAAACAAATTATTGACAAGGATATGGGATTGAGTGCAGAAGAAAAGAAAGAATTGAAGGAAGACTTGGGCATTTCAGGTTGGTTAACAATTATGTGTGTTTGAATTTGTCTTCCTTTTGAAAACTGATATGTAGTTGAAGGAAGTGCTAAACACTTCTCCCTGTGTAACATACCTGGTCTGCTAAAAATAGTTTTGCAAAGCTCCATAGAGAGCTTAGAAGCTAGATCCACTAGTGAGGAAGGGTAACAGGTTCGAGTAGAAGGGATAAGAGGGGCATAAGACAATTCAGCTTGTAGATGGAGAATATGGCCCTTTGATAGTGTTTGGAATTGAGGAAACAAGGCTCCATTACTTGAGTTTTGGGGAACTCTTAGCTGAATTAATTTGGAGAGGGATTTAACTTATGCTGTAGATGTTTATAGTTGCTTTGATGCCATCTTCATGTTGGCGTTTTTTTTGTACTTGTTTGACAGGTGAAGTCCAAGAAAATGAAGGAACTTGGCGTGGAAGGCTGCAGACATGGAGGGAGATACTGAGAAAGGATAAGTTAGCAGAGCAATTAGATGCCTCAAACGCCAAGTATGTAGTTGAATTTGACATGAAAGAGGTTGAAAATAGTCTTCGTAAGGATGTAGTGGAAAAAGTCACGGACACACAGGGGGCCAGGGCTTTATGGATATCCAAGAGGTGGTGGCGTTATCGTCCTAAACTGCCATACACTTATTTTCTTCAAAAGCTTGATTGCTCTGAGGTAATTTCTCTTGTCTTTCTATGAGTAAATTAATCTGTTTCAGTTTCTTTTGAGTGATGCTAATTTGAAGTTTATCAGATTGATTTTTTTTTTTTTTTTTTTTTTTTTTTTTTTTTTTTTTTCTTATGAGTAAATAAATCTGTTTCCCAGTTCTTTTGAGTGATTCGCTAAATTGAATGTTTATCAGATTTCTGATTTTTTTTTTTTTTTTCTTTTTTTCTTTTTTTTTTCTTTTGGAATATTTCATATTCGAGCTGCAGTCTGGTGCTGATACATATGTTCACAGCGGATGAAAATTTTTACTTTTGATTTTTGGGGAAAAAAAAATAAAATTCCTAAGAAAAATTTTAAAACTCTTTACTCTCTAGAGACCCATAACGTTCAACCATATAAAGGGATAAGCCATGATAATAGAGCAATCATAAACATAATCATGATCTCCTGCATACTGAAAAATGTTGCTAGCAAGTTAAAACTTAATGCAGCATATGAGTGTAACACGTTAATCTAAAATATTAATAGACTGGCTTTGGGACCTCTGAAATGCTGTGGGATCTGTAAATCTTAACTTTTTTTTTTTTTTTTTTTTTTTTTTTTTTTTTTTTTTTTGAATATTTCATATTCGAGTGCATCTGGTGCTGATACATATGTTCACACGGATGAAAATTTTCTTTTGATTTTTTGGGAAAAAAAAAATAATCCTAAGAAATTTAAAATATACTCTCTAGAGACCATAAGTCAACCATATAAAGGAAAGCCATGAAAAGAGCCAATCACAACATAATCATGACCTGGCATACTGAAAATGTTGCTAGCAAGTAAAACTTAATGCAGATGTGTAACACTTAATCTAAACATTAATAGACTGGCTGGCTCTGATGCTGTGGGATCTGTTCTAACAGGTAGCTGCTGTTGTCTTCACAGAGGACCTGAAAAGACTGTATGTAACGATGAAAGAGGGTTTTCCATTAGAATATGTTGTAAGTCTAAAGTTTCATTTTTGCTAGTTGCAAACTTAACTAATTGTGTTCTTGTCTCAGAAGTGCTGTTTATTTGCATTTGATAGGTTGATATTCCTCTTGATCCATTCTTGTTTGAGGCAATCTCAAGTTCTGGAGTTGAAGTAGATCTTCTTCAGAAGCGTCAAATCCATTATTTTTTGAAAGTTGTGATTGCTTTGTTGCCTGGATTACTAATTCTTTGGCTTATAAGGGAATCTGTGATGTTATTGCACATTACTTCCAATCGTTTTCTTTACAAGAAGTATAATCAATTATTCGATATGGCATACGCTGAAAATTTTATCCTGGTATTGCTATAATTCCTCTCTGTGCATCTTAAGTTTTTTTCTTCTTATTTATACTGTCCTCTGATTATCTCTATGTACTCATTCAGCCAGTTGGAGACGTTGGTGAAACAAAATCAATGCATAAAGAAGTGGTACTTGGGGGCGATGTCTGGGATCTTCTTGATGAAATAATGATTTATATGGGAAATCCCATGCAATACTATGAAAGAGGGGTGAAGTTTGTTCGGGTAATTGCTAGTAGTTTTATAATAGGAAAGCAGCGTTTTTTTCTATTAAAATCTTTAGCGATGTAACAAAACACGAAGTGCATCATTGTTATTTGCATGTCAGGGCGTTCTTCTCTCGGGGCCTCCTGGAACAGGAAAGACACTTTTTGCACGGACGCTTGCTAAGGAAAGTGGATTGCCTTTTGTTTTTGCTTCTGGTGCAGAGTTTACAGACAGTGAAAAAAGTGGTGCAGCGAGGATCAATGAGATGTTTTCCATTGCTAGAAGAAATGTACGTGTGTGCTCATTTTTTATTTGCAAATGCCTTTATGAGTAGTTTTTTTTTTCTTGTAAATTTGTCAAACCATATTCATTGTGGCCATGATGAACAACTAGATAATTTAGTTGCCCTGTTCCAAAATATTTGATATTTTATATTTTTGTAGGTTTTGATTCTTCTGGAAGTTCATTGTTTTTTATTTCTTTTTCTCTTTAATTTATTCTCCTGATGCTGCAATATGATCAACAAAATCTCTAGGAAGGTACAAATCTTTGTTACACTCTCTGTGCAGGCTCCTTGTTTTGTGTTTGTGGATGAAATTGATGCCATTGCTGGAAGGCATGCAAGGAAGGACCCACGAAGAAGGGCAACATTTGAGGCTTTGATTGCACAACTTGATGGAGAGTGAGTATATTCGTTTACGATCCTCCGTATGAGTTGATTTTCCCTGTATTATTGTGGATCCTAAATTTTCTCAAGAACACATTGTAAATGAAGCTTACATGTATTGTCATGGTGTCATTTTATTTCATCATGCGGGATTTCTTTTTTACTGAATTTATTTATTTGTGAATTGAGATTCACATTGAGCATTATTTGATATAGGAAGGACAAAACTGGTGTAGATCGGTTTTCTCTTAGACAAGCTGTGATATTCCTTTGTGCTACCAATAGACCAGATGAATTGGATCTGGAGTTTGTTCGTCCTGGGCGCATTGACCGTCGATTGTACATTGGCTTGCCTGATGCAAAGCAAAGAGTGGAAATTTTTGGTGTACATAGTACAGGGAAGCAACTTGGAGATGATGTTGACTTCGGAAAGGTAAGTGGTTTGTGCTTTATTGCTCTTTGTTATCCTCATCTAGTACCAGTGTGTAGAAATCACCACCTTAATCCTCTTTTCTTCCCTTTTTCCTGCTTACATCTCTCAAGGATGTTTGGTCCATTAATTCTTTCAGTTATGCATTTTTCTCCAAAATATTGGGGGTTGATGAACTCTTTCAGCCTGTTTTTCGTAATCTCTTGCTCTTGTATGGCCTATCTGTGAAATATTGAATTTATTAACCAAATTACGGTCAGATCTACTAAATACTCTGCTATATACATTTGATGTTTCTCGTTTGGATTTTGATTGCATGGATATAAATTTGACTTACTATCATTCTTCTACCTTTCTTTCTGCAGCTTGTCTTTCGTACTGTTGGCTTCTCTGGGGCAGATATTCGTAATCTTGTTAATGAAGCTGCAATCATGTCTGTAAGTTTATTCTTGTTGATGAAATTACAATCATATCTGCAAGTTCAGTTTTTCTTTCTTATTGTTTTAATAAAAAAAAACATCTGCGAGTTGACATTTAACATCTATGAGTTTCCAACTATGCCTCAAAGTGGATGAGACTGTGGTGGAAGAGCCAATTTCTTTTGATATTCCCTTTCTCTGAAAGCTTATATTTAGGTTGACGTGCTCTCTTCTTTATTCTTCCTCTCTGCTGGGATTCTACTTCAAAGGCGGCAATGCCTAATTTATTAAATCTAACCTTTTGGTTTCATCAATATCTAAGTATTTAAATCAACCTAATTTACTGCTAAGCCCAGTAGCTCATTTCTTGCAGTGGCTACATCAATGACCAAAAAAGTGTTTGGCATTAGACCATATTAACACCAGAGTGGTTTTGAAAGTAGTTTTCTTATGCTGTTACAATAAGTCTGGCTCTTCTCGCCCATGTCCTCTTATTTAAATCAAAAGAAAAAGAGACGAATATATAGGAGCTGAATAGATGTGATAGTGGGTATTGCACAATTAGTGTGCAACTGCAACTACCACTATGCTTATGTAACAGGTTGTGAACGATGCTCTTCCTTTGGGGTTAGACTGTTGTTCTTTCTTTGCTTTCTAATGCATTAAAGCAGTTAGATGTGTTGAGGGTTCCTTAAACTCCCTTGCAATTTGAAAATGTAGGAGATGAATAGACGTGATAGTGGGTTACCACTAGGTCTTATAGTAAACCACGTTGTGAATGGTGCTCTTACTTTGAGGTTAGACTAGGGTTTGTTCTTTATTTGCTTTCTTATGCATTAAGCAGTAGACATGTTCAGGGACTTCTTAAATTCCCTTGCAATTTGGAAAGATATTTTAATTCTTGATGCAGGTAAGGAAAGGGCATTCCAGGATCTACCAGGAAGACATTGTTGATGTTCTAGATAAACAGTTGCTTGAGGGTATGGGCGTGCTTCTTACAGAAGAAGAACAGCAGAAATGTGAAGAAAGTGTAAGTCTCTCTTTTGTTCTTCAGTTGTTTTTATATGACGTAACTTTGTATTTTAAAAATCTAATTATATAGCTTGCGTGTTTACATATTAGGTGTCATCTGAAAAGAAGAGACTTCTGGCGATTCATGAAGCTGGTCACATATTATTAGCTCACTTGTTTCCACGCTTTGATTGGCATGCATTTTCTCAACTGCTGCCTGGTGGCAAGGTCTATAGTTTGTTCTGGAGCTGGGTTTGTAAATTGTAATGGATGCTATTGAATTTTGGCAATTCCGATTAACAGTTTTTCCTTTTGGCACTTCCTTCTTCCATGAGCAGGAAACTGCAATATCTGTGTTCTATCCCAGAGAAGATATGATAGACCAAGGCTATACAACCTTTGGCTACATGAAGATGCAAATGGTGGTAGCTCATGGTGGTCGTTGTGCTGAACGTCTTGTGTTTGGTGATGACATTACTGATGGAGGTAGTGATGATCTTGAAAAGATAACAAAGGTAATTGCATTACAAAGTGTATTTATTTGTATAAGATGGTTTTGGCCTGTTCTCAGCCTGATAACCTGCCTAATAATCTACACACACCTCAATGTAGTTGATTGGCTAAAATATATCAGGTATAGCTATTACAAAAACGGAAGAAAACAAGAAAAGAAACACTGGTCAAATATAAGTAATATATTTTGGATATTTCACATTCCATGGAAAAATATAGGTATCATTCATCATCAATGGTGGGCATCGTGGTTCAAAATTGCATCCCTTGTCTCACCTTAACTTGTTTTTCCAGATTGCTAGGGAGATGGTAATCAGCCCTCAAAATGCAAGGTTGGGCCTTACTTCTCTGACAAAAAGAGTTGGACTAATGGATCGACCAGATAGCCCAGATAGTGGGTTGATAAAGTATAAGGCATGTTTTTTTTTTTCCTTAAAAAATTCTTTTACTGGGTCCCGTATAGAGTTATGCTGCAGATTCTCATTATATTTTTCTGCAACTTGTTTCTTCATAATGTTAGTGGGATGATCCTCATGTAATCCCTGCGAACATGACACTTGAAGTATCTGAGCTGTTTACACGAGAGTTGACAAGGGTAAGTTTGCATGGACTCTCTATCCACTCTGTCAATATAACCTTTTGGGCTATGCTTACACTTTGTTTTTGCTGTAATATTGAGACTGCTTTCTCGGTGGCAGTACATTGAAGAGACAGAAGAACTTGCATTGAAAGGACTGAGGAACAATATGCACATACTGGATGTGATTACCAAGGAACTGTTGGAGAAGTCAAGGATAACTGGATTGGTATATTATATCATAACTCAAGTGCATGTGTTTGTTTGGAGAATGCAATTTAACATGATGAAATATAGTCAAATAAAACAGCATATACTAATGAACTAAAATCTTTGCTTCATTATGTTATATAAATTACTTTTATTGCATTTACAAAACTCATATTAAGTTTATATACTTTCTGATTCATGGATTTTACGACAAAATATTACATTTTAATAAAATATTGAATTATGTCTTCACTAGGCCATGTTTATTTGATACATCTATTATAAAATATTAACTGTATGATCTCCACAATATCTAGTACACGCGGTGGAATTCCCTAACATCTGAGTCGCTGCCCCAATCCATTTAGTGACTTAGGTCATTGCTCTTGTAAATTAAAACTGCTAGGGATCTTTTGAGATCTTTTTTAAACCTGATTTAGGTGTCTAAATGATTACTTTCCAGGTCACTGATTGAATTCTTGTTGTTGTGGTGTTATGTCACATCGAATCAATGGATTAATGACACAATTCCACTATGATGCTTTCTTTTTTATTTTATTTTTATTTTTTTTCAATTTTTTTGGCTGAAAGAGGGATCATGTAACTATTAGTTTGTAATCTTGAAATGTTTCCAGGAAGTAGAGGAGATAATGAAGGGACTTTCTCCAACAATGTTTGAAGATTTTGTAAAGCCTTTCCAGATAAACTTAAAAGAGGTACTTCTGTTTTTATTCTGGTAGCTATCACACAGATCTTTTTCGCACAGATCAGATGCGTATGCACACCCTTGTTCAATCCCTATGCCCTCTGCCCTCTCATTCTTCAAGAATTAGATTTTTTTTTTTCTCCAATTTGAATTGATTTGAATTCATATTTTAATGATTAGTTATAATTTGTTTTTGGTGTTAAATTTGTTAGGAGGAACCATTGCCTCACAATGACAAGTTGCGATATCAACCATTGGATGTACATCCTGCGCCCCTTCACCGATGACAGATTATGATATCATCTATGGAACATATATTATACACTATTCCTTTAGTGTAGAAGCTCCTTGGACTTGGATGCTATAACCTCGGTCTTATCCATGGTAATGTTGCAACTTATACATCAACAACTTCTTGAAGCTACCAGAGTCCATTAGTGGGCGAGGCATGAATTTGATTATTAATGGTGAGAAAATGTCCAAGCAAGGAAGTTCATAGGCAGGCTACACTTGATTTGTGTAAGGCCTTGCAATGGGGTTTATCTGCAATGAATTTGGCATGGGAGGAAAATCTTTTGCAACAAGCATGGCTTTGAATCTAGTAATGGAATTTAAAAGCATGCTGACATTTTTCTCAATCACTTGGTCGCTATTGCTGACATTAAGGAACATAATGTTGTTTTGAGATGATCCAGTCATAAATGTATACAAGTAAAATTTTTAAAATGTAAAAGAATTTTGGAGCACTCAAAGATTTTAATAAATCTGAGGGTCTTTTCATTTTATTTTTATTTTAACAGCTTGATTACATTCCTTGAAAAACCATCAGGTTGAAAAAATAGTATCTAGTTTTCTAGTCTGACATGACAACGCAAAAACTCTCATGACCAAATAATAATCTGCAAGCATGTAGCCCCAGGAAACTACAAATGCATGGTTGCTCGGGATGGAAATCAAACCCATGAACGATTTTGCAGAAATAAATTTCCCAGTATGCATGTGCATAACTTCCGATTTAAAGCTTGCTGGATGGAACCCCTACGGGTGATGCTCTGGATCTCTTTTCGACAGTTTGAGAAAGCTGCTTGACTCCCTCTTTCGGAAGATGGCGAGGCCGGCTCAACCAAAGTCCTCCATCAACAATTACAGTGGTTCCATTGACATATTTACCTTCAAAAGTTATATAAACCACTGAGTTCCTTTCAAAGATGGTAAACTTGTTAAAAGGCAAGTTAGGAAGGTTCACTAAATAATACCCTAAACATATACTTGATATTGACAATAGCAATATGTAAGGTAGGAATTTTGAAATTAAACAACCAGGTGAGTAAGTTTTGCTAACCAGCATCAGAAGCAAGGAAGAGAGCAGCCATTGCAATGTCCCATTTCTCCCCTAGTTTATAAAGAGGCATGTATTCTCTTGCTTTGCTATTAAGCTCCTGGGGTGAAAGTTTACTCATGCCAGGGGTATCAGCAATGGGACCTGGAGCAATCCCATTCACTCTAATATCATAGTCAGTGCCCCACTCCAAGGCCAGGTTCCGACCAATAGCATCAACAGCTGCCTGTTTTAAAAATGACATTGTAAAAAATCTCAGCTTGATATCCAAATATCATACAATGCAACTGCTAAAACATGTTACAAACCTTTGCAGCAGATACATGTATCTGATACCAAGCAGCTGTATAATGCAAAGTAGCACTTATGTTCAAAATTGTTCCACCGCCCGAAGAGCTTCGTCCAAGTCCTCCTTTCTTCAGATACTTGAGGGCTTCATGGCACATTGTGTAGGTGCCAACAGCGTCAATATCAATAACTGCAAAGCATAGTTAAAAACAATAGCATTTAGGTTAAAGCCTGGCAGAGTCCGTACATAATTTTCCTAGCTAACAACTTCTGATTTAAAAAAAAAAAAAAAAAAAAAAAAAAAAATCGACAGTTGAGAAAGCTGACGTTTTGACTCCCTCTTTCGGAAGATGGCGAGGCCGGCTCAACCAACAGTCTCCTCCATCAACAATTACAGTGTTATCCATTGACTGATATTTACCTTTCAATAAGTAATATATAATACCACTGAGTCCTTATCATAAGAGGTAAACTTAGTTTTAAAAGGCAAGTAGGAAGATTCACTAAATAATAACTAAACATATACTTGATATATTGACAATAAGCAGATATGTAAGGTAGGATTTTGAAATTAAACACCAGGTGAGTAAGTTTTGCTAACCAGCATCAAGAAGCAAAGGAAGAAGAGAGCCATTGCAAGTCCCATTTCTCCCCTAGCTTTATAAAAAGAGGCATGTATTCTCTGCTTTTTGCCTAATTAAGCTCCTGGCGGTGGTAAAGTAAATTACTTCATGGCCAGGAGGTTATCAGGCGAAATGGGATCCTGGAAGGGCCCCAGGAATCCCTTAACAGCTCCTCAGATATATCATCTAGATCCATCAGTATTCGCCAAACACTACACACTCCAAGGCCAGGTTTATGAACCGAACCAAATAGCATCAACAGCTGGCCATGTTATTAAAATAATGACATTTGTTAAAAATACCTTCAGCTTTGATCATCCAAATATCATACAATGCAACTAGTTTAAAAACATTGTTACAACACCTTTGCCAGACAGAAATACATGTATCTAGATACAAGCAGCTGTATAATGCAAAGTAGTCACCTTAATGATTCAAAAGAAATTGTTACCCACCGCACCGAGAGAAGCTTCGTTCCAAGTCCTTCCTTCTTCAACGATACTATGAGGGCTTCAATAAGGCACTATTGGTGTATGTAGTGCCCACAAGACTTTTCAATTATCAATAACTGCAATAGCATTAGTTAAAACAATAGCATTTAGCGTCAAAGCCTGGCCAGAGTCCGTACATACTAGAAATGGTGCCTAGCATTAACAACTTCTGATTAAAAAAAAAAAAAAAAAAAAAAAAAAAAAAAAAAAAAAAAAAAAAAAAAAAAAAAAAAAAATTCCAAAGTTATTGAGAGAATAGTTGCAAATTAAGGACTCAAAAGTAAAACCTTGTCTCAACATTTCAATTAATTTGTGAATAATTGATTGCAGCTCATTTCATTGTCCTCTATTTTTCTATTTTGGTTTTCATGCATTAAGGATGAACAAAATATCAATCTGCTTACTTAAGGTTCAGGTACATCCCAGTGAACCTAGTTAATAAATGCTTAAAAAGGAAAAGAGAAATTTCATATCTCTAAAGCTCTTTTGGAAGGTTCAGTCCTTAAGAGTCCCTCAGTCGTTCCAAAATAGCAAATCGAGTGTAAGATTAGTTCTATTACCTGTTCGAAATCCATTTGGCGACAAATCTTCAGGTGATACAAGAAAATTGCCAGCAGCAGCATTCACAAGAATGTCAATCCTGCCAAAATGTTTAAAAGTTGATTCCAAGACTCTTTTAGCATCTTCCTGCTTGCGAACATCTCCCTCAAAGCCAGCAGCCTGAAAATAAAGAATTAAAATATCCTGAAGGAGTCGGCTAAACAAGAAAAACCAATTATTAATCGATGACTAGAAGATCAAAGAGCATAACAATCGTTAGTTTGTACCAAAAACAAAGAAATATTCAGCCAATGGGATTAGTTTCATTTTTCATATAAAGATAAAAAAAAAAAAAGGGATCCTGCCCAATTAATCATTTGAGATAGTAATTCAATATGTACGCCTATGAATTTAGGGTTATCCTTTACTTTCCCAAATCAAATGATCCAACCAAATCATTAAACCTTAGAAATGGAGCTGAAGGTAAAATCAGGAGTAACAAGAAACCATTTTTGGGCAGAAAGACAAACTAAGAAAGAATAGGGACATGAAGTGAACCCAGATGGTCAAATTCTGTCCTAAAGCAATATAAAGAAAAAGGAACATATGAAACGGCAATAAACCCCGATGGGGCAAAGCTGTCGCAGCAAAATTAAAATCAAGAGAGCATCAAAGAAAGAAATATTACGGGGATTTTAAGGGATTGGAGTTCGTTGACAGCAGAATCAAGCACTTGTTTCCGTCTGCCCATGATTGCTACAGAGGCACCATGTTTCCCAAACTGTGTTGATATCTCAAAACCAATACCAGAACCACCTCCAGTTATCAACACCACCTTCCCCTTCAGTATATCTGCCTTAAATGGTGTCTCCATCTCTTTCAATAGTCAATACTCGAACAAACTTCTTCTCCTACTCTCTATCTGTTCCTCTCTCGCCCACTTGTGGATGAAAAACTCATACGTGATGCGACCTCTGCCTCGCTTGGCCTGGCAACAGTGGCACGTGATAAACAGGTGCTCTGTAGCTCGTTAAAAATGAAAGGGAAAACTATTTTTGCTTTTTATAAAAAAAAGAAAAAAAAACCTTCATTTTCCGTCAAAATTAACGTCTCTTCAAATTTTCTGGGAAAGACAGAGAAAACCTCCTACTCCAGAGGTTACAATAATTCTTCACTTTCCAACCTTTCGAACAGAACATAATGGACCAAGAAGAAACCCTGGTTGACAAAAACTTCCCTCTCTTCTCCAAATCCGCCAAAACCCTTAAACGTCTTCAAAACCCTAAAACTCCCAAAACGCAAAACCTTGACCAAGACCACAATATCCCCCAGATCGAGAAAGAAACATCGGTAAACTCTAATCCCAACTGCGCCGCCAGCACCACCACCATAACTTTATTTTCGAACCTGGGTCTAGCCGAATGGGCCGTCCAAACCTGCAAGGAACTGGGAATGAAGAGACCGACACCAGTCCAAGTACACTGCATTCCCAGGATTTTAGAGGGTCGGGACGTGCTGGGGCTGGCCCAGACCGGTAGCGGCAAGACTGCAGCTTTTGCGCTGCCGATCCTGCATCGCCTTGCGGAGGACCCATACGGGATTTTCGCGCTGGTGCTGACTCCAACTAGAGAATTGGCATACCAGTTGGCGGAACAGTTCCGTGCCCTGGGTTCTTGCTTGCATTTGCGGTGTGCGGTAGTGGTTGGGGGTATGGATATGCTGACCCAGGCCAAGACCTTGATTGGCAGACCACATGTCGTCATTGCTACGCCAGGAAGGCTTAAAGTCTTGTTGGAGGAGAATCCCGATATCCCTGCTGTCTTCTCTAGAACCAAGGTAATCAATTTTGTTTAATATCCCTTTCGTTTTAGTTTTTGTAACTTTTTTTTTTAATTAAACATTAATCGCGTTTTAATTTTGTGAACCGAGTTTCTTCTCTCTGATTTTTTATTTTTACAATTCTTGAATGTGATCACTTCAGAAATGTGGCTACCTCTGATTTTTGGCAAGCCTTACTCTTCCATTAGAACGGATGATTTGGCTAGCATGTAGGAGTTATGAATTTAATCTATGGAAAGTACTTACCTACACTGGGTGATCTCTCACATAGCCAACCAATAGTTGAAATGTCATGATGTTGAAGTTTGCATTATTGACTAACATGGAAATAGTGAAAGTTAAATTATTTTAGTTGAGATTTAAGATTCTGTCATCACTTGCTCCATAAGAAACAAATGAGGAGTTTTGGCTCAAAGAGCGCCTATTTATGTGTGTTTTATTTGTTGTTTTCCTTTTCATCAGTTCCTAGTTTTGGATGAGGCTGATAGAGTTCTGGATGTTGGATTTGAAGAGGAACTAAGAGTGGTGTTTCAGTGCTTACCCAAAAATCGGCAAACTCTATTATTTTCTGCAACAATGACGAGTAACTTGGAATCATTACTTGAGGTTTCTGCAAATAAGGCATACTTCTACGAGGCCTATGAAGGCTTCAAAATAGTGGACACTCTTAAACAGAAGTATGTTTTCATCCCAAAGAATGTGAAGGATGTTTATCTTGTATACATTTTGTCTAAAATGGAAGAAATGGGCATTCGATCTGCAATGATATTTGTCTCCACCTGCAGGTATACATTCCCTGGATCTGAGTTTCTTCTCATTATTTCTTCACTTTTATTTCATATTTGAATACTTATTAATCTTGTGCTTATTGCTTCTTTATAATCATGCCAAAGACACGATATTGGTAGATGGTGCATTGGATGATGATTAACATTTTGACCTCTCTTGTATGTAATCTTTCATTTGCTGCCGGGCATCTCTTTCAAAGGCATCTCTTTTATTCCACCTAGTTTAGGATTATCATTTTTTAAAATATTTACAATTGTTAAATCCCCTTTTCTATTGTTAAAAAGATGGACATCCCTATATTATTGGGCATGTATCTATATAGAATCCTTGACTCTGACTCTGGTTGATTTTTGTGATAGTAGATTTCCTTTTATTTGGAAGAAAAATTAGTTTGTGCAAACTCACTCGCTCAAAATATTGATTTTCTCATTGCCCATTCATATCTGTAATGTGGAAGCAGAACTTGTCACCTTTTGAGTTTATTACTAGAGGAGCTTGATCAGGAAGCAGCAGCATTGCATTCATTCAAATCCCAATCTATGAGACTGTCTGCACTACATCAATTCAAATCCGGACAAGCGTCTATATTGATTGCAACTGATGTTGCTAGTCGCGGTTTGGACATTCCTACTGTTGATCTTGTTATCAATTACGATATTCCAAGGTTATATGCTTGTACCAATAAAAATGTTATTATTCTTGCTTTTACAATGTGAATGAAATATTAACTGCTAGTTGTTGCAGGTATCCAAGAGATTATGTTCATCGTGTAGGGCGTACTGCTAGAGCAGGCAGAGGAGGGCTGGCTGTAAGCTTTGTCACTGAGGTAAACAGTGGAGGCATGCTTTATTTTGAAACTGTAAATTTTATGTGTCTTATCGACTATTATTTTGGAACTGTTTCATAGTCATTTTTACAGTATTTAACTAGCTGGATTGAAATTTATTCTCCCTACAATGGCATGCATGCATGTCTTGCTTAGTGGAGAACTTTTGGTGTGCTTCTTCTTGGATTGCGTATTTCTTAAATTTGTGATACAAAACTTGCAGAATGATGTAGATCTCATTCATGAGATAGAAGCTGTTCTTGGGAAGCAATTGGAGCAATTTGAATGTAAAGAGAAGGAGGTCCTTTCAGATATTACGAAGGTATATATATATATATATACATCTTTCTACAGAGTTAAAGGGAAATGATGAAGAAGTGGATGTATTTTTTTGGGGGATGGCTATATATTACCAAAGAGGAAAGATCATATTGGTAACTGTTTATAATTTGCAGATATACAAAGCAAAACGAGTGACAACAATGAAGATGATGGACGATGGGTTTGAAGAGAAAGCTAAGGAACGGAAAGAGCAAAAACTGAAAACACTAGCGGAGAAGGGATTGTTGAGGAAAAAGATCAGAAAGAGGAAGAGACAAAATCCTGCAAAATAGTGGACAAACTCAATCCCATAGCCTGAGCTACTTTTTGTGCTTTGAACTCAAAAAGATGGGAGTTTTGTTTGCTCCTCCTCTCTACTCTCACAATACAATAGCTAAGAGATTTCCTTTTCATAATCCGAAACACAAATATAAATTGTAATTTTTGGTTAAGTATAAATTATAATTAATTTCAATACAATGGACCTTCCTAAATTCTCATGCATCCATCTCAAAAGTGGAAAAGCTAAATTCTTATACAAACTAAATATTCTTAAAAAATATAATTCCGTTAAAGTCTTAACTACAAATAAATATATAGATAAAAAAAAAAATTATATTAATAACTTACATTTACTTCAAAAGGCTATTACAAAAATTAGATTTTTTAAACTTTTGTACTAAAAGACTTATTTTACATTTATTTATTATTTTTTATTTAAAATATTACATATATCACCTAATTCTTTGTAAAAATAAAATTATATGACTATTAATTGATAGAATTTTATATATCGACCAGTATTAATTAAAATGAAATGCATTAATTACTAATTATTTGTGTTTTGCATTAATAATTATGCCTTCTTTTCTTCGAATTTAATTTTAAAATAATGAAAAGTTATTTTTTTTAATTAATTGGAAGGTCATTAGGAGAGGTAAATGGAAATAGTAATTAAGCAAAATAAATAAAATATTCCATTAATTCTAATTCTAATTCTAATGTCGCATTTGAATTGGATTTTCATATCGCATAAGGAAAATGGCAGAACCACTATAAATATCTTCGCTCCTTTTCAAAGCCCTCTTAACTGTAAACCCTTCTTTAATTTTACGCTCGATTTCGGAGAAGATGGCTTCCACCAACGCTAACAATTCTGAATCTGCTACCGATGCCCCAACTAAGAAAATCACCCTCAAGACTGCCGACGACCACTTCTTCGAGGTCGAGGAGTCCGTCGCAATGGAATTCGCCACCGTGAAAACTTTTTTCGACGATAATACTGAGACAATGAACGGCACTGTGATTCCGCTGCCGAACGTATCCGCGGAATATCTCTCCAAAATTATCACCTACTGCAGAGAACATTTGAAGTTCCGTGCAGAATCGGTGCCAGAGAAAGAAAGGAAGGCTTATGACGATAACTTCGTCAAGGAATTGAGCAACGAAAAGCTCAGAGAGATGATACTGGCTAGTAATTATCTGAATATTAGGACTTTGCTGGATGTGCTTAATCAGGCCGCGGCTGATCTGATCCAGAACAAGAGCGTCGAGTTTGTGAGAGAATTTTTTGGGGTTGAGAATGATTTCACACCGGAAGAGGAGGAAAGGCTCCGCCAGGAGAATGCATGGGCTTTTGAGGGTGTTGATCAGGACTGAATTTTTCTTTTTCTTTTTTTTTTTTTTTTTTTTTTTTTTTTTTTTTTGTTTTCTTATTCTTAGTTAGGAAGTATTGCTTGCGTTAAGCAATTAGGATTTTTCGGAGAAAAGAATGAATTTTTCCTTTGGTATATGAATGAGGACTGTTTGCTTGCTTAGTTTAAAGCAATTTAGATTTTCGAAACAGTAAGAATCTTTTTCTTTTGGTAGAGCAATGGAATTTGTGTTTTATGCAATATTTCAACTAAACCTTGTTATGGGGATTGGACTGGAGGAAGGGTTGCAGTGGCTTTTTGCTTGCTTGGAAAGTTTAGTACTCATGTCTAATATGCCTGTTGATGTATCAAATTTTGAAGTTTCATTACATCTCATTCCATACAGGCTTACAAATGCCTCCCTTCTTTCTTGAGTTCTTATATATGATTTTTTTTTTTTTTTTTTTTTTTTGTTACTATTCTTAGTTTAGAAGTATTGCTTGGTTTAAAGCAATTAGGTTTTGGAGAAAAGAATGAATTTTTCCTTTGGTATATGAATGAGACTGTTGCTGCTTAGTTTAAAGCAATTAGATTTTCGAAACAGTAAGAATTTTTCTTTTGGTAGAGCAATGGAATTGTGTTTTATGCAATATTTCAACTAAACCTTGTTATGGGATTGGACTGGAGGAAGGGTTGCAGTGCTCTTTGCTTGCTTGAAAGTGTTAGCTACTCATGTCTAATAGCCTGTTGATGTATCAAATTTTGAAGTTCATTACATTCATTCCATACAGGGCTTACAATGCCTCCCTCTTTCTTGAGTTTTATATATGAAGTTTAAGATTTGGTTTTATTTTGGAAGGACCTACCATATCAACCTGGCCATCTTCCTCACGCATGGCCAACAAATTGAATGGCGTCCGTCCATATCAATTTTTTCCCCTTTCTCAAAAAATAAAGATTCAAAATAAAGGCATGCCATCTTACTACTCAGTTAATGGATTAAAAAGGGTTAAATTGGCAAATTCTTGGAAGAAAGGGTATCAGGCTCTTAGAAATAAGAGAGAACACAAACCCATACATTATCCAGCTACCTCACATTTGACTACACATAAAAAACTTGGTTTTCGCATTATAAAAAACCAATTCCCGCTAAGCTAACCCCTTGACTACAGATACAAAATACTAACAATCACCAGTCCCTTCTTCAATTATCACTTTGTTGCTGCTGAGGCTGTTGCTGTTGTGGTTGATTCTGTGGCCACGGCATGAATGCCACTGGTGGTCGAGGCTGCTGGGCTCCATATACTGCTGCTTGATCAACTGGCTTTCCCATAATCATCCCTGGAGGTCCCACAGGATGCTGTGGCGGGACATAGTAATACGGCATATCAGCAGGGGAACCAACCATAGGAATAGTAGCCTTTGTGACCCCTAATCCCTCTTCTTTCAACTCGTCTCTAGGAATGATATCAACCAAGAAATCAAAAACATCAGTCCTTGAAATAGCAGCTGCAATATCATTCTTTTGTAGCGTCCTCCTTTTGTTCTCCTCAGTGTGAATCCAAGAGCGCAGAGTCAGTTCCAAGACGAACATTTCACATGCCTTAGCAAATATAACAGGAGCCTCAGCTGAAATCATTCGGACGTCTTCATCAGCTTTCATTATTTTTTTGATCCGAGCAAGTGGGAGACTGTGATTCTTGAAGTCAGTTGTTTGCTCAACTTCTTGCATTTGGTTGGCCCAGAACATTTGAAGCTGCTGCTGCTGCTGTTGCTGCTGTTGATGGTGGAAGTGCTGAGCCTGTTGGTAGGTGAGCTGGTGAGGAGAATTAGAGTATGTGGATGGGGCCTGAGTTGAAGAAGGAACTGCCATGGCAGGTGTCCCAGAAGCCATCATTCCAGCAGTTTGGTAAGGAGTAGTAGTATAGGCCATTTGAGCAGCACCAGCTACTACTCCCATTACAGGCAGTTGCTGTGACTGCTGTTGTTGCTGTTGCTGTTGTGTTTGCTCTGACTGGTCCATGATTTATTCTAAAGGTTTCCTGTGCTTGCTTTCTAACTATTCTCTCATCGGACTAAAAAGACAAACATTAAACAATAGATGCTCAGAATTAATCTTCAAAACACAAATGTACCATTTGCCAAACAATTAAGAAGGAGAAAAATGCTGAAAATCTCTCAGCTCAATAAATGGAAGTAAAGGAAAAATCACCGCATAACGTGAATTTAGAGAAACTAAAGTCAGAAAACTCCTTGACAAACTATTTCCAATTTTCATGACTGGTCTCTTCTTCAACTTTCTCAGCCTCTAAGTGGTATAGAAGCAACTAGCACAACCTCTAATCAAGCTACATAAACAATTGACCGTATCTCTTAAATAACCCTATAAGACCATCAAATAAGCTGCACAACTGTTGTACACCAGAAATTGAGAAATCAACACATGAGCAACACATGCATAGATATAGCGTGATCCGGAATATACCGGATCAACGGATCAAGCCCAAGTAAACGAATTACATTAATTTCTTTCCTCTAAAAACAAAAAGAAGAAAAAAAAAAAAAAAACTAAACTACTAATTAGAGAACTCCTTGAAATTTTAACCACTAGATTGTTAACAAAAGTAATTTTCTTGAGAAGCATGCATGCAACCGATATCAATAACTGACTTGTTTATATGAAAACCAAAACCCTACCCCCTGTTTGGTAGCTCAGAAAGAGTAAGAATTTAAGAGAAAAAAGGAAATTTATCTTTGTTTAAGCAGCTACTATGAAGAATCCCACATCCTATATCTTGAGAATAACAGATACTTCTCCTTTCTTTCAACTTTTTATCAGCCAAACCGAAAATTAAATAGCAGACACAAATCATGAATAGGAGCAAACAAAATTTTTTTTTAAACATAAAGCAATAGCTAAAAAAGAAGTTACCCATTGATTTGCAGCTGAATCTAACCAGAGGAGCTATCAAGTAGCAGAAACCCTAAGAGAGAGAAATAAGAAAATTTCCAGAGGGAGATAGTGAAGGTTAAAAGGGAGGGATACAGGAGCTTTTGAATGTATACTCTTTGAAATTGGACGGAGAGAGACACTTCTGGGGTATATGTTTCCTGACACGTGTCGAGCAGTAAAAGTTCTGACTCTTAATGGAACTTTTGAGGCTACACGTGAACGAAAATTACTGGAAATCGCATTAGTGAAAGGTGCTCACGTAAACCGCTGTGACGTTGGAGGAAAAGGACAGGCGCAAGGGAAGTGGTTGTTTCGGTAATAAGAAAGAATCGAGTGAGGGTGTTTTGGGAAATCTAGAGGAGTTAAGTTTTGTCTGGTTGAACAGTTGGACAGCGCGTGCGATGAGAAGGGGGAAGGGGGTGACCATGATGGCACGTGACAAAAGGCACACTCATCTCCTTTGTTATGTTTAGTTGTCACAAACAGGTGGAAGTATTCAGCTGAGAGGTTTTTCAGATCAGGCGCGTTCCCTTTTCGGGTCTATTTCGGCCCGAATCATCGAAATATCGGGTTTTCCAAACCACCAAAGGTTTCAACCACTTCTCATCTTTGAGCTGACAAAATATGCCAACTCAGAAGGTTGGTGCAGTTCTTTATGGATATAACTTTATGCTCTCAAAATGGGCCCAAACGAGGAAAAAATATATGCCTTGGGCCTCAGGATAATATATATGATCCCAACGGTCCAATCCACTATCCGTTTAGTGCAAGTGGTAAAAAATACAAGCAAAAATAAAATTTACTGCAATCTAGAAATACTAGTTTTTAGATCATATATAGAATTAGTCATATTTCCATATGTAACTCAATGATTTACTGTATCAGAGTTAACTTTTTTTTTTTTTTAGTATAATCAGTAGAATATGAAAGTTTTTTTACCCTTTCACTCCATAAATTGAACTTATATTATTTCCTTAAGGGATTGAGATTATTTACCACCCTAATCAACATCTTATTATTACAAATTTTCTTATAATTTATATATATATATATATTTGAAAATAATACTTATACAATTCTAAATTACAAAACTGAAATACATAGTTCGTGGATATTCTATCGTGTGACTAATTGAATAATTAAACAAATCAATTGGTTTATTATATAATACATAACTGAACTATTCTTGGAAGCAAAATAAGAAAAAAGTTGCATAATTGAACTACTAAAGAAAGAAAGAGAAACCCACAAGACAAGTAAGAAAGAAAACAATGAGATGGAAGCTAAGGTGGCAGCCAACTTATCATGTCTCATTGTTTGTTGGCCGTCCAAAGAAAGCATTTGTGAGTTGGGACAAGCACATGACTGATGACACCAATGAAAGAAATTATGGGTCCCAGTAGTGAATTGTTCGGTTAACCGGCCCTTCCCCAACCCTAACCTTTTTTTTTTTTTGTCTTAAAGACCGACTATTGTAGTAGTCGTGGAAAAAAATTGCATCTTTCTGTTGCATTAATTAAAAATTTCAATTATTATGGCTTGTAACTTTGTTTCCTAATCAGTCACTAGACTCTAAGCCATTATTCAGTTACTCTCCAGCCTCCTTCAGGGATTAATCAATGGAAGCCATGAACGGTAGGCTCTCTTTCTCCATGCATGAGAGTCTCAACCATGATTTTGCCATTCGAAGGTTTTGCCCAGCAAGAATGGAGCAAGAGCAAGGAGTTGAGTTGGAGGAGACAATAATAATGAATGATTTTGAACTCCTCTCTTCTTGTGATGATACCATTAGTAATCCCCACTTAGCTGCTTCTGAGGTAGATGAATTGGTCGATAGCTTCATTAATGTTGACCAATTGCAAGACATAGATAATGATAATCACCAATCTCCAAAGAAATTCCAAGATGAGATAATGGATGCATTTCCTATGGTAGAAGGAGGAGATGAGTTGGAAATGAGAAGTGGCTCTTATATATATGAAGAAATGGTTGGAGTTCCAAGTGTGGAAGAGGAGAGTCATGGTGTAGATCAAGGGCTTCATTTGGTGCATTTGTTGCTTGCATGTGCTGAGGCTGTTGGTTGTAGAGACACCCAACTGGCTAATTCAATTCTTTCACAAATTTGGACTTCAGTTAACTCCTGGGGTGATTCTTTACAAAGAGTTTCTTATTGCTTTGCTCTGGGTTTGAAGTCTAGGTTGTCACTTCTTGTTCATAATGTCGATGCCATGGATGTGACAATGGTCACTAGGAAGGAGAAAATGGAAGCTTTTCAACTTCTTTACCAAACAACTCCTTACATTGCTTTTGGTTTCATGGCTGCAAATGAAGCTATTTGTCAAGCTGCAAAAGAGAAGGACTCGTTGCATGTGATTGATCTAGGAATGGATAGTACCCTTCAATGGCCTTCTTTTATCAGAACTCTGGCATCAAGGCCTGAGGGTCCACCCACAGTTCGAATTACAGGATTAATAAATAATGATCAGAATTTATTAGAGCTTGAAGCTAGCATGAAAGCACTTGTAGAGGATGCTAGTTCGTTTGGCATTTCTTTGGAATTTGATATTTTATCAGAGCCAGTTAGCCCAGCTGTTTTAACCAGAGAGAATCTAAACTTGAGAGAAGGGGAGACATTATTTGTTAATAGCGTTATGCACTTGCACAAGTTTGTGAAAGAGAGTAGAGGCTCCCTCAAGGCGATTCTTCAAGCAATCAAGAAACTAAGTCCAACTTTACTCACAGTAGTGGAACAAGATGCAAACCATAATGGTCCATTTTTTCTTGGGAGATTTCTTGAATCTCTCCACTACTATTCAGCAATTTTTGATTCCCTGGAGGCTAGTCTTCCAAGAACTAACCAGCAAAGGATGAAGATAGAGAAGCATCACTTTGCCGAAGAGGTTCGCAATATTGTAGCTTACGAAGGTGCTGACAGGGTAGAGAGGCATGAAAGGGCAGATCAATGGAGAAGACAATTAGGCAGAGCAGGATTTCAAGCAGTGGAATTGAAGTGCCTGAGCCAAGCTAGAATGATGCTCTCTGTTTATGGGGTTGATGGTTATACTCTAGGCAGTGAGAAGGGTTGTCTACTTCTGGGATGGAAAGGAAGGCCCATAGTGTTGGCATCTGCATGGCAGCTACACAATGTTCCTCCTCCTTCCTAATGCTCGGATTTATCGTTCCCATAATGGTTTAGTCTTTGGTATGATCATTGGTTCTTGTATTACTAGAAAATAATAAAGTGGTATCTTGTGATAAATGAGGATCCCAATGTTCTCTAGGAATCTTTTTAAGAAATTCTCTTCCTAGGGTTCCAAATTTTTTGGGAGTTATTAAAATTAGGTATCCTTTCTTCGCGCTTACAAGAAGTACAAGTTTTTGAATAATAGGCAACACAGTAATCAACCTGTTCACCTGGTAACTCAACATTTTTAAGCCATCAACTTCAATTAATTCTCTTGTCTGTTTCAAACACAATGCTCATATCCAATGCAACTTGGAGTTCTTCAAGAAAAACATTATACATATACATTATATATTATCAAGTGAACTTCCATTTTAAAAACATTAATGGAAGCCACTTTCTCCCTCCTGTTGATATGATACAAGAATGATTTTAAATATCACAATAGATAACAGAGAATTAAGCCCGACGAGAGCTAAATAGAGGTGAAAGATTCACATAACATGACTAACCCCAACTAATTTGGAATAAGAAGCTTAGCTATGTACTAATAGTAATATGATACAGGTCCATCTCTGGATTCTGTATTTTAATGAATCCACTCATTATGCACAAGTCATTATCACGAAAAGAGGGAGGAGGAACTTTCAGACCACTATTTAGGCGTCTTGTGACCATGTCCTTTGGTTGGGCCAGCTGCTGTTGACATTATGCGCAAACGACCAGCGATTTCTGTGAAGGAAGGCCTGGCTGCAGGATTAGGGGCCCAACACTGCTCCATCAACCTTTTCCATTCAGCATCGCAGAAATTTGGAATGGCTGGTCTTAACGTGTTATTTACAATCCCACCTGCACATAAAAAGTATTTTACAGATGCAACAAAGACCGCATTTACTCATACACAGGAAGATACCTGGTATACAATTATTTTAGAATCTAGATTATGTCCACAACTATTCTAGGTCGTTGGGAATTTGCATGAATTTGATATGTCAGAGTTTTTGACTCCAGAAAGGAGCTGGTATCTTGTAATTACAGTCAAGGACATGAAGAAGAACAAGAAGAGTCATAGAATAACACCTATGATTGCACCATAGTGCATGTTGGCATATGGCTCCTCACCAGTGAGAATCTCCCACAAGACAATTCCAAAGGAGAAAACATCAACCTGTAGAGGATCAGTATAGAATACTAATTAAACAGAAGTGTTCGATTAGAGGACATGAAAAAATAAGGTTATGTTTCGAGAGCCATAATGTAATGTGATATAGTTAAATCAAATGTTTTAGTGTGATATTTAAACTAAAAATGCATTTAATTATATCCTATTACGACTCACCAAACAACACATAAAAGAAAATAACAAGCCTATAAAACCAGTTCCACATCTGTCTTTCAAATAATAGATGATAAATGCAGGACCAACTTTCTAAAACCTGCAGCAGTCAGATTGCTTTTACCAGAGCCTCTTGATAAACTAGTGAATGAAAAATAGTGATAAATTCAAATTTCATGGAGCCAGTAATACAGAATACTTTAGATAATTCTATCCAGTCAATAGTAAACTTCTGCATCTATACCAACTAAAAGATTATCTCATCTCTTGTTCCATAGTGGAAAAAATTAATCTAAAGAGCAACAATTTTACCTTCTCCGAGACCTTGTTACTGCTACCATTTAGCAGTTCTGGTGCCATCCATGGAAGAGTACCCCGTACACCTCCAGTGACCAAGGTATTTCGTTTAATTTTTGACAAACCAAAATCACCAACCTGTGACATCTATTCTGTCAGAATTTTTCAAAGAAAAAAAAAATCTTTAATAAAATAGCTTATATGTAAATACATATGCGCGCATTCACACATGCTATTAGACTTACCTTGCAGATTGGCCGTTGGGGATCTTTGAGGTTCACAAGCAAATTGTCACACTTCAAATCAAAGTGCACAATGTTCTTTGAGTGAAGATACTCCATTCCAAATGCAGCATCCATAGCTATTAGAAGCCTCTTGCGACGATCTAGATACCTGCAAATTAGAGTTTTACTAAGACAAAATAAGAAGCAGGGAATATGAGAGAAACAACTGCCTTACATGAAATTGCAAACTAGCGAGCTGTTTTTTTATGTAGAAGAACACTGCAACAGTTATCTGAATAAAATTTTAAAATTTCATAATGCAGCAGAATCAAGAGAGGCAGAAGATGTCAATCGAGTTTCAAGGCCATATAAATGCATTATTTACCTATCCTTCTTTAGTAAAACATGCCTAAGAGAACCATCAACCATGTATTCTGTCACAGTAGCTAATGTCCCTCCAGGTCCATCTTGCACCACACCATAAAAGGCTACCACATTTGGATGGTGAAGCTTTGAAAGGATTTCAGCCTCCCGCCAAAACTCTATGGTCTGAGGGTCACAAGTAATAACGAATATGGATTATTTAACATCATATTCATGGAAAGGGAAGACCGAAATTAATGGTCATCATTATACTTCAAGCTGAAGGCTAATTAAGAAGACCGATAAGGTCATTCCTTGATCGGCTTCTTATCAATGGTTTGTTGTATGATGAAATAATTAGATAGTTACTCCTAAGGAAAGTGAATATAGAACAATGTTTACCAGTCTCTCTTGCTCTGATGATCGACCAGTGAAACAAATCTTCTTCAGCCTCTTAATAGCAACATCTGATCCCCTCCATTTGCCGTGATACACAGTTCCAAAAGTACCAGAACCAAGTTCTCTAAGCTCTTCAAGATCATCATTTCTTATGACCTGCTATATGTATCCAGAAAAAAAAAATTATGCAAACTATTGAATTAAGAAAGAAAAAAGGAAAAAAAAAAAAAAAAATCATTAAAAGAGCAGCTCAACACACAATATTGGATGGTCTTTGGATAGACACATTGAAAGGATTTCAGCCTCCGCTCCAAAACTCTATGGTCTGAGGTCACAATTAATTAACGAATATGGATTTATTTTAACGTGCATATTTTCATGGGAAGGGAAGGACCGAAATTAAATGGTCATCATGTATGTACTTTCAAGGCTGAAGGCTAATTAAGGAATTTATCCCTGATAAGGTCATTTGCCTTCTCGATTCTTCTTCTTTTATCTACATGGTCTTAGTAATGTATGTATGAAATATTTTATTGATTAGTTACTCCTCAAGGAATATTGTGTAATATTAGAAATCTCAATTTACCTCGTCTTCTCTTGACTCTGTTTTTTTTATGCAGTCGACCAGGCTGAAACAAATCTTCTTTCTAGCCTCTTGAATACCAACCATTACTGGTATCCCTCTCATTTGCCGCTGTATACCACTGTTCCAAATATAGTACCAGAACTAATTTCTCTATATTGGCTCTTCTTGTAAGAATGCATCATTTTCTTTTTGACTCTGCTATTTTATCTCCTCCATGAAAAAAATAAATTATGCAAACTATTGAATTAAGATATAGAAGAGAGACGATAAAAATAAAAAAGAGAGAAAAGCCAGCACGCCGATAATGAAGAGATCGAAAGATGAAAGATAGTGTAGAGAGAGCTTGTTATACAATTTAACAATTATGCTTAAGCAGAAGCATACTGCAAGGCGTGTATGGATGTCAAAATTAGTCGTACCAAAGAGTAACCAGGTCTCATCCAGTAGGAATGGCATTGCCAACATGTTTCCATGATCATCTATCGTTCGCACCCTAAATCATACCTAAATTGCAATAGTAGAGTTTTTAGTTCGTTGGTAGTGATTGGAAATATTTATAGCTTCTCAATATTGCAATTTACAATTTAAGCACTGAGACACAAGGTACCTCATGGTGTGACTACATGATACTCACCTTATAGACGAGTTCTCTATCTATGAGCCATCAATAAATACTATTCACAAGCGCTCTCTTCCTTTCGTGCGAATATGACCCAATAAATTGAATAAGACATCAGCTGACTCATCTTCTTACTATCCGGGGGGTTAAATTTTTTTTGTACTTGCTGCTCTCACACCAAAATTTTAAGTGAAGAATACAGTTTGTATGACCCATTTGAAACCTCCATCGTCTGATACAAAGTGTGTGTCATATAATAGAAATATCTATCTGGTCCAAAAAAAAAAAAAAAAAGCCAGCACGCAAGAGAGAGAGAGAGAGAGAGAGAGAGAGAGAGAGAGCTTTGTATCAATTTAAAAATATGCTTAAGCAAGAAGCATACCTGCAAGGCATGGATGTCAAAATCTACCAGAGAAGGATCAGTAGGAGGCATGCCAAAGTTCCTGTCATCTAACTTCCCACCCTAAATCACCAAATGCAAAGTGGACTTCAGTTGGCAGGATTGGAAATTTTATGTCTCAAATCAAATTACAAATTTAGCACTGAGAACAGGTACCTCATGGTGTGACTCTGAAGACTTTAGGTTCTCTATCATGGCACCAAAAATACTTTCACAGTCCTTCCCTTGTGAATGACCAAAATCTGAAAGAACAGCAGACTCAGCTTCTACTATCCGGGGTAAATTTTTTTGATTGCTGTCTACACCAAAATTTAGTTGGGAATATTTATGGCCCATTGAAACTCCATCTGTTGTCAAAGGTGCAAAATGATATGGCTTCTGTCCTCCGTCTTTGACTTTTGCAAACAAAGAAGAACTACCAAGATGATCCTGGTCAATGAGAGAAACATCTTTTTGAACAAACTCTTCCTGAGCCAATTTCTGGAAATATGACCAGTGCTTAGGCTCATGATTTTCCATGACTACGCTCATGCCAGCTCCATCGTTGTGCATTGGACTAATGCCTGCCTTATCCTCAGAAAGTATCCCTTTGGAGAATATTTCAGAAAGTAAATCACGAGGAAATCTGTCATTAATATCTATACTGATGTCTGCCTGCTTCGTCGCTGAAATACCAACAGGGGATATTCCTTGAGAAACATCATTAGTTGAGCTCTCTGTCCTAGAAAAAGGTTGAGAATGTCCAAGAGCATTGTTACTAACAAAATCCCTGCGTGTTATCTCATTCATTTTTAGCCCAGGGAGATCAGGCACGGAATCCTTATTGAGCATTTGAGAAGTTACTTGGAATGCAGTAGAATTTCCAGGTCTAGTTTCTCCTTTCTCCTCAATTGGGAGTTTCTCATGGTCACCTGCAGTATAATCACAGTCAGCCTTAAGCACAGTATCCATATTTGCAGAATCTTTATCATCTACATCATTTTGAACTGCAAGCTGGAACTCACTCTGCAAAACATCTTGAGAATTGGAAAGACTATTATTCATCTGAGAAGCTGCATCTGCAAACTCTTCATACTTCTGGAGTCGTGCAAGTCCATCGTTAATGGGTTGAGAATCTATATGCAACGGTTTTGCAGCTGGGATGGTGTGTTCAGCATCGGAAGCCAGGTCACTTTGAATCAACTTTTCTGAAGATTCTGTAATGGACGTCTGTTCGGTAATATCAGAATGAGAATGAGAAAGAAGAAACTGAGAGCCATGTGAATCTTCAGATTTTGATAATCTATTCATTAGATCTGCCTGTTCCCGGGGTATTCTCTCTGAATAATAAACTCTCTGAGGGGGTGCAGATGATTCAAGGTAGCTCAAGTCTATCAAATTAGAACCAGAATCAGCACAGCCCAGACCTGATGATATGGAACACTGATCATCTTCACAAGGTTTAGGAACCTGCACCTGATGAATGGCATCAACAGAAGGAGAGACATTCTCAGCTTGTTGGTGTTTTACGTCATTTTTTAAGGGCAGAGAATGAAAATCTCCTTGTGCAGCAACTGCAACTGTTTCATCAACTGAGGTAGCATAAACTTTTTCTACAGAGCGAGTTTTCTCAAGATCAATACCATGCTGAACTGAAATATCACGTTTCAGCTTCACATCCTTTACTGATGATTGTGAATTCTGCGCCTGAAAGCTACCACGTGACTGTCCCTCATTCAAACCTCCTTGTTGATTCATGAGCCCAGGAATGGATATTGAATAAGGGATCTCTTCAGAGGGGGTACAATTAGAAGAATTGTGGCGATAGTTTGGTTGGAATTGCTGACTTTCTCTCAGGCCCATCATCTGGTCATGATAAAACTGTGGATGGATTTCATATGCATTGGAGGAATTCTGTAGAATTGGCTGAGCAGATTGAAAAGGGCTGGTTAAAGGTGAACTACTGACCCCAACAGAGACAGTAAGTGGCCTACCTTTCTCCCTGTCAACATTTAATCCATCAAATTCACTCAAATTATTTCCCGAACAGCTTGCCAAACCTTGTCCAATTGAGTTTTTTCTGGATCCAAAGTCCATGCCATTAACAGCAGCTACATACATAATCACAGAATCACCCTCCGAACTGCCCGGGCCAAACTGAGCATCTTCCAGATCATTCATGGAGAGCAGAAACATTCTAAGTCTTTGTGATCCTTCTCTATCTTCAACCTCAGTCCATTCCTCCATCATATTCCTCAGATCTTCATCACAAGAAACAGAAACCAAGGCATCAAGATCCTCTCCCGGAAGCTGATATTTTATCACATGAGGTTGGTTATAAATTGCCAGAGTTTTCTGCTCAAGCTCCTGCCATGAAATATCTCTTGATATGCGTATAATGTGTGTGTCACCTCCCACATACCGGAGCTTTCCATCACTGGGACGAGGCAGTATTGTACCACCAAAGCTGCAGAGAACCTTCATCTTTATAGATGAGCTATCTGAGGCCATTGAAGATGTAAAACCATGTACAAGTTCCCGACTTTCATATTCTGATGAAGTTTGGGGTGCCGAATGAACTGACCCATAGTTGTTTCTCTCTTCATACAAAGACAAGCTCGTCCTCTCAACCTTTTTTGGACCTGTCTCTACTACAGGGAGCAGTGAAGTATCTGGCATCCTGTCAGGCCCTGTATGACTAGTGCCTACAATGCCTTTTGGTTCCATATACCCTGTCACATGATGGGGATCACCAAGAGTATTTGGGATGTGAGGCTTCTTATGGTTAACCCGATCACGCATAAATTCAAGGGCAAACTCCTCACCTGTCTGTATGGAGTAATTAAGTACAGGTTTAATTTCTGGTACATTTGGGTTAGGAAGTCTCAGATTAGTATTTCTGCTGCCAGTAGAGTCTCGCGTGAATGCTTGAGATGCAGGCTGGAATCCCTCACGCCCAGGTTCCCTGGCATGGTATTGAAATTTTTTATTTACATCTGATTGTTCCATCGGCATATTTTTTGGGTTTCTCTCCATTTAATTGACCTGATTGGGATTAACCCCAACACCATGAAGATAACGTGGAACATGGATACAAGCAGCCCACCAAAGACATATCAAATTTCAAATTTCACCCACAGACAAAGGCAATAAAAGATGAGATACGGAAAAGATGATTTCGCCTTCAAAAATACTGAAACAGGAAGCAAGTTTGAGTTGATTCGCATGTCCAATTGCCTTGAAAGAGATCTCCAACAGCTTCAGGAATCCTAAATGTGGTAAGGTGTGACAGCAATCAGAAACCAAAAACAATGGAATGAAAATAGATATAGATAAAACTCTAAAATCTCAAAAAAATGTGCTTTACAATCTCTTCAACCGTTAATTAGTCATGAAATAAAATTCTCAAGACCATAAAATCAATAGGCTTACACCAGAAAAGGCAAGGACTTTGAGTGACAAAAACAAGTACCTGCAGCAATTAAGAAAGCGGAACAGTATAAAAATTGGTTGAGCGAAATTTCTAGTATGCTATTATGCCAGAGAGAATCGATCACTTAACTTATCAGTTACTAAATGTTGCACTTAAGAAAAGTGCACGCCACGCCACACTTTTAACAAAATTTGGTAATTTCGAATCAAAGATTACATGGAATACGAAAGCTTTTAAGTGTATGAGATGAACAACAACACCTCCTTACTTTTAAAAACAGGGGATATAAAGCTGTAGCTTGAGATTAGATCATCTATGAAGAATTAATCAAATTTTATCCCAGAACATCAAAAAATACAACATCAATACGAGAAAGTAAAAGGTAAATCAAATTAATCTAGTAAAGAACATATACCTAAAGCAAATAGAAGAGAAATTCTCTGTATTCAAGCTATAGGGGTTTTGATCTCAAGAAAGGTTGCGTGAGCCACCAGCAGAAAGCTACTGTATCTAAACGAAAGCCGCCTCCGCCTGTATCCGAAGTCCGGCAATAAAAAAAAAAAAAGCTCATTTTCTCTCAATTTCTATCATGATCTGGTTCTATATGCTTCTTTTTGGTATCTAAGTTGTTGTTTTCTTTCTAACAATAATTATAAAAAAAAATAAAATGGCCTTTTGCTCTCAGCAGCAGCAGATGAGTGACGAGAGAGCCCCGCCAAAAAATCTTTGTGCTGCTGCCAGTAGTCAAGCCTCGAACGACGACGATTGGAGGAAGCTTTGCCAAGTTACGAGATCGCCTCCCCTTCTGTAACTTATTTACTTAAATACCACTGATTATTTTGTTTTTTTCTTAATAATTTAATCATTTTGAGGTAGAATATTTCGCTCATTTGCTTTTTCGCAGGTAATAATAATGCCAAAGCCAGTGGTTAGTGGGGCACGTCTTATCAGCAGTGTCCAACGGAAAAAGAATATGCAAAATGTGAAATACATTCATAATTTAAAAAAAAAAAACCTCCTTCAATTTCAATATACTTAACAAGTTGATTTCTCAAACTCATTCAATAAATTAGCTGCACTCATTCTTTTCAATTATAAATTTCTTGAGCTTAATTGAAAAAAATGGATATTACAAAGGGTATATAGATAGATAAATTTTTTATCCAAAAGACTTTGATTTATTAATAATGATGACTCAGTGGTGCTTTCCATTTCCATAAGCTCAAAAACCCATTACAAAATAAAATAATAAACCATGAACCTAATAATATTATAATGAGAAGACAATGAGAAAAACATAATCCTTTAAGATTTTGGATTTTTTTTTTCACCCAATAATAAAAATCCATTTAAAAATCTGTAAACCTAATTTTATCAGAAAAAAAAAAAAAAAAGTAAAGAAATAAAAATCTTTGTTTTAATTTCTTTTCTGAAATAAAGTAATCGTATAACCGCTGCTATGCTTCCCGTCCTGCATCGCTTTACTTGGATATTTTGTTACCGTGTCCTTTGGTTTGGCCAGCAGCTGTAGACATTACTCGCAATCGACCAGCAATTTCGGAGAAGGATGGCCTCACTGCAGGATTAGGCGCCCAACACTGCTCCATCAGCCTTTTCCATTCTGGATCGCAGAAGCTTGGAATGGTTGGCCTCAATGTATTATTTACAATTCCTCCTGCACAGTGCAGATCAGGAAAACATTTACAAGAAGATAAATGGATGCTTGTGCATGTTTAAGCAGGGAAAACTTAAAAAAATTACTCATCGCATCACTAGCTGTATTATATATTAAGACTTAGGTCGGTACGATAAGAACTAACTGGAGACCTGAATCTATGCAGGTTGGCATATGCCTCTGGGATGATAATTAACACAAGGAGTATCATTAACGCACCTATGATGGCACCATAGTGCATGTTGGCATACGGCTCATCACCTGTGAGGATCTCCCACAAGACAATTCCAAAGGAGAACACATCAACCTGAGAATTAATAGATATATCAGCAACTAAAATTTAGGAGATGAAAGAACTCAAGAAAGTTGTGGAAAATCAGTATATCAAACAAGTTTCCTATATTCTTGTTTTTCTAATAAAAGAAGTACATATGTAGCACAAATTTCTAGAAATTGTTAGCAAAAGTAATTTCAAGAGTGGTGATGCCTTTACTTTTTCTGACACCTTATTGCTGCTCCCATTTAGCAGCTCCGGAGCCATCCACGGTAGAGTTCCCCGCACACCACCAGAAACCAGGGTGTTTCGTTTAATTTTCGACAGGCCAAAATCACCAACCTGGGACATCCATTGTATTAGAATGGTTTGCAAAATCACCAAATCTTTGACGGAATCTCTCTTGATTAGACATTACCTTGCAGATTGGTCGCTGGGGATCTTTCAAGTTGACAAGCAAGTTGTCACATTTCAAATCAAAATGCACAATATTCTTCGAGTGCAAATACTCCATTCCAAATGCAGCATCCATAGCTATCAGAAGTCGCTTCCGACGATCTAGATACCTGCAGTTTAAGACTGGAAGAGATAAGCAGGGGAATACTGCAGAGTCAACTGCCTACACAAAAACAAGCCAGCCATCTGAAGAAATTATGATATATTTTATAATATAGAAATCATTAACCTGAGCCAGAAGAGGTCAAAGTGAGATTCAAAAACTTCATAAAATGCAAACTTACTTGTCCTTCTTTAGTAAGACATGTCTAAGAGAACCATCAACCATGTACTCTGTCACAGTAGCTAATGTCCCTCCAGGTCCATCTTGCACCACTCCATAAAATGCCACCACATTTGGATGATGAAGCTTTGAAAGGATTTCAGCTTCCCGCCAAAACTCTAATGTCTGGGTATGGAAAATAAATATAGATTACTTAATATAACAACTAAGACGAGAAAGGGGGAGGAAAATTGGAAGTTGACCAACATATTTTCAACGGCAGCCAAAGAATAAGAAGAAGAACATGACGTCCATTATGTTCTTTTACCAATGTTGGATTGTATGATAAAATAGACAACTTTTAGGTTAGTAACATAAAGTTATTTCTAGAAATAGAATGTGAATTTATCTCAAAAGTTGAGAAATAGGTACCAATCTCTCCTGCTCTGATGACCGACCAGTGAAACAGATCTTCTTCAGCCTCTTAATGGCAACATCTGATCCCCTCCATTTTCCATGATACACAGTCCCAAAAGTACCAGAGCCCAGTTCTCTCAGCTCTTCAAGGTCATCATTTTTTATGATCTGATATGTATATCCAAACAAAAAAGAAAAAAGAACAAGAACTGAGCAGTTACATACTGTGGTTCAAAAGCAAATTGAATTAAGCTCAAACTGCCAGATTCACAGGTAGCAAGCAAGTGGGATGAACAGTGCAAAAATATGTATATTCAAGTTCTGCATATGCATCACAGAATCCCAGAAAGTGGAGAATAAGTGGGAAAAAAAATTTATATCTGATAACTGAAGAGGGGACACACAACATTACATGAAGGTAAGGACATCTACCTGCAGAGCATTGATGTCGATATCTACCAGAGATGGATCAAGCGGAGGTAGGCCAACATTCCTATTTTCGATATTTGCACCCTAAAAGCATCAATGGAAAGTGAACTTCAATCATCAAGATAGAATTTGAGTTCATAAATAAAATTATCATTGAGAGAAGATACCTCAAAGCATGACTCAGGCGATTTTAGGTTCTCCATCATAGCATCAAACTGCATACTTTCACTATCCTGTACTTGAGAAGGATCAAAATCAGAAAGCATTACTGAGTCGGCTCCTATCATTCCTGGTAAATTTTTCTTAATGTCTTCACCAAAATCAAGTTGGGAATACTCATGGGTCATTGATATCCCATCAGTTGTCAAAGGTGCAAAATGATAAGAGTTCTGATCTCCTTCTTCAATTTTTGCAAGTGCAGGAGGAGTACCAAGACGATCCTGGTCAATAAGAGAAACATCTTTTTGAACAAACCCTTCCTGTGCCAACTTCTGAAAATATGACCAGTGCTTAGGCTCATGATTTTCCATGTTTACACTCACGCCAGGTCCATCTTTCTGTATTGGGTTAACAGCAGATGTGTCCTCAGCAAGTACTCCTCTGGTGAAAATTTCAGAAAGGAAATCTTGAGGAAATCTGTCATTAATATCTATACTGATGTCTGCCTGCTTTGTGGCCAGAACACCAACAGAAGGTATTCCATTATTATGATTAGGGAGATCCTTGCCAGTTATCTCAACCCGTTTAGGGTCTGAAGGTTTTGAAGCAGGATCAGGCACAGCAGCGGTTACTTGGTGCACAGCAAGATGTCCAGATCCAACTTCTCCCGTTTCCTCAGCCTGGGCTTTCCTGTTATAACCCGTGTCACGGTTGGTCTTAAGAACTTCATCCTGGTCAACAGAATCTTTACCATCTAAGTTACTTGGAATTGCCTGCTGTAACCCGCTATCTACATCTTCAGAATCAGAGAGATTTTTATTCATCTGAGAAACTGCATCAGCAAACTCCTTATACTTCTGAAGTTGGGCAAGTCCATCATTGACGGTTTGAGTATCTGCATACGGTGGTTTTGAAGTTGACACGGAATGCTCCATTTGGGGAGCCAAATTACTTTGATGCAACTTTTCAACAGATTCTGCAATTGAACTAAGCAACTGAGAACCAAGAGAGTCATCAGACTTCGATAACCTATTCAGAAACTCTGCTTGGTCCCGTGGTATTCGTTCCGAATAATAAACTCTCTGAGTAGGCACTGATGGTTCAGGGTAGTTCAAGTCAATGAGATTGGACACTGAATCAGCATTGCCTGGACCAAACATATCATCAGCTGTGGAACATTGATCGTCTTCACAAGATTTAGGAACCTGAACTGGATTCACAGCATCAACAGAAGAAGAGACCTTTACAGATTCTTGGCAATTTCCCTCATTTTTTGAGGGCAGGGAATGAAGATCCAGCTGTGCTTCATCGATCGGAACAGGGTAAACATTTCCAATGGGATGAGTTTTTCCGGGATCAATGTCTTGCTGAACTGAACCATCAGCTTTTGTCTTCTCCTCCTTTATTAGTGTCTGAGAATTATGCACCTGCTGAAAGCTAGTACTTGTCTGTCCTTCATTCAAACCTCCTTGTTGATTTATATGTCCAGGGATTGAATGAGGAGTTTCTGCAACAGGGAAGTAATCAGAAGACCTGTTTTGATTATGTGGCAGTAAGTGCTGATTTTGTCCATGATCTATCACCTGGCCATGATAAACCTGTGGATGAGTTTCATAGGCACTATAGGAACTTTGAAGAATTGGTTGAGCAATCAATGGCAAAGTGCTGACTCCAACAGAGACAGTTGCCACTCTAGCAGTCTCTCTGTCGGTATTTATTCTATCTAACTCATCTAAATTATTTCCTGAAGAACTTGCCAAACCATGCAAGGTCGAGTTCCTTCTGGATCCAAAGTCCATACCATTAACAGCAACCACATACTGAACTTCAGAATCACCCTCCACACTGTCCAGGCCAAACTGTGCTTCATCTAAATCACTCATGGAGAATAAAAACATCCTGAGCTTCTGTGATCCTTCTCTATCTTCAACTTCATTCCATTCCTCCATCATATTCAGAAGATCCTCATCACTTGAAACAGAAACCAGAGCATCAAGATCCTCTCCAGGTAGCTGATATTTTATCACATTAACCTGATCATAAATCGCTAAGGTTTTCTGCTTCAGCTCCCGCCACGAAATGTCCTTACTTATGCGTATAATGCGTGTTTGACCTCCAACATACCTGAGCTTTCCATCGCTAGGACGAGGTAGGATCTTACCACCAAAGCTGCAAAGAACTTTCATCCTTCCAGACAAGCTATCAGAGGTTCCTGAGGAGGTATAACCAAGTACAGGTCCTCGACTTCCATAACCGGATGAAGTTCGTGGTACTGACTGAACTGACCCATAGTTGCTTCTCTCCTCGTGCAACAATGAGTTTGTCCTTTCAAATTCTTTTGGACCTTTCTCCACTATTGTTAGCATTGATATATCAGACCCACTTTCAGACCCAGTATGACTGATTCCTAAAATCCCTTTTAGTTCCATATAACCCGTTGCATAATTGGGATCACCTACAGTATTTGGGATGAGAGGAATCTTATGATTAACTCGATCACGCATAAACTCAAGAGCGAACTCCTCACCTGTCTGTATGGAATAATTAAGTACAGGCTTAACTTCTGGTACATTTAGGTCAGGAACTCTCACATTAGTATTTCTGCTGCTTGTAGGGTCTCGCATAAATACTTGAGATGCAGGCGGCAATCCCTCATGTCCAGGTTCCCTGGAACCATGTTGAAGTTGTTTATGCATGTCTGGTTTTTCCATTCCAATATTGTTCAGGTTCCTCTCCATTTATATTGACTTGATTGGGATTAACCCCAATGCCATGAAAAATAGATGAAAGATGCACATGAACAACCCATCAAATATGTAACAAGTTACAAACTTTGCCCACAGGTAAGGTCAGTAACCATGGTGAGATGCCGAAAAAGATGAATTTGCCTAAAATACTGAACAGGGAACAAGCTCTTGTCACTTTCCAGGTTCAGTTACACTTCAAGAGATCTTCAGTAGTAACATCAGAAAGCCTAAATATGATAAGATGTGACAGCAATCAGACTCAAAAAAAAAAAAGTCAAGAATCTGTAAAGTATTATCGGCTGCAAGCATCACAAATATCCAGAAAAATGTTTGCAGAAATAGAGATAGATAAATAGTGGATCAGTCAGAAAGTGAAGTTGCTAAATATGGCCCTTGACCACCATGATTCCACAGCTAGATAGTTAACGGATTATATATTTTGGACAGTTAATGTGCATTTTCATTTATCTCTAACATGCATGTAAAGACAATGTTAAATGAATGTATATAATTAAAATCTGAGTAATGTTACAAGACAAAGTTTTGCACAGATTGATCAATTTGATGGCTCAGAGGGACAAATAGAGACGTACTTTAAGGGATCAAATCCCATCAATTAGTTTATGGAATCTGTTTCCTGCTATGAAGCCAAGTAGATTGCTCCGCTTATCATTTACCACTGAATCTCATATTCATATTTTTTAAGCAGGTGCTGCCATTTCACCAAATTGCGTAGTTTGCAAAAAAGACGGATATAGCAAAAGCAAGTGCAGCAACAAACTAAAAGTAAAATGGAACCACTGATACTGATTCACCGATGCAGTTTCAAATACCTGCGGTCCTCGCTCCTAATACAGAATCAAGAGATGAAACACGAAACACTACACCAGCTTATTCTAGAGTGGCATAAAAAGTTGGAGATAGAGATCGAGAATAGCCAAATTATAACCTCTAAAGTTAGAATTAGAATCACAGATTAACAGAAGAAAAAAACTTTCCCAGTTGTTTTCTAGCAACGGAATCACTCCCATGCTTCAAAAATCAATCAAAAAATATGCAAGAAAGTTAAATATGCATGCGCAAATACTTGATTAACTTACTAGAACCATAACAAACCGTGCATAACTGCTAAAACAGAAACCCTTATCAGATAAACACAACATTTCTCACAGATCAACTGCTAATCAACAAAAATATCCACAGTACGAACTCAGGAAAACATGAAAGAAAGCAAAATAAAAGCAATTCATGATAAATATATACTTGAAACAAAGAAAAATCCTACGTATTTGAAGCTAGTATAGTTTTTGGTTCAAGAAGGATTGCCTTGACGACCGGAAGCAATTACTGTATAAATCCACCTCTCCATTTTCCCCCTCACTTTCTCTCATTTTCCATAACCTCCTCTCATTTTCCTTCACTTTTCTATCTTCTTCATTATTGATTCATCTTTCTTCTCTGAACTTGTTTGATGCAAATTTGAAAGTACTTTCGGACAATAAAAGTGAATCGTCTCCATTTTCTGACATCTCCGCTAATAAATTCTTCTGCTAATGGTCAAGCGCTAAGGGAACTGCTTTGAGTTACTAGATTGTCCCCGCGAGTTTAGCTTATTTACTTGAATGCCACTAAGGCTTCGATGTTTGACTAAAAATATTGTTTTTTAAATGCAATTTTCATCTGGCCAGATCTGGTGTGGTATAACAAGCCTAGGTGGCTTCATTAATTAATTATAATTATGTTTACATCACAACTTTGTTTTCTCTCAAAAATTTAAAAGAAGCAATATTATTTTTTATGGATGAAATTGTATTTTATATATTCATTAATATTAAAAATTAAAAGCTCCAAAATATTTCTTTTGCAAAATAATAATATTCTAAAAAATAAAAAATAGAAGGATGGAAACAGAAGGGTTTTTGCCTGTGTCCTAATTATCTAGATGGGGTATGGTTTTCCCACTATCTCACATTAATGCTAGAATAATAGTGTCTCACCATGAATTATTTTTCAAAAAAAAATTTAGGACAAAAATATTTTACTGTGAGAAACCTATATTTATTACTCTTTTTTTTTTATTTAAGAGGTGTTCTGAATTAATGAAATTTAAATTATAAAATTTTAAATATTTTATGCATTTATTATATTTATTTAAATTGTTTATTATGATATTAATGTTACTATCTTAAAATAAATATATTTTATGATTAATGAATCGTTTAATTTTATTTATAAAAAATACGTATTAAAATTATGAAACCTAAATTCTATTTGAATGTTATAATATTTGAATATTTTACGTTTCATTGATCAAAAGCAAATCAGAAAATGCCGCGTTGCAAGCAAGTCGCTTCCTTTTTTCCTTTTTGGACGTTTAAATACCTTGCTACTGCCCTAATAACATTTTTTTTTTTTTTGTGCAAAATAGTATTTTTTATTTTTTTGATTAAATTTTAATTACAAAGTATCAAAAAAAAAAAAAAAAAAAAAAAAAAAAAAAGCCTTGGAAGGAAAGAAACAACATGAGAGTTCCTGATCCTATGGATATGCACGAATATTGATTTGACCTTCACATAAGAAATCTTCAAACTGTATAGTTTAATCAAGTGTTTAAACTTATCCACAAATCATTCCTACTGAAATAATTATTTGTTCTCATTTTATCAATCTTTTCAAATGACAAAATGGATGAGATATCAACCTTTTTTTTTTTTTTTTTATTTGAACATCCAAAAGGATTTTTCATTCATCTGAGTTTACATTTAAGTTTTATATATACATATTCAATTTATAATTTTTACGTTTGTACAATTGTTTTTTTTCTTTTAGTATTAGAAAGATTCGATCACGGATCTACTGTCAGTTCGTACATGTATTTATCATTAAACTATATTTTTGTGTGCATGATTACACAATTATTTAAAAGATAGTTTTGTAGTAATCCGAATGATTTTTATAGTTGAAGAATAAGAAGGAGAATAGTTAAAAAGCTTGCTTGTCTTTTATATTTATTATTCTTTCCTATATAAAGTAATTTGATGATATTTATAAACCTAATAACTTTAATTAATGAGGTCGTTTCCCATCACTCTCTTAGCGTGACAATTGGACTGGCATGTTCATATTTTAGTTGATATTTGGTAGCATTTGTTGAAAGCTTCTTCTTCTTCTAATTGAACTTTTAAGTCTCGTTTTAATTCATTTAATCAATGAATTACTGACATTAACACAAAATTACAAAATGAATATTATGAGTTGGATTAGTTGAATCACCGGACGTATCAAAACATATCATAGTAATAAGTGAATGTATAATTTGGTAATAGATTCGAGTTCGAGCTACCGAAGAATAAATCTTCAATGATTCTATAAAAAAAATATTTATTGAATAAAGCATTTAGATTCTTGTTTACGAACTAAACCAAATCTATGATCTTCACCACGTGTGAATGGCAAGAGATGTTACCAATTTCTTAGAACGCAAGAAACGGTATCCAGTCGAGGGCATTTTATCGTATCGAAAGGTATTAAAAAAATATGACAAAGTCACCGGCCAAACTGACTTCAAAAAATAAAAAAATAAAAAGAATTTATTGTTTGTTTTCTTGCCAATTTTTCTTTTTCTTTTTTTGCCAAATCTTATTCGTTTCTCATTTGGCCTTTTTCGTTTCTCTACATTTATTTATTTATTTATTTATTTATTATATATATACATATATAGTTATCTTTGAAAAGTGAAGACTCTTTTGTTGGGAGGGTTTCCATAATTACGTGGGGCTGTCCAAATTCATCAATCCAAATTATTTTATACACTTGTAAATTACAGAGGCCTTCATTGCAAGACTCACAATGAAGAAAGTCAATGGAGTAATTTCTAATAAAATTTTGAAAAAAAATCTCAGCCAATCATTTTTATACATATTATATATAAACGTCATGTTTCCTTAAAATATTTATTTATTTATTTATTTATATTTATAAAAGAGAATCAAATAATTCATAAATATGTTACTACACTTTATCAGAGGTTCTCTTTGTCTTATCTCTTCCTTTTCTTTTTTTTATTTATTTTTTTTCCTCTTATAAATTTGTCCATTGCTATTATTCACAAAATATTTGTCATCTTCTACGTAATAATCATTTATTTACCAAAAATAAAATTATTTAAAGAAATGTTTGTTTATGTACCATTTTTTGGGCTTCTTCTATATATAGAATGGGCCAGTAGAAATCAAACTTCAAAGGCCCCATAATCTATTGATTTGAGTTCAAAGAAGTTCAGAATCAGAGGTCGTCTTCCTCGCGTCTCCTCTAATGTCCTTGCATTACATATGTCCAAGAATTTATTTTATGGATCTATATCCCATTTCCTGTCTTCTCAAAGATTACGCAGTTTCTCAATCTTGGCGACAATTTCTTATCTCAAGAGGTACCAAGTTGTTGGATGAAATGGCAAAGGTTGTTTGCCCTAAAGTTGAGTAATAATCACTTGACTGGAACCATACGGAGCTCGATAACCTGACTATGTCCAGCTCAATGACCATACCATTACCAACTTTTTAAAAGAAGCTTGACGCGTTTCAAATATATTTAATTATTAGTATTATGTAATAGCCTACATAGGAAGAAAAAACTGAAATGAATGATGATGTGTGAGTGGAAAAGTAGGTGGCTAGATATGCATTATGCATTATTGTTATGAAAGTAGACACAAAATTTAAGTATGCATTCATGTTTTTAAGCACAACATTTGAGAAGAACACCGGTGAGCGAATCTGCACCACAACAGATACTATTTTTTCCGCCCATTCAGAAAAAAATATGATTCATAAAATCAATTAAGGACACGTGGTAGAAGGTTGCAAGGTAACTGAATGTATCTAGAAAGAACACCGGTGAGCGAATCTGCACTGCAACAGGTTAGTTGTTGTGTGATTTGTGTGTGGTTAGCTTTCGTACTTGTTTCGATCTTGGGTAGTTTCCGCTGCTTAATTCACGGCTCCCATCAATAACAAGTCTCATGCAGCTACAATCATTAACTTTATCAGGTAAACTCTTGACAAGAAGAATTCCTGAAGATGTTGGTACTATGCAATTTCCAGAATCCTTGGATTTATCAGAGAACCAACTTTCAGGAAAAATTCCTCAAAGTATAGCCAACTTAAGTTTCCTGACTCGTCTGAACTTGTCGCAGAACAAGTTAATAGGCAAAATTCCTTCAAGCACTCAGAGAGACAGCTTAAATGCATCTTGTTTCGAGGGCAATCAGCTTTGTGGACCTCCACTCAATGATAGCTGTGATGCAGATGGTGGTGATGAAGAAGACGCTAAACATGGAGTTGGAGACGATACAAGTGGACGCCAAGAGATTATGCTGGTTTGGAGTTCAGTGGCTTACGGGTTTGTAGTAGGTTTTTTATGTGCAGTGGGTCCTTTAATGTACAGCAGAAGATGGAGACTTGCTTATTTTAATTTTCTGTATCGTTTGTGGAATAATTTGTAAGAGGGAAAAAATTGCTCTGTTAATCAAGTCCCTAGCTTTAATCTTGAATTCAAGTTTATGAACTAATTTAATAAACGACACAATGCCCTTATGTGGCTTCCAACGGCTTGTCGTTCATGCGGTGTTTCAAGTTTCAACGTCGAAGTAAAGCCACGCCACGGCTCCTCGCAGATTACACAGAAGAAGATGTTAGGGCTGAGATGGTTCTCACAAGCAATTTCCTTGAGAAAAATCCACAAAACGCTACCGATTGATTGTTTAGGCAAGACAATCAAACCTCTTCCAACTCGAAATCTTACCTTTTTTTTCTTATCTAATCTCCCCTCTTCCCCAAAACCCATTTCTAATATTCACCATAATCGAAAATTTTCTGCTACTCCTACACCTATTACTACATCTTCAATTGAATCTCCCCTTTCAGGTGCGTCTTTCCGTCACTCCGCCCGTATTATACTTTATAACTGATAGAACCTTCCCGTTCAATTAATTTTCAACTAAAGTTTCCAGCTTCTATTGAATGGTTGTTTAATTGCAGTTTTTGAGGATGATTTAGTGAGTTATGTTCTGGGCAAAAAAAAGGCAACGGAAGCAGCCCATCTGTAGGTACTTCTTCTTTTCTCCTAATTTGGAAGTACCAAAATTTACATGAGTTTGAATTATGTTAAAGTCATTATCTTTTTCTCTAATTCAGAGTGTGGAAGCATGTCGTCCAGAAAGGGGACACAGTAATAGATGCTACTTGTGGCAATGGGTATGACACCTTAGCCGTTCTTAAAATGGTGGCTGATGAATCAGGCAGTGGTCGTGTTTATGGAATGGATATCCAGAGAGATGCTGTAGAGAGGACTTCTTCTTTTCTGGATGAAAATGTTACGCCTAAGGAGGTAATTCTAGTCTGTAGTTGTTTGACATGATGTTTCGTTACAGTTAATAGCTACCTAGCTGTCAATTTTGGGCTTTTGAGGCAGCAGAGAGTTTTCTTTTGATTAACTTGATGAAACCCAAGTTTCCTCCAGAAAGAACTTGTCAAGCTCTTTTCCATCTGTCACAGTAGAATGGAAGAAATTATTCCAGAAAATAGCCCTGCAAGGTACTCCTTGAACTTGGCTTCGTTTTTGCTTTTGTCATATTTTGTACTCGTCAGAAATGAAGATATGATACGCATTGTTAAGATTCTAAGACTATTGGATGAATTCTGTCTCTTCATATTTTTCTTTGATATGCCTTCTTCATGTAGTTAAGTATAGTCGTGATGGTTTCTGTAGGCTTGTTGCATTCAACTTGGGCTACCTTCCAGGAGGTGACAAAGCTATAACAACAGTTCCAGAAACAACCCTGTTGGCATTAGAGGCTGCAAAGAGGGTCTTAGTGCCTGGAGGGCTCATCAGTTTAGTTGTTTATGTAGGGCACCCTGGTGGAAGGCAAGTTTTTTGCTTTGTTTTTCATATACTATATGGCTGTTTTTAGCTAGCGTGCTTGACCCAAGTCAAATTAGAGATTATTAGTTTATTTTGAAATTTGTTGTTTATGCATCAAGTTATTATTTTTTGTATATGGTGTGAGACAATTCACCTTTAATGTGCTATATAAGACCTATTTGTAATGCAATCGAATAGGTAAGTTTAGTGTTCTTTTGAGAGATTTTTGCGTATGTATCTTTTTATTTGTTTTTGTCATTATCATTATAAGACCTTAACTGGTATATTGAAGCTTTATCTTTTGCTTGTACCATCCAGGGAAGAATTGGAGACAGTTGAAACTTTTGCTTCTGGTTTATCAGTTGATGATTGGATTTGTTGCAAGTTTCAAATGTTAAACCGGCCTTTAGCACCAGTTTTAGTATTCTTATTCAAGAGGTGAAATCACAGTGATGTTACTGCTAGGGAATAGTTTTTGTCAAATGGGAGCTTTTGTCTTTGGTATGGATCACCATCGACGTTTTTTTTTCCCTCCCTTTGTTCCCCTCCTCTTGATTTGCATTCCAACCGTATGAACGACTTGCAAATTACAAACGTCATTTGTATTTTTGGTTAATTGAGAAAGTGAGTAGAGTGATTTTGTTCCTATTGCTTAATGAATTTTCTCAGTTGTTCTACTTGTACATTATCTTGTAAAAAGGTATTACTACTGCTATTGGGGTGATCTCAGGAATAAATAAATGGATGATTGAAATCTGATTTAAATGGTATAAGACAAAACTTTCCAATATAAATAGCTAGAACACACAAAATGGTAAGTAAATAAATGACTGAAGTCTTCAAATCTAAGTTCTAAGTTGCCAAGATAGGCAAAAAGACAAAAAAAAATGATAAAAAAAGGAGAAAAAATAAACCGATCGCGATGGGACTCGAACCCACAATCTCCCGCTCCGGAGGCGAGCGCCTTATCCATTAGGCCACGCGATCAATTAATATGCAATATTGGAACGAAAAAGTAAAAAGCATCATCAAGGAAGACTCATAGGCATAGCATTTTGTTCAGAAATTAATTCTGGTGTGTGGACTGTGGATATGTAATATAAGTGCACGTATTCTCTCTCTTTTCCCTTTTTTTTTTTTTGTTGAGATTACACTACTTCACTCTTTGATTATTGGTTTTTAAAATCATTTCCCTTAACTCATATGACAAGGTTCCTGGTTTTTTCAATTCCAACGTGCTCTGTTGTCATGTTATATGTCTTCCTAGATTTGAAAGAAAAATAGAATAACAAATTGAATAACCCTTATAAAGAGAAGAAATACCTTGCTTTAAAAATGACTACACTATATCATAGAAATTCAAAAGAACCAATACATCAAAAAGCAAAAAACAGGCTTTCAATTCAAAACCTGACAAAAGAACAAACATTCACCCATTTCTCTATTATTTGCCTAAACTGACTGAATCAATATTAATATCCCCTCTATCTCTCAAACAAAAATATTAGAAAAAAGAAATGTATACTTCTAAGATCCTCAAGAAGATGAAGATGATGCTTCTGCTTCTGAATTCTTTATCTTGTATCGATACAGAATCTTTTTCTTTTTGAATGCTCCGTTCTCAATTGTAATGACAATCTTTCCAGGTTCTTTGTTGGTAAAAGTATTGCGAATTGTTCCTTCCTGATAAGCTATCCTCCTTCCTTTCTGAACTATTATGGTGTACGAACCCTCATCAGTTGGCACAAATTCTTCCTTGTAATTCACTTCCCAACCAGATACTGTCACATCCCAGATTAAAGTGCTTCCTACCTGTTCAGTAAAAATGGTAGATTATTTAAATTATTGTTTATCCACTACTTTTTTTTATAACTACATAGAAAAAAAAAAAGGTAAATTGTTTACCTCTACTGCTTGAATCTCAATAGTTTCTTCTGATCCTGCCTTGACGACTGCCTCTTTTACATCATCTTTAACTGAGAATTCAGCATCGTTTTCGCGTTTAAGCCCACCATACTGGACTGGAATTTCCGATGCACTAATGTACCTGAAATTAGACTCGTTTATAAGTAATAATCATTAACTGTAATAGTTTAATAATTCAAGATAGTGAATTTAATTTGTTCTTACTTGAGCAAGGTGTCTGTTACTCTTGCTGTTCGAGCATAAATGAGTTTGTTCTTGGCTCTTTGAGACAGAGAAGGTGAAAAGAGAGCAAAGTATGCGTAATACCAGAAAGGAACATTGATAAAGATCTACAACAAAAAAACAAACAAGCAAACTAAGATGAAATGGGAGATACTGAAGAAAAATGAAAAGAAAAAGATTAAAGAAGAAATTTCGCTTACATTTTTTGAAACAAATTCAGGGTAATTGTCCTGAAGAAGATCAACAGCTTTCTTTGTAGCGATCCGGAGTTCTTTCTTGGTAGGTAAAGGAGTGTTTTTGAGATCATTGATTTGCAATGTTGCAGATACACCACCAGGATTGAAATCCAGCTTTTGAATAGTCTTCTCCATCAGTTGGATCCTACTCCTCATAAATTTCCCCCGCTTCTCTTCAAATGCCTTACCATATAAATCATCGTTCCCAAGAACTGCAAATATATTGTAACATATTGGATGTCCATCGCGATCATTTCCTGCAATATAGGCCATAGATCCAAGATCAGCCTCAAGATCCTCTTCCAAGATTGAATCAATCTTGTTTTCCTTTCTCCACTGAAGAGAATTTTTCAACATCTCAAAAGCATCATTTGCTTTGAACTCTCTAGCCCTTAAGAATTTCAAAAGTAGAACGTCAGTTCTATCATCTCCTTTGCTAGGCAATAATGGTACTCCCCAAATTGCAATATCTCTGTCTACTTTTTGGTCAGGCTCTGCTTTCTCTACATTATTTTCATCAATGATATCTCCATTTGCTTGCTTTGCAGAAATTTCTACGGCAGTTTCTTCAATTGATGCAGCGGTTGCTTCTGTTTCAGAATCCTCTTCTTTGTTGCTTTTTCCCTTCAATTTCTCTTTCTGATCTTTATCTTCCCCAGTTTTTCCCTTTTCTTGCTCTTTCTTCTCTTCAAAAATCTTATTCTGAAGAATCGCTTCTTCAATTTTGGACCTGAGATCCAACAATGCTTTCTTTTCGTGTTCTTTCAAATCAGATAAGAAATCGCTTTCGCTCTCTTCTTTGAACGAAGAACTCTTCTGGATTCTTCTGGGGGAAGTAGAAATCTCTTCTTTATCATTATCATCAATATTTCTTTCTTCAACAACAGCAACCTCCTTCTTTTTATCCTCATCTTCGTGTTTCTTTTCTTCAACCTGCACAGTCTCTGTTTCCATAGCTTTTTCAGTGACAGTCTCTTGTTGTTGAAGTTGAGCAGTGTCTTGTTCCATTTGAGCGGACATCATGAATAACAACAGTAATAGAAAAGAAGTTAACAAGTTTGGAAAAAGAAGTGAGGATTCTGGAGAAGAAGTAGAGGAAAGAGCGAGATAAAAACGGCAGTCTGCTTTGAACTTGACTGGAGACAATAGGGAAGAAGATTGGTAGCCTCTCATTTCCCCTGTTTTTGCTGCTCTGTTTTGTATGCTATATTTGGGTAAAAAATTTGCTGGCAAACAGAGAACCCTTCAGATTCAAATCTTTAACTACTTCACAACTTTCAAACCCGCCAAATTAGTAATACCTACAGTAAATTGCAAGACGTTTTGCATCACCTAACCCAAGCCAAGCCAAGCCAACCACGCCTTGTCTAATTTCACACCTGAATCACATTTCAGAATAAAAGAAACGTTTCTCTTGTGATATTCGGTTCTAATTAGAAAAGAATGGGCCTCCGAATTGGGTTTTTTAGGCCCAACCAAGTCTGTAAATTTCATATAAATATAATAAAAAGCGAAAAAAACGTTTAATTTCATCAGCCGCCAAAGGATTAAAATAACGGTTTTGTACGACAATGAAGAGGAAAACCTAGCTTTCCACGAACTTCATTAACCGCTCTAAACTCCATTTTCCCGCATTTATCTCAACCCACTCTCTCTCTCTCTCTCATAGAGTAATTTTATACAGTCAATATATGGGAAGGACTTATCCGGTGTACATCCATGCACCAAATTAACGAAAAACAGTTTTTTTTTTTTACTTAAAAGAGGATATTCACGACAATTCACTACAAAAAATATAGATAAAACAGTAATAATTTTCTAAAATTAATTTTTTTTTTTTTTAATTTGGTCTGTTCAGGTGTTGGCAAGTCTTGTCCATCAGTTTATATAGTTTTGGTATAGTTGCAAATGGTCTTGTTTTCTGATACACTTCAAGAAAAGAGACAGAATCATATATATGTTTGTTCTTATGCAATTCTTGGACACTCATATTCTCAGGTATTTATAGTTTCCTCAGTTTTGCATTTTAAGTTAATTTTAGTTAGTTCTTTTTCTTTTCTCTTTTACTTTGCTTGTGTACTTGTTCTTGAATTTTTTTCAGGTAAAGCAACAATGAGCAGCAGCTTCAGTAGTTCATACTCAGACATTGAAACTGCTTTCAACCAACACCAACTTTCATTACTAACAGGAGATCAGTTTCTTGATTATACTGAAAATAATTTTGATTTCCTGCTTAATACGTTTGTTGATCCATTTTATGACTCTGTTAATTTCCTAAATTACTCGGATAATCTCCTTCTATGTGAGTCTCCAAAAACCTATGCACCTGAAGATTTCAATTTGGCATATCCAAACACTAAGCGTCCGAAATGCAATAATACTGAAGATTTCTGCTGCTACTCTTATTCTGACTACTTTACACAACCGCCAACTTCTGTTCAAGTTAATAGCGATGATAATAATGGAGGAAAGAAGATGAATATGGAGGTGAGGAGTGTGTCAGCACAGAGCATAGCAGCAAGAGAAAGGAGGAGGAAGATCACAGACAAGACTCAATTGCTAGGGAGATTGATTCCAGGTGGAAGTAAGATGAACACAGCTGAGATGCTTCAAGCTGCTTACAAGTATGTCAAATACTTGCAGGCTCAACTTGGCGTTCTTCGATTCTTATTTGGCTCATCACAGGTAATTTTTCTTTTGTTAAATTACGTTTTAAGTTTTTAAGAATAACTATTTAAAAATTGGGCAGCTGAAAGCGAAGGACATAAAAGAACTGCAAATTCTTGGATCTGCCTCATTTCAAGAGAAGCTATACATGCAGGAGAAGTGCTTGGTTCCCAACGAGATTGCTCTAATTTTGACAAATAATCAGGACGTCAATTCTGATACCTCCATATCAGACCTCACTCTGTTGTTCAACGACAAGTAGTTTTATTTATCACTGTCTAATTTCTAATCATTGCATTGTAAGGATCCTTATATGTTCTTTAACTTTGAACATCGACTGACATTAATTTTAGTTAGCTTCTTCTTACCCTGGCAACATCAGACACCTGTTTTAATGGCAAATAATAATTTTGACGCCAATGTTTTCATATTCGAATTGTTTAGGTAAAAAAAAAAAATTCCATCCAACGTTAAACTGAAAGCAGAAAAACCAAGGCGATCTTATTGTTCAACTGTTTTAGATACAATCTCTCCTGTCATAATCAGAGAATGGACCTCTTTTTCCATAACCAGAGAATTCAACTAGGCAATCCTAAAGCAGCATCTTGCTGCCAAGCTTCCAGATTTAGGAAGTGTCAACAGGTGTGTCAGGATGTGCACCCCATTCAGTCCAGGATCCATCATAAACTGCAACATCTTGCTTCCCAAGTCGATGCAGACCCTGAAAAACACAGGCATCAATATCTCTGATAATTTAGGTTTGTTTATCCAGTTTAACAAGAGAAATTAATTACTATCATCACTGATAATTTATTTTTGTTTGTTCATGTGCGCGCATACACATGTTTGTAAAGCTAGACACGGTGAGTCAAATTAAAGTCCCAAAGCTGTTATGTATCAGTAAAGCATAGTAAGAACAATAAATACCAAAGCAAGAATGCAAGCAGTTACGCCAGTCCCACAAGAAGTAACAATAGAGCTTTCCAAGGAGATGCCTGTAGAAAGAAATAATATTAGGTCACTAAACTGTCATATAAAGGTTGTCACACTACCATATTGTCATATGAAAAGAGCAGATCAGAAGAGTATTCGGTTCCAACCACAAGATGATTTGTTTACACAATTCAAGTGAGAAAACTGTGATGAAAATAGGAAATGAAAAGAGAGAAGATAATGTTACTCACCTTCTTGATCAAACCGTTTCTTAAGCTCATCCGCTGGTAAGAGTGTCTGTGAAGCATCCAACATCTGCAAAGAAACAACAATTGTATTAGTGAAGAAAGGAAAATGAAAAGAGGAAGCTCGTAAGGGCATCATAAAATGCAATACTCAATAGTCACTCACAAGTACTCAAAATTTAAAACTTGTATAACGTCAACTCTCTTACTTGGGGAAAAGGAATGCACTTGCTCCCAGGTATGTGACCACTTTTTATTCCCTTTCGAGGTTCTGGTGCAGCTCCATCAAACCTGCAAGAAGAGAAAACATCCATCATATTGCCCTAGTTTACATACTTCATGTGTTTACTTGGGCATACTACCTTTCTAACTAATACCAAACAAGGTAACTGTTTCATCTACATTTTGGAAAATGTGTACAATTTTCATTTTTTATTAAAAAATAAGTTATATTGAATTCTATTTTTTGTCTATATTTGCTCACCTCAGCATTATTGTTTGTCTCATACATCTCTTGTGCATATTGATGATTCATCAACCATCCAATAAAGTTTTTCCATTCAACTTAACAGGCATTTCAAAAATCTCTCATCTAGTAAATCCATCAAAATGAAGGATTTAAAGATCCATTTCCTAAGTGCATTTTCATGAAAACCCTCTATTTGATGAGGTAGGGATTCTATAAACTTTTCTTATTCCAAAAATAATAATACTGCAAAACAAGTGAAATTGTTCAAATTCATGGAATAATAACTAGGTTTGTTACTAACATTTGATGATTCCATGGATTTTGAAGTACCTCAATTTGAATATACACCTAGCTTGTATTAAGTCCAAATCATGCCTAATACTAAAATTCTTGGACTCTAAACCTCCATAAGTTTTACTTACGAAAAAGTCCCATCCGCATGTATCACGTGCCATCAAACATCATCTTGAGTACGCATGGTAAAGCTTACTCTAAGTCGACAGCTAATCATAATTATGATTATTATGACTTCCAATAATAAAATATTAAAGTCTCTTATTTTCTCTAAAATTTCAAACAAGCCAACTATAGCCCTGACACGAGCAGGTATTCAGCTTTAAGTAGACTAAAAGGCACATAGTTTTTAGATAGTAAAACATGTTCATCATGGAAAGCAAATATTGTTACAACTAGAAAGCATGTGACAAAAATTATAAATAAGACCTGGCCTTTGAACGGGCATCAATATGTTGGTGCATCTTGTCCTCAATGTTTTTCTTAACCTGGAAGTCATCCCAGAGTCAGCATATGGAGCACATATAATTGGAGTGGAATTAGAAACATGCTATTCAAACACTAAGGGCGGAAACAAACCTGCTCAAGGGTCCAAACAAGATGCGGCTGAAATTTTGTCTGGAATGTGATTGGTCCAACCTGCAATAGGGATATTTATGAGATCCAAATCTGACAAGAACGTAATAGTCCAGAAGAAATTTTTATTCCAGCCAGGTCATGAGGTAACATCACCCATTCATGTAGGCAAAGCCTTGCAAGCAAATAGGCCCTCAACCCACACCCCAATACCCTAGCAAGCAGGTAAGGTTACACTAACTTGACCCTCTGTGAATTATAGAAATAAATAATGTGTTTCTTCTGCACATACAAATAGGTAAGAGGATCTGGAAGAGAGGGTTGATACTGGGTCAACTATGGCAGTGACTGAGGGGGACTTGTTCTGTGATAAACAAATGACTCCAAACAATAACCTCAACCTCAGGGCAGCCAATCCTAAGAAAAGAAAGAGGTGAACCTCCAAGAAGTAGCTTTTTTGGATTGCTTTTACATTTGTTTATATGAAAAAGATGACATCTGTAAACTAATCAACCAATAGAATAAAGACAATTGAAAATGTTGCTGCCTAGAAATCCACATATTTTGCTTCCTAGAATTATTCTGAACACCACATTGTAGTGGTCAGTCTAGCTGGCCGCTCTAAACTGCTATATGGCAATAAAAGGATGTAAGTATAATCAGGCACTCCAACCACCAAAACATCATCATCATTTGAATAAAAATAAAGGTCACAGCAAAGCTCATGCTTCCAAGCTTGTTGCATTGAGGCATAACTTTGTAACCCTATTACTAAAAAACTTCCAACTTTTTGCATCCAAAAGAAGACTAATTAAGAGCAGTTTTGCTCCAACTGAAATGTTTTTTTTTACAGCCATGGGAACCATTGAATTAAAAATTAATTTGTTGATTTGAGATTTTAAAAAATATAGGATATAATTCAAGGACTTACTGTCTGGCCCTGATATACTTTCTCTATTGCCTCACTGGCAGCGCTAGCTTTCAGGATGGTATCACCAGAAGCACTGGATTCAACATCATATCCTGATGCACGCCATCTAGGTAAGCCTCCATCCAACACCCAAACTTTATCATGCCCAAAGACTCGGAACATCCTTCTCATTTGATGAAAGAACAAAGGAAAAATATTAGATGGTTAACATAAAATACCAATTTTGCATAGAATCACAAAAATTTGAAATACGTCAACTACTCACCACCAGACACGAGCTGCGCTAAAAATACCCTTCCCATCATAAACAACCAATCCATCTTTATTCTCAATTCCAAGAGCAGAAACAGCAGCTGCAAAAGCTTCCTCTGAGGGTAACATGTGTGGCAACTGATACAAATTCATTATCACATTTAGAGATTAAATGCAAAGAACCAATAATCTACATAGCATTATCATAAGAGTGGACCTAGCCATAAATTCTAACTATTGCTACATAAAACAGCGAATTACCATGAGCATTTTTTTTCAAGGTATTTAAAATGCTTATGATAAATATTAATATATGATTGTCAATAAGCAATCAAGTGTGATCCGCTTAGTCTTCCCTACCATTTTCTACAAGGATGTGAGGAGTGAAAGGTCTCAAATTAGATCAATGAACCAAAAAGAAAGAGATGATAAATACGTATAACTATGAAGCACTGTGGTTATTATTCCATATAATCACTTTCACAGAAAATAAATACATCATTCATTATAATAAATGATATCAGAGACAATCTTACATTTGTAGCTCGATCTGCTATCCCATCTACATCAAAGAAAACAGCACCAGGAATGTGAGCAACCTGTAAGTGCATAAGATATGAGCAGAGAGAATCAGGATCGAAATTTGAAGTAGATTTAATGGTAAAACACAAATTTTAAGAATTAAAGGAATAGATACAATTTTTACAAGATCAAAAATAGCTAAATTCAAAAAATAAATAATTACACGAGCCTATTTAGAATGTCTGCAAACCAACCAAGACAAATCAATTCAAAATAAAATTGTAGTCAGACCTGATACTCTTGAAATGGATTTCTTTGTTCATCTGGCATGTACCAGGATGCATCCAACACCTGAATATGACAAAAGTACAGAGTTACATATTTGTACAGGATGTAACTAGGAGCAACCAAAGTGCATTAGTTAAATTAGACTTCCATAAAATCTACGATAGCGTTAACAGATGCTAGATCAATAAATACTGTGGATCCCAAAGTTGTAACTTTTTGCAAATAGGCATGTTTATGACCAGTTGGCCAACAGATCCAAAAAAGAGAACTCAGCGTGAGGCAGAGTGCAATTCACTGAATGCAAAAATCTTTAAATTTTGGGAGTGCAATTCATTGAATGCAAAAATCTTTAAATTTTGGCACTAACAATGGTCACGGAGTTCAGATGTGTGTTTCAGTTTATGAATCAAACTTGGAAACTAAAAGAGGGAATATAGCTGACTGTTTGCGGCTTTTTTTTTTTTTTTTTTTTTTTCTGAAACGCTAGCAGGAATACAGAACTAAATGAGAAGATAAAAAAAGCTAAGAAGGAACATGCATCTATTCAGCCACTCCACAGTGACAGAGCCACTTACAATTTTAAGGAGAATGTTACTAGCACCTACTTATTGGATATTGGAGCCTCCGTTTTACATCTATGCATGCTTTTGCAGATAGCCAAAAATAGAACATGGGATATTCAAGCAATAGCAGGTACCTTCATATCAGGCTCCCTAAGATTAGCATGGAGCCAATCAACAGATACAACGGGTTCATTCGTAGATAAAGATTGTGTAGAAAAATTAGCTTTTGTACCGACCACAGAGGAAGCCATAACTCGAGAAACCCAACCAGAGGTCCTATGTGATGTATAAAGAGGGTCAGCTTGTACGTGAAATGGTCTCTTCTGAAAAAAAACATAGTTACATATAATAAGATCATAAGGAATACTTAAAAAATTACCAATATCAAAATGATATTATTAACAAGTTTAATTACTTGTACCAAGCATGCTATAGAGTACAAAATAGAAAAGAATTCTGCCAAGTTGAAGCGTTTTCAAAAACAACATATACTTTATCAATTCACTTCTTAACTTTCAGAAATCAAAATGCAGCACAGTTTATAAAACCTAACCAAACAACATAACTGATAATGCAAAATCCTTGGCACACAAGAGAAACCAGATCATATCCAGCTGTCGCCCCACAAGAAGGAGAAGAAAAATACTTGTATCGATATCGAAGAAGCACAATAATAGATCACTTAATTGGGAAAAAATAAAAAATGGAAGTACACACAGTCAATATACTTTCTACAGCTAAAAGTTCAACCAAGAAATACAAACTTGTTCGCAACAACAAAAAAGTATACACACACTATACACACACACACACACACACACACACACACACATATATATATATATATATATATCAATACCCACAAACAAGTAAAATCCAAAGTAACATGTTCAAGCCGAAAACAGAATAGAAAAAGGGAGGAAATTCAATAACGAATCGGATGATTTAGATAAACCCAGATAAATATTAGACTTAAAAATTGAGTACTGTGGCACTCACATTAAAGAGAGAAGTGAAGAGCTGGGTTTTGTGTGAGAGAGTCCGCGAGGAGTGCACGAATCGGTGGCCCAATAGAGTCCTGGTGAAAACGGCCGATGCCATCTACTTGAAGACCATAGAAAACAGATGTGATTCTATTTGGTGTGTCGAATTCACCCAAAGAGAATGATTATTGAAGCCAAAGACGAAAAGCAATGAACTTTCTGAGCTAACGGACGGTGACAATATCAACTGCAGCTTACTGCTGCTAGTGATAAATATTTTGAGAGTACCTTTTACCTTCGATACGTTTGCAGATTTCTACGCTTGTTTGGACGTCTTCTATAAAAACTAAAATTGTGATAAATAAAATATTTAATTATTAGGATAACTATGTTTATATAATTATTATAACTAATTTAATCTTGATGTGACCATATATATATATATATATATATATATGTTTATAATTATAATGAAATTTTATGTTGAAGATTCGATGAGCTATTAAAACCAAAGGAAATGGGAAAGAAAATCACTTTCTAGCCCAATTCATTTTGAGAGACTCGTAATAAAATGGTCCAATCCATCAATAAATTTCATTGGGCTAAATGGGCCTAACATATTATCAAACTCTTTTTTTTTTTTAATTTAAATTTTATCTTTATTGCCCATCTAAAAATCCATTATACTCGTAAGATGAGATTTTCTGATTTTGGCAGCAAGGAGAGAAGTGTAGTGCAAATTGGATGATTCTAGCAACTAATTTCATGTTTAAGCAGTATTCACAGGTTTTTTAAAGAAATTCATTATCCATTTTGTAGAATATTAGTATGCAGTATATGTGTTCTCTATTTGTGGTCGGAATACACTGATAGAACTTGTGATCACCCTGAAAGTGCAGATTCAAACTCTATTTTCCCTCTTGCTTGTTAAAAGGGATTAAACTCAATTGCTCAAAAGAACAGAATCTGGAACCTTGCAGAAATGCACATTTTTGTGTATATATGAATGTGAAAGAGGAGCAGATAATGCAAATATGAACCTCAGAAAACAGAATTGATAAAAAATCCAGTGCAGCTGTGTGCAAAACCTTGCAGGTTCAAGCAAACATGAGAAAATCTAACATTGACAAGATCAATCAGGTAGTCTAGAATGCAATCTGGTAGGCACCGGTCATCAGAAAGGAAAACCTTGATGCAAACTTTTCTTTGAGGCTTCAGCCAATCGCTTAACACCTTTTGTCATTTTATAGAACTCCATTAACTCTTCAGCAACATCCTTTGGGTGGCACCAAACAAATACCTTCAAGAATCGCCTTTCTTTCATCCTCAGTGCCCTTAGCATCAAAGGCCCTTTGATTTGTGGACAGAGATTCAAATCCTGTAGCTTCCCTGCAAGAAACCACCTAGGTTTCAACACAATCTCCAAATTACATAACAGTAAATATGGGTACTCAATGACCATTTTTGCTGGGAGCTTCATCGTGCCCATAATGAAAGTCATATTCCTTTGAACCTTATCAACTGATAGTGTCAACAAATATGGAGAACGCCCAAAAAGACTCCAAATCTCTTCATCTGAAAGCCCATACTTCTCAAAGTTTGCCACCTTTTTACGGATGGTCTCAATCCTTGATACGCCAACTAGGGTAACTATATATTTATACATCTTGGAGTTCTTGGGAATCCCAGCTTTCTGTATGCACTCCATCTTCTCATCATCAAACGTAGTTCTTGGAATCAAAGTTGGCCTAGACAAGAGCATAGGAATCAAATCCTTTTTACTAACACCTATTCCTTCATACAGTGCAATTGCAGGTTTAATACTATTGTGGAAATCATATGTCAAAAGTGAAGGATTCCTAATAATGGCCTTAAGTAGCACTTCCCTTGAACCAAATAATGTCATAAAATACTCCAGACGCTCTTCAAAGAAACGATTGATACGACAACTAAGGAAGCGTGGGCGACAATTGATGATCTTAACAAGGTCTGCTGAGGTGATACCCAAGTCCTGAAGTAAACTTAGTTTGGATTGAAGGTGGGTAGGATCAGATTTGCGCAGAGAAGGGCGGCGTGTTAATATCTTTGATAAATCATTTTCACTGCAACCCCATTTCCTTAGAACTTCTACAGACTCCTCGGCTCGCTCTTCTCCTTCTAAAACATTTTCAACTTGGTTTAGGCCTATTGTCGAATAACTGGCGGTCGTGGTGGAAATGAAGAAAAATGGAGACTTTGCACTTGGCCTTCTGTGCAGACAGAAAAATCTTTGAGAGGTAATGAACAAGGAACAGAAATTGATTAAGGAATTGGGGTTAGGTTTCATGTCAATCTTACAGATTGTCGACTGAACCGATAGCAGGGTTTAAGGATTGTCTCTCTCAAGAATTGATTTTATACTAAAACTTATAATGGATTGAGATGGAATTGAATGGAATTAAGAGCAAGATGGCAGATAATAATCTCAGAATGGTTTTTAGCTCAATTCTTTTAGTACAATTTCTACCAGGACAATTCGGCACCAAAAAAGAAAAACAACAATAGAATCATTAACTTCAATATAAAGGCAGCACAGATGTCTGAGTTTAACTAACTTACGACTTACTGTTGCCAATGAAGATTGCCATTAAACAAAGCAGCACTTGAACAAGCCAAGAAAGGAGGATACATATCAATGAAACACATATAAGGAGCGCGTGTATAGAAAGAGAGAGACCTGGAGAGTGCCGAGAAAGAGGCAACCTATAAATTTTGAGGTGGGAGACGCAGAGACACAGAGAGAGCAGAGCAGCTGAGCTAAGGGATTTGAAAGCTTTGAGGCTCTTCGGCTTGCGAGATTATCGTTTTTCAGTCAAAGCCGAGCCGACATATTTAATAGTTTTTTTCTGTATTTTTGTGGTTTTTCTCATCCGATTTAACCACGGCATTAATTTTAATTTTAAAAAAAAGTTATTTTTTAATTGACGTGCTAATTAAATTAGTTTTTGCCTGAAACTTTGTTAATTTTATAAATTTTATAATTTAAAATTTCTTTCATTATTGTAAATCAAGTTTTATTTCTTTGAAACACCTGTTAGTTCCAGGAAAAAAATTTCAAATATTGGATGCTTGGGAAGAAGCATTTTCCTAATTTTCTATGTTAGTTCTAAACTCTTAACTTTAGAACTCTGTAAGTATGTTCTAAACTGCTTTCTATATTTGAAAGTGAAAGACTTGCTTTGTGATATTTTCTAAATATATATATATATATATAAAGCAAGCATTTTTTGTCTAAGAAGTCGATACGTGACACTTCTTAAACGAATGTTCTTCCATTGCTCTTGCCAGATAAAATTTTTGGTGATGACACATGAGATTATAATGCCACGTGTTACATATTAATAGTGTCATAGTGTCACATAGAATTTAGTTATTAATTATATTTTTATATAAATATTAATATTAGTTACCATTCAATTATCATAATTAATACATACTAGTAAATAATTATAGTTATTATAATGTTATAACCCATCTTTCTCAATTAAAATTACATAATATTAGTCTTAGTTGTCATTCAATTATCATATTAATACGTATTAAATAATTAAATAATTATAATATTAAAATAATTAAATAATTAAATATTATTAATATATTTTTTAATTAAAAATTATCAAATTTGATGTTGATTATCATATTAATAATGTATGATAACTACTTTAATTAATATATTATAATATTGACATTGAATATCATTATAATCATTATAGTTATATTAGTTATCATTTATTATTATGAATGAAAATTTTATATTTAAAAGAATGATAGAGAAGGTTAATGGTGAAAATATTTATTAATAGTTTTATTAATAATGCATATTCAAACGTTTCAATATTTATTTGTCTTAAAATTGCATATATAGTTTTTTTTTATTAGTTTCAATGATATTATATTGAATTAAAAATAATTGGTTATCATTAGACTGTAAATAGAGGACGCTCTTTGAGGTTTAGTAAGATCATTTTTTTTATTTTAATAATTCTTGTATAATTTATTTTCGACATTGATATATTTTTTTCTCTTATAATTCCTATTACTTTATCAAATTAGAAAAATTTTGATAAATCATAAGAGAGAACAATTTACATGAAATTATCATTAAGAATGATCTATATATGTCTATGATTGAATTTCAATTGTCCATTTTATTTTATTTATTTTATTATTTCTAATATAATCTAAGAAAATTTATTAATTCAAAAATAAATTAAAATCAATGATTTTTAATACATATTTCTTTTTTTTTTCAATTTTATTATAGACATTAATTTTTATATAGTTAGTCTAACGTTTTGAATTTGAAATAGATGTTGTTTAATTTTAATAAGTTTCAACAAAATTAACAAATACAAAATTAAAAATAATTTAAATTAAATATTTTTTATTAATTAAATTTTATATTTTAAAATATTATCACAATATCTCTAAGCTTAAGATTATAAACAAAAATATTTACTGTGCACAAGCACATGCATGTCGCTAGTATTAAAAATAATTTAAATTAAATATTTTTTATTAATTAAATTTTATATTTTAAAATATTATCACAATATCTCTAAGATTATAAACAAAAATATTTACTGTGCACAGCACATGCATGTCGCTAGTATTTTAGTTTTGCATGATAAAAATATAGTTTAATAATGTTACTCAAATATAATGCATTAATGGCAAAGATCAAATTGAATGATTAATTGATCAAAGAGGTTCAAACAAATGCAATATTGAAAAGAGAGTTGCAATTTTATTGCTGGACTTACTTCACAATCCACGGAAAACAAACAAGTCATCCTTGTTCAAACGACATGACGTCGACCTCAAAAGGGTTGTAAACTGCAAATGCCTCTGACCTTAAAAGTTAAAACTAGCTAACTCAAAATAATCTCAAAAAGCAACAAACTGCAATTCACGCTGCAGGTCTTGTTTTTCTTCAAGTCGTTATTTCTTGAAGTGTTCAAATTTTATGCATCCATCTCGCTGTCTTAAACTTCATACCATCACTTCATTAGCAGTGCATTTTTCCCAACCCTTCAACTGTTATCACTTATCAGATCATTTTCCTCTTCCTTCTCATATCTAGTAAATTTGAGTTACATGTGCTTTTCTGAAAAAGCACACAACTTGTGCACCCAGTCACTTCATAAGAAAAATTTGCATCGATGAACCATTTCGTCATGAAGGCGATAAGTATCCTGATTAGACATAGAGGCACAAAGAAGCAGCTTGCAATCCACATTCTCATTGATTAGAAGCAAACATCAGCCTATGTAATTCCAGCTCTGGTCTGCAGCTGCACTGGAGACAAATGGAAGATGCCTGAGCAAAAGTCATTAAGTCATTTTCAACTTAATACAACCAAACATGCAGCATAAATTCAAAGGAGGACATACCTGAACTGAGTTGAGAAGACTAGAAGCATTTGAATGTGAACCAGGAGCTCTAGTTTAACTCAATTATTGAGATAAGAACTTTCTCCCACCATTTTCATCTGATCAAGATGAACTGTTTGACACAGAATTTCCAATCTATCAAAAGAAAATTATGGCAGATCTTGTTGTTTTTCAAATTGGCTGTAAAAGTGCCATGTTCTTCTTTGTAGATTGTACAAAGCTATATCCAGGAATCTTTGTCAAACTTCTCTCTTCCATTAAGTTTCTCATCTTGCAAGCATTGTCCCATGCACCAGCTGCAGCATATAAGCTCGATAAAACAACATAATTTGCTGGATTTTCAGGATCAATGTTAAAAAGATGAGTAGCTGCCACTTCTCCAAGAGAAATATTGCCATAGATACTGCATGCCCCCAGAATGGCACCCCACAATGAGGCATTAGGCTTAATATCCATTTTGCATATCATATTATAAGCTGCTTCCAACTGCCCTCCACGTGCAAAGAGATCAACAATACAAGAAAAATGCTCAGTTCGTGGTAGGATATCATATTTGTTAATCATATTATTAAAGCATTCCCAACCCTCACGAGTCATTCCTGAATGACTGCAAGCAAAAAGAAGAGACAAGAATGTAATATCATTTGGTTTTAAACCTTCACATTCCATCTTCTTGTATAAAGCAAGTGCTTCATGTCCATATCCATGCTTTCCATATCCAGTAATCAATGAAGTCCATGAAATCACATTTTTCTCCTTTATGTCATAAAAAGCTCGGGTAGCATCTTCAATTTCTCCCGATTTTGCATACATATCAACCAAAGCATTGCCCATGGCAACATCATAATTGGGTTTATATTTTAAAGCAAGAGCATGTATTTGTCTTCCCATGTCCAGGGATGCTGCATCAGCACATATATTAAGCATAGTGCATAAGGTAACATCATCTATCTCCATGTGTATCTGCTGAATTTCTCGTAAGAGTTCTAAGGCCTCCCTGCTATAGTTACTGTCACGTGCATATCCAGTCATTAGAGCTGTAAAAGATATTACATCTTTCTTTAGCATGCTCTTGTATAAATCCTGAGCACTTTTTATGCTTTTGCATTTTGCATATGCATCAATTAGTGAACCATTCAAATAAATGTGAGATCCAAATCCTTGTCGAATGATAATTCCATGTATTTGGCAGACTTTGATGAGGTCAGTAACCCTACTGCATGCCTTTAAAACACTTCCCATTGTGAAACAATCAGGGATCACACCTATTTAAATTTTAGTATTATAAAAAGGCTAGAGAAATCTCAATATCAAAACCATGCGAAAAAATTAAAATAAAAACAAAGCATGCGACATGATTGCAAGAGAGAATTCTACATGCATTATTCAAAAGCACGATATTCTTAAAGATGAAGAAGAAAAGACAAAACAAACATAGACTGAGAGGATATTGATATGCAATAAAGTTCCCATTAATGAAGAGCCACGTTATAAGAAGTTTAATAAACAGCATCCAGAAGGACAATCACTTCTTTTTCTCTGAGAAATTTTTCAGTCCTTTTGCAAATTATACTTTTCCAGTTCATCAATTTGTTAGCTCTAGACAGCTTCTCTCTTCCCTTTAACTCGTGCAAGCGGTTTCTTAATTTATCCCAGAAGTAATCTTTGATTTGTTATAAACAAGACCTATTTGGTAAATTTTACCCATCTTAAATTTATGCTGTAACACCTACCACAGATTCTAATTAAAAACAGGTGGCAATGGCAAAGAAAACCATCTCAATAGTATGGTACGACAGATTCAAGGGTACCAAAATTTTCTTCTCAATTTTTTTTTTTAGAAAAAAAAAGGTACACGCCAAAAGATAAATGACCATACCTTCTCTCATCATTGAATGAAACATTCGAAATGAATCATCAGAAAAACCCTGAACAGCATATCCACCAATCATTGCATTCCAGGAAACAACATCCCTCTCAGACATCATTCCAAATAAATAGCAAGCATCCTCCATGTTTCCACACTTGGAGTGCAGATCAATCAATGCACTTTGCACAAAAACATTGCCAAGAAACCTACTTTTCTGTATGCATCCTTGTATTTGCATCCCTCTCTCTACACACCTCAAACCTGTACAAGCCCTCAAAACGCTCCCATAAGTAAACTGATTGGCTCTAGCTCCTGCTCGACCCATTTCTCTAAAAAATAACAATGCATCTTGATAATATCCATTTTGTGTATACCCAGAAATTTGAGCTGTCCATGTCACCACATTTCTTGCAGACATTCTATCAAACACCCTGCGAGCGTTATTTGTATCGCCCAGTTTTGAATAGAAGATAATCAATTTGGTGCTTAAGTGGAGGCTTGAATGCAATCCATTTCTTATAATGTGGCTGTGAACCAAACAACCGTGTTTTGAGGCTTTTGTTTCGATGCAGAGTTGCAAGATTTTCATAAACAGAGAGGAGTCCAAGTGAGTTGATGGGGTGAGACAGATATTGCCAACTTCCAGTAATCTTGCTGGGTTGGCTAACGAACAGAATTGTTGTTTGAATAAAGTGGGAATGTGCATTGTTCGTAAGGACACTTCTCATCTGTCGATCTCCTTCTTCCTTTCAATTTGGAGACAGTATATTCTTTCGCGCGCTATTTTAATTTGAGGATGTTGATTAGATCGCAGGCGGCCGTGAGTCCATAAAAAATATTTTTCTAATTAAAAAAATAATAATAAAATTTTAAAACTACAAAATTTTTGTAATTCTAATTTTTTTTATAAAAATGGATTATTTGAAAAATATTTTTGAGCAGAATTTTTCCTGGATATATTAAGATAAATTATTTTCTACAGACAGTAAAATAAGTAAAATATGTATATGAACTTAATAAGAAACATGTATTTATTTGTATTGAATATGTAACCTCCCAAATCTAATAACAAATTAACAATAGATAAACAAACAAGGATATAATTTTTTTTTTTTTTCACAAGGGAAAAATAAAAATAAGTGACAATAGCCGTTGATGTACAAAGAATGAACATATATAAGCAACCATTTTCAAAATTCATAATCCTAATTTTGGACCATTCAAACATGAAGAATTTCTTCTCAAAAATAAAACAAAAAATGAATTGGCCATTTTAGGATTGGCTCAGAATTCCATGGACCATGAAATGGACGGAACAAACAGACCCCAGTCTTCCTCCAAATATCAACAAAATGCAGAGAGAAACGTTCATTTTGGATGCTTCGGCATGCTATAACGAACGATTGAATGTTATATTACATTAATGAAGTACAAAAACTGTAAGAGAGTGTCGTCAATGTCATCTCTTCTTCAACCTATTGAACTTCTTGTCCTTGACGCGTAGGTATTTTTCAATTTCATCCTCACCATCTTCTCTGCCCTTCCTCTTCCGGCCACCAGTTTCTTTTCGTGTCTGCAGACGTGCAAGTTAAATAGATGGGTCAGGTTAATCAAAAACAATGTTACAGCGGCAACAGAGAAACACAGTAGAGTAGACAGTTTCACACATTCAAACCAAACAGAAGTTATGATCACGTAAAGCAGTAGTCTGTTAATTTGGCATCCAAGTTTTATAGGTGTAGAATCCAGATTCAACAAGGGAACCAGCAATGCTTGCAAAATGGACACAAACCGTCCAACAAATATTGGATATAATAGATTCCAGTTCTGCAAGTGCTCTTAATTGGCATTGATGTTGAAACTGTTTTTATAGAAAAACACCATTTTTTAGAAGTTGAAAAAACAATTCTGTCACTTGTTAGGACTAAAATATGTGAAATTCACCTTAAAAAACCAAACTTCAACAACATATAATAACATTGTTTTCTCAACAACTCAAATAGTAAGCATACACGCGGTCTTCATTATCATTCATAATAGAAACCAGAATATACCGAATTAGCAATTCTTTTGGCTTCCATGACACGCTCCATTAAAAGCAAGACTTCCTCTTCTTGAGCAGGAAACTCAACTAACTTTTTACCTGAACATAGTAAACCACTTACTATTAACCACAGCCATCCTCTTTGCTTTCCTTAAAAAAATTGGAAAAAAAAAATGAAGGGGTCTCCAACAAACGAGATGGCACATCAATCTTACCAATAAGGTGCTCTATATGTATATACCACTCGACTTCATATTGACTCACAAGCGATATTGCAATCCCAGAACGTCCTGCACGAGCAGTTCTTCCAACTCGATGAATATAATCCTACAACCCACTCAAAATCAGAGACAAAAACTTAATTAATTAAATTGAGCTGAAAATATCCCACAACACAGCTTTTATTGTTCATCACCAAAAAATACCAATAATATTTACAATAGGATAAATCGCCCAGAAAGACCTGAAATTTTTTCGCAGTTTGCGAGCATGGAATAATAGACTGAAAACAACCCATTGGACATAATCATAGCCAAGCAGCCATAATACATTAAATTACATGCAAAAAAACTCATAATTAATAGTAATCATACAATTAAACGACTTCCTATGCCATGGCCAAATTGCACCTCGCAGCCAAAGAACAGTCCATAATCAGTCAATTCTAAAAGCTATGAGAGAAAGAAACCAGGATTCAGGGCAGGTAATTTTTAAAAATTTTTTCTGACAAGTAATCGTGTCCTGCTCAAGCACTACAAAAGCACACCACAAAAATAGCAAAGCTAACCTTTGAATTTGAAGGGATATCATAATTTATAACCATATCCACAGCTGGAATATCAAGTCCTCTACTTGCCACATCAGTGGCTATGAGAATATTGCACTCTCCAGCTTTGAACTTATTTAAGGCTCCCAATCTCTTTGCCTGTTGCAAACATTCGACCAATGAGAAGAAAAAAGGCGTCCAATATATACATCAGCAAATGCTTAAGCTTAAATTAGTCAGATACCTGAGTCATCTGACCATTGATTGGGATGGCCCTTAGACCAAGATTTCGAAGGACCGAGGCCAAAAACATAGTTGAATCACACGTTCGAGTGAAAACCATGGATGTACTCCCAGACATCTCAGTCAGGATATATACAAGATAGCAATCCTGTAAGCACAACAAAGAGAAATGAATTTGAGAAAACATTGAAACCAAAAGCTATAAAACGAAGTAGCCCTTGGTTCAATGAGTTTCAATTGTGACATGAGAAATACAATTCAATAACCAAAAATCAGTCTCTGCTGTTGACTGTCAACTAGTGCATAATTAAAAAAGCCCTATTCAATCAACTTGAACTATCAAGATAGCCTCAAGAGACAGCCTTCATATAGACTCACTTGATAAACCCCTGCATGCATGCTTTTCCAAAATTTTATTTTCTTCAACAGCCTCAGACAACTGTGATTATAGTTTTAAGAGCATGTCGTTTGTAAAAATGATTGCCAAGGATAAGTGAATAACATTAACAGCCCAGTAACTACTTGTGAGACTTTGACCACCAATCACCATTCTTGCACATTAACCTAGCCCACTTTTTCTAATTAATAACATCCACATAATAACTAAACATGTAATAGAAAAAGGACAAACCTTGTGCTTAGAAGGGATAAATCGATATTGCTGCTTCAATGTGTCAACTGTAGAATATTTAGAAGCTGCTTCTATCTGAAATAGTTGGATTCACAAGGTTTACCAATAAGGTGAATGAGTATGCCGAGAGAATAAGATGGATGTAAATGATATTGCCATACCTTCACTGGATTCCTTAGACAAGCCCTTTGGAGCTTGCGCACCTGCAAAACAAGTGAATAGCTTCATCGAGCTTTTAGCCTTCTGTTATTTATTCTCCTACTTTTCAAACTCTTCACAACTAATTATTCACAGTATACAGTAAGAGCAGTATAATCATGATAATACAACATAACAAATAAACTCTTTTAATGTGGGGAAAAATGAATCAGCAAGGCCATCTGCAATGAAACTTTGCATAGCTCATAAATAGAAAATTCATAAAATGCACAAAAACTTTAAACCTTCATTTTGTTTTTGCGAGGACCTAGTTCATAGCAAAAGAAAAAACACAACATATACCACATACCTTTTTTGTCATCGTTGCAGAAAATAAATATGTTTTCCGTTCTCGTGGGATAATTGCTAAGATTTCATCAAGGGATTTCTCGAAATCATCATTCAGCAACCTGTCAGCCTCATCTAAGACCTGCTCAACGGGCACCAAGCAAGAAACATTAACAAAGTTATTCAAATTGTAGTCAAGGATAACAGGTGACATGGGCATCTTTATTGTAGCATTTTCCATCCAGGACAAACATCAGAACTGTAAATAAACTTTCAGCAAAAAGATCTACAGGGTCCCCAGTATTTAAATCAGAACTATAAAAAGACAATACCAAGTATTTCAATGTGCGGAGAGAAAACCCCTTCGTGTTTGACAAATGATCCATAAGGCGTCCAGGGGTCCCAACCTACAAAGAAACAAGAAACTGATTGAAGAACCCTTTTTGAACAACATATTATCACATTAGTTGTTTAACACCACAGGAAGTGATTAAAAGGGGTTAAAAAGACTAAACAAAGAGTCATATGCGCAGCCAACTATAGCCATTTACTATTACAATCTTACAAAAAGTTCAAAGTATAACATCAGCAAAATAAATACTTACAACAATGTGTGGTCGCTTTCCAAGGGCAATAGCCTGCTGCACCATATCTACCCCTCCCACAAGCTATTCAGAAAGATACAAACTGGTTACTCAATAAAACTTAATAATGAAGTCAAAGGAATAACACAATTTTCCAAGATCAAAACATGAAAACAGATAAATCATGAAATTCATTGTATGCAAAAGATATCCTTTCAGAACAAAAAGCCTACCACAACACATTTCACACCAATGCCGGATCCTAAAGCTTCAAACTGCTCTGCTATCTGTATTGCCAACTCCCTTAAATAACATTAAAAGACAATATAAATAATCCTATAAGTATATGCGTATATAGGAATTCGAATTCTGAATTAAAACAATGAGAAGAAAAGAAACCTTGTAGGAGAAAGCACGCAAGCAAAGAAAGCTTGCACAGATTTCTCCGAAGCTTCAAGAAGAGATTGCAATATGGGAAGAGCAAAAGCTCCTGTTTTACCAGAACCCGTTTGCGCAAGACCAATCAAGTCTTTCCCTACAAATTTAAAGTACATTGTCGACAAAATCAGTTTCCAAAAATAAACAAACACACAAGAGCAAGAATGTCTTAAGTATAAAATTCAGAATCGAGTACGAGCGAGAACAAACCTTCGAGGGCATGAGGAATTGCTTCAATCTGTATCTTTGTAGGGTTTTTCCATCCCAAATTGTCACATGCTTCGACTAATTGTTCACATATCCCCAATTTCTTAAACGTACTCACTTCTTCTTTCTCTTCAGTCATTTTCCAGCTTCTGATATTCTACACACCGTATTTTATGTAGGATACCAATAACTGCATCAAATTGCACACCAGAACAAATTCCAATAAAGATGATAAAAATATTTTTCAATATGGAACCAAAATTGGTTAGCTGGGAGCTTTGGTTTTCGTTAGCTACCAATTAAATTGATACGGAGAACTTAAGACAGTTAAGCGTACCTGAAGGCAGCGCTGCGACTGTGATGCAATTCAAGGTGGTGTGAATGAGTATTGAAATATTGTAATGGCACGTGGAGAAGCAGATAGCTAGCCAACGGCGGTGAAGAGGGAAGCGAACAGCTAGGGCTTAGTAGGGTTTTTGCGCGCGTGGTTGAGAAGGAAGGGAATCTGGCTGTAAAAATTATGTTTCGACTCTACCGCCACATATTGCTGCCACGTCACTCATCCAAGGCGAACTTCGCTCGGAGCAATACAAAACGACGTCGCAGATTTTTCTCTTCCTTTTACCCGATAAGTGATTAACAAATTACCAATTTCACTTCAAACTTTTTGACAGCAGCAAAATTACATCCTAAAACTAATTAAGACATTCTGAACTTATTAATATATTACAATTTAAAAATAAATTAAGGTTTTGATTTTATTTAAAACAATTTAAAAACTGATTCCATAAAAAATAAAATTTGATTTAAAAAAAAATAAGTGCTATAATTTAAATATTTATTTAAATAATCAAATCAAATTTGAGTGTGTATTTTATAAATAAGAAACAAGATATCGCACATTTGCTTTTAGAACTGAATTAATTTTAAAATGTAAAATAATGAGTTAAACATTAATTTTAGGTTACTCGTCATATGATATTGACAATAAATATGATGATTATTTTACCATTATTAGTAGTCGCTGTTAATTTTTTATAATAAAAAAAAGAGATAATGAGATGGAAAAAATGAATAAAATGATTAAATTTTGTTTTAATTCAAATAAGATTTTTGCATTTAACTAAATTTGGATTAATTATAGAGTTTAACTTTACATTATATGTATTAATTAACATCTCAAATTGAAATTGCTTTTATGGTGAAATAATAGATTGATAAATTTAAAATGACTAATTCATTTTTAGGATGCAATTGCACTTTAAAAAATAAATTAGAGTGTAATTATAGCCACTTTGATAAGTTTAAGGTGCCTAACTTATAAAGGTCAATTTGAGAATGAAATACAACGATTCAAAACGTTGGCAGTGGAATTGATGGTTAAGTTAGGTCTAGATTAAACGACAGCGTTTGATGCAGGCACCGTTTCATGGGCTTGCGGCCCATTTATTTCAACTCCGTCGCTCCGATGAAATTATTTTGCATTTTAATACTGTCTCCCTCTGCAAGAAACCTCAGTAGTCTAAAAAAGCTTTGCTCCTTCCAGTTGAACCGCAGATTTGATCTTCCAGGTAAGCCTTGAAATACCCTGCCCTAAATCATGCTTCTCCTTTCCATCTTCTGCAAACAAACTGAAACTACAAACTGATAGATTGTTGCTTGCTGATAGCTTTTTTTTTTTTTTTTTTTTTTTTTTTTTTTTTCAAACTGAAACTACAACTGATTAGATTGTTGCTTGCTGATAGCTTTTTTTTTTTTTTTTTTTTTTTTTTTGTTCTTTTTGTCCTCGGCTAGCACAAAAATGGGTGACAGTCAAATACTCTTTCTCTTCTTTACTACTTTCAGGTATGGCTTTTTACAATCTTTCATTAAGTGTTTTTCTCTTTTTTTTCCTTCGCTTTTACTTCGTTTATCTGATTTTTGTATTTCCCCCTTCTTTTGATACCATTTAAATTCAGTCCTTCTGGAAGCTTGTTTCAGATCGAAACATGCCCTAACCAGCAGTTGGATCGGGTCAAACGTCCTTTTTTTTTTTTTTTTTTTTTTTTTTTTTGTTCTTTTTGTCCTCGCTAGCACAAAAATGGGTGACAGTCAATACTCTTTCTCTCTTACTACTTTCAGGTATGGCTTTACAATCCTTTCATTAAGTGTTTTCTCTTTTTTTTCCTTCGCTTTTACTTCGTTTATCTGATTTTTGTGATTTCCCCCTCTTTTGATTACCATTAAATTCAGTCCTTCTGGAAAGCTTGTTCAGATCGAACATGCCCTAACAGCAGTTGGATCGGGTCAAACGTCTTTAGGAATTAAAGGTTTGATACATTTTCATTCCCTTAATCAGTTTCCATTTAACTTTACTCTGTATATATAATTCATTGGTTGATGTGGCCGACTGCAACCCTAATGCCATTGGAGTTAGTAGTTGATTATTATGAATAATTTTGGAGCTCTAATTTGACCTGCTAATATGATTAAATGATGCTAGAAGTAATCAAATAATAGGTGTTCTCTTAATTATAGGCACTTAACTCATTCAGGCAAAGGCAAATTTAATTCTAATGGTTTATTATTGGTGCTGCTCTTTGTAATTGTTGGTGACATATAATTCTCTGGTGGTTGCAGCTGCTAATGGTGTAGTTATTGCAACAGAGAAGAAACTACCATCTATTTTAGTTGATGAATCATCTGTGAGTGAGATTTTCTTTTTCCCATTCATGCGTTCAGTAACAACTTCCTGTTCACTCTTTAATGTCATTTTCTAGCTCTATCTGTCTGTCTCTTTTAAAATTTTTATTTTGATGTTCTTGATGGCAGGTTCAAAAGATTCAGATATTAACGCCAAACATTGGTGTTGTTTATAGGTTTGTCTTCTGATACGCTTTTGACTAGTTTAAAACTAATTTACTTTACCGTGCAGCATATGGTTGTTGTTGGGTAGGATGGAAACCTGCATTTATATTTCTAGGTTTTTATTTGGCAAAGAATAGGAATTAGGGTTCAACAGAACCATTTTTTGCAATTTTGGTGGAATATATGATTAAGTTAAGGTCCATCATATTTGGGTTGGCAATCTTTTTCAAGATCTTAATGACTTTAGATGCTGACAAAGTTAGGATAGGTTCAGCTTCAATAATTGGTTACTTGTCACTGATTTTCATGGCTATGGCATCTCATTACATGAATTTGCAGATTCACCCATTTTTGTGACTATTCTTAAAAACTTACCCATGCCTGTCCACCTTTCCCCTATACTTTATGTTTTCTCCTTAACTCAATCTTTGTTCATTTTTGCAGTGGAATGGGTCCTGATTTTCGTGTTCTGGTTCGAAAAAGCAGGAAGCAGGCGGAGCAATATCACCGCTTATACAAAGTACTCCTTCAACTCACACCATAATATCCACAATTTGTGTAGTCTGAGAGTGATTTTTTATTTCTTGTCCTTAACGTAACCTCCTGTAATTTTATTAAATCTCCCTTCTTCCTGCTCCTCCCTGTATCTATGTGTGTGACTCTTTATTTATCGCAATGCTCTTTTCAACAATCATCCTTGATACTAATTTAATTTCTTTGCCATGAAATATAATGTGATGAACTGATTCTATTATTCCGCAGGAACCAATCCCTGTCACACAACTTGTAAGGGAGACTGCTGCTGTTATGCAGGAGTTCACACAGTCTGGGTAATTATCACTTCTCTATTTCATATTTTCCATGGCAGTTCTAAATAAAAATAAAGATGTAGCTTCTGTTTTCTTTTTTCTGATCTGGCTGCTCTGAACAAGAATTCCAACTTGCTCTTGCCACTTGCTTTTTTTTTGAGAAATCAAACAGATTTATTCATATGCAGATTGCTGACTTTGTGTGTATTTGCACAAATTCTTAACTATTTTTTTTTAAATAATAGTGATATTTCTGTTTATTCTGGTAGTGGTGTTAGGCCTTTCGGAGTATCATTGTTAGTTGCAGGTTTTGATGACAAAGGCCCACAATTATATCAGGTACTTCCATTTATCTTTTTTGCATTTTCAATGGTTGGTGGCCATTTTATTAAATTTCAAGTTGCCAAAGAGATTTTTTTTATCTGACCATGGTGGAAATTACCTTCTTTATCTGAATGCTTTGACAATCGTTTGATCCTATTTCCAGAACTTAGATTGTTGTGTCAGTGCTTGACTGCTTGTGCTCCTTAATGTTTTGTAGTTTTTCTAGAGAAACAAATCAAGTGTAACAAGAGTGTAGTTGCTCTTTCATTTGAACCAAATCACCCTGGTCTCTGTAGTGTGCATTACCTAGAGAAGCATAAGTGGGGAACATTATTTATCTCAAAACCACAAAAAGCATGACTGACGTCAAGCTATGACACCATGTGTTAAAAGCAGCCTCATGGCATTGTTTTCTCTAACTGATCTTTTCGACATAAAGGCACAACTTTATTCCTCAAACAACTGTAATGTTATACTTTTTATGTTTCATATTTTTCTGTAGGTGGATCCATCAGGTTCATATTTCTCTTGGAAAGCTTCCGCTATGGGAAAAAATGTTTCCAATGCAAAGACGTTTCTTGAGAAGAGGTTAGCTTAATTTAATTGGCAGCAATATTAGAATTAGATATTTGTTTTTTAGATTTGTACTAGTTGTTCTAGCCCACCCTTTATGATTTCAGGACGCAGTGAGTAGTATATATCTGTATAATGTAATAGTTGTTCTTTTTAGCCGTGTATTGCTCTAATCATGCTTTTCTCTCCTCTCCCATCCTCCCACACAATGCTCGTCCCCAAAAATTAAGTTAATCGGTAAATTTTCCTTGAAGCTTACAAGAGATAACTTTGATTGTTTTCTTATAGGTATACAGATGATATGGAGCTTGATGATGCAGTCCATACAGCAATATTAACACTGAAAGAAGGGTAAGTGCTTTAACTTCTTTGTTATTCCAGTATATTTGAAATTGTTTAAGTATGTAATAATGATCTTTCATGAATGGTGGTTTTTCCTATTTTCCTCTTATTTTTTTCCCTTTCCATAGATATTAGTCTAGTATGAATGGTGGTTTTTCCTATTTTCCTCTTATTTTTTTTCCCTTTCCATAGATATTAGTCTAGTCCTTCATTATGTTGATAGTATAATATTTATATTTGCCCAGAATAGGTCTGCCATAATCTGTTTAGTGGACATCCATGGACTGAATTGGCAAAATATGACTTAAGTGTCTCAATAGCATATGGAAATTCTGGTTCTAAAATAAAAAGAATGGAGAAAGAAGATACATGCTGTCCACTTCAAACATTTTGGGCGCTAGACCTTGTTGAGTTTCGGCATAATATTCTAAATTGTGAAAGGGGGTTGGCTGAAGTCTCGGAAGTCAGAATCATAATGATTCATTGTATTTCATCATGTTTCCGGAGCATGCTTGATCAACAACTACTTCTAGTGTTTAACAGCATTTTATCTTTTGCATTACGATTTGCATGTTTGTGGAACATTGTGTGTTGAGAAGGCAGAATAGCTCTTGCTTTTATTTTTTAAAATGACTCTGCAACCTTATTTCGTGCATTTTTTTAGGTTTGAAGGACAAATCTCAGGCAAAAACATTGAGATTGGCATAATTGGTGCTGACAAAAAATTCAGGCAAGTAACCAACTTTTCCTCTTTGACTACCTGGCGGTCCACTGGAAGATATTTGATAGAGTAGCTCGATAGATTGGGAGTTTCTCCAAAGACTATAGGGGCCACGTGCAAACCTCTCTCTATTGTTTTTTCCCTGACTCTTAACTTCATACGTGCTTTGAATTTTTCTCTTAATAATTTGTGCCTTTTTGTCCTCTATCGGGGAAATTAAAGTTATACAGATTTTTTAACATTGTTGATAACTTGTTTGTGTTTGTCTTATGGCAGGGTATTGACACCAGCTGAAATTGATGATTACTTGGCTGAAGTGGAGTAGCTTGTTTCTCTGTGGCTGCGGCTTGAGAACTTTCAACTTTAATTTCATCAAGATAGATACGGTTGGACGTTGGTTCTGTAGTGAAACGTTTGATCAAGTGCCAACAGAGAGAATTATTGTGTTACTGGGCAATTGTAGTAATTATTGCCTTTTCAGTTAATGGGAGTCTACATGACAGGAATTGTTCACATTTAAGTACTAAATTTCTTCCTTTGAACAAATGCTGATAACCTCCTCCCTTGTATTTTTCAAATTCTGCACTTGAATGTTTTATAACTTAAAAACTCCACGGGGAAAATCTTGCATGCTAAAAAACAATTCTATTAATCTTAGCCTTCCATTTATGGTGCCTTGACCAGAATGTTGCTTGGGCACAAATAGCCCATGGGTGGAAATGCTGAAATTGAAAAAATGTTGATGTTTTATCAAAATTATGTATTTGAAGCGGAAAAAAAATAGTGTGCAAATATTTTTTTTATTCGAACAGGAACAGTGGCAAATATTATGCAATTGACAATTTTATTCGAGTTGCTAGACCACCATTAGGATTTGATATAAACTCAGAATTAAAAGCAAATGAATGGTTATCTTTAGTATTTGAAGAAATAATTAAAAATCAGGAAAAGGGTTACCAGTGCAAGAATGGGCACCACTAATCACCAGTAATCGGAACAAGAACAGCTTCCGTCACTGAAATGGTGAAAGCGATATGGATCTCGTAATATGATTTTCCGCCTTAGAAGTCCACTGACAAACTTGTAAACAGAATGGCAGTCACCACAAACACGAAGGTTCTTGAAAATTTTAACGGTTGAAGATTCAGGAGTATTGATCAACCCAAATGCAAGGGCAAGTCTCTCGCTGTGATTCCAAAGACTCTGCTCCTTTTGTTCTTCATCTGTATCATGCAACGCATAGCTTGTATCAGGTACATAACCTGCTTCTTTAATCCTTTTCTTCAGCTCTTCCAACTTCTCATATATCTGTCTGGTTTGTGGATGGGACTTGTCCCCTATTCCAAATGAATCTATTTTGTTCTTCAACTTCACCCAACTGCATGCAGGTTTCTTCTTTATTTTATTCGATCCCATTTTCTTTCTGAGAATCTCTACATCCTCCCATCTCCCAGTGGTTGCACAAACATTTGAATAAAGAACATAAGCTGAATCATCTAATGGGTCCAATTTGAAGAGATTTTCTGCAGCTTTCCTTCCAAGCTCCAGATTGCCATGGATTTTACACGCAGCCAATAAACTCCGCCAAACAAGATCAGTTGGCGGAACTGGCATTTCCTTGATGAAAGTTTCAGCCGCAGCAAGCCTTCCTGATCGTCCAAGAAGATCAACTACACATACACAATGCTTTATTCCTGCTGGAATACCAAACTCTTTTGTCATTGAATGATAGTATGCTAGACCCTCGTCCACTAGGCCTCCATGACTGCACGCAGAAAGAAGAGAAACAAAAGTAACATGATCAGGTTGCACTCCCAACTTCAACATTTCATTAAGAGTTTCTTTTGCCTCCTTGAAACATCCATGCCTAGCAAAAGTTGATATCAATATATTCCACGATAGTCGTGACCGTTCTTGTGGTTGAGGAATTATTCTCAGCACATCATCCATCTCCCCGCATTTTGCATACATATCCATGGTGGCATTCGCTACAAAAGAATCAGAGTGAAAACCAAGTTTGAGTGCCAAACTTTGAAGCTGTTGGCCTTCCTCCAGCATTGCCAATGTAGCAGTAGCAGTAAGGCATTCAGTAAAGATAAAATGATCCAAATGTACTCCTGCACGTCTCATATTTACAAAAAGATTCAAAGCCTCTTCTACCAGGCCATGATTAGCATTTGCAGCTATAATGGCATTCCATGCTACGGCATTTTTATTAGTTAATCCGTTAAAGATATAGTTACTAGAATTAAGATCACCACATTTGGCATACATCGTGATAAGTGAATTGTGTACGAATGGATCAGATTCCAATCCTGTCAGAACTATATAAGCATGGATGGGCATCCCATGTTTCAGTAGATTATCTAGAGTCAAGAAAGCACCTAGAATATTTGCAATTGTAATGTAGTTTGCAGGTAGACCTTCTTCTCTCATCAATTTGAAGTTTTTTACTGCTTCATGTGGTTCTTCATTCTCTGCATGACCACCAATAAGTGCATTCCAAGTCACTTCATCCCGCATGGGCATTGCTTGAAAAACCTTTTTTGCTTCAACCATCCTACCAGACTTTGCATACATGGTAACCAATGCATTGCCAACAATCAAGTTTTCATGTAGCCCACTCACAATTACAAGGTTATGAAGAATCTTGCCTTCAGTAATGAAGTCAGGATCTGAACAGGCAGCCAATGCACTCGTAAATGTCACGGAGTTTGCTCCATTTCTCATATGCAAAATTCCAGCAAAAAATTTCAAGGCATTTAGGCACTTCCCATCCTGAGCATAACAGGCAATCATAGAATTCCATGAAATCAAATCCTTCTCAGCCATTCCTCGGAATACCAACTCTGCATGTTCAGACTTCCCAGCACCAGAATACATACTTATAAGAGTATTGCATATGCAAATGTTCGGGTCCAATCCAAATTTTACAACTAGAGAGTGCATTCCTCTGCCCCATTTTAAATTATCTACAGAATTACAGCCCGATAACAAAGTTGAAAATGTAGTAGAATTTATTTGCTTACGGACATAGCGCATCCAATAAAAACATCTTAGAGATTCTTCACAAAGACCATTATGTACGTATGTGGAAATTATCGAGTTCCATGAGATTGTGTCACGTTCACTCATGCCACCAAAAATGTAGTAAGCCTCTTGCATTCTACCTAGACTACCAAACATTGATATGAGAGAGTTCGCCACAGAAATATTAGTTTCTAATCCAGACTTTATAACATGCCCGAGGACTTGATGACCCAAGAATTCATCCTCAAGTGACCCACAAGAACTAATTACAGTAGCTAATGTGTTTTCATTGCAACTCTGCCCTTCACATCTCATTCGCGAATATGTATTCATCACTTCCCTTGAATCTCCATAATCCGAATAAGCAACCATCATAGCAGTCCAGGAAACAACATTTTTATAAGGCATCTCCTCAAAAAGCTTTCTTGCATTGAAAACCAATCCATAAGTCCCATAAAAATGCAAAAGCGACGTACCAACAAAGACATCATACAGCAGACCGAACTTCACAGCCAAATCATGGATCTGACTTCCTTCACTTAGCATACATCCCGACCTATCACATGCAGTTATCAAACTAGCAACTGCAAAGCCGTTAGGCTTGATGCCAAAATCCCTCATATCATTAAATACCCGAATCGATTCCCAGTATAAATCAGCATAAAGAAATGCAGAGATCATGTGATTCCAAGAAGACTCATTTCTTTCACTCATTTTATCAAACACGTGACGAGCAAGATCAATTTCGCCAAACTTCGAGTACATATTAATCAAAGTATTATTGCAGAAAACACTTAGATTAACTATGCCCTTGATGCACAGAGCGTGCAAGGCTTTGCCAGTGAAATTGTTGGTAATTTGAGAGAAACCCTTTTGATAGAAGCAGGAGATTTCGGGGTTCGGGTGGTTTGAAAGGGAAATAATGTCCCCATAATTTCCGTATGTGATTGTGTTTGTGGGTTCTTCTATTTCTATGCATGGCACAGAAATTGTAGAGATGGATCTTGGGTTTAAAGGGTTTTGGCGGGAAAGAACGATTGATCTGGACTTGAGAGCATAGAGTATCCTGTTGTACCTAGCCAGCTTTGTGCTTGTTAAGAGAATTTGAGTGAAGGGTCAAGTATCTATGGCCTCTGTATGGGATATGATCTTCCTTGTTTGATTAAAATAACTTAATTTTAAATTTCCATATGTTCCTTTCTTTATACTTCCCAGTTAATAAACTGATGGAAGTATTGGTGCAATAAATTTTAATAATCTCTCAATCTCGTTTTATTTATTTGTTTATTTTTTTTATAATTATTCGTCAAACGAATGATTTTTATTTTTATTTATATCTTAGTGAAATGAAAAATAACTACTTAGAGGTAAAAAGAGCAAAATGAAATTTTTTTTGACTTATAACAAAATGAATCGGAGGGTGCACATATTATTTATATAAATAATTAAATTTCGTGTGAAAAAAAAAAAAAAAAACGTATGGGATATTGATCTTTTCCTTGTTTTGATAAAAAACCTTAATTTAAATTTCCATATGTTCCTTTCTTTATACTTCCCAGTTAATAAACTGATGGACTAGTATTGGTGCAATCAAATTTTAATAATCTCTCAATTCGTTTTATTTATTTGTTTATTTATTTATTTTTTTTTATTAATTATTCCGTCAAACGAATGGATTTTATTTCTTATTTATATCTTAGTTGAAATGAAAAATAAACTACTTAGAGGTGTAAAAAAGAGCAAAATGAAATTCTTTTTTTTGACTTATAACAAAAATGAATCGGAGGGTGCACATATTATTTATATAAATAATTAATTTTCGTCTGCTGGAAAAAAAAAAAAAAAACCGCAACATACGATCCACTATCAGCTTAAAGCCTTCCAAAAAAAAAAAAAAAAAACCGCAACATAGATCACTATCAGCTTAAAGCCCTAAACTCCTATTAGAGGATAAATTAAAAATTTTACAATATTTAATTCAATTTGTATCTTGCAAGTTCATCAATAGCTACTTTTTTCTTTGATAACGATGGCAGACACTACAATCTGGCATATCCAGGACATTTCATAGTTTACCAGCTCTGCGCTAAGCATAAAACACAAGAATATGACGGCAAACAGCGAAAATTGGGATAAGCAGATGCGATTTTCAACATTCCTCCAGTACTCGTTTAGTGTGAGTACCATCTAAACAACTCATGTGGCAAATAGAACATTCAAGTATCCAAAAAAGACCATGGTTCCTCCCAAATTAGATTATGCCCTAACATTTACAAATCAACGCAAAACACAACAGCGGAAGGGAAAAAAGTAAAAGACAACTAGTATTTCTTGCTAATTTTTGAATGACCAGTTATGCGCACACCGGGGGCCCCTTGAAATACCCTCATAATATCGGGAGTCAAGCTTCTGATCATTCCACTCTTTGACAAAGTCCGAAAACATTTCACGTGCAGTCTCAGTTGAAAGATCAGAGAAAAACACCTTCTTCTCTTCCTTAAGCCAGGTTGCAAACTCATTGTTCTTCGAGAAGTAATCATCATTGGACAGCTCTTGGAAGTTCTGTGGGGAAAAACATTATGAGCAAAAATCAATAAACTAACTTAAACCAAACAAATAAATTGACATATGCTCACAACCAAAATCACATCAACTCAATTCACAGAAATATCACCACTTCCATCACGAACATCAATATACTATTCAAGTTTAGCCAGGTTATTCTGTAACCCAATCCATTCATTATATTGGATGTCTGAGTGCATAAAATGTCCTTCTTTTTGAGGACTTCTCAGCAATGCAAATCAAATGCCCAGTAATGTAAGGTCTGCCTCATATATGGGGCTGATTACAGGGAAAAAAGGGCCATATTTCTGTTTTTTCTAGAGCTACTTCATATGATCTAGGATGTCTTTGCTTGGCTTCAATGTATGTGTGCCATCACCAAAATCATAAAGAGAGAGCCATAGAACTCAAGTTTGCATCTACATAGAAGTTAATGTCCAACAAAATTCCACCTTTTAAACTTTTGTTATTGAAAAAGGAAGCTGCATGATATTAGCAATTAATATAAGTACAGCTTAAAGCCCACTGAATATAGAATATATAGTGTCTGGAAATGTCAACCTAAGCTGTTGTTAATAGGATTTCTTCCCTTGGCCTACTTCAGCATATAAAATTTCCATAGGTCATTCCAAAATACTCATTTACGATGGGACTCATTCTAGTACCATTCAAGAAATCTGAAAGGGTGTTATCACATTTCTGCCTACCAAATTGTAGTAACTTAGAAATAATAAGAGGAATTACACAACATACATCAGTGAAAGATGCCCAAAGTATACAGCATGAAGGAAAGACTTTATTGATGCATTGTGTCCCAGTTTTATAATATCAATCAAAAAAAAAAAAAAAAAAAAAAAAACGTTTATTGATGCTTTCCCAGTCGTTTATAAATATCAATCAAAAAAAAAAAAAAAAAAAAAAGATAATGAAACTCGTGTGCTCCTGTTACTTTTACATGAAGTTTATTTAATTACTTGTAGTATAAGATGACAGGATCAACTATGTATAATGAAATTAAAAAGGTAAGCAAAAACAATTTTTACAGAATGATTTCAGAAATAAAATATTGGATAACCATGTTATCAATGAGGATAACACTTAATTAGCAAGCAATTTATATACGACATTATTAGAGTTGAGAATCAGATCAGCACAAGTCACCACCAATAAAATACCTTCCTTTCAGCCTCAGGTTTTTTTCTTATGTCTGTGTTAAGTTGGAGAAGAAGGGAAGGGGGTAATAGGGCCATTTTTGGAGGCAAATAAGGGGCATTTGGCAGGACTTGGGTAGATTTATTGCACACTATAGCAGCCCCAGCATAATGAAAGTAAGTTTAAATTCAACAACATGAGAAAAAAGTAAAAGCATTCAGATCAGAATTCAGTATAGGATACATAACCAAGTGGTGATCGCCTTTGTGACGTTTTACCGTCTGTGCCAAAAAAAAAAAAAAAAAAAAAAAAAGAGATAATGAAACTCTGCTCTGTTACTTTACATGAGTATTTAATACTTGTAGTATAAGATGACAGGATCAACTATGTATAATGAAATAAAAGGTAAGCAAAACAATTTTACAAGAATGATTTCAGAAATAAAATATTGATAACCATGTTATCAATGATGATAACACATTAATTAGCAAGCATTTATATACGACATTATTTAGAGTTGAGAATCAGATCAGCACAAGTCACCACCAATAAAATACCTTTCCTTTCAGCCTCAGGTTTTTTTCTTATGTCTGTGTAAGTTGGAGAAGGAAGGGAAGGGGGTAATAGGGCATTTTTGGAGGCAAATAAGGGGGCATTGGCAGGACTTGGGAGATTTATTGCACATATAGCAGCATAATGAAAGTAAGTTTAAATTCACAACATGAAAAAGTAAAATCACTTCAGAATTACAGTATAGGATACATACCAAGTGGTGATCGCCTTTGTGACGTTTACCTCTGTGCCTATCCTTTGACTTCTTTTCTGAGGCAATTAATAGCGTGTCATTTTGATAGAATTATTTCACAAAAATCCCCATTCCTAATTGGGTAAGCAATGAACAACGATTAGAATATGTCCATAATAAAGCCAGACAATGGCTAAATGAAAAGTTGAAAACTAAAATCTCATTGTCAGACAGGATTAAAAAACAACTACTACCAAACTGAGTATCATGAATTCAAACGGGGATACTCTCCAAATAATTCTAGAAAGTAATAGTAGCAGTTATGAAGGATAAATTTACAATTTGCAAAGGTGTGATTATAACTTTATAAGGTTTTGACAGATATGGCTGTGAACTTTGCTTAATTGATGGAACATGTCCAATTCAAACATCATCCTATCCTGAACTTTAATGAGTTAAAACAAAGTGGTCAAAATTGATGCAAAATAAATCAGAACTGTACCTTTATCAGAGAGGTGCTTGTGAGACTTCTTCTCCTTTCTCTTCTCTTTCTTATCCCTCTTTCTGCTTCTCCTTTCACTTTCTTCTTCCTCCTCTTTTCTATGCCGTTTTCTATGTTTCCCTTCATCTGTACCGAGACACCAAGGAAGTACAAAAGGGAGTAATGAATTGAGCTGATTATACAAATATAATGCCATATTTCAAATAAGTATATCAAACACAAGGCACATAAAATTTTAGGATTCAAATTGCAGTATTTCAGGCCCTAATTTCTTTTATATTCCTGCGTTTTCAGAAGATACTAATTGAAAGAAAGCCAGCGATGAGAAAACAAATTGAGAACCTTCAGAGGAAGACAAAGAGGAGCCTCTTTTCCTGTTTTTCTTGTTCTTCTTCTCCTCCTCGTCCCTCGATTTCCGATCACTTCCCATTCTCCGATCAATACTTTACACACAGCGTACTTCGAATTTTGGAATCTATACATTTATAACCCCGACGCAACCCAACGAGTTCAACTCGCATGGCTGGGCTGGCTAAACTCAAGCGGAGAGCTAGGCCATATTATAGGCCTGCTTAAGTGAGTTCTTAGTCCCCTGGACTGGGCCGAGTTTAAAAGAAGCTTCGAGTTCGGGCAACTGGAGCTGGGCTATGTTCGAGTAGTTTAGTCAAGCCCAAGCCTAACTCTACCTTATACACACACACACACATATATATATAAGATTTTGAATAAAAAAGTTACAAAGAATTCTTGTGTTAATGTTGTAAATAACTTGTAATCATGTGGTTATTTTATTCTTAGCCTAAAGTTGATTTTAAAAGAATTCGAAGTATAAATTCCTAGAACCACAAATACAATGCAAAAAGAAACCATTATTATTATTGTAATGCTTAATATTTAAAATAAAAAATAAATCATTTTTTAAAATATAACAAGAACAAAATTTTAATCCAAAACTAAGTTTTTAGAATCATTTGTCATACAAATAATTAAATAAACTATAAATTCTCTTAATAAGGCAGCCCATCAAACTTTACAAAATAAGAAAGCTGAACATAAAAATGAAAAGAGCTCCCTTCGGACCAAAACCAAAAAGATCAAGACAACCTCATCTCCCAGTTCATGAAAACCCTTAAACTGCGCATTGTTCTCTGCTTAACCAGCGCACCTAAAGGTGTTCATGAACTAGCAGCTGTGGTCTACCATCATCTCCTTTCGGAATTTGATCTGAAGAGAGCTCTGTATGTATATATCCTACCAAAATCCTTAATATATATAAATATGTAAAATAACTATAGAAGAGGGTCCTTTTTATAAGCAAATTAAGCATTTAAAAGATGAAAGTAATTTAATGAAACATCTAATTATAGGATTCTGTTTGAACAAATATATCAGATTCTATTTATATAAATACATATTCATATGTCGCATAATATCTGACCTAATTCTTATCCATATCAAAACCATTTACCATATTTGTATTTAATTAGTAATTTAAATACATTTCATCACAAAAACACACAAACAATTACTTGTGAATCAAAAATAGTAAAATAAAAATTAATTTTTAAAAACAGATATTCTATTTCTGTATTTTACTGTGACTAAGAAACAAACTTCACTCTTGAATTCTGCACATCATGCGTCATGGTTGGCTTATTTATTCTCGAAAGCTAGCTCGTTAGGAAGAGAATTGTTCAAATCTTATATTTTAAATAAAGATCTTAACTCAAAACAATGTGAGTATTAGAAAAGCAACGTTGAATAACGTTAAACATTATTATTATTATTTTTTTTTTTTTTTTTGAGTGTTGAAGTAAAGGAATTTAACAATACCCACAAAATTCAAGTTTTTGGTTGGATTCTCAAATAACGTGGGCAGAAAAAATGAATGAAAAAATAGAAAAATTAGCAGAAATAAAATTGTTTAAAAGTTTTTAAATGTGTTTACATTCTTGGGAAGCTTAGTAATTAAAAGACAAATAATAAAAGGTATTGATGACCTTTTTAATGGATAGATCAGCTGAACCCTAAAAATATCTCTTTCATAGGAAAATGAAGACCATAAACCATACTAGTTTGGTTAATTTGTTCTACCAATACATTGAGATATGAGTGTTTTTAGGTGGGGATTATTTGTCTTTTTCATTTCATCCAATGCTTTGTTTACATATTCCACATCTGAGTCTGCTTTTTGGTTCGTCTGTATATTAATTGCAGATTCAATTTGTCTAATTAATGATTTTTTATTTATTTATATATATACAATTCATTCTTAATTTCAAGCTATATGGAAATTTTAAAAAGAAAAATCGTACATATGTGGACAACATTACCAACCCACTTTCATTTTTTAGTCATCTCCTCACTTGGACTATGTCTCCATCAGTAATTTGGTTTGCTCACCATGGGAGTGTCAACGTGTTTCTTTTATATATATAGTCGTGCTAAATACTCTAATTTGAATCTGAAATAATTTTCACTGTAGTAGATTAATATATCTAAAATATCACGTGTATGTGACTGGTAAAATCTGCCGCATTGAATCTGTTGAGAACATTTTTAACACTTTGACTCGCTACAATGAAAATTGTATTATTCCTAATTCGAGCCAATTATATTTTTTGTATATAGATATACATACATACATACATACGAATGAACATTATATTCTATAAATCCAACAATAAAATTAATATAAAGTATTGATCTTACAGGTAAAATTTATCTAATGACATAGTTTATTTTTATTGATTTAATTGTTTGTTAATTAAGTGAAATCAAGAACTTAAAAATTTTGAACTTCCAAATTTTTAAAGTGCTAAAAAAAATCGAAAACTGTTGAATTTGTCTAATTATATTGACTATAAAAAATATAATACAATATAACATGTAAACATTAGTCAACACCAACCGTATCTAAAAATTAAAAACAAGCCACGACCACAAGGCACTTGTCAGAATTTCACTTCAGGGAGGTAACCCCATCACAAAGATGAAAACCATCATATTGATTTTACATGTTTAAGTCATTTTGAAGATGTCCTGAAGACTGAAGTGACGCTATAGACAATGCAATGAGCGACACTTTAGGCCTCAAATATTATATTTAACAAGTCAATTTACTACAACAAAGACATCCACCAACATATTCATCAACTTGCATAGATTTTCCTTGGGGTATAAACTAGCTTAGTCCCATGTTCAGATTGAATGGTGTATTCTTTTTTTTTTTTATTACTATGGGCGTATTCCTATCTTCGGTTCAATGGTATGATAAGAGATTAATTTCTTTTGGATCGGAGAGCGATTATATATATTTAAAAGTTTCCCGCAAGATGCTGACTCTACGACTTGATCCTGTCATCACTAGAATGAAATGAGATTTAATGTGTTTCAACTACTAGACCAAACTATTTTGGATTGAATGGTATATTTTTTTGATTGGCTTGATTGTGAAATTCCTTTGGCTGATGGTTAGTTCTTATGTCAAGAACTCCAAGAAGTTGGTTGTACTTTCAAGTATATACTCGTCTCTATTGTCCAAACTTGTGGGGACTTGAAGCTTACCTCATAGATTTTAGTGGTGGTAAGTAGAGAATATTACCTACCATTTCGTAATGCTTGATTTTGAAGAATATTAGCTAATATTTTTTATTAACAACTTTAAACTCTAGCCAGAACACGTATAATTAACCTATCTTTCTTGAAAAATTACAAATTCAATCCAACCTGTTTTTATATTATCAAAATTTTAATTATTTAGAGCTGATGCCAATTATTAAAATTTTTCTTCTTTTAAAGCCAAAAATAAACTCAATCATCGAAATACTAATTAGTGTCGATAAAAGATTCAATATTTTTACAATTGCAGCCATTATAAAATAAATAAATAAATAAAAGTTAGGCAAAAATTTTTTATCATCCAATCATACAAGAAGAGAGATATTTATATTTATATATAGACTTTAATTATAAGGTGAAGTTAGGATTAATACCAACTAATTAATTCAAATGTATAACTGGAAAAGTCAATTTTTTCTACAAAACTCTTGGTTTATAATAGATATATGTTATAATTAACCTACTTTTCTTGAAAAATTTACAAATTCAATCCAACGTGTTTTATATTACTTCAAAATTTTAATTATTTAGAGCTGATGCCAATTATTAAAATTTATCTTCTTTAAAGCCAAAAATAAACCCCCGAAATCATCGGAAATACTAATAGGGGTCATTTAAAAGATTCATATTTTTACAATTTTGCAGCCATTATAAAAGTAAATTAAATAGAATTTAAAAGTTCAGGCAAAAAATTTTTTATCAATCCAATCATACAAGAAGAGAGGATATTGTATATTTATATATAGACTTTTTAATTATAAGGTGAGAGTTAGGATTAATTACAACTGAAGTTTAATTTCAAATGATAACTGGAAAAAAGTCAATTTTTCTAACAAAACTTGCTCGTTTATAATAGAGTATGATATTGAATATATATATATCATATATATATGTATATATTATATAGTACTTAATAGTATATTATATATAGTAATAGTTATAATAAAAAGGTTTATTTCATAAAGAAGGCCAAAGATTTAGGTGATAATAACCCATTTCCCACAACCCTGATCACTTGCCAGCCTTTCTTATTCGTGGTCATCATCTTCAGCCCATTGGGGAAAACTCTCTAGATGGTCTTTACTGCTCCATCTTCTCGAATAAGCCTTTGGTTGGCCCATCTTTGCTAGGGTTTTCAAGGCCAAGCTCATTTTTCCCAAATAACGCAGCCTACTTGCCGTATTTTCAACTCGTCCAATACTTGGATGAGCTTGCTACTGTTTGCACTGATATATAATAGTATAATAAAAGTTATTTCATAAAGAAGGCCATAAATGATAATAACCCATTCCACAACTGATCACTTCAGGCTTATTCGTGGGCATCATCTCACATTGGAAACTCTCTAATGGGTTTACTGCTCCATCTTCTGATAAGCTTTGGTGGCCATCTTTGCTAGTTTCAAGGCCAAGCTCATTTTCCAAATAACGCAGCCACTTCCTATTTTCAACGTCTCCAATACTTGATGAGCTTTGGCTGTTCAACTGATCTTCAACTTCAGTACTGCTTGATTGGTATGAATTATTATCATTCAACCCATCTAACATATTCCAGAAATCGAAATCAGACTCAAATGGGATATCTATCGTTGATATTTCTTGAATTTCCGGTTTGTTGACTTCCTCTAATGTATTATTATTATGATGAACAGCACAAGCTCCTGATGAGGAAAAGTCGAAAACCGAATTGCCCATTTGATGATCAACTGTCTTTGTGACCTTGGAATTATTGGAACAAGTTGGCAATTCTTTATTAGCGTCTTTACTATTATCATACAAGACACGAGGCTTCTTCTTGGGCCATTGATGATGATCATCAAGCTCTGTAGCCATTGCAATACTATCAGAAGAAGAAGATGACGAAGATGAAGTAGCAGTAGTAATGGACGATTCTTTTGATTCGTCAGTGTGAGAGTCTTTGAGTGTCAACTTTTTCTTCAAATGAGTATTCCAGACATTCTTGATTTCATTATCTGTTCTACCAGGCAAATGGGATGCAATTTTTGACCATCTGGAACGTTTTTATCATATATTATTATATGTATAAAGTAGTAAAAAATTTAAAAAAAAAAAAAAAGTTTGGTGGGTGGACTTTGAATTACTTGTTTCCCAAAGTTTGGTGCAGTTTTATGATAGTGTCCTCTTCCTCTTTGGTGAAGTTCCCTCTCTTTACGTCAGGTCTTAGGTAATTAATCCATCTCAAACGACAACTTTTCCCACATCTTAACAACCCTGCAGGACAAAAAGTACAAGAGCATTAATTAAATAGACTTTTATTTAAAGAAAAATACTATACAGTGATGTTATCTTTTGATCTTGTAATTATCCAAGATCAACTCCATAGCATGTAATAGAAGTTAAAGTTCAACCATTCACACAATTAGACATTGTTTGGTTAATATTTTCACCGATTAATACGAAGAGCTAGAAATTTCAATTTTGAGTCATTTCGATCATAAGAATTTTCATTAATATAATGAATAAATAGAAGGGCTATCACTTATTATGTAATTCAATATATTTTTTCTGTATATTTAACCTCGAATTAAAAAATTTTGACTTCGAAATTTTATTTCACTTTCTTTGTTTTCCACGTGTCCGTATGAAAATGGAACTGCACATTAGATTGGTCTCTTGGGCGATATACGTAATTTGGCTATAACTGGCTAGTCTTTCAATTTCAAAGACTTGTATTATTATTAAAAAAACTAGAATATTTTTATTTTATTTGCATTTATTCTTTTATCACAACAAGAAAATACGCAGACGCATACAAGTAATTTATAATCAAATAATTTTTTCTGGAAGAGTTTATTACCAAATCTTCACTTAAATGTTTACTCAATATTTTACCATTTATTTCCTAAAAAAAAAAAAAAAATTACTATCATTAATTTCCCTTTCAAGGAATTCAACATCTTGATATGTTAATGCATATCTTTAGATAATTTTATTTTTACAATTAAGCTAATTAATTAAGCATACGTTACTATATTTTTTAATTAGTTGGCTCACTCTGACAAGATTAACTTATTCTATTTTTATATATAAATAAATAGAGATATACATGGTAGGTTTCTTTTCGTATGGAAAGAAATGAACACTATAATAATTTTGTTTCCATAGATTTTTTTGTCTTTCTGGAAATGCAAAATTAACGAATAGAAGACATTTTAATATAACCTATTTCTATAAATGTTTTTACGGTCAGGAAACAATTAAAATCATGTTTCAAATTTCAACCTACAATGGTATTCATATGAAGAAAAAAGAGGGTGGTAATTTCAAGAACAAGACAAGTTCTTGACAACCATATAATTTTACTGTTGGATTGAAAAAAGAAAAAGAAAGAAATGAGATCAGTTTAATTATATAAGCAATGAGCTGGAAAAAAATAACTTGTTCGATGATTGATTAAGAAAGTTATAATATAAAGAATCAAACTAATAAATAATTTGTTCAAGAAAAGAAAATGAAGATATCAGTATTACTTCAAGAATTCGAGAATTCGAGAATTCAAGAACTCAAGAATTCAAGAATGCAGAATCAAGAATTGACCATGATCAAGAAAAGGAGAGAGAGAGAGAAGGGGAGAGAGAGAGAGAGACTGACCAGCTAGTTTAGGGAGAGCTCTCCAGTTTTCATGTCCATGTTTTTGAATGAAAGTGATGAGCCTCAAGTCCTCTGCAGGACTCCATGGACCTTTCTTAACTTGACTCTTATCACAGCAAGGAGCTCTTCCTTTGCCCATCACTCTCTCTTTCCGTGCTCTCTAAACACTGGATTTGGATACACAGGTTGTCCCTTTTATATAGAAAATCTTGGAAAGAAAAGAGAGAGACAGAGATAAAGAGAGATGGGTAAAGGTGAAGCCACAAGGTTCATGCCATAAAATAGGATGCTAAATGGAGCAATAAATAGAAGGAAATCCAAAAAGGATTACTACATAACTATAATTTTAAAAAATAATTTAATATTTCATTTCTCCTGTGTCAGTTCAATGCCTCTCCCTAGTAGTTTTCATGTGTAAGTTCATTCTTTTCTCTTTTGCTGTTATTATATCCATATTTGGGATTTCAATTTACTTCTAGTGAAAACTTGATTGGATATGCAAGCTACCATACTTGTCAATATGAGACCCTAATCTTGGCCGTCCATCTAGCCTCACTTGGCATCTTCGTTACGTAATCTTTTTTTTTTTTTTTCAATTATATATTATTATTATTGTTAGCCGTTTCTTGAAAATTCAATTTGACCAAGGAAAAAGAGTTACACAACACAAATGTTAAATATTCAAATTAAGTAATTTTTCAAACTATGTCATGTACACAACCAATTGTAAATATACTATCACGCCAGCTTTGGTAACTCCATAACATGATTTCTTGCCAATCTATGTACACGTGGCGAAGCCTAGAATTAAAGTTAATTCAATAAATAAGTTTTGAAAAAAAACCGATAACACGGTTCAATTCAAAAATATATATAGAAAAATTGCATTCAAAAAAGAAAGAAAACGAGTGATGAAACGTGTGGTTTTTAAAAAATATTATTTCTTATTATTAGTCTAACCTAAGAGTTATTAATTTTTTTTAAAATAAGAAAAAAACAACAATAAAAAAAACTTTAAAATAGTTGAAAATAACAACAATATTACAATAAAAGTAATAGTAAAATGACAATATTACTGTAAAACCCTTGACTGTTTGAAATTTTAATATTAATAAAGAAAAAAGGTCGTAATAACAATAAAAAGAATTGGCCGTGGATGCATGTGTGTACAAAATAATAATGATTAATACATGACAAATGCAGGAGTCCAAATTACAGAAAGTTGGTAATATTGTAAAATTATTGGATAGTATGTCTCTTTCGAGTGGTCTAAATTAATGTATTTATGCTATATATGAATTACGATGTTTAATCTAACAAATTTCAATAGCAAGGTGTCAATTAGGTGGTCCGATCGGTCTTATCTCAAGTTCGAATACTTTCGATCATAAGAGTTTTTACCAATTTAATGAGTCAAAGGTAAAGCCTGCAGTGTTATTTCGGTCCGTTTTGAACTTCCTAATGAATAAAAAAAATTTAATAGCAAGGTAATTGAGTTTATTTGCTAATGAAAATTAATTAACATAAATAACACTTTTTAATACAAAAATGAATAAGAATATGTTCCATTTCAAAAATAGCAGAAGAACTTTCTCAAACCAAAATAGAGAAACATATAATATAAATTAAATACTAGCGGTTAAAAATCTAATTAAATAGATAATCCATATTGTTGGGTAATTAACAAAAAACAAAATTTTCTTTTTTCTTTTCGATTCATTTGGTTAAAAGGTATCTTTAAAGTGACTAAAACTCTTCTTTAAATATGTTTATGGTTAAACTTTTTTCTAAAATACAAAAAATACTACCTAAAAGGGTGAAATAAATGCATGAAAAGGACAATTCGGACTTTTCAATATATTTTAAGAGCACAAAATAAAATTTGACACATTTATAAAATATTCATAAGTTGACCAATCGTGTTAGAAAAAATCTAGGTTGAGCAAAATTTGAATAAGAATAATAAATAAAATGTAATTATTAATAAATTGGTATTGAACAAAACAGTAAAGGCCAGAGTCAAGTTGATATTCTAATTGGAGGTTAACTGCAAAATCATTGAGATCCACAAAGTAAGAACATGTTCATTAATTAGCAAAGTTATAATATTCTTAGCTGAAAATGACATTTTACCTAAATTTATAATTTTTTCCTCCAAATCCTTAGTTAAAGGTCCCATATTTTGACAATCAAAATTTCATCAAATACAAATATACATTTTAATCTTGAAAATTATTTAATTTTTTGTTGAATAATATAATAGCAAGTGGAATGTTAATTATAAGATTGATGACAAAATAAGTGAATATATAAATAGTCTTAGGATTTAATTAGGTCAACCGCTCAAATTAGTGCCTTTTAAATATTAAAAAAAAAAATTATTTAAGGTAAAGGAGGATGTCCCATGCAATCTTTCAAGACTCACAAGTCTAACAATTTGAGAAGGACAAGATGTAATTAATTAATTAATTAGTCTCTTGTTAGGGAAACTAACATTATAAGGCTTTTACCATTTTGTACCTAATAGCTTTGACATCTTTTTCTCCTTGGTTAGTTGCTCTCACTAACCATGGAAGACTTTTTGATGACTACCAAACTCTACAAGTCTAGGATAATTTTGTTTTTTGTTTTTTGTTTTTTTTTTAAATATATATATAATTTTATATAACATGTGCATGACGACTAGCTTATGTGTGAATGTGTACCTAGAATGGGTTTGTTTGACAAATTTTCAATAATCAGAATTCAGTACACGGGTGCTTGGATTTTGCTGTGTATATATGAGAGTTTAAGTTTGACAAGAATGCATTTGAAGCATGAAGACACAACCTCTATATATTTATAATTATATTTCTGGCATATCACATTAGCAATACTAAAATAAAATTATTTCATTTATAACGGGATTGTGTCCGACGTAAATGGTGTCAAAAATATTTTTAATTTAATTATTAGCATGTGTATTAAATATATTGTTTATATTTTTCTTTTAGCAGTCTTTTCAATGACTAGTTAATCTATTTTCTTTTGTAATTCAAATAAAATGACTTTAATAATTATGGTTTTAACATTATTAATGATTTCAATTATGAGTATATTATATGTGAGGACAAACGTTTGAAACGATCCGGGTTTGAGTGTGAAAATTATATAAAATAGTTAATTGATTGAAAAAAACATTTGATTGTAATTAAGACTTTTTAGTTTTTATTCAATTATTTTTCTACGAAATACCTAATTAATCTAGATCTTAGAATAATAAAAAAAAAGGTATTCAAAAGTGTAGATATAATAATTAATAGGCATGTCTATATCGAGAAATTTCAAAAAGAAAATGCACAGTTTTCTGGTTTGCATGTTGATTTTTGGAATGACAATGACATGGCAAGAAACAAAAAGAGGTTTAGTGCCACTTTATCTTATTCTTAGGTCTGCCAAACTATACATAAAGCAGCAGCTAATTACTAATTAATTCCTAATTAATAGTAACTCATAGTGTACTCTATTATTTTTCCTCAACTCTAAGCATTACATATATTCACGTAAGATCAGCATGCCTAATTGTATGTTGCATGGCTAAATCTATTCACTGCACATACCCTTTGCTCAGCATGTTGCATGCTACCATATCTATTTCTATTATAAAACAATGTGCTCATATAGGGATTATACTCCCGGTATCGTAATTTCTGTACTTAATATTCAAATTCGAGAATTTTAGTTAAGAGAAAAAAGTCATAATCACTTCATCCCAAATAACGTTTATGATTCAGCTTCAAATTTAATATATGCAATTCTTTTTAAAAAGATAACACTTAACCACTTGGATGATGTCATTAAGCATATTTTTAGATCAAAAATGATGATCTAATCAGCGGATTCATCCATTCAACAAGAACAAAAATTTCTTTTTTCATCAATTGGAAAGCAATATATGAAGGAGAAATCATCAAATGAGAATTATTATATCCAAGTAGATTGGCTTGAATTTATATATATTTTTTATTAGAAAAGTTGAAGCAGTTATAGAAATAATAATTTTATTTGCAAAAATATGAAATTCAATTTTGAAAAAAGAAAGAGCGTCTTAATTAAAAACTTTCTTATTGTAGACTGAAAATTACACTCTGAATGCAAAAATTAAAAACATCATCACAGATGATAGAGTTCTCTCAAATTCTGTTGCCTAATAGTAATTTTTATATCAAAAAGAATCTTTATACGACTCTACTACGTAATTAAAGGATGTAATCGAACCTCTTTCGCTTCTTCTCCCTCCTCATCAATATAATTATTACGGTTAAATTATAATTTTTATTTATTTATTTATTTGGCATACCTTGGTAATTTGTTTTTCCAATATAAAAATGTTTTCAATATAAAAATGTAGCATATTAGCTTATTCTCATGGACTAACAAAGCGTGTATTTTAGGTCTTTGAGATATATTTATTATTTAGGCATTGGATTCTTCATTAATTTGTCCATATAAGAAAACACGGCCCATTAAGACCAATGACAAAAAGAAGAAAGAGAGTCTGGGCCTGGGCTGGATTGCAAACAACACTCGGATACCATTATACAGCACAGTGCATTTGAATTCATATTACTGGAAATTACAGGTAGTTAAACTTTCAGTAACTTTCGAAAAACTTTATCAGGATATGGAGAATCATGACTTTGTGCATTAATGTCCGCTAGAACATTCACTCACAGGCATAACTATACCTTTAAAACAGAGGAAACTATAATAATCATATAACCCAGCATAAACACAGTAAAATGGCAATTGGCAAATGAACAATTTCATGCCCACAAAATGAGCTGAACATTTTTCATTTAGTATCCTCAATGTTTATCCGTACATCACAGGCAATAATGACTTAGATAACTAGAGCTTGTGAATGATATAAACACCGTTTAATAACAACCACCCCTCAGTGCAAGCACAAGATGAAGCACAGAGCCACCCTCAATATTGTAGTCACGAGCTGTTTTGTCATCTCCTAGCTGCTTACCTGCATAAATAAGCCTGCAACCGGCAACAAGGGTCAGTCTCAGGAATAACTTCATCATAAAACATCACTTGTTATCGGTGACACCATAAAAAGAACTAGTTCTACTCCGCGAATGAACAGGGTTTATGTTACCGATAAGCAAGGAAACAATGATAGACCGATATTAAGCAGTGTCAACTGAGGTTATATGTTTGTAAAAATCACTTCTTAAGTTTGCTTATTTGGATTGAATGTTTAATTGGGTTTCCATGCCAAAATAACAAACAAATAGCTGTTCTTGGTTCACAAGATTTTGGACAACTCAAAGCATGCTAGATATTGTTATACTACAAGCAAATAAAGATAATAATAATATTAAAGCTTTACAAGGTAATCTATTTAATAATCAATTCTATAAAAGCTTGATTTACTATTTAAGTTCAATGAGATCAAAATAATTACCTTTGCTGCACAGGAGGAATGCCCTCTTTTTCTTCAACCCGTTCCTTGATTCGGTCAATGGTATCGGTAGGTTCAATGTCAATTTCAATCTCTTTACCAGTGAGAGTCTTTACTTTGATCATAGTTCCTCCTCTAAGCCTCAGAACCAGGTGAAGTGTTGATTCCTTCTGAATGTTATAATCAGCAAGAGTTCGGCCATCTTCCAATTGCTTGCCAGCAAAAATCAATCTCTGCTGATCAGGAGGGATGCCTTCCTTATCCTGAAAAAAGTCCATCCATCAATTGTTAGACCAGAGTCCAAAACAACCACACAAAAAAAGAAAAACAAACGTGATAATTACAAATAAACTGATTATAATTTTGAGTGTCTATTTTAATTGGCAAGTAAAGGTTAAGAGAAAAGGGATTATAAGCTCGGCAAGAAATTCTCTAATTATATTACGACGATTGCAATAGCAACACCAAAATGGAAAATCCCAAAACAGCACAAACCCTAGCTTCTCGTTCTGGAAAATAACTATACACCCACAAAAGAAAATAGAAAATTCTACTTAAAAACAATCATCAAACAGAAGTTTTCCATCAAAAGCAAAAAGACCCATAAACTAGAAAGATAAATAAAGAGCCATAGAGAGAAATTATGAAAAAGAAATAAGAAAAATAAAAAGTACCTGAATCTTAGCTTTGACGTTATCGATGGTGTCGCTGCTCTCAACCTCGAGAGTGATGGTCTTTCCGGTCAAGGTCTTGACGAAGATCTGCATCGTCTTTTTCACAGAGATGGAGATTTGGGCTAATGGAAAAACAGAGTCTTCTTAGATATAATATACGGGTTCTTTGCGGGGGGCTTTGTCGCTGAGCAAGAGTGGTGAACTAGAGATTTTGTATTTGTAGAGAATAATTGTGGCCCCCGACAAATATTCCTAAATAAATTGTTGTGTTGGAGAGGGCTTGCCTCTCATTCTTTTTCTTTTATCCTTTTTCAGTACATCTTCACAATAATAATATCTCACAATTGGCTTTAATTTTAAATTTAGGGCTTTACTTATCCATATAAACATAATGGATTCGGTTCGTAAATTGACTCAAATGCTACTATCAGTTATATAATATGGATAATTATTCTTTTCATATATTAAATAATTTTCAATGTAAGAATTTATTTATCAAAATAAGGATATTTTTTACTATATTAGTAAATTAATTCAGTTTGTAATACTATGAATTGCACAATACGACAGTTATCCGCTTAATTCATCAAATGAGTAAAAACTTTTAGAATCGAAAAAATTCAAACTCGAGGTTTTTGACTCGAAAGAAATAAATGAGAACACCAGTCAAATTGACAGCTACTAAGATATTTAGGGTTTGTCTTGTAAAAAAAAATTATTCAGTAAACGTAACATCTCAAGGCGAGTCTACTTATCAAGTATGTTTAATCAATGAACCGAGTTGGAGTTTTATATATCATTATAAACTCTAAATAGTATTGGGTAATGCAGGCCAAGCCCATTTAGGCAAATGAAATGAGTCCAAGTTACATTGATCTTGTAGTAATTAGCCTAAAAACAGAAAAAGTAAGCTCGGCCCATGACATGAAATGAGTCCAAGTTATAAATGTAATTACCGTTTTTAAACATCAATTTCAATTTCTATCCATATTTAGACTATTTCTACGAATGTTATCATTAAATATTTCAATAGCATGGTTGCTCGTTTTTTTTTATATACTTTAATATCATGTCTTTGCACTTAAGTCTCCTTGGTTAGACTTGCGTATATTAAGGTTTATTGATTCAAAAGCTTGTTAAGCTTTTCTTAATTTTAATAATATTAATAAAACATTTTTTCTGTTAAAAAAGAAACCAAAAAAGCAAAAATTGGAAGTTGTTGCTGAGTATTTTATAAATTTATATTGTAGTAATAAAAACAATTTCATTCTTAAATTTGAAAGAGTTACTCTGCAACAGGTTACCATTGTCCTCTAGATATTTGTGAACAATTAATACAGATTATAGAAATTTGTACTAGTATAAATAAATAGACTTGCTTTCCAATTTGACCAGTTTATTTAATGTTCAATTATCTTTCCTATAAAGCTAATTGGAGTCCTTCAAATTTATTGGAATTAATCTTAATGACAATATTAATGTTGTTTAATTTTTTTACTACATAAACAAAGGATTAAAAAAAAATTTTACCCATTCATAAAAATAAAAAATCTTAAAAACATAATTTCTTAATAAATAGAAAGAGAATAAGCAATCCAACAATTTAATTATAAAAAAAGAGAAGAAAATGTTAAAGTTAAAAAAAAAAAAAAAAAAAAAAAAAAACAAGAGAATAAAGCAAGTCCACAATTTAATTATAAAGAAAAGAGAAAGAAAATGTAAAGTTAAAAAAAAAAAAAAAAAAAAAAAGATGAGGGCGATGGTTTAGAGTAAATTGATCTTTGACCCTTAGCGTTTTAAATGAAGCATTAAATGGTTGCATCTAATTAAAACTTTGGTATTAGTCTCATATCTTTAAAATACTCACACACCACCCTATGGCCATTGCCGCAAGAAATAAAAAGTACACAACTTGTTTTTAAAATTTAAAATTAAAAAAAAAAAAAAAAAAAAAAAAAAAAAAAAAAAGGCATTAATGTGAAATATTAAACGCCGAAAATACTGCGTTTAAAGGAATTTTTAGAAGCTGAGGGTCAGGCACAGGGCATCGTCATCAACACATCATCTTAACTATTTAATGTTGCATTAAAATCTTCGTGGTATCTCTTAAATGCTTACACCTTCCTTCACGTAATTACATTATTTTTGCGCAATTTACGTTTCTGTCACTTTCTATTTTCTTTCTAAATCCATCCATAGTTGGTATAAAATTAAGAAATTAATTATTTGTTCCTAATTTAATAATTATTAGTTCTTAATTTATGTGAAAATATAAATAAATTTATTTTTTTGGAAGCAAAGGAGTACTAATTTATCCATTTCAACTCCCACTTTATAATGATTAATTAAATCTTAAAATTTCATATTAAAAAAAAAAGTTCCTTAATATTTTTATACAATTGCCTTAAATGACAATTAAAATAAGACGAGATTGTAATTATCTTGCCAATTAAAAAATAGGAGGGTGGTTTGTACTTGCCAAATATTACTCTACTCGTCTTATAATTTATATCTTAGTATGACTTATAAATAATTTTTACTTTATTTTTTCCTAATATACCTTTATTTTAATATTCATAAAAATAAAAGATTCATATTAAATTGTTCTTCCCTTCCAAAATATTTATTACATTTAATATTTCATATCTCTAAATAAACTCATTCAATTTATATAAATTATTGAATGATTTGATTATATTACCCTTAACTAATAATATCTAAATACCAAAATTAATTTTTCATCAATTGTTATTAGTGACGTACAAAGAGTAAAAATGAAAAAAATAATTTATTATTTATTAAATTTATATAAGTGATAAGTATTCGAGAACATGATATTTCCTAAATGTGATACCTATGGAAATTGTTTAAAATTGGACCGGTAGATATTTCAAAAATGAAAATTAATTAAGGAGCCAAAAATGTCGACTGGGATTGATTTTATCCAAGCATTAAATGCTACCATTTACTTGGGTGCTTCCTTTCTTGAATTCTCCTCCCCCACCCCAACTTCATCCGCATACCATAAATAATTTTAATTAACTCCATCATAAATGCTTCATTCAAACAAATTTCAAATTTCGTATTAATTATTTATTTATTAATTAATGCTAACAAATCTCTATTAATTTTATTTTTCTATTTTCTATAACGTACCGTCTCCCTCGTTTGTATATATACACGCGTCTATACTTTAATACAAACAAAACCAAAGAAAACGAACCTCTCCCCTCTCTCCTTCGTCTGCTATGGCTGCTGATGTGAGTACTCTGTTTAGGGCTTTGAGTGGATACAAGGATGATCGGACGGTTGCTAATGAATCTGTTGGTGGAAAATCCACGGCTTTGATTACCCGAGACTTGCTTGGTGGTAGCGGTGTTGATGGTTATGCTTCTACAATTAAGGATGATTCTCAAGAATTGGACCTCGATTTGCAAGTGCCTACTGGCTGGGAAAAGCGTCTGGATTTGAAGGTATTTTTGTTTTCTTATATGGTTCTGTGTTGTTTTCATATTTTCTTTTTTGCCATTGGAATATATAGAAAGTCCAGAATCTTTTTTTTTTTTTTTTCTGAAGATTGAAATTATTTCCTTTTCCGTTGAGATTTCTCTCCTTGAATCTGTGTGAATTAATTAATTAGTTACTTATACAATTATCTGCCTAATCCTCTGTTTGTCCTCTGAGAAACTGGAGTAAGTGAAATGGAAGGTTCAGATCAATTGATTGTTATTCAATTAGTGATAGGTAGGTACAAGCAAAGTACCATTTTGAATTCTTCACATGTTAATTGCAATTCTGTTCCAGCAGGCAAACAGTCTCTAATTTAATTTCCTGAGATATTTTATTAAAAAAAGTTTAAAAATTTGCAGTCAAGGAAATTGCTATTTCCTATTCATTTAATACCATTCTTCAATGCTCTGAAACTAGTAATGACACCTATCATTCCTTATCTTTCATTAATTATTGCTTCTAAAAACCCTAGAAGTCTATTTATCCCCTTCAGTTACTGATAACTTGATCAATCATTTAATTTGTTATAGTTATTTATTTACTTTTGTTGATGATGGTTGCAGTCTGGAAAGGTTTATTTACAAAGATGCAATTCTTCAAATTCACCTTCGTCGTCCTCCGATCAAAGACACAAGATTACCAATCAAACAGTGTCAAAGCTTCAAGATTTGAATTTCCCGCCATCGCCTTCGAAGATCACCCTTAATCTTTTTGATGAGAGTAACTTAGAATTGAAGTTAGTCTCATCACCATCATCATCAACATCATCAGGCAAATATTTGAGTGTGCACACACTCGATAAAGTAAAATCAGCACTTGAAAGAGCAGAGAAAGAACCAATTAGGAAACGATCAACAACGCTGTGGAAATCCCGGTTATCACCATCATATTCTTCATCATCTTCTTCCATGAAAGATCTTCCAGATGATGAAGATGAAGAAAAACTTACATCTTCACCAGTGGCTGCAGGTTGTCCAGGTTGCTTATCATATGTATTGATAATGAAAAATAATCCGAAATGTCCTAGGTGCAGTACTGTTGTTCCGTTGCCAATGGCAAAGAAGCCTCGAATCGATCTCAATATTTCAATTTGAGATTGATCAAGATTTGATATTTGTGATTTTGTAAATGATAGATGGAATTTAGAGGCTCAGAGAAATAGAAGTGTAGGTCAAAAGAAGAGAAAAAATTGGAAAAAGAAAATTATGGTTTTTTATTTTATTTTTTTAACTTTTGAATTCCCATATTCTATCTTATTCTGTTGATGCAGAGAGAATGTCTAATTGAATTTTATTTCTAATTTTTCTGGAGGGGCTTAATGGTTCATTGAAAACAGAGTTTTCAATTCAAAGTTTTGACTAAAGCTTTCAAACTTATATACTTCAACAAAAAAAAAAAACGAGTACATACCAAAATTTTATTTAGGCTTTTTAAAGTGTTGGATAACATAACGTAACTCAATTTTTAACAATTAAATATAATTAAAATAGCTAGACATTTAAAACTGTAATTGAAAGTGAATTTTAAAGAAATTTATGAAAATAAATATTATAAGGACTAGAGTTTAAAAATGAGCGAGGAGGCCATTAAAGGAAAGACATGAGCTGAAAAAGTAGATTGAGACATGTATCCATGCAAAGCTTTCAAAACTTATAACTTCAACAAAATTAAAAAAAAACGATGTACATACCAAAATTTTATTTAGGCTTTTAAAGTGTTGGATAAACATCACGTAACTCAATTTTTAACAATTAAATATAATTAAAAATAGCAGACATTTAAAACTGTATTGGAAAGTGAAATTTAAAAAGAAATTGTATGAAAATAAATATTATAAGGACTAGAGTTTTAAAGAAAATAAATATTATAAGGACTAGAGTTTAAAAATGAGCGAGGAGGCCATTAAAGGAAAGACATGAGCTGAAAAAGTAGATTGAGACATGTATCCATGCACTTAAAAGTGGTGAACAATTTAGGCATCTTTACAAGTTGTAGTTTGTGTCGATCTCTCCACTTACTGACTCTTTGGTTTGGTAGCTCAGATGATATAGAAATAAGTTGTCCTATAAATGTTTGAAAACTGCATTCACCTACAGTTCGTCAAATGATGACTGTTGAGCTTTTATTGTCACTGGATCAATTTCCTAATTAAGGCCCATTTAGTCATTTACTATACCAATTCATTAATATATACCTAACTTCCAATAAATGTCATAATTTTATTATATCATCCATCTTAAAGTTTCCCACCTACCTTCCTTTATTTGTTTAATGCTTATTTTCTCAACTATTTTTTAATTACTATTTCTTCTTTTGGCATCCTCTGCCTCCTTGTGTGAAATATCTATTCTTTCTTTGATTTATTATTTATCTTTTACCCCTAATTTTGCAAGCAATTAATTCATTACATTACATGACATTCTTTATGTGGGAAAAAAAAAATTAAATTTTTGTTTATTTATTATTTACTTCCTAAATTCTAATTACGTACTTTAATTCAAAATTTATTTTCATAATCATGCAATATATTCAAGTTAGATATAACTTGCTTTTGACCGATTCATCTACTGTGCCCCAAAAGTGACTTTATACCTATAATGAAAAAACACTTAACACACGCCAAATAGGACTTGTAAGCCATCAATGTGAGCACTTTTGATAGATTTGAATGATGAAATATATAAAACTCAGTTCTTTAATTTAATGAACTGAAAAGAGCATTTACCTAAACTTTTATATATATATATATATTCATTACTGCTATTTTTGTTATATAGAGCTATAAATTGAACAATTAAATATCAATTCATTTGTATACCTAACCTACATTAAATGCGAATTATGTTTGTCTTTAAAGTTGCTTACCTACTATCAATATTTAACGTGAAATAGAAAACTTCATAATTATTATTTTTTTTTTCTTTAATTTTATTAGAGCAATTGGTGTGACATTGTAACCAACGTTTTAAAATATGAGCACAAAATTTTTGTTCTTCGTATTGAATACATTCATTAACGTTTTACCTATATTCCACATGCATAGCATATATTGTAATTTAAACCATAATTTCAAATTAAAGATTAATACTACTACTTTAGTAATGCAATTAAGACTAATTAACAACCTTATGCATTTATCCATTTCAAAGCAAAACAATGATTACTATTTATTAATTTAATAATACATGTTCTTTCAAATAATATTTATTAAATTAATGATAAATTTTCATTTTTTATAAATTGTAAAAAAATTAATTAAATCTAGTTTGATTAAACGGGATACGGTTATTTTTGTTGAGAGTGTTTGGATTTGTCTCTGTCAGCTTTAAAATTTGTTCAACTGTTTAAACCTGTTAGTATTTATGGTACTGATAGTGAAACGTAAAGAAGAACATATATGTATATATATGCATGTATGATGTTAATTAATTAATTAATTAAATTTTTTTTTTTTTTACAAAGGTTGAAAGATCCTCTGCACCAGGAAATTAATTGATGAGGCCATAGCTTAGGTTATGAATTAATTAGTAGACTTCAATTGAACTCATAACTAATATGTGGGCTACATCTACATGCCTTTAGTTAGGACCTGTCCTTTGACTATAAAGACCAAGAGCACCATAATAAAGTACCATTGGGTCCATTAATTATTATTATTATTAATTAGGAACCCACTTTTTTTTAGCATTATTTTCTCTGAAAAACATATGATATATAATGCCCAATTGTTGTTTTATTTTTATTTTATTTTTCATGTTATACCCACAAACCGTACAATTACACACGTAATATTTTGATTTAAACGAGAGAGGGTATTTTTAACTGTATATTGAGAAAAAAAATTATAAAAAATACTCAAAATTTCAACGCAAGAGTCATCATCATCATTAGGGTTCGTTCAACTAAACAAACTTCAAACATTTATGACGTACTTGAAAATTAAGATGCTTAAGGTAGCTATAGCTTAAAGCCGGCCACTTGGTCTCTTAAACGACGACGCCGTCATTGCAAAATCGCCGCTCCTTCCTTTTATTAAAGATGAAAAAGTCCTTTTAAAAACTTGGGCCTACATGTAAAAATATGTCCAATAAACAAAACTGGGCTCTAACGAATTATGGGCCGAAGAATCTAATGCTGTATAAGGCCGAAAAAGCCTATGTTAGGAAACCTAATCGCCGAAAGATCTCTACCGTGATATAACCAACTAAACGGTCTAAAACCCCATAAGCCCTAGCTCTTGCCAGTGTGGGATGCATTCCGTTGTCGGAAAATTTTTCGTTGCTGAATAGGAAGAGTTTAAAGAAATGGGGAAGAAAAGGCAAAAGCAAAAGATAGTGTTGCCACCCGAATTACCACCGGAGATAGCCGAGGAGGAAATCGAGGTATCTGACGATGACTTGCAATTTGTCAATGAAAATCGCGATTATGCTGGCTTCGTTTCTCGCTTGGACACCGATTCCATCACTAGGCACGACTCCCTCTTAACTCTCTTTTTCTCTCTGGATTGATAATTTATTGATTATTGTTAATTGATTATACATTTTCTACGTCACTAGGCATGTTACTCGCATAGCTGATTTGGAAAAAGATGATATAGAAGCCGCATATGAGAAGCGGCTGGTACGGAAGTTACAGAAGCAACAAGAGGAGGAAAAGCGGCTTGAAGTTGATCCCGTTGATGCTCTTCCTGTGAAGACTTTAGATGGAAAACTTTACTATCGGACGTGTAATTGTTCTATCATTTCCTCTGCTTTGATCTCGTTTTTTATCTTAATATTTTGACTGTGAATGGCTGTCCATTTTTTTGTATAGCAGCATCCAAAGCAACGGATGCTGACAAAGATGGAGACGATGAAAAAGATGATTCCGGTGATGATAAAGGTATATTCAGGTCGACAAAAGCTGAAAGGAGGGCAAAGCTCAAAAAGGCCAAGAAAGAGGCGAAGAAACAAGGGAAGGAAGTGGAGAAAACTGAGGAAGTGCAAGAAACTCCACAAGCAGCTGCGCTGGTACTTTTTCTGACATGACTTTCTATGCATTCTTTGACTCTTGTTTAATTACATTAGTGCAAAGTCCACTCTGTTTCTGAATCCATGATTTTTATTTTTCAAATGCAAATGCTTTATATGTAGATGTGTAGTAATTATGAAAGTTGGATTGATTTTACTTGCAATGTTTACTTGCTAGTTTTTACGGCTGCTGTAGACGTAACAAGCTCGATTATATTGTTAGGGCGCCTCCATTGTGTTAATATCTAAATGTTTTCACTCCCTTCATTTAATAACAAGTTTGCATAGCTTTTTTTTCTACTTATTTTAATGCCTCGCAGGTACTTCTTTCAACAAATCTGTAGTCCCAAACTATAAACCAATAGAATTATTTTGATTAAGTAAAATGCATCTGTCTGATCATATTATTCCCCTCAATTTTGTTAATTTTGTTCAATAAGTTTTTTTTTTTTCCTGCTTATGACATACATCAGAGTCTCTGATGCTTATATTCTGTGAATCTCATTAAAGAATGTTGGATTTTTTTTTTTTAGGCTGAGGTGAAAGAAGATCTCACAGCTGAAGAAGCGTTTGAAAGCAAGAAGCGTAAGCTTGCTGAGCTAGGAATTGGATTGCTGGCAGATCCAGAGTCCAACATAAAATCTCTGAAAGAGATGTTTCAATTCTGTAAAGATGATGACCATACTGTTGTTAAACTTGGATTGTTATCCTTGTTGGCTGTTTTTAAAGACATTATTCCAGGGTAAGGTCCCTGCATTTGTTTTATTATGCTCTACTAATCATGTTCGCTCTCTCGCTCTCTCTTGTGCCTGCATAAAAAAATGTAACATCTTCTATTTCTTTAAAATTCGTTGACAGCTACCGGATTAGGCTTCCAACTGAAAAAGAGCTAGAAATGAAAGTTTCCAAGGAAGTTAAGAAGATGCGTTACTATGAGTCAACACTTCTGTCTGTATACAAGGTTTAACTTGGTTTTCCTTTTTATGAAGAACACTTGCAAACTTTCTGATAGATGATTTCCAATAATTTACTTGATTATCTGAACTCTTGATTTTGGTTTTGAATGTCCTAATGTTTTCTTAACAATCTTTCCACTCTAAGGTTGCTGAAATTGATTTTGATTTAATTAGTTATTCATTTGGTATAACATTGACAGGCATTTTTGTTGAAGCTGATGGCGTTAGAGAAGCAGTCTAAGTTTCAGCATGTAGCTGTTCGCTGCTTTTGTATTTTACTTGAAGCGGTTCCCCACTTCAACTTTCGTGAGAACTTGTTAGGTGCTGTGGTCAAAAACATAGGCTCCCCAGATGATGTCATAAGGTTTTGCTATAGTTCTCTTCATTTTGATGTTAATTTTCGGAGTTGTTTATACTATTTTGGGGGATACGGGGGCTCTAAGCTGCGGATATTTTTAAGCATGTGAAAATATTATAAGAAGAGAAAGCTTAATTAGTAATCTAGTATGATTATTTTTCCTGATTCTACCTGTCAACTCCTGTAGCAAATCATTATATCTATGTCAGGTAAGTTGTCAAAAAAATTAAAAAAAAAAACCTTGGCAAGCATTTAATATGCGTAGGTTGTATCGTCATTCTTTTTACCAATACTTCTTATTTCACTGGCATCTGCTAAATGTTTGGAACAGGAAAAGCCCAAAGCATTTTTATGTTGTAAAAACTTATCAGCTTATAATAAAGTTGATGTGTGTATATTTTTTATTTAGGAAACTGCTTAGCAGTTGAATTTTCTTTCTGTCATTTATTGTTTTCATAGCTATCTTTTGTAGCCAAGCCAGGGATGAGTGACGGTTTAACTTATTTGGGAGTGCAAAAGGTAAAGGGGGCGTAGCGAAGATTCTATTTCTTTGGACTCTTTTTAATGAATTAGCCACTTAGTGTTGCTCCAAGGATGTTGCACTCACACTGTGAAACAATGTAGCTAGTTTTAATACATTCTGGATCTTCCTGTGGCTTGGTCAAATTATGTGCCGGCTGCTTTTTGACAGGAAACTCTGTTGTGCCACTATGAAGTCACTCTTCACTAATGAGGGGAAGCATGGAGGTCAAGCTACTGTGGAAGCTGTGCGGTTGATAGCTGATCTTGTTAAAGCTCATAATTGTCAACTGCATCCTGATTCTGTTGAGGTATAAAATGATTACTTCTTGTCTGTTTTCAAATGATGCCTTATCCCATAATGACCCGGCATTCTTTATTTTTAACCTAAGCTTGATGAATAAATACAATTAATATGTGTAGGTTTGGATGACTCCGATTTGTCATAGAAGTGGATTTTGGAAAACTGATTTGTTATTGGAAAAGAGATGGTGTATTCACTATTAAGTACTGTTCAATTTTTAGATACATGTTGAGTATCTATAGATGACAATTTCCCTCCTCTACAAAGTAGTTGAGACATTTAATAGTTTGAGAAGTAGTTTTGCCATAAAAGCATTGTCTTCTAAGCTCCTTTTGTTTTTCTTTTGGATCTTTTATCCCTCTCCTCTATTCATTTGTTTATAACCTATCAGGTGTTCTTGTCATTGACCTTTGATGAAGATCTTGGAAAGGCTGAGGAACAACAGAAGGAAAATAAAGCTAAAAACAAGAAAAGCAAAAAGAGAGGGAATATTGAGGAGCCAAGTCAATTGCAACAAAATGATAGAAAAAGAAGTAGAAAAGAGATGATGTCAAAAATGAGGGAGGAGGTATTTGATGTTCACTGATAATATTGACGACTTGAAATTATTTGTTTTGTGCTTATAGTGGTCATGATATTTGCTTTAAACAGGTTGCTGCTGATTATAAGGCTGCTGCTTTTGTCCCAGACGTTTTGGAGCAGAGAAGGATGCAATCTGAGACACTTTCTGCTGTCTTTGAGACATATTTTCGCATCTTGAAGCATGCCATGCAGTCAACCGCATCCAGGTTTATTTCAAGATTACACAGTAGCTTTTAAGAGTAACTTAGATGTTGGGGTATGGCATGGTTTTGTGAGACAAAGAAATGGAATTTATGCAACTCTCTTGCTGGAGCTCATTGTATGACATAAATACAGCTTTGATTTAGAGCAATCAGGATTTCTCGCATAGAATTTGGCATAGTTTATTCATTACTAACAATAGATTGAACTGCATAGGTGTCTGACTGGCAGAAGTGATTTTCTTTCTCCTGTTATTTTTGGTGGAACTTCATACAAAAGACTAGTTTGTTTTCTTATCAATTCCAAATCCATCTTTTATTTTATTGTTCCAGTAATGAAGCGGTGGATAATTTAGTTGCCAGTGCTCCTGGAGCCCATCCACTGCTTGCCCCTTGTCTGAACGGATTAGGAAAGTTCTCTCATCTAATTGATCTTGATTACATTGGAGATCTCATGAATTATCTGAAAAAGCTTGCTGGTGGTGGTAGCAACTCTAACAGTTCCTCAGAAAAATGTGCCAAGTACTTGAGTGTATCTGAACGTCTTCAGTGCTGCATTGTTGCCTTTAAAGTGATGAGGATCAATTTAGATGCGCTGAATGTCGATTTACAGGGCTTTTTCGTGCTGTTGTACAATCTTATACTTGAGTACAGGCCTGGAAGGTTTGTACTCTTCTTGCTACATATTTTGCTGGAGATGCTCCTTAAGTCTAGAATTATGATTCCATTTATTATATATTTTTGCAGAGATCAGGGTGAAAGACTGGCAGAAGCTTTGAAGATTATGTTATGTGAAGACAGACAGCATGATATGCAAAAGGCTGCTGCATTTGTAAAACGGTTGGCCACATTCTCTCTTTGCTTTGGATCGGCTGAATCAATGGCAGGTGTGCGATAAGTACCGGTCACTTTCTAGCTTTCAATAAAATACTGTGTTTTATGTTTGTTTAACTTTATTGTTTGCATATTCTTTGCAGCTTTGGTAACTTTGAAGTATCTTCTTCAGAAGAATGTGAAATGCCGGAATCTATTGGAAAATGATGCAGGGGGTGGCTCAGTTTCTGGTTCTATTGCAGTAAGCTTTCTTTTAATTCGTTCTCATAAATTTGGAGCATTTACTTTTTTGTCTTTTTACCGTTTAAATCTCTCTTTGTATGTTTGATTGCGATGCAGAAATATGAGCCATATGCCTCAGACCCTAATTTAAGTGGCGCCCTAGCGTCGGTCCTATGGGAACTCAATCTTCTCTCAAAGTATTACCATCCAGCTGTTTCAACGATGGCTTCAAGCATTTCAAGCATGAGTAGTGCTCATAATCAAGTATTTCTTTCCTCAGTGTCTCCTCAACAAGCTTTTGCAGACTTGTCACTTGAACGGGAGTTACTCAACCCGAAATTCGACATTAGAAAATCAAATAACAAGAGAAAGAAGGGATCGTCTAACGCGGGTAGTGTGGAAAGAACTCTAGATACGAGTTCAGTTGACGAAAATGAGTTGAGAGAGAAACTTTCTGATCATTTCATGACCCTTCGCAATTTCAAGGAAAGTGAAAGATTAAGAGGTGAATTAAATCGCACCACATTAGCCCTGCAATTATATGATGAATACAAGAAGCAGAAGAAAAAGAGCAAGAAGGCTTGATTGGTATCAAGAAAATTAATGTAGAAACTATTATTTTTCTATAATGTAGAAAAAATTAATTTCATTTTGTTGGCGAGTTCTGTAGTAAGTTTTAAGATTAATTTTATAAGATTCTTTATATGATTTTATAACTTGTTTTTTCCCTTTTTACAGAAAAGAATTAAAAATTAAAATGCCAAGTCTTGAAATCTTTGACCCAAGAAAAAGAGAGAGTAAGGTTAAAGAGGCAGAAGCCAAGTTCATACGACATTGACAAGGAAACTGAGCCAATCGCAAATTGGCCATGTGAATCACTTGTAGATAGCATGTGTTTCATTTGAAACAAGGTAATTAATTAAAAGAAGCTGTCATTAATTCTTCTGCTGTAGAGAAGATCTCCGAACTCCTAGCCTTGCGTGACATGAGATTGAGATCTCTCTCAATCATTAAACCTCAACGCCATGTGATGCATATCGCCATTTCACATGATAGCAACCAATTAAGATTAAGAAAAAAAGAAAAACCCTTCAAAACCAGAGCAAAAATTCCTTGTTTCTCAAAATAAAGATTAGAAAAAACATACGTACTTACGATGATGAATAAATTATAAGTAAGGAAAATGAAATGGACAGTACACTAACAGGCAAACCCAGGAAAATGAAATGCACAGTACACTAACATGCAAACCCATGTGCCTTAATCCGCAAATTAAGGCATGCATTTTCATGGTACTGTACTGTACTGTCACGCGTACAAATGTAAAAGCCCATGCAGCACCAAATTATTCAACAATTGCATTTCTTTAGTATATAAGAATATTTGTGTGGATACATTATCGTAGAAGCCAACCGTAAAGACCTAAAGCTCAGTCTTTAATTTATAAGTATAATAATAATTAATTAGTTGGCAAATTCCAAGGTTTTTATATAGTTTATTTTCTCTGATTTCGAAGCTGTTCAAAGCTTATACTGATACCTTTTCTTAATATGAATGAGTAGATTTCTTTGTTATGACAGTTTTTGGCTTCGCATATTTGGTTTTTTTTGTTTATAATAATCACCAACCGAAGCTGTCATTACCAATATTTGACTGTTTTGTTTGATCTAACTCCTCATTCAACTGCCAAAATGAAACCCCATCCTTTGTTTTCTAAATTCTAATTCTTAATTTATGGTGATTAACTTATTCGAGACCAAGTTGGATTTCAGAATCCCTAAAAATACTCATTTTTTGTTATCTTCGTAAATTACCATTTACACCTTAATCAATATCAAAATTCAATAATTTATTCCCACATCGATTAGTTTTATTTGAAAGACTAATAAAATATTATTATTATGATCAACGAGTAACGTAATCGTTGGTAAGTGATCTCAATTCTTATAAGGGTAAAAACAAAAATTCGATGTCTGGAAAGTACACTTTATTTATTAAGAGGGTAAAAAATTTTTACATTATACGACCCGTGAGGAATTACAACTTCTAATTATATTAAAACATTAAGATGCTTTTGATTTTAGTAAATATGATATTTGTAGAAATAAAACAAATAATAAGGATTAATGTGAAACTAGATTGAAAATAATGTTGTGGTGGTTGCGTTTGTCTAATAAAATATAGTAACCACCAACTACATATTTCTTCTCACACATAATGTATAATTCGTGTACGTCACTATGATTAATAAATTATGTGTTCTTAAATAGTAGTATTTTTAATTAATTTAATTTTGCTAATTTGATTCAATTAAACAACTATAGTTTTAAAAGTTAATAAGTCAACTTTAAGAACTGTTTAACTACTTAATTGAGTGATGTAGGAATAGTCGTTGGTCTTACATCTAAGTGGGCTCATGGCAGTTGATTAACAATTTTCCATAGGATCATCATTTTATCACATAAGGCATAATTGAAGGATTAAATGTGATTAATCCCCAGTTATCATATCATGTGTTCACAACCTCAAAAATAAATTAAGCAAAACTTGATTTTTTTTTTTTTAAATAATGAGTGAGAGTGTCAATTATTATTAGTGATCCAATAAATTGAGGATTAAGATTATAATAATAATAATAATAATAATAATAATTAGATGAATAATCACGGGATTATTGTTGTTTTGCAAGAGGAAGTGGTGATGGAGATGATATTTGGTTGTGGGGTCATAAAACAAATATGCAAAGCAAAGTAGAAGGAAAAGGACGATTCTCCCACCTTATATTATCCAAACATTTCTTGTGCTGTGAGTTGTGAGTTGTGACCCCTTAACCTACTCAACTCCACGTAATTCTTTTTTTTTTTTTTTTTTTTTTTTTTTTTTTTCAAAGTTAGAAGAAAAGGGACGATTCTCCACCTTATTATTATCCAAAACAATTTCTGTTGCTTGTTGAGTTGTGAGTTGTTGACCCCTTAAAACCTACTCAACTCCCACGTAATTCTTTTTTTTTTTTTTTTTTTTTTTTTTTTTTTTTTTTTTATTCATTTTTTTATCTTCCTTGTCTTGGTTTACTTAATCTGAATTCTTTTAATTTGAAGTAAACAAACAAATTACATACTTAGACAGCCTTGATCTCTAATCTTTGTAAGAACAAAAACACAAATTCAATTTTCAAAAAACACAGTTATTGACGGGCAAAAAACATTAAAATCATATAGTTTGAAAGGGATTATATTGCTAAAAAAATTATACATATGCAAGTGTGAAAGTGTTATAAGCAAGATGAATCAAGGTACATTCTCTTTGACTGAGGACTTATAAAATGGCAACACCAACCATGCGTTCTTAGTTTCAAAGTTTAATTGATAGTATATAGAATCTTTGACAAGCATTATCAACTTATTAATCATCTCAAATAATTGATTATGGCAATCTCTAATTATACCTTCTTAGAATATATATATAACTGCTAATTAATTACGTAATCAATATTAGGTTTAGATGGGATGAGATGAGATTGTTACAAAATTAATTAATATTTGCTTATGATAGAGAAAGAGCGCCTGAATTAAAGCATTAAGCATGTATGTTTGAATGAAACCGTTTCACAGTTTCTTAAATCATTTGTGTGCTGTCCGCTTTTTCTGCTCTTCTTTCTCTTCAACCTGCTTTGCTTTCTTTTCCCCTTTTAGTTTTGCAGTTGAAAGTTAAAAATTATTTCGTGACTGTAACCTTTGACAATATGCTCCATTTGGAGAGTGTAAGATTTTGAGTTTGATTTCTCTCCATCACAAAAGTCTTCGGTTCAAGTCATTTCGATTATAATAATTTTCACCAATTTGGTGAACTAAGGAAATGATTACTTCTATTATGAAATCCATAATATTATTTCAATTCATTAGATCTGTTTGAATAAAAAAGAATTTATAAATTACTTTATAATCTCCGTCCAAGTTTGAAAAAAAAAAAAAATGAAAATAGAAGAATTACGTGCATTTCTTATTATTGATGAAACACATAATCATTATTAATTTATTCCATTTAATAATAATGTTTAGATCTTATTTTTTATAAGAATATAGAGAGTGAAAATAAGCTTCTATAAAAAAAATACTAAAACAATAATCTGCTTTTTTAGAATGAAAATGTCCCTTATCTATATATATATATATATATATATATATAGCTTTCTCACATATAATATAACACACATTTGGTGACGACTGAAATGAATAGATAATAAAAATGTTTTTTTTTTTTTTTTTTTTTAATTAGATAATAAAAAAATGTTACGACTCATATGCTTGCCTGCCCTCTCAGTAAAGCATATTCCAAGGAATATTTCCCCTACAAATTCAAAATTTTTTTTTTTTTTTTTTTTTTGAATAGATAATAAAAATGTTACGACTCATATTAGCTGCCTGCCTCTCAGTAAAGCATATTCCAAGAATATTCCCCTACAATTCAAAATGAGTGAACTACCCTTTCATAACACCTTCATATTACGTTTGTGCCCCAAGATTCCGCACCTTCCCAGCTTACCCCCCAGCGCCAACGCCACCATTATTGGAGGCGGAGAGAAGAGATCATCGAACGCCCACCCGCAAACGGCAGATCTCCTTCTGTAGAACATTCTATATTTTTATGTTATGCTTTTATCAATTGGGAGTGACACGGAAGCAGCAAAACTCTTCTATGAATTCTCAAGAAACAAACAGAAAATAAGAATTAATTGAGTAAAACTCAGCTCAAATAGGGCAAAAAAAAAGGTAATACGTATAATTAATTAAAGCTTCAGTCCCTGATTTTACAAAGGACAAAAGAAAAACAGGCCCTGGAAAACAAAAACTGTTTAACGTTCAAGTGAGTGTGATCATCATAACCAGGCCACAAAAAGCATATTTACAGCCAAAACTAAAAGATCTCTTGATGTCTTCTCTACATATCTCAAGGATCTAAACAAGAAATTAAAAAATAAAGCCTAATTTAGAAATATTCATCCGTGAATAATGAGCCAAGGAGATCCTCAAGGTCACGTGACTCGAGACCCAGTCGAAGCGCTTCCATAACTCGTTCAAAAACCAACACGTGACAGGGAATCCTGAGGACACCTTTTTGGTCGTAACCGTACTCTTGGGCGGACTTATTAAGAAGACCGATGAAGATCGGATGGTTAAGCAGCTCCGCACTCACCACAAACCGCTCCATCTCATCCCCGACGTACACCGGAACATGACCTTCGGGAACCGGCTTGGTTCCACCGGCGCGCCGTGCCGGCTTCACCAAACACCGGAACGACTCTCCTCTGCGAGTCGATCTTGATGCGGAACATCTACGCGCCTGTGAATCTGAGCGGAGGAGACTGTACTGAGAGGAGTCAGCGACTTTTGAGAGCCGACGGATCAACTGCTTCATGGAATCTTTTAGAGCCAGGAAGTGAGGTTTGGTGGCTTTAGAGAAAGTAACTGACCGCTCCAATTTGGAAGACTGATCGTTTCGCACCAAATCTGAAATGGAGAGGGAGGATAAGATTATCGCCTCCCAGCCTTTTTATAGTGAAAACTGGTCCAATTGTTCGCTCCTACAGTGATATAAGTAAGAATTTCACAGCAAACACAGAAAGAGAGAGAGAGAGAGATGAGAATTGCGGAAATGGCAGAGAGAGAGAGAGAGAGAGAGATGGAGTGTGTGGAAAGGGAGGGGAGAATATATAAAGAGAGAAAAGAGGTACACATGGAAAGGTTATGATGGAGAGGAGAGAGGTACAGGTAGAGTACTTGGCAGGTACATTAGAACTGAATAATAAAGATTTTAAAAAATTTTTATTTTATTAATTGTTTTTTATAAACAAGAACAAGAATAAGGATTATAAAAACCAAATGAACTAGAGTATTTTTTTTTATTATTATTTTTTATTTAGGGTGAGACAAGGAGATGGTTGCCTATTACAATTTGATTTTCGGAAATGGAGGAATTAAGGGAGTTGTTTTAGGCGTAACTTGATTAATGAAAGCATTTTTGATAACTAAGTTAAAATGTAATAAACGTTTTATCATTTATGGAGCAGATCAAAAGGACCTTTATTTCAAACCTTCTTATTTATTATATCTATAGGCCACGGATTAGGATTTAATCGAGGCACACGCTTTTTCTCCTACGTAACAAAAAAAATAACATATTTGCCACCTAGGCATATCGATTATATTATATATAAAATAAATATAAAGTAAGAAAATGAAAAATGGTATCCAAAAGTTATTTTGTAATATAGTATGATAATTGATAAAATTATTTAATTATAACTCAATTTTGTATTTTAATTATATGTAAATATTGAATAATTAACGATAAATGCCCTTTGTATAAGAAATTCAGACATAGAATAGAAATTTATTGTAAATTTCTTAAAAATATATTTTATAACTTCCAAAATTATTTCCATCTATATTTTTCTTCAGTATTTTTTTTTTTTTTTTACCTCCCCTAAGTTACTATCAAAACATAGGGTAAATGACCGTTAAGTGACAAACTACGGACGGGCGAAAGTAACAATGTTAACGAAGCGCAATTACCGGGTGGCAGTCATTTTCCGTACTCCGTTCCAGTACAGTTCCGTGACTCTGATTCTCTTCCTTTCAAAACCTCTTTTGTCTCTTTCTAACTACTTTATCGACGTGTTACTTTTAGTCCCTATTCCTTCTTGACCCACGCATTATAATCGCGCGTTGAATACACCATCGAAGAGAATTGGCTTATGTGGTGGATGTGAAGTACACCAGCCATACGAAAGTGGAGAGGATTGTATCTTCTTGGGAGAAGATATGAGAAACGATATTCATGTTTCATCCTTTTGCGCTGAGGATTAAAAAGCAAAATGAATGATGGAATCTAATGGCAGCAAGTGGCGGGATATTTTTCACTTTTTGTGGTAAGTTGCAATTTGGCCATATGTTTTCTCTTTATTTTTTTTTTTTTTTGTTGAAGATGCATAAATCTTGTTTTTACCCTAATTTATTTATTTATAACCAGCCATATTTACTAAAATTAAATATTTTACTATTTCATCATTGAAGGGAACAATATTTTATCAACGAATATTAAAACAACATGTTGGACACTCTTTTCAAATGAAGTCGAGAATTCAATAAGTCAAAAACATAAAAGAGGTCATGTCAGCATAAACATAGAATTTCATGCCTAAAAAACAAATTAAGCTATTGGTCATAACTCTATACATATATATATATATATAGGTGAGAAATGGATTGACTAATTTATTTATATAGTAGAAAAAAATAAAGCAATTGCTGCTGTAAATGTGCAATGCCCGACACAGAAAGAGCAAAATAGGGACACAAGCCAAAAAGCACTGCCTCGTTTGGCAAAGTAATATCATCCTACTTTTTAATTATTGATACCAAGCTGCTGTAGTTCTCTTTTCCAGTTTAATTATGTCAAATCAAAATATTATCTTTCCAATTAAGGATTTATGTGGTTAACCAGGAAATCTAACATTCATGAAAAAAATGCCTTATCTACCCCTTATTATAAGAAATTTATTTTCCTTTTTTTTACATTAATATATATTATAAGAAATTATTAAATATTATACTAGCATTTCTAATCAGCTTATTAATTAGATAGATAAATCCAATTCTGTTGACCTAATAGTATTGACCATTTTTCATCCGCTCCTTGAAAAATTTTCCATCCTTCTTCTTCACGAAAAAGATTTCCTAGTGACCTAATCTTTATATCCTTTTAAATTATTCATATTTTACTGCCCAATTTTCTACCATTTGCTTTAACAAAATCAAAGAAGAAAATAGTATTTTCTATTTATTTTTTTTAATTCAGTGGTTCAGTGTGGTGTATATTAAATAAAAACAGAAAAATATACACATACATAGGGCATTTAATTATTAAACTAAATAACAGTATAACGGCTACCATCTGTGTATTATTGGTAGTGAGAAACAAATTTAGGTGACCTTTATATAAATATTATTATTATTATTATGATTCAATATTCAATTTTTGGTATTAAAATTAGAATATAATTTCATTCTCTTTTATATATCTTTTGGTCGATGAGGCATTACGAAATTTAGACATTCACATTCGATTATACATTTCTTAATTACCACAATTATTTATTTATTGTTCAACACACATCAAATAAAAGAATTTGGAGTACATTCTTAAATCTTTAATATAAAAAAATAGACCCAAATAATTATAGCTCATAATAAAGTTCTTTCACACAATGGGACCTCATTATTTATTAATATAAAGAAACTTATCATACAATAAATACAGCCTGTATTGAATATTCTGTAACTGAAATTGCAAATTCGAGTAAATCAAAATTTATATAAAAATCTTATTATTTTTTTATATGAATATTTTATTTATTGAACTTTTGACGAAAATTGAAAATTCAATTATACTAATACTATTCAATAGTGTCAGAAGGCATTGAATGATTGGATAGAATTTTTCACACATTCAGACCGCGTAGAACTTAGCGGTGCTCCTCAACTACACATGATTGCTCCCACAGCTGTCAAACTCTGTGAGAGAGAAAGTCAAGACGCGCTGATTGATCTCGTGATCTCTACCGTTGATCACTCTTACTTCCCATTGAAGTTTATTAAACAAAAACTCATACATTCAATTCACTTCGTCTACGTGGCAGCGGTGGCTTGCAGCTACTAGCAAAAATTAATAAATTATTGCTTGCCTCCGCTGCACATCAAAAATAATTAAATGTTGTTTATATTGTATTTATATGAATTCATTTATAAGTTTCTAAATGTTAAAATTTTGAAAATGTCACCAACAACGTGTTAGGTAGTAAAAGAGCGCATATAAGTTCAATTGGTGGTAGAGTAAAAAATTTTTATATTTTATGGTTTACGGAGGATTCCATTTAGGGTGTAAAACACAGCGAACTGAACATTATTTAACTCGATTCGAATCAAATTTTATTTGAACTAAATTCAAATTGGGAACCAAGACAACTCATTTACACCCTTAAATTTCACAGGTGGTTATACCAAAGAAGACGTGAAAAGGTGATGATGAATTGTTTTATTGGTGAAGCAGGTTAGCTTGTGATGGAAGAGGCAATTGAAATGTTACCCTTTGGATTTTACCAATGAATTTGAAAAGGGAATCGATGCCCTTTTCAGAAAAAAAAGTGGAATGGTACCCCACCCCTTACATTTCCTTACTTTAATTAAAGAATTGAGTTTTTTCCTTGCAAGCAGAGAATATACCAAAGTTTTTTTTTTTTTTTTTTAATTTTTTTTTTACATCCTTTACTTTTAACTTAAAGAATTGAGTTTTTCCTTGCAAGCAGAGAATATACCAAGTTTTTTTTTTTTTTTTTTTTTTTTTTTTTTTTTTTTTTTAATTTTTTTTGATTGTTATCGTGATCCTTATTATTGTAGTACTCCATCCAACAATAATAAGAACATTTTGTATTTATTTATTTATTTAGTTATTATTAAACGTTGAGCTAGCTAGGAAATTAATAGTATCACCTCAGTCATAATGCATGAGTTCATGGGTATAAATTTGACAATTCAGTTTTTGTGCACAATTTTTATAGAACAATATTTGGTAATCTAAATTCTCATACCTTAAGAAAAATTAATTAATCTATGATTTTTTTTAAAACAAATTGCAAATTTATAAAAATATTTAGATTTTAAAATGAATTTGTATATTAAAAAATGGAAAATACGTGAATAAAATAGATTTACCTAAATACGATACATGAGCGCACACATATGTTAAATCAATAAATATATAAATTTTTAAATATTATTTTTATTTTATTTTTTATCAGTAAATATAATAAATATTTTAGTTTTAATAAAAATTTAATTTTTATTAATTCAATAAATGAATAAGCTTGTAGACTCGGCCTACGCAGCTCGACCCTTGCAAAAAGATAGTGTGGAGTTGGGGGAGAATCGCATAGCTGTAGTCTGTAGACCTGTAGTGATATTTGAGGAGAAGTGGGGGCCGGCCTTGAGTGCATAATTGGAGGTGGGGCCCAAAAGGAAGCCACTGAATTTATATGGCAGCAGTAATAAGCTTTGCCAACTTTTCCAAAAGCAAAAATTTAAAAATGCCGTACAGTCAATCGTACAAAGAGACCAACCTCCACCGGCCAATTTCTTTTTTTAAATCCCTTGTCCGTACACAACCGCAAAGGCTAGGACAAGACAAATATTTTTTTATTACAACTGTAGAAAATGACGTGTGAACACGCGATACATTTGCATTTTATGACATGGAAATCCACGAACTGCTGTCCTTTTGTGGGCTCCACTCTTACTCACAAGCGTCCACATGTTACCCGTCAGTTACGCCTTCTCAGCTTCTCTCTTTTCTTTTTCTTTTTTAATTTTTTTCCCAGCTTTTCTTTCTTTTATACGGCCGCTTCCGTGGATAATGGCTTTTTTTTTTTTTTTTTTTTTTTGTTTTTTTTTTTTTATTGATGGTAATTTTTTATTTTTTTTTTTTTTTTTTTTTTATGATGGTAATTTTTATTTTATTTAATTGATTAATTAATTTGAATGGTGGCGGTGTTGTGGTTAGGGGGCCAAATCATGCTTTATTTTTGTCGTTTTACCTTTGTTCTTTGGTTTAACCCAAAAGCCATTATTTAGTAATTTTTATCATATATGG